GAGTTAGACACCAGAAAACCCGGTGCAATCTAGATTTTAACTGTTCTGAAACATATTTTTGTATAAATTACTGTTATAATAATGATATCATTAATTCAAAACCATGTCTAGAAAGTCTATATTGAAGAAAACAAATAAATTAAATCAATACTGCTGGTATATGAGGATTATGTATAGATTTTAAAGCTAAGTTCGGAATCTGATCTTAATGATATTTTTATTGCATTGTTTTTAATGGTAGATGCACGAACTAAGAATAATAGAAGGTTTATATTTGATAGACTTATTTAGATATATAATATTGTTCATTGTGCACTTGCAAATGAAAATTATAAAGCAATTGGATAATAATAATAAAATCAAATTTAACTTAGTGAAATTTAAAGGTAGATATTCAAAAAGTAAAAGACAAATGGAAATTAAAATCAATGAACTATTTTAATGCTTTAGTTCAATTGAAATTAGTAATAAAGAAATCTAATTTTTAAAAGAGTAAGAATTGAATTGAGGAGCGAAATTTAAATGCATTAATATGGAGAATAAAAATAAAATCTTTGTTTACAAAGTGATGATGATTTAATAAGCTAATTTAAAGATTTTTCACATTATAATTGTCCAAAATTACTACATCTCCTTAAAATTTGATTCCTCTAAATTATGTTAAGGGAATATTAAAAAAAATGTATGAAATTTAGGTTAATTTTAGGAGTTTCTCAAGTATTATTTAAGTATGAAAGTCAATGAGTATTTTTATAAATTCAGTTCTATTTATTTTAAATTTAGTATTTTTGAAACTAATTGGGAGAAATAAAAATTGAAAAATTGTTGAAATTAATTACAAAAATAATACTTGATTCAAATGTATCTGTTCAAACTCTTTAAATCAGTAAATCTTCTATGTTGATCGCTCAATTCAGTAGAATCACTTTTATAATTATAAAAAGTTTACGTTTGATGTGTCATTGAATCCATTCTCTTATGACCCCCCAATGTTTATCTCAGGTACATAATAGATTCTTCATTTCTTCTAGTGATCATTTCAAGCTACTCCAACTTTTTTAAAGACAAATGACCTTGCTTTGATATAAATAAATTCATACTTCTCTTTGCTTTCTACTATCATGAATTACTTGTTGTAGTTATTATTAAATAGTTTTATTTATTTCATCCTGTTAATCTTGCCTCTATTTTAAAGACATTAATTCTCTTTCAATTTTTTTCATTTGAGTTTCCAATTTTCTAAAAGAATCATTTTATTGATCTGGTTTATTTGCGATATGACTTATAGAAATTTTCTTATTTTATTGGAAAAGATTATTAAAAATCGAGACTGATAAATTATTTTTTGGTTTCTCACTTTCATTAATGGATTTATCAGATTTTTGGAATGGTGCTTCTATTCCTGATGGTTTATTAATTGCCATTGAAGGAGTTCTTTTTCTATCTGGAGTTATAGTATGTTTAGAAACATTTTTTAAAGAATTTTGATGCACTAATAATTAGGGTTAAATATTAGGATTTTATTATTAGAGTATATTATTATTGAGTTGAGTTGATGGCTATTGATGTTGAGATTAAGATTGTTGTTGTTGAGAGTAATTATGATTTAAGGATGGTTGCAGTGTGGTTTAATGACTAAATGGAACTTGGACAGGTAAAATTGCAGTTTTCTTTTGTAGTTCTTTAGTAAAACTCATTTTATTGAATAAATCTAATTTATCGCTATTCATCAAATGAGTGACATCCCTTAATTGAGCTTACTAGAATTTAATAATGATTTTACAATCTAACTTATTAATGTCGAATTTTATCTATTATGTTCATTTTTTAAATTCTCCTTTTGATCATTATTATTTTTTTGTTCAACGCTATTGGTTTATCTTTTTTAAGTATTAACATTCAATTTCATTCCTGAAGTGAGCTTTTTACCTGATTCTTAGGTTTATTCAACACTTGACAACAAATCATTCTATTCAGGAATCAAAAAGAGATTGTTGGGTTAATAGGATCCAAAATTTGATTTTTTTTTGGAATTGCCAAATGTTAAACCACAATTCTCTTTGAGATGTTGCATCGCATAATCATCTTCTAATTTTTCAATTATAACTTCTTTTTCTGGAATTTAAGGTTGAATGTGCGAAGCCTATTAATAATAATGGCATTTTAGAATACATGATTAAATATCTCAATGAAGTGTTTCTTATCATCCTATTGACATAAAGCATTTCTTAAATCGACTTCTGAATTTGATTAGGTTCTTCTATGCTTGTGCTTACTCATTCAAATTTGAATATTTCTGTTTATTTTATATATTTTATTATAGTTAAACAGAATATATTTTATTTATCTTATAAAGATATCAATCTCTGAGTTCAAAGAAGATAGTGCAATCTTTTGAATTCCAAATTAATGCTCACAACTGTCTCAATAATGTTAATGATGCTACAAGAAAGATTGAATTATAATATTGATTTATAACAAAAGAGAATATCAAAATTTATTTAACTGAATTTGTTATTCAAATTGAAACATAATTGTACCAATGTCTTTTTCTTTTTTAATGAAGTTTCAAGAATTCAAATGGATAAAACACTTATAAATCGTCTTCCTAAAAGTTGTAATTCTAATTTACTTTGACGCTTTACCTGAATATTGGAGGATTCAAATGGCAATGTCTCTAAAGGTTTCAGAGGAAACTGAATTTATTCAAGTTCTGTGCATGTGTTGTTTTTTCTGCCTTCCTTGTGGTTAAACAACTTGATATTCATCTTTCTAAAAGCCTAATGCAATTCTTGTATAGTCTTTAAGGAGTATTTGCTTTTTTTGAGATGTATCTTTTAGTTGATTTACTGTTGCATAAGATCGAATTCCTTTGTAATCTATTAACTAGTATATAGGATTAGATTTGTGATTGGACTCAATGTCACATATATAATAATTGAACTCAAAATGATTGAAAATAATGCTGTTGAAATTCCAATTATGATATACTCTCTAAAGAAATCTTCAAAATCATTTTTGATTTGAGTAAGTTGATTCAGTAATTCCTTCTCCTTTTCAAGAAGATCCACTTAACTAAAACCATAAGATTTGAAATCTCTTACATCAGCAATATCAAATCGGTTGGGTACAAGATCTTTGCTACTATCAATTCTTCAGATTTAGTTACTGAATTATACCTACAAAGTTTTTCATTATTCAATAATTGATCAATCTTAGAACAATTATTAATAAATGGCTTTTAATACAATGAATTATTAATTTGCTCAAAATCCTCCATTGTATATCCTGATATATCAGTATCATAAATGTACTTGTCTTCACTTATATTAAATTAACTCAAAAGAAATTGTCCTTTTGAATCAATTATAGAAAATGTAACATTCTCTTACTTCAATGATAAAGTGTGAAATAGACTAAAGTTTAAGTCACTTCCAAATACACCATCCAATCCTCCATTTAAATTCGTCATATTCCTTGTTTAAGTCACCATAAACAGAAACCAAGTCCATAAAATATAAGGATCACTAAAGTAAGTCAAATTATAATTTTATTATTCTATCTACTTCAGATGGTTTGTATACCATATTCTTCTATGAGGCTTATAATTAGGAAAGGGATCACCAGGCCAAATAGAAAAGTACATTTAATCACCAACTGTTGAAAATAGCAAATCCAAATCCATATCCATTATAGGTAAAACTTGGGTTAAAAAGGAGGAATAATTCAGTGCCAAAAAATCTTTATTGGTAAGTGAATACGCTTAGTCTCCAAAAAAGCCGTAGCAAAATGTTTATTCATATTGATACTTGTCCAATTTATTATCATAATTGAGACAGTTCAATGGCTGTTGTATGTATTACAATTCTACACTTTAGATGAATTGATATAAGAAATCAGACTTTAATAGATGAGTTTAACTTCTGAATAATACTTCTTGAGAACTTCTTACTTATAAATTAGTAATCATATCTGTTTTTTTATAATATTAAAGAACATAGAATTCCAGGGAGATATTTGAGTACATGTCTATAATGTACTAATAAGCTAAGTAACTTATCAATGTTAATAAAGTTCCTATTAAAAATTGAATTATCACTTGAATTATCAAAACTTGGGTTCTTACTTTTAATTTTTTGAGACAAAATAAAGAACTAAAGTTGGTTAAACCTTTACCATTTTCTATTTTTTCCATTATTAGTATTTTATTTTGAATATTAAACAAAATAATATTAATTTTGATTCATACTTATTATTGATATCACATTTATTTATTATATAATATAATTGATTCAACAAGTTAAAAAATAATTAGTAAATGAGGTAAGTATCAATTAATAAATTTAATTACTACTGAGAAATAACATATTTTAGTTACAAATTGATTAAATTATAACAATTTTAGTGAGACATTTATTATTATGGATGCATGAAATCAATTCTAATTATAAAATGCATCATTAAATAAATATATTTATATCATAACAATATGTCAACCAGAATATTGAAATAATCAATACGTATCAGACAGAGTCCAAAAAAGACTATCACTTAAAATCCAATCGGAATTAACAAATATTCAGGCTGCTTCATTTTATTGATACCTATTAGTATACTTTCAGTAGTTCTTACTTGAAATTTGTTTAAAAATAGTGTAATAAAATTAGTAATTTGCAAATAGGTTTAGCATGTTATTTACTTCTAATGGGCTGACAATTAGTAAGTTGACTATAAACTATTGATTAATTAAAGTTGTTACTAAACATAAATAGTTGTAAATTGTGAATAAAAATAGTGAATACAGGAATGCTTCAACAACAAATATTAAATGAAAGTGTTGGTCAGGTATAAATCTCTTTAACAAAATAACTATCGAATATCCATAAAAACTATTAATTATTAGATGTTTTAATATTGCAATAATAAAAGCATGTTTTAAGTATAATATAGAATAAATAAATACGACTAACAACTACAGAATTACAATTAGTAATAGAAATGAAATATTGTTGGGCTATTTCAGTTATATTTCTAATGTATGTATTATTACATATTACCATAATTCCATTATAGGGCCTAGAATCTGTGAATATTTTAAATCAAATTACGCTTATCTTTGATTAATCAATAGTAATTTCATTTGATAAAGTGATTCCTTGAAATCATTTAAGTTTAGGTGGTAGATGGTCTGCAGATACACAGATAAATCATCATTTCCTCTAATCACTGGTGTCTCAGTCTTGAGATCCATTTGAGCCTCTGGGTCCATATAAATTTATGTATAATTAAAATAATTAATTTATGATATTTTTAAATTTAGTATGACGGTATAGATTAGAATGAATGTTATAAAACTTTGAATTATTTATCATCAACCCAATTTATTAGTTGTCTGTCTAATAAAAATTTAGTGGACTTCCTTGGTCATCGATAATGAATTTTTAAGATAATAGTCTCGTAATTCATCGTAGATTGAAATTTAATATGTTTAATGTTGATCCTATATATTAACCTCTTAAAACTGATTAACTAATAATACAATGGCAGAGAATTCTTGAGGATCGAAGAGCATATGTTTGTCTGCAAAGATCCTAAATAACTGTACTAAAATCATTTCAGGATAATCTTTCACAATTAATAAAAAGTGAAAGATTTAGTAAAGTTCATGATAAAATACTTCTTCAGGCTCAAATGCATCCATAATCTAATCAAACAACTATGAATAATATTATTCACATAAATTGGTTTTAATAATATGATTGACCAGTTCCAAGACTTCAGTTTTATGATTATGGTTAATGACCTTCTTAGTTATGATTTATTTTAATAGCCATTCTAAATTCCCTTAATATTTAAGATAGAACTTAATATGATCTAAATTCTCCAAATCTTAATACTTTTAACAATCCTATTCAATTTGATTTAGTGGATAATTTAATTCTAATTGTTTATTAAGTTATAGCTTAAGTAAGATTCTATTTCTTGAATTCTAGGACATCATAAATTCCTAGGCTAGATCCCTATAGACTTTCAAAAATAATTTCACATTTTCAGATTAAGATTGTAAGAGTTTTTTATATAATAAACTGATGTACTTGTGGGATTAATAGTTTAATTCTCCATTCTGTTAATTCAATACAATATTAATAATAAGGGGATGATATTATTGATAAGTAGTGTCATCCTATAAATAAAGCCATTTTAATAAATATCTAGTTTATACTTTAATTGGTGTTGAATTTTCAATATCTTCAAGAATCTGATCTCTGATATTATCATTAAAATATTTATGGTGATTTTTGCAAAATAATTTTATTTTTTATTATAAACTTAAATGTTCTAATAAATTGGCCTTGTATTATGGTTGATCAGGTTTTATTCCAAAACTTAAAATATTTTTGAATAATTTTGTGAATAACTATCCTATGGTATAATTTTAGGGAAGCGATGTATTTGATACGTCCATCAATATTAATTATTGCAATTCTACAGAGCCCTTTTTGAGAAGGGTATATTTAGTAGCTAGACTTAAGTTTGATAAATGCTTTATCGCAATTGACTCATTGATATTGAATCTCAATAGCCTATCTATTGTTTAAATATTATTAGTGTATAAAAGTTATTTTTTTATTTTATTCATTAAAATCAATCCTATGAAATTCTTGAGTAAACCAAATAAATCATTTTTGAAATCTTGTTCATTTTCTGCAGATAAGAGCAACTTGAATTTTGAAAATAAGTTAGTCTAAATAATTGAACATATTCGAAATATATAATTTTAGATTAAATATCCTATTAAATTGATTCTTAATAGAAAAAACAAAAATAAATGAATTTAAAGAATGAAGTTTATGATTGGATTTTTATAGATATATTTATAATATCAATAATTTTATCTTCTTTGTCCAACTTTGCTATAACCAGTGGTTGGTCTGATTCGTTCCCTTTCTACATTCTCAACGTATTTGTATGGATGTAAATGCAGTTTTTCAAATTTCGATTTTGTATGTTTTGAGTGATTTTCTGAAATATACTTATTCTAAACAAAGCTCAATTAATCAATTGAACCATAGAGACTAATTAAGTAACAGATTGTATCATAGATTAGGAGAGTCTTAAATTGAAATTCCTGGTTAAATTGAGTCCTGAAATAACAATAATATATTTACCAATCCTCAATGTCTTTTCTAAAAAGCAAAGTTCTTCCATTTGCATCTCTAAAATCCTTAGGACCAACACCATATATATATGCTTCAAAAGATTCACTATAATCTTCCACAATAATAATTTAAGGAAAATAAGTAATAAGAACATTTTTGAGCCATTCAACATTCTAATTCACATCCTCTCTTTGCAAGTAATACAAATTGATGACAAATTAACCTTGATTCCATTATTCAGGTAGTGTTATAGGTTCATATATATTAACTTGTTTGTCTTCTTCTTCATAATTTTATTTTTTCTCAATATTGCTTTCCAATCTCTAATCGCATAAAGCCTTGATTGCAAATAATTTCATATAAATTTTAGATCCTTTCTATTCACAACTTATTTGAACAGATTAAATTTCTTTACCTTCCATAGTGACTTTGTGTATGGTTGGTTCTGTTTTCCTTAGATGTTCATCCAAATAAAAGTATATAGGATATCCATCAATCTCTAGCCTACTTACATAATCATTTTTCACTTCAATGGTCAGACTATCTTTGATTTCCAAATCTACATATTCAGTAACTTTGTCAATTGTTATTTCCTCATCATCTTCATTCTTTTATTCAATTGTCTATTATTCTACTTATTCAGGTAGATCAATTTCAAGGGGCATTTCATCAAAACTTGGTTCCTCATCAGAGTCTATATCGATTATCGGGTATGATTCCAAGTCTTTGATTCCTTAATCAATAGTTAGAGTATTATCAATGATGATGGTACTTGCTTCAATATTCACTTCTTTCAAGGGCAATTCTCTTTCAACTATTGAAGGAATTATCTACATGTGAATTTATAATGGGAATCTTAACTACAATAAGAGTGCATAAGAATCTGATGTCTAATTTAATAAGTAAAATACATTATAAACAAATGAATGGTCTAGCAATATTGTGAGCAAATTGAATTTTATCATTCACTTTCTATTCATCCTGAATAATGATGGATGATTGACTCTTTAGATATTGAGTATGTTCTCTTTAATCTTCTTCTTTAATTAGAGGTTGCACTTTGAAACTAAGTGAAAGATCTTATTTATCTAAGGCTTCAAGAGGTTGTTCATAAATTTCATTGTCACTTTCATCAGTTAAATCTACAACCTCTGGTTACTTATATTTGTGTCTTTGATAATTGCAATTATCTGGACTAGGGACATTCACAAATTTCTCCTTGAATTATTATTCAGGTTTTATCTTGCATTGATCCACCAATCTAAATAATTGATATACATTATTACTCTGTGTAATTATCTCGAGTGACCTTTGCATTAGTAAACATCTTATTGTAATAGAATCTGTAGAGCAATGGGAATGTGAATTAAATCTAAGTTTCAATTAAGTACTGTGGATATGATTGTATGCTCTTCACATAAAGGGGATCATAAACATCTAGATCAGGCTCAGACCCTGATGAATCTGCTTATTCTAGATCAAGAGGACGGTATTCCCTCTTTTTAATATGAAAACCCCCTTATTAATCATCAAAGGCGCAATCCTTTGTGATGTATTCTGTCTATTCTGTGAATAAACTCTTGATGCAGATATTGTCCAAATTCATAATATTATAATCGGTTATCTAATCATTTTTATAAGTGTAAATAGAATTAAACTTGTTAGATAAACTATATACCTAATCAATAATTGGAAGTGATTACATTTAAATATTAAACTTTAGAGATGAAATCAGGGTCTTTGGTGTAAGATTCATAATAGATATTCTTGGGTTGGTACAGATTCAATTTGTTCAATGCTTTCTCTTGATTCATTGCTTGAGATTTATGCTTATATACAACTTGCATAGATATTGGTAGTTTTGACCTCTATTGCCCAAATATTTTGAGTTCCTTCTTTGTTTAATGATCGACGTATTGTGGATATTTAATTAGATCAATGTACCCAAATCTGATACACCCAAAAATATAGTTCTTTGCATTCCAGTCTCTCTCCAGTTTCTTTTTCAAATCAGTGAAGGAATCATAATAAGCCACCATATTCTAATCATTGATGTAACCCAATCGTTTCTATTTAAACTGAACTTTTCTCGCAGTATTACGAGACAATAATCTCTAAACAACTAGTATGCTATGTATATACACATACTTCTAGCTGATGGTGACAATCTTTCCTCATCATCACTTGCCGTAGTTGTACTCAATTCTTATTAAGATTACATATTTTTATGTACTTGATATGCTTACTTTAAGATTGATAACATTTATTAGTAGTTCACAACCATTCCAAATGAGTTATCTTAATAAAGACAATCACTATATTGAGATAACTACATCAAATGCTACAGTGGCACAGGAATGTTGAGTTTAGAAACTGCAAAAAACATTCTATCTATTTCAATAAAATAAGAGTGTTATTGTTATTACTATTTCAACTTACGATGAATTGTGAAGAATCCTTCAGTCTCGAAATTAAGTGGAGTAAGCATAAGTAATAACTACGATAACTTTTAGGAATTCACATGTAAATGTTTACATGAATTCATAAATTCAGCATCATTTTACATTATTCTGATCAATGAATTTATTATCCTATTTAGCTGTTACTTAGTCTAGATTCGATTATTAATCGTATTAGATAAAGGTTAGAGGATCGTCCTTTGTTTCTATCTGCTTTTTGAATAGCTGGTTTGAATTGTTCTCTATAAGTTAGAAAAATCAAAATTTTTTGTTCTCTTTTAGAACTTCTCTGCGTCCACACTTTGGTAAATACTCTATTGCTATTCTAATTTTGATGATTTATTGACAATCTTTGGTAAAATAGTACTTCTCATCGTTGATTTTGTACCATCTGGTGTAAGTTACCTGTTCATTTTCGCAAGTGTAATATTTATAATTATTAACTTAAAAATTGGAAGAAGAGAATAAGAAACATAACTCATAAATGTTAAATTGATATTAAGTAATAGAAGCAATATCAATAATCTTCATTTCTGTTAAATAATGAGATTCTTTGCATTTAATCAACATCGAATTGATTAACCTTGATTTCTTTAGTCTCATTCAATTGTTTTTGAGATGCTTATGATAGACATATTCACATACTTCCTTTGAGTTTCTTGAAACTACTTAATGGATCTTTTGCATAGAAACTACCAATTGTCGAATCCTCCAATCTTACACAAGTGGGCTTTTTCACAGATGGTAATTATCTAATTTAAATTGAAGAACATTTATTTTCTTAAATGTCAACATCAAAATCGAATTAATTTTTACATTTCTAACCTATTCTCTAAAATGGAGATTCAGCTTCAGATAATAATCCATCTAATGTAGGTTGGAAAATATTCCTACTACTGATATTAGGTACATTAAATGCTTTGAGTTCTAATTAAATATAGTAATATACTTTTTGATTGCAGAGGAGATGAGGGTTTGTTAAAAAAGTCAGATTCCAAAGCCTAATGAGTTGTTATTCTTTCAGAAGGGTTCTTTGCCAGCATCCTCTTGAGTAGCTCTTAGGCTTCAAAAGGAATAGAAGTCATTTCAGGTCCATCAAGAGTGTAATTACACTTCTTGTTTTGTCCCAATACTTCATTGAAAGTATTACCCATAAACAAACTATGGCCAAATAGTAACTTATAAAAGATACAACCGCAACTAAAGATATCACAGACTTTATCATATTTCGAATCTCTATCAACCAAATTCAAAATCTCAGGTGCCACATATCCAGGAGTACCACATTTTGGAAATTAATATTTAGTAACATCAGTGAAGGTCGATAATCCGAAATCTACGATGGTGAGAGTTTCATAGGAATCTAATTCTCGAAACATGATGTTATCCGGCTTCAAATCTCTGTGAATTATATTATTATCGTGAAGTATCTTAACACCTTATAGCAATTGTTTCATAATAACTTTGACTAATTTCATAGGAAACATCTCCTTTCTTTGCTAATAGTTTGTTATTCTTTTACCTTTAAGATATCCAATTCATCTGCAAGAGTTCTGCCCTGCATCAAATCCAAAATGAGATAGAATGTGTGATCCCCTTCATATGTTTCGTGCAATTTGATAAAGGGAGCACAATAATTTTACTTACTAAGATGGCTCAAGATGTTGACCTCATTTAAAAAGGCTTACATGCCAGACTCACTCTTCTAAAGGTAACTTTTATCTATCGCTTTTGCTGCCAATTTCGATTATTCATTTCCTAACTCTTTTATTTGGATAACCTTTGCTGAACTCCCCTTCCCTAAATTGTACTATGCTTCGTAGAAATCAGCAATCTTGTAGAATGTAACCTTATTTCTGAGATGTTCCTTCAGTCTACTTAATTTTATTTTTATTACTTCTACAAGTCGTTGCTGTTTCCCACAAAGTCTTTGTATTTCTCCATATACTTCATCGTGAAAGCTTTAAACTGAATTTTCTTATCTTTTCGCTCCACAACCCATCCGACTTAATTTGTCAACTATAATGGTAAAACATATTTTGGAGCGGGATCCTTTGCTTTCTTACATAAATTGCATATCTTACCCTACTCATAAGCAGGTAATCACTTAGAACATAGCAATAATATTTCACATCGCTAATGAAATGTTTGCGAACCATGATGCATTCGAATAAAACATTAGAGTAATCATAATATGATTTCATAAAAATTAAATTAATTAATCATATACACAGATGTCTTGTATTTCATTAATAATAGCATTTCCAGCTTTAACTTAAAAAGTAGCTTTACTTTTTTCTGCAATTTATTTTTATGAGTACATTATAAATATCTTTTATAATATTCGTCATTCAATGTTAATAATTTTATATGATTAATTGAAGTATATTTTTAGGTATTTCGAATCCTTTTGACATACCATCATAAACATTCAGTTTACATAAATATGTCTTTTTTTAACACCGCAAATTAATATAAAAAACTCAGTAATGTATATAAAAAATGGTATTCTCGAGCAAATATCTATGTAGAGTGAATTCATACAAATTATAATATTGAAATATAAAATTCAAATCATTATTTTGAAATCACATAAGTAAATGCTAAAACTACTAAATTACCTACTGATGCTTGTAAAAATTAAAAATATAAAAGAATATTTAATTAAGAATATTTAATTGGAAGAATTATAATAAAAATGAGTAGTTAATTAAATTATTAAAATTAGATATTTTCCATTTTAGAAGCTAATGATATTCAAATTCAAAATAACCCTCGTTTGGCTACAATACATCCTTTTCTATTTATAAGCATTGTCTAATTCTATTAATAATATAAAATAAAAAAAGTCTTCTCCTATTGGAATTCTAACTCTAAATGACTATTGAATTACATAATCAAATTAAAAAAACTTTAACTATATTACAATAAATTTCTCAGTTGAGATAAATGATATTATTCTTCTGAAAATCCATAATTCCTTATAATTGAATAATGCTTACTATCAAATTTTCACCATTCCATAATGTAGAATTGATTGCAAATTTTCAACATATTTAATACATAGTAGATTTTATGTTTAAAATCTCAAAAAATCGGAAGATATTTTGTAAATTAATTTAATGTATAAGCCATTGATTGCACTTATCACAACTGTTCTCTTTGCAACAACAAGCTACTTAGGCTAAGAAGATCCCTTAAGAAGACTATATTAAGAATGGAAACAAAAATATTAAACTAGATACACCAGCTAATTTGAAGATGAATACAGATTTGAAATCTTCAAATAAAACTACAACTACTATCAAGAAGTAAATAGTAGGCAGTCCAGCTACACACTAGGAATAAATCAGTTCGCTACTCTTACAGATGAAGAATTTGAATAGATTTACCTTGGTAGAGCCGATTCTTCTCCTATTGAGATTGATGAATCTATTGATTCAATTAATCTTCCTGAATCTGTTGATTGGTCATCTAAAATGAATCCAGTCAAGAATTAAGGTACATGTGGATCAGGCTGGTCATTCTCAGCCGTTGGTGCTTTTGAAGCCTTTTTCATCTTTGTTAAGGGAACACACTTCTAATATTCTGAATAAAATTTAGTTGATTGTGATACTAATTCACATGGATGTGATGGGGGCTATCCAGCAAAAGCTATCGATTATTTAAATAAAAATGGTGCTTTTTTGGAATCTGAATACCCATATGTTGCAAGTAAGGAAAAATGTAGAAAGACCTAAGGATCAACCAAAGCAAACTCAAGAAAAACATGGACTACAGCAACCTAAGCTTATGAGGCAATCGCTTAATATCCAATATCTGTTAGTGTCCAATCCTCTAATTGGAAAGGGTATACCGGAGGTATCTTTTCAAACTGCATTAACACCTCAACTAATCATGCAGCTGTAGCTGTTGGATATGATTCCAAGAAAAACTGGTTAATCAGAAATTCTTGGGGATCAGATTGGGGAGTCAATGGGCACATTTGGCTTGCTATCGGAAACACTTGCGGTGTTCTCAGTAGATTAGACCAAGTTATTTGAAATAAGATATTCAAAAATATATCATGATAAAATCGAATCCAATTAAATTTCAAGTATATTTTGATAGTGAGTTCAATTACTTCATTATCTTCATATCCCACTATCGTTATTTTGCAGTATTTAACATATTCAAAGTCTCTATATTGTATTTATTCTCCATCTCTAAATATTCTTACAATGTCTTATTGAAAATCTCTGAAATTTCTTGCTTGTAGTCTTTACTAAAGGAGAATTCTTGCACTCTCTTCTTGAACTCCAAGGCACAAATCATCCCTATATAAAAGTGACCTATTAGTATTTACAAACATGATCAACCTTATTAATGATGCAATAATTCATCGATTTTTTTATCTTTGGTCCAAGAAGAAGGATCAATTTTACACCAAACATCCACCATTACTTATATTTTATCTGCTTCATGATGCACTTAATAATTATATCCAATTTTCCATCTTGTATGAGCTAAGGCTGGATCGTCTTCTGGAGGTACTCCTTAAAAATCATCCCAAGTTAATTTTCGTATATCCAAATTATTCTCGCTTTTAGAATTGCTGGGCAAACTCTAATTGATTGAAGCTGAACTGTCACTTTAAGAATGTATGGATCGGCTTAATGGATTAGAGTCTTCGCTTGAATTTATAGATTAAATATTTATCATAGTTTAATAATTATTGTTTAAACTTTCTATTGGAAGTCAAGGCAATCATAGAAATCATTTAAATTTAAAAGTCTTAATTTAAATTGTTTAATCCAAGATGTTTAACATTTACAATAGTGTTTAGATCTTTAGACATATTAATTTGTTTACAAAACTGTATTTAAACTTTAATATTGTTTTCACAGATATTTCCCCTTAGTGTTATCTGTGAAACCTAAACCTTTAAGAGTTTTCAGCTTGGATTGGTTCTAATAAATTGTCCATAAGGTTTTATCTTTCTATAAGGAAAGAAAAGATTCTTAAAAAGTTTAGATTAATTAAAAAATGGATAATAATTATTAATACCATAATTACTAATTTTTTTGTTATTCCAATTTTTCAAGGTCCTATCATCATTATATTATATATTTTCAATATAACTTAAATATTGCAATAAAAGTACTCTAAATATTCAACACGTACTTTTATATCATTTGTAGTTTTAATTTTATGATTTGAGTGTTACCAGTTTATATTAATATCTTTTAATAAAATAAAAATCCCCAAAATTTTATATTTTTGGCCTAGTTTTAAAACATTTACGAAATTATTTAAATGAATTAAATCTTTCTCTCTATCCAATTTTAAGATATCTTAATTAATTAATTTGAACGGAATCCATAAGTCTATACAAAATAATTAGAAGTGGGTAATTAAGATTCGTCGTTTTTAATAAATCAGATTTTTTAGATTGGAAAATTAATTTAAGCTATGGTTAAAGTGAACTTTGATAATCAGTTGAGAACAAAATATAAAGAAAGATATGTATAATATACTATTTTTAAGAATTTCAGATATAAATCTCACTATTGTTGTTATTCATAATTCAATGCAATCTATCGCAATTACTCAAAAGCATTATTTAAGTTTTACTATTTATTATATTATATTTCATACAATTGTTAGAGGGAATAGGTTTGTCGATGAAGTACAATTATTTGGATAGATCAAAAATTAAGCCAATAAAGGAACTTAGCACATTGGTTTTGATTGTTTCTACTAATATTAAACTGTTTGATTTCCCTATTGTTAAGGTCCTTGTCCACTGTTCCCAGAAAACTTCATATAATCTTATTGTTAATTATATTCTTATAAAGGTAGATTATTATTTTATCCACTTTCTGATTGTTGAATTTATTATAATTGTACTTGAGGATGATTTATTTGAGATTGCTGTGTTACAAAATTTTAAACAACTGGTTATTATTATTCCTATTGAGTAGTTTAAGTGGGAATTTGTCGCTATTATTAAGGAGTTTCTTATTTTTTTTGAGATGTTGTATGTTATTATTAGATTTTTTAAGTTTGATCAATCAAATTTTGAGTTTGCTCTTTATTAGTTGAATGTGATGTGTGTTATTATACATTTTATTATTAGGGTTATTAAGTTTAATTTTAAGTATTCTATTTTAAAGATTATTATTATTATTGCTATTACGATTATTATTAATGCTACTATTATTATTTTTATTGGGTACTTTAACTTTATTATTAAACTTCCTTTTTAATTTAAGAACCTTAAAATTATTAAGTTTTTGTATCATTTTAAAGTGTTGGCTAAGCTTAACTTTATTATTATTATTAAGGAGCTTATTATTTCGACTATTACTCTTTTAAAACATATATTGGCTATTACAAAAAGTCATCGTTTCTATTTCTATATTATTTTCTTTAATTACAGCTCTTGTTATTAATATAATTATTAGTGTTGTTATAATAATTTTGATATTAATTTGTTCTTACTTAATTCCCTTGATCATTACGTGTATTTTTTTAATGCTAATTTTAACCTCTATCATTTCTATAATTTTTTATTTGACCTTAGTGATTATCATCCTCTTCTCTATTTTTAGTATTTTCTCTGTTCTTTCTATTATACTAATCCTATGAAGGACTTAAAATTGTGAAATTTTATACTTGAATTATTTTTGATTATATCCAAGTCTTTCATCATTTCTTGAGTTTCTTTATTCTTGCTATTTCTAGTATTGATCACTTTTTTTTCTACTATTTTTTTAATTCTCCTCTCTATTTGAGGATTTCCTATTATGCTTGTTTTGTGATCTTGATTTTTCATTATCATTTGTAATCCAATCACCTTCACAATCATCATCATTCTCCTCTTTTAATAATGTTTTGATATCCCTTTCAACTAATTCAAATTTGTTGTAATGTCTTTTTGCTATATTGAAAACTTCGCTTTGCTAAATTTGAATTACACTCCATTACTTTAAAACCATACTATTAAGAAAGTCTTTAAATTTGATCTCTATGTTCCTTTTCTAAAGTGTCTTTTTTCTATCTCCACTCTACTTCAGCAGGTCTTTAATCTTTTGTATCACTTTCGTTGTCGCTCATTAAAAATATTTCTAAAATTTAGTATGAAGATCTTGAATATTAAGTTCTTTATTGGTTGCTAAGTACTTATAAAGTGGGAAGGAGATGACTTGGGTATTAAATGCTTATTATCTATTGTTTTTGGTTATGGCAACTCATTTTGTTTATGTCATTAGTTTTATCAAAATGGGGGGATATAATAAGTTTACTTAAACCATATATGTAAATTATAGAATGTTATTTAGTTTGTCTTATAATACCTATATGAATTTAATAATTCGTTTATTTCATGCACATTATCTGCATTTTCTTGAGAATTGCTGATTTAACCATTGATGGAACATATGCTACTTTATTGGAAATCTATTAAACTACATTCAATACTAGTTTTGATTTAAAATACGGAAGGCTCGTGTGATTATCTTATTTAACATTAATTAACAAAATTACACTTATATTTTTCACAGCAATATTTATATAATCAATTTACTTGTATAATATAGTTTTATATAAATAATAGAAGATATTTTGTGTGTTTTTAATTTAAATAAAAATTAATGATCATAAATCATTTTTAAAATAAATGCTTTAATAACATGGGAGTCCGGAAGAAATTGTCCTTTGTTTTCTGTTTGATAATTAAGTTAGAGTAACCAAAACTATGGAAGTGGTTTTGGATCATTTAAGTAAGAAAGGAAATGGTGAGTGGGGAATATATGATTATATTTAAGGCTATCGAGTTCATGAAAATAATATTCAAAACAGTAATAAATTATGGGTTTTCTAACTAAAAGACATGCGTCTTATATTAGAATTTTATTAAAAACATAAAGAATTAATAAAAACCTCTGAAGAATTGAGAGAAATGAATTAAGAAATGCAAATCAAATTAAAGGATTTTAACGATTCTACTCGAAGTTAAGCGATTTAACAAAATACATATTTTTTATAAAATGAGGAGTTAAAAATTAAAATAAATAAACTTGAAAATTAAGTAAAACAATTAACAGATGAAAAGGAAGAATATAAATCGATATACTATGAAGTTATGGCTCAAAGTGAAGAATTTAGAAAAAAATTAGAAAATGTATAAGTTTAAAATACCACATTAAAAAGTGAAAATGAATAATTTAAAGTTAAATGCATATCGCTGGAATAATAAAGTTTTATGCTTGAAAATGAATTAAAATAAAAAAAATTATAAAATTTAACAGATAAAACGAGCAATATTTAAGGCTATGATAAAGGTATTTAATCAATTCCTGTTATTTAAACGAAATCAAATAATAAATCAAAACAAATAGAGCAATAAAATAAAAAATTACATTAACCGTCATCCTAAACGAGTGATTCATCTCAAGAAGCAGGTGAACTAAAACCAGAAATAAAAAATGAAGCACCATAACATACTTTTAAAGGATTTCTAAGTCAATCCGAAAAAGGTACTATTGTGCATTCAGAACAGTTTAAATCAGATTTGCTTAAACCAGAATAGGAATTCTGATTTATAAATATATAATTCTGTTGCTATAAATATTTATTCATAATATGATTTGCTAAATTTTATAAAAATATGTTCTAACTCTCATTGATTGATCAATAAATTATATAATATTATGTATAGAGTATCTAGATATTTATAGTTAACTAAATTTATTTATTAAAAAATGTGCTTCTTAAAGTATTTAGTACTGTTTAATCTTTTCTTAAGAAAGAGAAAGAAATATTATTATTTTAAATATTTTATAATTAAGTATATTTAAATAGAAGGAATCTAAAAAATACGAAAATGGAAGGTTAAGTAAGATTAAGATACATATGTAAATAGTCCAAAGAAAATGATCATAATTAAGATTAGCTATGAATACTATGCTCTCTTCACCTCTTAAGACTTAAATCTTGGTATGTTCTCATAGTATATACTTAATTGTGAAGACTATTAAGATTCTTATATTTTTGTGTAGTTTCTTCGTTTTTCTCTTTGATATTTTTATTAAATTGATGTTGATATTTGAGAAGTCTTTCAAAAGTCTCCCGATGAGAATTTCTTCTGATATAGTCGATTTTGAGTAATTGTTATCTTACCTTAAGTAGGGAGGAATATGAGTTTTATGCTTTAGAGCGATCGAGGTTTTATCAACTCCATAATAGTTGTTAGACTTATTTAATTATTTGTTGCTATTTTTCTCCTCACTCATTTATATATTTAATTAGATCTACTAACATTATTAGATTATTTATTTTTCTTTTTCTTGACTTTATCTCAAATCTTTGTATTATACTCCAAATGGTTATTTCCGTGAGGATTTTAAGACTGATAAAAAATCGGTTTCTGAAATTCTCCCATCATTATCTCTGTCAAGAAATCTAAAGAAAGCTGAGATGTAGTAGTTAGATAAATTTGTGCATTTTTTTAATGTTCTGTGTGTATGTAGCCTTTGCCAAACTAATCAATCTAATTAAATAATTCAGTGGGATTGTAACTGCTGTCTTCTTTGAGTATTTAAATTTTACTATATTCTATGGAAAACACAAAGAATTTGCTTAAAATTAATAGCCTCCTATTGCAAGAGTTTGATAAGGACTTCTCTGACATGTGGTTGTTATTCAGCTTCAAAAAATTAAGAAACTGCTTAGTAAAATTAAGGATACTCAACATATTTAAATTTGCTTCAGAATTTGAATTGAATTAAATGATTTGATGTTTGATTTCCTCGTCATTCAGAGATATGAATCGCTTGATCTCGGATTGATCGATATCATGCCCATTGGAGGATAACATTTGGAATGCCAAATGAGGATCAACGAACAGTTGTTTAATCTATTCTGAGTTGATTTAGCATTCTGCTATTATAGTTATTAAATTGTTTAACATATTAAATTTATTAATAAAATGGATTAGAATAATAGTTTATAACCTGGTTTGATTATTGATCAAAGATTCAAATTGTTGAAGAAAATCGGTTGTGGAAGTTTCGGAATAGTTTATTTAACATTTGATTTGGATGAGAAAGAATATTGTGCCACTAAATTTGAAAATCGCAATTTGCAATTGAGAATGATGAATAGGGAAATTTTAATATTGAAACAAATGAAAGGAATAAATGGTATTCTGATCTTGCTTCTATTATATTTATTTTAGGTTTTCCAGAATTAATTCATAATGGAAAAGATCGATAATACTCATATTATATGAGTACATTATTGGGAGAGAATCTTGAGGTATTGTTAAAGAAATGCGGAGGTAAGTTTTCCCTGTAAACCACATTGTAATTGGCAATCCAACTCATAGATCGCTTGGAAGGTTGTTTATTATATAAACATTAAGTATTTCATAGCATGAATTTCATACATCGAGACATCAAGCCTGAAAACTTTCTGATTTCTAGAGAAGATACCTCCTTAGTGTATTTAATTGACTTTGGTTTATCGAAATATTATAGAGCGGCAGATGGAAGACACATCGAATTTTCTTAGAAAACAGGAGTTATAGGAACAGCCCGTTATGCGAGCATTAATACGTTGCAATGTAAGAATAATTTGATTGTTCAGGGATGGAACAATCAAGGAGAGATGATTTGGAAAGTTTAGGTTACATGTTAATTTACTTTGTTAAAGGAGAGTTACCATGGTCTAATGTCAAGGCTATCGACAAAGAAGATAAGTACGATCAAATACTTTAAGTTAAAATGGGAATTCCACTCATTTCACTTTGTTTCAATTTACCAAAAGTATTCATTTGTTTAATAATAATTTCTAGTGTTTTATTCATTACTTCTAGCATGTGAAATCATTATTGTTTCAGCAATAGCCCAATTATTCTCATTTGAGAAATCTATTTGAAAAATAACTCTAAGATTATGAACATCAATTTTATGATTGGGAAATAAAATAGATGGAAATGCAAACACAAGATCTCCTAATTGATCCTGATTCCATTCCAAACATTAGATTATAAACTGAAATCGACTTAGTTCCTCCGGTCGATGAGGAAGGAGAAGTTTTCCATTTAAAATAAGAGAATCAACACAATGTTAAGTTCATGAAATAATTACATGAAAAATACTTTGATCATAATACATGCAAATAATAGGATGAACTCTAATTGTATAAAAACACATCTATTGAACCTAAGAGTTAAGCTACAAGCAAATAAAATAATTATTAAATTAGCAATCACACTTTAATTCAAGTTGAATCCTAACCTCAAATTCATAACAATCCTAACTAGTTCACTAAAAGAAAAGATTCGAAATCTTACACCTCCTTTAAACAAAGTTAAGAACACAAAGAAAATAGAAAATTTCGACAATCTAATGATGATTACGATTTGGATATGGCTAATGATGATGGGCCTAACCTAGACTTAAAAAATCTCGAAGTCAATTACTTTTTAAAATGAATACTGGTATTATCTTAATATTATCTTAAGATTAATCTTCCTAATCGTCATTGATTTGATAATAATATTTAACTTATAATTAATATTTTCACATTAATTATTATTTCATTTATAATCTATGCTCGTAATTAGACTAATTGAAGAACATGAAAAGTATAATTTTTAATTGTGATTGTTTGATTATTAATATACTAATATAAAATACACAACATATATGACCATGTTTATAAATACTCAGTATCAAGAAAAAAATTATTAAAAGTTCTACAAAAAATTAACATCATAAATCGGGAGTTATTTTGGAGAATCTGATTTTAATCTAACTAATATAATTACTTAAACATTATTACTTAAATGAGGCAATGAAGAGTTTTATCCTTATAAAATATCATTCTGGAGTAGGAATTGATTCTTATTCTGATCCACTATAAATTTGTTGAGTCTCTGTTTCATCTGTCTTGAAGCAGTGTTGGAGAATAGCTTTCCTTAATTCTAGATAGGTTTAGGCAAATTAGGTAAACAAGTTACGACTTTCTTAGGTTAGGTTTCTTCATTTAATTTCTTAATAATCCAGTTTTTCCCTTTACAAGTAGTATCTGAATTACTCTTTCTACTTTATTATGTATGAGGCACATTAGATTTGGATGGATTGACTATCTATATTATTTCAACAAGTCTATACTCTTTTCATTTTGAGTTTTCATTTTTTCATTTCGATCTGAAACTTAAATGACTGGTGATAATCTTTGCTCTTTTTCTTGTTTTGGTTTTACATCTTCCAATACAAATTCTATTAAACTTATGGGCTCACACAATTCTGCCACATAGAGTTGACTCTAAAAGAATAAACTGTCTTAATTTTACATTATATATTTATTATATTTATATATCGACTCATTTCATAGGTATTTTAACATTCTTTTCAGCCATAACATGTTTACAAAGGAATGCTATTGTTCTTCTATCATTCCTTCTTTTTAATTCTCTTGCATATAGATCTTTGTATCTAGATGGTCTAGGAATTTCATATAATCTTGTGTCGTAAAATAACCATTATTTATCATGTTTTCTATCTAATCCAATAAATCTCATTATTACTGTGTTCAGAAATGATTCTATCAAAATTCATCATCCTTTCCTCTACACTTTTTCCATGAATGATATATCCTGTTTGAACTAGCTCTACTAATTTCAAATTGGCCCTTGCAATTCCTTTAATTACACTCATAATTAATTATAAATAATACTCTGAATATTGCTAATATTACCAAAGATTTTCATACAACAAAATATTTGATATCGAATTCAAAAGTGTAATATAGAATTAAATTACAATCTATGATAGATTCTAAATTTATAGCTATTTTTATGTATATAAATTTAATGTTAAAAATGAATTTAAAGGAGACCGGAGAAAAAAGGAGCAACTTGAATCTACAACAGTAGAAATTGAAATTTTCAGACTCTAGATGTTGTCAAACTTGGTGTTCAAAGTCGTTTGAGTTGCCATCAAATTCCTTACTCTCATATCATCAATAAAATAGACAATTAACAAAACTTAATTAGAATCGAAATATACCAAATACTTCTTAGTTTCGATCGTCTCCAAGAAGATCATCTAAATCTGAGAATTTTCATATAGTTTAAACCAATTTCATCTTTCGTTTTGAACTACTATTTGTTATCATTTAATAAAATACTTTTTTATTTTTATACCTTTATAATCTTTTACACATTTATATATATTATGAGCTTGGCTCGATAGATTAAGTATTGAGTGTTTTATATCCATTTTAGTTCCCAAATTCATAACTCAACCAAGACCAACATTTGTTTGACAGTAATAAATATCACTGAAGAAAGGTCTGTATGATTGCTACTAGAAAGCAGTAGAGTCTTTTTGATGATTGTAAATTTGAATGAAATTTAAAAATATTCAGAAATTATAAATTAAAAGTGCTAATATGTTACTGTGATTTAGTTGAGTATAGAATGGATAACAGTTTGCAGTTCTTATAAGGGGTGGAAGGAGGGAGAAATAAATAGATTATTAGAGATAATTAGTTCAAAACATGCTATTTACGATGGATGGAAGCATGATCTAGCGATGTCAAAAAATATAACTAGTAACAAATTCTGGCCAAAATGTATCTGAAATTCTTTTGAACTCTGCTACTGATGCCATTTCAACCATAAATCATAATGTCTTTGAGACTCCAGTCAAAAGTTATGTATTTAGAAGAGTTAGTCAATTTGAATTTATTGGCTCAAAATAAAAAAAGCCTTTGCAATCTGGTTCCTTCGATTTAAGTCTTTCAACATTCAAAAGAGGCAGCAGTCCTAAGAAAAGGAAGGTGAACAAATTAAAATTGCAGTATAGTATAAATAAAATCTAATTAGAATTTACATAAAGATCTAACCACAAAAAACGCTATCGCCATCTTAAAAGTAGGAGTGGAAAATTACCAACCATTCTCAAAATCACTCATAAAACATCCAAAACTAATTGTGACCAATAGTATGAAGGTCCCTACACAAAATTAGAGCCATGTCTAGAGAGAAGAATTAATCTTTTACTGCAAAGAAGGAGAAACTCCAATTTAATCTTAAGACCAAAAACTTGAATACCAGAATAAATAAAATTATTATGCATCAAAAGATAAATTATTAAAATATCATAAGATCATGGATAAGAAATTAGTAATATACTCTATATATTAGGATTAATTTGATTCTTCTTGTGAATCTTCTTCTTCTAAAATATTTAAAGTTTAATTTAATGCAACATAATTTAGTAAACTAAACAAAATCAATTCTGGAAACAACTAATGCCTTACTCATGAATAAAATTACAGTTTTTTTAAAAGAAAAGCATCTCAATCTGTAGTTACATAATAAGTTATGGAAAAAATAAAAATACAAAAAATATTTTTGAATAAAAATAACCTTAAATAGTTTAAAAAAGTTTAAATGAACTTAATTTAAATTTCCTTGCTTAAAAAAGAAGTGTTGATAATGCCAGACCTAATTAATAGTTGCTTCAAACCAAAGTTTTAGATTAATTGCCTACATAAATTTAACAGAATAATAAATAAACTCAATTTGTTTTTTATTAGCTAAAAATAATGAAGTATGATTCATTAATATGCCATTAAACAAGAATTAAATCATTGCCTAGTGACAAAACAGTCTCTAGAAATAAAATAAATTTATAATAAAAATTATGGCCTTATTTTTAATAATTAAAATGAAATTAAATTTTGTTTATATTTTGATTAAAATGAATTGATTTTATTACATAAGTATTGATATTTAAATTAAAAAATTAAAGAATCAATCCAAATAGATTGAAAAATTGCATACTAAAAAATCTAAATAAATTTAATTCTTTGATTAATAAATTATTTTCAATAAAAATAACTTTAAAAGGAAAAAAAAATATATTAAAATTTTTTAATAAGAGAGATAGAAAGGTAGATAGAAAACGATTTTAACAATAACTAATATCAAAACCCTCTAATTATCTTAAGGGTTTTATAATGGTGAGTTAAGCAGATTAATTTAAAAATATGGATTTGTAATAAAATTATCAATAACTTCTTTATGAGTTTTAAGGATTATTAAATTACATTTTAATTGGAATACTAAATATATATTGAATACATCTTATTAAGGTAAATAACTGTCACCTCTAAAATTACATAACATTAACTCTTATATTTTAGAGTATGTTAAGAAGAATTTAATAAGAAGGCTAACAATAAAACCTGTCATTTTCTTAAATTTTTATTTAATTATTGTATTCCTAAATAATTAGATAAAATGAATAGTTATAAAAATATTGTTAATTACTAAAATGCTTGATGACACATATGCCGAAATTTGCTTTAATCATAAAAGATAAAAAAAAGGCACGCCTTCTAAATAAACAACGACATTTAAATCAAAACAAGATGTTTAATTATTCGTGGATCAAATACAAGCCTAAGTAAAATTGCCACCATTGGAGCATGAATTCTATTTAAATTAATTTCGCTCTCCAAGTCTTTCAAAGCAGCATCAATATTAATGCTCTAAAAGTGTCTTAGTGAAAAAATAAACTAAAAATAGCAGGCTAAATAGTTTGATATCTGATATTAGTACACTTGAAGAAGGAGTTCTAAAAACATTTTAATAAATTCAAGATTCGTTTTCTAAAGAAAAAAATAGATTATAAGAATAAGAATCAAAGTTTGCTTTGTTGCTAGAAAATTTAGAATAAAAAAATCATATAACAAATACAAATTGGAAAACTTTAATTAAACATCACTTTAAGAACCTTAATGAGTATATAGATTTTGCAACTAAGGATATTAAGGAGGAAAAGAGTTTCGTTTATTCTCATTAAATATCTGCTAGAAATCATTATATGTTTGTTGATAACGAAATAAGGAGAAATTTTATAAGAAAAAGATAAACAAGAATATGATTAAATATTTCAATTGATTTCATAGTCATAAAAAAAATAGTTTTAATGATTGAATCAATAATTTTCGATTTAAGTTTGCATTTAATTAATAATAATTCATTATTTCGCAAAATGCTCTTCTCTATGCTCTATGTTATTTAAACAATTTATAATAATAAAGAAAATAATATTAGAATTATAATTTATTAACTTTGAGTTTATAAATTAATAAAGTAAATTTTTAATGAGATCTCAAAGTGATAATTCTAAAAAGACTAATTCTGAAATAATATCAAAGGCCAATTTCCTTTATACTAGAGCTCTAATGTGGCCTCAATTGATGGACATTGATTTAAAGATTAATCATCCTATCTAAAGTGTTTAATTGAATTAATAAAATTAAAGAGTAATAAAGTATAATAAAATATTATCAGATTTGATGTTATAAGGACTAGAGGAAACTTGCTTGATTAAAATCTGAAAACTCAACTTGAATAGCTACTTACATATTATGTGGTTTCAAATCATATAACTTACAAATAAGGATTGCATGAAATAGCAGCCCCATTTATAATATTTATCAAAGCAGGTTTAGATGTATCGGTTGTCTATTCTATGTTCAATGAATTTATTAGAAGATATATGACTAATTTTTTTGATGATGATTATTCAGGAATCTAATCAATTTTATCAGTTTACAATTTATTATTGAAATATCATGATATGGAACTGTACAATAGACTAACTTTACATGACATATCCCCTTAATTATATGCCATACCATGGTTTATTACTTTAGGCATTAATAAGGCTTCCTTTCCAATAGCTTAAATGATAATAGAAAACACAATTCTGATAAATGATAGATATTTCATTTTTAGTTTTAACATCGCAATAGTAATATATAAAAAACAAGAAATTTTAAACAATAAAGGAGACAATTTACCATATTTTATGTGTAAGATATTTTTGGATGACGAAAAAATCTATTATGATATTATTAGAATTGCAATAAAAATTCATACATATACGCCAAAACAATTTTGGATTTACTTGGACTCCTTAAATCTATTTAATCACCATGCCAAACCAATATTTTTGGAATAGGAAAAACAGCCCTTATTAGAGTTGATTTAAATATCCCCTTATGAAGTTTAGGACATGATTAACTAACATATTCTAATAACAGAGAAATGGGAAATCTAAGATGTAAATCACCCTTAAGTATAAAAAATTAAATAAATATTCAGTAAATAAATTTATAATCCTTAATAACCTGTTTTGATATTTGATTATTTAGCTGATGAATTAAGAGATAAGATTGCTTAAAATACATTAGTTCATATTGTAGATTTATCTAGGCAAAATTTATTAAAGATCTTATAACAATTATTCAATTTTAAGATGACAAATAAGCTCTGGATTTGTTTGTTTACAAACACAGACAATGAACATTTATGTAATAATTCTATAATAAATTAGTCAATCCAATATACGTAGCATTACAGGAGGCAAACACCAAATACATTTGTAAATGTGACAAAAATCTGTTTATTGAGTTATATTAATTATAAATTTGATTATTATGTATTAATTATTGATTACAAATTAAGCAATTCAAATTCTATTAGAAATACTATTAAGGTCTGTAGAGATAAGTAAATTATAGTTAAATATTTATAATCAATTCTCATAAAGTAGTTAAGAATTTACTAAATTCGTCTTCTGATATTTTTCCGTCTTTTTGTTTTAAATCACAATCATTTAAAAACTATTCCCATATTTCAGGCTCTAAGAATCCCATAGCTTCTTTTAATTCTTCCTTTGATATAAAGCCATCTCCATTATAGATTGATTAGAAAGATTACAATATCAAGCATTCTAAATGCTTATCTAATCCTATCAATTGATACTAATTTTGCGACTCTCATAGCTCCTACTATAAACTCTGGATAATCAATAAGTTTGGAGAGCATCTAAATTTAATTCACTTTTTCTTCAGCCTATTTTTGCCCCTTAAAAATATCTAAGTTCTACATTTTATTAATCAAATCCGTGGCATCACTTGATACAGTTGACCAATAACTTCTATTAAATATCAACTTTCTAGCTTAGACCTTAGCTAAAGTTTCTTTATCGGTTTTTCAAACAAATGGAGGATAACCACTTAAAAGAATATGCTGAATCACTCCACACAACCAAATATCTACTTTTTCATTATACTTCTGATTTAGCACTTCTGGATATATTTAATAAGGAGTTCCAAATCTTTTTTCATATCGAAGTTTGAGTAGAACATCAAGAAGTTCCAAAGTCTATCACTTTAATTTCTTCTCCTTATTCACTTAATAGAATGTTTTTTGGTTTCAAAATCTCTATTGAAATTTTCTATTCTAATCAATACCTATCGACAATTATTTTTCATGACAGTAACTAACTGTCTATAAAATTTATTTAATATAGTCAGCTGCCATTCTTTCACTAAAAATTTAGAGTTTTTTTATTGTTTCAAATAATTCCCCTTTTGGAAGACATCTTGATATTTATAAAAGTACTCTGTTACAACAATATATTGCTCAACTTCTTGAAAAAATTCAAAATCACTCACAATGTTTGCATGATCTAGAGATTTAAGGATATTCTACTCTGATAACATTCATTATTAATCTTCAAATAAGGAGTTCTTTGTTAATTATTTGAATGCTCTCAAAATGCCAGTCTTATTATGTTGACCTAACCATACACATCCATAGCTTCCCTGACCTAGTTTTTTAAGAATACTATATTATTATTTCCATTCACCTTTGTTTCATAAGATAAATTATTATGGCTTATTTTTGCTGATTTCTTTGCTGTTTGCAATTGTATAATCTTCTTCATCTTTGTCTAATGTGTAATAAAGTTCTATTTTACAAACTGCACTCAAAGTTGTATATTTTTGCATTGGCAAAATTAATTCGTCATCATCTTAATTGGAATCCAAATTTTCAATAGACTTTATCATTAGAGCCAATATCTGAATATGATTCAATAACTATAATTGATTTATTTCATGATGATTGCAACAACTATTACCCATTTATTCAAATTATAATTTATAATAATTACCTGATTCCATTTTATATTAACCATAACTAATAGTTATAGCATCTATATTGTAGATTATATTAAGTTTATGTTAATTCTGTAATTTTGACTCTTAATATATCCATTATTATTGAATAGATTTCAATAAGAAAATAAAAATACTTATAACTCTATTATAAATTTTGATAATTAAGCTTCGAAGAAAATAATTATAGCAAATGTCCTTTTTTATATTATTAATTGATCTAATCTCTTTTTATCAAATCAAGTAAGGTAATGAAATTTCCAAAATTATTATTTACCTTTTTAATTGTGCATATTATTATTTGTTAATTTTAAACACATAATGTTCATGCTTTTACAGAAGTTTGCATTGTCAAAATTGAATTTAAAGAACAAAATTATATTTTTTATAACATATCACAAATTCGATTTATGTGATCGATAAGGTAATAGTTTGTAATATTATGGCTCTATAGAAAATATTTTAATGAAAATAAATATTATTTTTGATTTTTATTGAGAATTAATTATAAATTATTATTTTAAAATCCATCAATGCTTGAGAAGAGATGTTCTAAAGGCATATGATACTTTCTAATTAAATATCATAGATAAATATTATTTTGACAAATGACTTTATTATATTTAGATACTCATCATTATTTGAATTTATTAGATTCTCATAATAATATTTAAAACACTTTATATATATTTAAGATAATATTTTATCTTGTAATTTAAAAGTTCACCTCTAAATTGCACTTAAAACAAATTTTAATATATAAAAGAGTGGTGATAAAAATATCATTATATAATGAATATCTGAGTATTTAATCAGCAATTAAATCCTTATCTTTTTAAAAAAAATAATTTTCTTTATTATTAAGTGGAAAATATATGATATAGAAAAAATAGATTTATCGAAACTTTTTATGTAGAAATTGGAGGATTAGCAACTAGATTTGTTGTTTCCACTTAATTATTACACTTTTAAGTGTGATAATTTTTTTAGTTAGCAATTTAATCTATATGTACATTGTTACAGAGTAGTTAATGGCTATTACTTAAGAAATATTTTAGAAAGAAACTCAGAATCATTTGAATATGTTGAGTTACCTTGAAAAATCTTCAACTCTTGACGTTTTTTAGGATAGTACAAGATAGCTTTTATCTATTAATTAGTTATATTAGATAATCGATAAGGATTTCCAGATTGAAATGCCTTATGATTGCTTAAATAATTAATAATTCAATGATTCATATGCATACCTTTTTTCTTTTTGCTATGCTTTTTGCAATTTGACAAATGGCTTAAATATTAGTAAATATTAGAACATACTGAAATTAACATCTTTATTAACAGAAACCTTAAGAATTTATGACCTTTAATTATTAACTTTGATGGCTCATGTCGGAGAGGAATAATTTTTTTCATAAAACAAAGGATATGCACTCTCAAACTATTACCCTCATACTAGGTAATGGTATAGAGATCATATAGCTCAGATGGGAACAGGCAAGTAAATAATAGTTAGCGATCCGTATGTTTCATGGATAGATGTAGTTTTCATTTCATAGACGACAAATTTAACTCATAAACAATTCGAAGGGTTGATAGGACAAGACTTAGATTTTACAAGAATGCCCAAGATTCAAACCAATACTTCATAATATTATTTAGTGGATAGCAGTGGCAATATTGTTATCAGTGATCTTTATGCTAATGGAGTAAAAGTTTTAATAAAAATGTACGACTAAAGTTTAACAGGATTTAATGAAACTGACTGGAATAACTTAATAAAAGAGGGTAAAGATATTTTTTACTTGTACAATAGCGTTTATTAGAAAAATATCATAGTCTTGAGAACAATACTGACTAAATTAAATTATTTTTTATTCGTAGTTTATGATGAAAGTCAATATCTGAAATAGCAATAAGACATTTATAATAAATAGATTGGGTTTCAAAATCAATTAATTGATTCCTGGTTACAAATATTGGGAACCTTTTTTATATTCTCTTTAATAGTTTAGATAGTGATTGTTCATTGTTTAATGAAAGATTTAAAACAGTTGGAAAGGATGGCTACTAAAAAAGTAGTCTACTTTTCCAAAAGCACTATTTAGTTTCGTGGATAAACATTCACTTCTTCTGTATCTCGATTATATAATGCATATATGAAATTGGTTAAAAACTTTGATTCATAAGGGCATCAACGGAAGAGTGAGTTATGTTCTAATATTTAGTCTATTGAATTCCCTTCAAAGTATAGAAAGTTGAAATGCTAGATTTATTCTAATGGGATTCCAAAAAAACAAAATTATAATTAAACTAAATTACTTTAACACTTTACGTATTTTAAAAATGAAACCACTTTTTATTGAAATTAATGTATATATATTATTTAGAATATTATTGATAACAATATAATTGTCTTATTAATATATTAAAGTTTCATAAAGTAAAGGGAACAGGAATAAAGACATGATTTAGCTAAAAATATTAATAAATGAAATATTGAAAGCATAAAGGAAATATGATTAAGATAATGATGTGCATTAAATTTTTGATAATTTAAGAATTAAGGATCATAATTATACAATTATATGATTGAATATCTGAAATACATTGAAATATTTCTGGTATCATCTTAAGGAATTCAAGATTTATTATACAGTATATGACAGAAAAATAGAAGTGGTCAGAATATCCTGTTGAGATAAATTATTAAATTGCTCAAAGAGACTGGATAAATTTAGAATCAAAAATTATAAAATTAGTATTATTTGATGTAGTGAAATTAGGGAGTATTTTGAGAAAAATTCTATAGAGGGACTAGGGTTGATCATTGTGAAAAAGATTTGATTTAGTTGCAATTAAATCACATGAAATAGAGACAATTATTATTAATTTGAATATGAAGTGTTGTAGTCGAGATGAGGTTATTTTTTTTAATGTCTCTGATGAGAATTAATGGTTTAAATTTTATGAGAGGGGCATTTCTAGTTTAAAGAGGAGTGACAATTAATATAATAAATTAGAATGGACATGTTGTAATTTGGAATAAACAATTATGATATTTGAGTAGTACGAAAGAGTTCTAAGTATTATTTCAAATTGAGTGTAATACCTGAAATGAAAAGTTGCTTGAATCCCATAGATAATATTGTCAATTTAATAGCGGGGATGGCGATGGAAATATTAAAATGAGTAAATAGATAAATTAAATAAGTATAGTCATTTCATATTTTTTTATTTTAACACACGATGAACAATTGTCAACTCAATGGTCCTAGAAATTAGACCCAAATATATCAAATATCGGGTGAAATATATTCGAAATTTGAAGATCTGGTATTCATTAAGGTCCTAGGTAAAGGAGCAATGTTTTTATAAAAAGAGATGATTAATTTAAATTTGAAATTAGATACATATTTTAATAATATTATGTAATAAATTAATACGTATTTAATTAATCCAGAATAATTTGTGTAGTACTTTTGAGTGATTCAAATCAGGAATTTCTGAGGGAACATTATTATTTGAATTAAATAGAGAAGAGCAGAGATGTAAAAATACCCAAGTTTGAATCCAAGTTAGGAGTTTGATAGAAGTATTACAATCACAAATTTGAAATTGAGTCATTTGGAATATAAAAATGTGGAGGGAAAGGTAGTAATCTAAGTTTAAATCATAGAATTTGTTTGAGAGAGTGAAAGGATTTTAGAATTTAGTGGGATCTTTGAGAAAATAGAAAATAATTCTTTATGAGAGAAGAAATATGTCTCCACCTGCTCAAGAATGTTATGGTACAATATAAGTTTAACAATAGGAATGGACGATTATGGAGATATTTTTTATGGAATCAACTTCGCATCTGCTGATTACTTGGGATTGTGCACAAATGAATAAGCAAAAGTAATTTAACTTAAAAATTATTTTAGGAAGCAGCTGCCACTGCTGCTTAAGAGTACTCAGTAAATTCTTGTGGAGCACCTTTAGCATTTGGTGCATCGAAATATTATATGTAGTTAAAAGAAGAGTTGAAAGATTATTGGGGAATGAACGAAGTAATTCTTTACAGTGCAGGATGGTTAGCAGGATTTGGAGTGATTAAAGGTTTGATAAGGTATTTGCATTGTGTAATAATTAGGCCTTATGATTTTGTGATTATGGATGAATTATGCCATAATTGTCTTACTGAAGGAGCATTTGCAGCCACAAAGAATGTGTCTAGAGTCCCACATTTGAGTTTGGAAGCTATGGAGAAAAAACTATCAGAAACCAGAACTGCAAATCCTGATGCCTGTATACTAGTAGTAACAGAAGGTTTGTTTAGTATGGATAGTGATTATACTGATTTGGTGGCTTTATAAAAATTGACTATGAAATATGAGGCTTTTTTGTTAATTGATTGTGCACACGACTTTGGATGTATGGGAAAATCAGGTAATGAGTTAAATTTATAAATATAGGCAAGGGAGTGTTTGAATAATAAGGGCTATAAGATTTCTCTAATGTATTATTAATGTCAGGAGGATCAAAATGTTTATCAACAAATGTTGGTTGGGTTGCCTGCAATTCATTTGAAGTCATTGATTATCTTAAATTCTTCTCTTCAGCCTATATGTTCACTAACTCAGTGAATCCAGTTTAATGTGCTACGGCTCTGGCTCAATTAAGAATATTAAAAAGCGAAGTTGGAAATAGATTGAGAGTTAAAGTCTTAGAGAATTATCATTATATGAAAAAGGAACTCAATGCCAGAGGTTATCAGATCATTGGTTATCCATCTCCAATTCTGCCATTGTTGATAGGAAATGAATTAGTATGTCGAGTAGTAACAAGATTAATGATTGATGAAGGAATACATTGCAATGGAATTGAATATCCTATTGTAAGAATGGGATAAGCCAGATTGAGAGTCAACCTGTAACCCTAACATACTAAAGAGTATCATTTCATCTATTGATTTTAGACATTTGGACACATTTATTGAAACTTTCCATTTCTGCTTCGTTAAAGCCACAAAAATTGTCGAAGAATCTTTGGAAAAATATCAATTAGCCTTGGAACAATAGGAGCAAGCATAAGAAACAAAAGACAATTAGAATAAAGCTAATTTCAATGATAACAGAATGGAACTCAAAAAACCAAATTTATGAATTATTAATTATCATTATCTAAATAATATATGTTTACTATCATCAACTCAAAGTTGGGACTTATAAGAGGAGGATTTTAAACTGCGACATCAGCTTCGATGTCAGAGATAAGGAGAGCATATTGATGAGAAATATTGTTTAGTAAAGATAAACAGAGTTTAAAACGAAAATCAAGGAAACAAGAACCAATAATTTAGAAAGAGACATTTAGGTTTATTCGAATTGTCTACCTCAATAACAAGTTAGAGAACTCTTCAGATGAATAGAATTTCAAAAATAGAAGAAATAAATTGAATAATTGGAACTGCCTTTTAAATCCTTCGCCAGGACTCTCAGAACTACCAAACTGTGTTCATTGAAAAAAAAGAACTATAAGTAATTCAGTTCTTAAAGATCAGATAAAAGCTAAATCCAAATATAGAGTTTTCTCAAAATATAGATAATAATAAAAGTGCAATTCAAAATCAAAATGGTTATTGGGAATTTTAAGCAGACGGTTATGGTAAATTAATTTTGGATATTGATATTTTATGAAGTTTTTAAGCGTTCCATAAAAATTATGTTTCAATATTGAAATCAATCCCACTTTAGATCAAATAATCGATATCATGTTTATGTTTGATATCCTCATTACCTTCAATGCGAGCATGTACAGAAAGGGAATACCCATCTATCAAACTTTTGGTTTTGGATTAATCTAGCAGCTTCCTTCCCCTAAGATGCCATCATCACTGCTTCCACTAGAGTTAGTGAAATTAGAGCTCAGAATCCACTACAAATTCTTCTCAGAATGCTTCAAAGTACAGTTAAACATTTTCCTTACTGAAACTCGTCAGATTTATGAGATTTATCAAAATCATACATCTTTTAGGATTAGCAAAATTAAAGCTATTCTTTGATAAAATAGAGGATGCTATTTAATTAAACATCATGCTCTCTACAATAGTTAGCTTTGTTAAATTGAGTTAGTTTGTATTATTTTGGTCTCGTTGGTTAGGATGCATATTCCATAATATTACTGTCAAAGAAGCTTCTCAAGACAATTGGCTTCATTATTATGGCATATATGAAGAAGATTGGTCAGCTAGATACATCAATTCTCTCTACTGGGCTTATACAACAATTTATACAGTTGGCTATGGAGACTTCTCCCTTAGAACTTCTTTGGAAAGACTATTTGGAATATTCTTTTTGATTATTGCCACTGTAGTCTTGTTACTTCAAATCGCATTGGTTGATAAAAAGGCTGAAATTCGTAAAAAGTCAAATTAAGTTTAAAATACATGAGGAAACTATAAATACCAGTCGCGTTATAGAATAAAGTAAATAAATACCTCACTTTTATTTGGGAACAAGAGGCTATCTTTAATCTTGAAAATATAACCGATAATCTATTTTATGCTCACAAATTTGAATTTGAAATCCAGTTAATGGTACTACATGTCTTTAAGTACTTTCACTAAATCAAATTGTAATGAGAAATGTCACATATTAATTTCCATATTCAACTGTACAATTTTAGGCTATTATCCTCTTTAAAGATGTAATTTTAAAATGACATTCCTCGAATAGGTGACAAAGACCTTCAAATAATACACAGCTTTATATATAGAATTCATTTTCTTTGAGAATGAACCCATAACAACAGAAAAGCATCTCTATTTAATTCAAAGTGGAAATATTGAAATTATTTTACAAAGATGCAATCAGAAATTCAATAAACTTGAATATAAAGGACTATACTGGTTTCTTTACAGGATTATCTTTTACAGCATCTGTAAGAATTTTTAACTTTTCATCTTTAGTTTACATCGATAAGTCGTTGTTTTAGCAATTATTGAAATCTAATCAAATTGATTTACTATTAAAATTATAGATAAAATTATAGGAAAGATTTCATTAAATCAAAAATGAAATAAAATTTAATAAGGGTTATCATCAATTTAATGCTTTTGTTATGACTGTCTTAGAGATGGTCAAACAGTAAAAGTAATGGATTGTCCAGATATGCATTTGATAGTTGAATAACAGCAATATCGTAAATTTAAATCTAATTTCTAGAAAAAAGATATAATCTTTTTTGAAAAGAATGATAAAGTTTCACTTTCATGCACTTGTTAAATTTGTAATCATCGATATTTTCAATTTAAAAATAATTCTATCAGCCTTCATCTCTTGCGTAAATTCTTATGGCACTGTCCAATAAATGTAATTTAATTGACGAAATGGAAAATTGTTTTTTAGTAGAAGAGAAGCTTGAATTGTAGTAAAGGCTAGGCAAACAACCAAGATTTGGTACTTTGAGGTCAAGATTTAGGGAGGATATACTAAGATATAAGATTTTATAGGTTTTTCAATTAGACTTAAGGTTAATTGAGTTCTAAAATTGAAAAAATAAAAATAGGTAAAAATAGTAAATGTAAAGTACAAAAAAAATGAAATCATATATTGAAGATTAAGATATGGAGATGAAATCTTTAAAGGCTTAATAAATATCATCAATTACTTTCAAAATGTATTGTCTCATTTTATCAAAGAACTTTGTATGATATTGTAATGAAAGAGTGTTAATTAAGAGGAGTATATAAGAAAATCTGAATTCCCTTAAACTAAATCCATAAGTAATTTAAAAATTTAAAATAGAAGTTGAAGATAAATAATTTTCTATATATTAGACTGTTCATCATCTGACTTTGGAAGTGAAGAATAGGGAGTCAAATTATCCTATAAAGAAATGAAGACTTAAAATCATATATTAGAACTTTTAGAGACTTATAATCAATAATCGAAAGAAAGAGAACAATAAAATAAGTTAATAATGTTTAATTTTATGATCCAAAATATAATAAAGAAATAATGATTTATGAATATAACAAGATGAAAGATAATAAGAGATTTAGACCAAATTTAGCTCAATTTTATGATTAGAAATGTTTTTTATCGTGAATTAGGAATAAAGTTTATATTTGATAATGAAAGTGAAGCTCTTATAAATGGTGAAATTATTAAAACAATGTTCTAAAAGGACAGGCCTATTGGGAAGAAATTAACTCTAATTTCCAAGTAATCTATAGGAATAAGTAAAATTCCTGAGCAATAAGGTTAATTTTAATCAAACAATTTAATCAAATTCAGTGATAAGGAGATTTGATGAATATTAATTAATCTTTATTTTTTATAAGTATAAACAAATACAGATTAATAAAATAGAATCATCATCTTATATGCATATTAATTCTTTGTTCAAACTTTCTTTTAGATTCATCCTGTCTCGTTTGATCAAATGGAATTGTAAAATAATACTTTTAATTAATTTTATTTTTTCGGTTCCCGACCTTTTAAATCCATATTAGATTCAACACTTCTTGACTTTTAACATCTCGAAACAACTTCAACACAGTTATCAGAGATAAGAATTGAAGCATTGCTGAAATATACAAATAGCAAATAGTACCTAAAATAATAATTATCAAATTAACCTACAGGTTTTTTTAATAAGTCTGTTAATAAAATAACAATTGATAAGGCTCCAAAACAGATTTCTAGAAGCACCCCAACATAAATAAGCATTTAAATTTTTGAAAGTACTTTTTTATCTGCATTTAGATTAGCAGTTCTAATTTATTTTTATTAGGCCAACATCTCAGCTTAATAAGCCTAAGCCAATTAACTCTTTATTTTCTTATCATCTTCAATTTAAAAGGAATCTTAGTTAACACCATCTTTTATATTATTACTATTTTTGATTGTTGCTTTCTTTTATCTTTTAGTTTCATTGACTTATAATTTTATTTTTTCGACAATTTTAATCTGTTATTTTTTTATCTTCTTAACGTTAGCTCTTTCTTTTTTTATATTCCAATTGAAGTCTGTTTAATCAAAATCATCCTCGTTAAGTAAGCAAGAATTGACTTTTTAATGATTAGAAACTTCACCGACATGAAGAGAATTTTGAGACTCCTCACTTAAAATGGTTCTCATTGAAGTTTTAAGAACTTCCCTTTTCACTTCCGTATTTTACTAAGTTGGGATACTTTAAGGCGATCTGAAAGTTACTTGTTTTTTTAAGAAAGATGGAGGTTAAATTTTTTCAATTGATATGATGGCTCTTGATGTATCCCTTTATTCATGACTTTCATCACTCGCACTTAAAGAACTCAATCTTAATATTTATTAATCGGGAGTAGCTGGAGATTGCAATTGATCTTCTTATTAAAGATTTAACTAAGTTTTTGATAGGATAGTCTTTGATAGAAATTGATAAGATTACTTGCTGATTATTTTTTGCCAATTTCAATTTCTCCTCTCTTTCTTACTCTCTATTATCTAAATCCAATCTTTTTAGTTGTTGTTCTATGCATTAATTTAAGGATCTACCATATAGAAGGAATTCGAAAATAAAGGAGCTATTATGAATCAAAGTAACTTACATGAAATTCAGTAACAATATTACATATGCAATATATAAGATAGTTTTATACTGTTGTCCTAATCTTAATCCTATTTAAAGGCTTAATAATTACCATTTAATGTACTTACAGTCAATTATATAATCAAGACGAGGAAGAGTCTTATTTTCATAATGTCTTTATAATATGCTAGAATGAATTTTCTATTCTCTGATTTGGAAGTTGATTATTATTCTAAATTATTATTTTTCTTTTCAGAAATATTAAATGAAATTTCGTCATACATGGTATACCAAACCATCAATAAAATTCCATATATATAAAATAATATGGTATAAACTACTTCTGCCAAAATTCTTTCGCAAACTCTCTCTTTGTAATCCTAAAAAATGAAAGAATTTCAATTCTGTATACATATAATTAAAATGGGTCCAAAGCTAACCAGAGAATCTTAAGAATACTGAATAAAATGGTTAGACATAAAATGCAATTCAAAGGAGATCCAAGCACATTCTTAATATAATTGCATCCTCTATTGATATGAGAATCTATTTTCATACTTCTAATAGGAAGGTATCTTATTCATTTTTAGAGATAATTAAAGCTATTTTAAAGTAAAAAGAAGCAGGATTGTAAACAGTATTAAAAAGAATCCAATAAAAGTGTAATAAGTGGCTAAATGGAGTTCTTCCAGTTTCTATTCACATTAAACTCCAAAGTAGCCCAAGTCACATTAGCATGACCCATCGTAATAGAGTCCACGATCACTGCAATTTGAAATCTGTAATTCTTTTTAAACGGAACTCATATTAATGTAATAATAATCATAAATATTAGCTAATTTGAATTTTATACTCACTTCCTTCCAATTTCTTTAACATAGTCTTGAGTTTCTAACGGATTGACATCATGTTCACTTTGTCACTTCGAAATTAAACTGTAATTAATTATTATTGAGTATTGACCTATATAGTTTCAGTAGCTCTTCTGACATACTTCTGAATAAAAGCAATAGCATCAATCATGTATGATTATTATTTGATATATGTTTTTTCTAGGAATCTAAATCCTAATTGCTTTTCAATCCATATATCAATAATGATCAATTATCACACTGTATTTAATAACTTAAGGAGAGTTTATGTCAAAGTAATTAAGCTGATTACCACAGTTTATAAGGAGTCCACAAGAATGAAAATGGATCCATTTTTTTTCTATAGTGAAGAAGATTACTCAATGGCATATTTAAAAGAATGTCATTTATGATAATACATCCATCCTTTAAATTTTATCGTAGAACAATAAATTGAGTATCTAGTATTGCTTCATCTCTCAGTATTTTCGACTTAATAAATCCCTTTTGAAAAGGAGAATTTATACTTCATATGAAAATTAAAATATATAACGACTGTACTACTATTTTGATTCAGAAACAATCTAATCCAATAACTTAAAATCCCTACTTATTATTATCTGATTAATCCCCTATTGTGTCCATTGTAAAATGTCCAATTTATCCCTTGGCATAGATTTGAAACAATTTGTTTTAATTTTTCAAAGAACCAAAAAGAGAAACTTCTGGTTTAGGTTTTACCATAAATTTATATGATATTGAATGTATTTAAAATAATTTTCTAAAAATGCAATCCTTCAATAAAACCTCCTCAATTAGATATAAAAGTTGTGAATTCATGATAACAGGAATGTTTAAATAATTTTCTAGACTCTGAACCATGCTCAACTTTTTCCTCATGATTCATCATCTACTTTAATCATCAATGTATTTATCGTTAGATTTTTTATTATCAAGGCCGATAATTAATTTATTAATTCTTTTTCATTGAAAATTTTACGAATTATTGAGGAATTCATAATTCATTAAATTATACTTCTCAACCTGATTTGCTGAATAGTATTAATGTAATTATGGAACCCCAGAAAATATTCGAATGTACGGTATATTCGATATCTTAACATCATCTTTTTAACAAACGCCAGGTACAATATATGCTGCTTAACCACTAATTAAAGATTTGATTCTCTTTAAAACCTGAGATGAATAATAAAGTAGTTGGACATCCCTTATCAAATCAGTAACATTTCAGTTGTACAAGCCCACATCCAAATTTATCAGAACAATCAAAAAACTAGAATTTATATAATTTAATATTACTTTTCTTTTACTTTTCAAATAAATCTTTAAAAGCAACATTGTTTGAGTTTAACAAAATATAGGCAGTTCCTTGATTGATTAGTTTGTTATTACTTTTTATAAAGAGTTAAATCATCCACTTTACTTATTCATTATTAAGACTGTTTTTGGAATTAATTTTTCATTTATTTAGATTTAATCATATTTAAATATTTACTTACATTTAAATGAACTTTTTACGTTACATAATCCTTTTAGTTTTAAAGCCAATCTACCTAGAAATCTAAATCAACTTTAAATCAGATATTATTTTTACTGCTGTCTTTAATATAATACAAAATAATAAAAATCTATAGGGGTTTAAAATATTTTTAATTCTTAGAAAGATTAGAAATGTAGAAATTATTTTACAGAAACGCATTTGTTTTAGTGTATACACGAATAATTATTTTAATAATGAGATTTATACGGAGGGGAACACTATCAGAGTTTCTATTTGTATTTTAGTGATATTTTGAAACTCTTAACTTTTATTATATTTAACATATATAATTAATATGAATTCCTCCTAAAAATTAAAGGAATCCCAAATCCCAGAAAAAGAGAAGGATAAAAATAAGACACAAAAAAGTAAGGAGGATGCAAAGGAGACTCTTAAAAAAATTGTTGAATAGGCTCGTTAAGCAATTCTAGAAAATAGGCTCAATGTAACTTTAATTCAATAACAAAGGCCACAGAAGAAGTTCATAAAGCCATGATTGAGTATAAAGAGATTTTGGGAGGTGAAAATAGTGTTCTTCTTCTTCCTGGTTTATTTATTTAGGCAGAAGCATATATAGCTGAAAGCAAATTGAAAAAGGCCGAAGAATTTCTTCAAGCTGCTTACTGGAATTTGTATCAATACAATAAACCAAAAGAAAAAGGAAGCGAAGATGGCAACAAAATGGGCTAAGATATATCAGAAAAAGAAAATGCAGAGTATAATGGTCAGTTGCATAAAATATTTTCAAAACTCTATTTTGCTTAGAAGGATTACAAAAAAGCATTGGCAGAATTAACCATAGGAGTACATTTTTCTTTAAATATTGATTAGATTTATACAGATTCTTGCAGTTCTGATCCAGAAAATCCACAAACAAGTCTGAATTACTATTATATGGGATAAATATTCCAATAAAAGAAATAAATCTCAGAGGCGGAATAATTTTATGCAAAAGTAATTTCACGCTCCTATTATCTAGACTTCATAATGTTGGTATAAATATTTAAAGAGATTTTATCAATATGGCACTCCTTCAAGCGAAAATCTTCCAGAGGAAGTAATTTTTAAAGAGGCTTTGCAAGTCCTAAAATAAATTGAAGGTTTATTACTAATTTATATTCAGAATATTTCCGAAAGCACATCGATGACAATAATATCAAATTATATATTATCCCTATCACTTAAAATTTGTAGGCCTAAGCCTTTGTATACAAAAGGTTAAACAACGAAGCACAGTATAGACATTATATGGGATTGGCTTATCAAGAATTTCTTATGCAATATGGCGAAAATCATAAAAAAACAAAGAAGGTGACAGAAATTTAAGAAATCATTAAATAAAGGGAAAGAGATTATTGATTATTAATAATTTATATTAATATAAAACTTGTTAAAGAAAAACAAATGTATGTATATAATTCAAGTTAATTTAAAGAAAAAACTCAAGAGGATCAATGAAACCGAAGAAGTTTATGTTCCACACTAACTTTCTAAAGTAAAGGTAGGATGCATACTTTCATAATTTGATTATAAATAAAAAAATTATAGAAAGAAAAACTAAAATATGATGTGGTATCTAAGAAATTTTACATAATTGCCCTAAGGTCAACTATGTAAAGAGGTATCTCAAACTCAAACCAAAAATCAATCTATTTGCGATTGAAAGTTAATGAAAATACTAAATTTATTAGTCTATATATAAATAGTAGTATTGGGTTATTACTTCACACAACAAAAATTCCGAACTTAAAATTGTTGAATTCTTCTGTAATTTTGTAATTAATAATAATTTAATTATTTTTTCATATGCAAGATAAATTGAATTATGAAGAGCAAGATTAAAATTCAAAATAAAGAATATCAACTTGCAAAGAAGTATAATAAAATTGATTACAATTTAAAAGGCGCTTAAGTTTCTATTTTATGTAAATGATAAATTGCAGTAATCTGGTGATTTAGATCAATAAGAAGTATATTAAAAATCACTTCATAAATGGAATTTAATGAGGAAGGAAGAATAAAATTAATAATAACACAAAATAGATAATACGAAATTTAAAGAATAAAACATGCTTAAAAGAATATTATAAGAAAAGGAAAGAAGTTAAGAAATTGAAGTCTCTAGTTTAAATTCTCTATAAAAAGGTTATTAGTAAGTTTAAATAATATAAAATTTATTATAATAGGAGATTTATTAAGAATTGAAGCCTTAACCTATTTAATCAATAAACAACATAAATGAGGATCGAAATAAAGGCATCAATGTGGGAAATGAAGAAAACAATAGTGTTAAATAGCAAAAAGATGAAAGTTAAGTTCAATCATAAAAATTGTAAGAGGAATTATAGAATAATGAAGAACAAAAACCTCACTAGGAGGGTAGTGATGATGAAGACCAAAAGAAGGTGATGAAATGGAATCCTAGAATGAAAAATTCTAAAGCCAGACAATCAAAATCAAACTAAAAAAGAGTGCTTAGTTAATCCAAAAAGAAATAGCTTTTACATTAAGATCTTGTAAATAATGTTATACACTCTTATAACTGTAATAATGAAATGACGATTGATCATTTGAAATAATTGATGGAAAGCATGTTAAATGAAACTATTTGATTTTATCAATTTTCTTAGGATTGATATATAGTATATTAAGCCTATTTAATCCTTAATCCTACTTTTCAAATATTTTTAGGCTAGTAAACATATAATTAAAAAAGATTAGATTGATTTTTTTTTTTATAGAGTTTCTATTTTATAAGAGTTTTTTTTAAAAAAGATGCAATAGATTAATTTGGTTTTCGAATTCTTTCTTTCGTTTATCAAGACAAATAGCAATTTATTTTCAGTATCACCTCATAGAACATTAATTATTCCTAGAATTTCTTAAATCTAATTAATTAGAAATTTGATAAATACCTGTTATTTGACCAATTATGGATGATGTAATTTTGCTTTTATTTAAGCTAGGAGTTTTTTCTATCAAAATGTACTTAGAAAAAAAAAAATGATTGGAAAATATCTTTAGAATTTAAATAATCTTAAGTTTGTGGTATGGAAAGTAATTCAATATGAAATTATTTATTGTACTTAAGTATTCTTAGGAATAATTTCTTTATCTTGCAACTTTATGAGGGAAGTTATTAAAATTGCTATAAAAATTATATAATATTACGTTATGTTTTTAAACTTAAATTTTTTTGAAATCATGAAATTATATAGTGGCCTCATCAGCATCCATTTTCCATTTCTCATTCGATTTTGAAGATGTAGACAATTCCAATTAATTATAATAAGTTAATTCTTCTAAGAATTCCTCACCTCCAATCTATAGTTTTAATAATTATCTTTTACTTTTGTGAGTGTGAGTAGATGAAGAGAATTTCATTTCACCATCAAAATTTGATCATGAATATAAAAGTATATGATTTACAAATTATCTTTATTAATTGAAAGTAAAATTAACCTTGACCTTTTGATAATCACACCAGAAAAAAATCTAGAATACTTTTTAATCTCTTTTATTCTTCACTCTTCTAATATAAATAAAAAGAAGTTTAAATTTTTAAAGCTTTATTTTCTATTTTAGAATCTAAACTCTTTATACTAAATCAATATCTATTACAAAGCCTTCATAATATTATTTTCCTCTAATATGATTTTCAATTTAACCTTAATTCCTCTATAGTTCTTAATAGTTCTGTAGAAAGAGTATCAGAATTTAATAGGTATTGAATCAATATTTCTTTCATAGCATTTAATTCCTTTTATATTTCAGTCTTTTGTTCTTTATATGCAATCATAAAATCATTTTCATATGTCTCAATAATTTTATCAACTTTGCCGCATAAATTCTAACCTATTTCTAAATCCATCATACATCAATTATAACTTAAAGTTTATTATGATCTTTCTCAATCACTTTTACATATTTTAAGTTGTCTTTTAAAATGATTTTCTTCTTTTACGAAATAAATTTCTATTGTATAATAATTGATTCCATAAATATCAAAAAAATAAAATAAAATTCGAAATATATTATTAATTATTTTTTTCTCTATTAATGAGGCTAATTTCATTCAAAATTGAGGGTTCTAAATAATTATATCTATGAATAAATTGACTAATTTTGAATAGAAAGAAAAATATTGGGTTTTTTTATGTTCAAATTTACTAAATGAATATCAATATTTCATTGATTATTATTTCAGTAAGTAGATCAACCCAAATTAGTCAATACAGTATTTGATTTATGAAATACATTCCAATAATTAATGTTATATCAGTAAATTATATTGGATTACTTCAAAGTTTATTTCAAGACGTTATATCTCTAGATAGAGTGAGACCTATCAAGTAATTTTAAGAACTTATTAAAATCAATTGGTGTTCAATTGGGATTGTATCAATTGAACTTAAATTTTTTACAAATCCCATAAAATATATTATCTTGACTTCGTAGAGAACGATAGGGTAAAATTACTACCTAATTGACTGGGCGTTCCGATTTACTTTGTGATTTAATCAGTGTAAAAGTTTATACTCTTAGCTTAAAATCTTACTTTAATATATAAAAACTTAACTTTTTGGGTAAAATCTATTGTAATGAAGACTTTTTCAACCCTGTATCAGGTTAATTAACCTAATTGCTAAAAATATATAAAATTTATAAATATAGCAATAATAATGTATCTAAAATGTAGACTAATCTCAAAAAGAAAATAACTAAAATTTAAAATCTGAAAAAAAAACCTGATCCTAGCAATTCGATTCAAAAATCTAAGCATAAGTAAATAAATATGAAATGATTTGTTTAAAACACAAATTATTAATTATTATTTTAATTGAAAATTATTCATTACTTTATTTTGTTTTATATTTATTTTTGATGTTTAAAAACATAGTTATTTTGATTCATTATTTAACTCATTTTCCATTTGTTCTTTAATTTTAAAATATTTTCCTTAATAAGTGCCTTTTTCAGCTGCTTTCATATCGTGAGTTTCATTATTATATTAATCAATTGGTATTCTTAATTTAATTTTTTTTAAAATGACTCAGATTACTTTAGGATACAATTTAAATTTAAACAAGGTTTTAATATTAATGTTCGTTTTGTACATATAAATCCTAATGTATAAATATAATAAATGAAATATCAAAGGTTAATTTATTATATTTGAGTTTGAATTAAAAAAAATTAGTTTTGTAAGTAGAGAATCAAATTTGATTTTATTTTATTTTATAATAATTTTTACATTATCACACTTATGGTCCAGCATTAATGATTTCTGGGGTGGCCTTATCAGCATATTTTTAGAAATTCTTTTAGAATTTATTAGCTAAATTTCTTAAAGTTCTTTCAAATTCACTCTTATTACTATAAAATAAATGAAGAACTTACATCCAAGTATTTTTAGGATGAAGGATGGTTTCAGGTACACCAGTGGCCTTTTTGGGGATTTATAAATTGAATATCTCGAATTTTTCAAATTCACCATTCACTAATTCACCAGTATGAATAGCATCTATAATCGATCTTGTATATTTAAGGGACATTCTCTTGCCAATACCATATTTGCCACCTGACCAACCAGTATTAACTAACCAGCACTTGGTTCCATGTTACTTCATTTTTTCAGCTAGCATAGTTGCGTAGAGAGTTGGATGCAATGGTAAGAATGCTTCACCAAAACAGGCTGAAAAAGTTGCAACTGGCTCTTTGACTCCCATTTCTGTACCAGCAACCTAAATAAATGTGAAAATGAATTAAATACTTTGGCTGTGTATCCAGAAATGAAATGATACATAGCCTATTCAGGTGTCAATAATGAAACAGGTGGTAATACACCATAAGCATCACATGTGAGGAATAGAATGTTTTTAGGATGACTTCCAACAGCTGGATCCTTAGCTCCTGGAATGAAATCCAAAGGATAACTGACTCTTGTATTTTCTGTAATAGAAATGTTATGATAATCTACTACTCTAGAGTCTTTAGACAAGAATTCAACATTCTCTAAGACTGATCCGAATCTTTATTAAATATAATAATTACTTTATAGCATTAAAAATTTCTGGTTCCTTTTCTTAACTTAGATCTACGCATTTAGCATAACAACCACCTTCAATATTGAAAATACCATTTTCAGACCATGCATGTTCATCATCCCCAATTAATCTTCTCTTTGGATCTGCACTTAAAGTGGTTTTACCAGTTCCACTCAAACCAAAAAGTAATGTTACATCTCCATTAACTCCCTCATTAGCTGAACTATGAAGTGTAAGGATTCCCTATTTCGGGAACATATAATGTGTAACTCCGAATACTCCCTTTTTCATTTCACCAGCATATTGTGTACCTAAAATTACCATCTTTTTATCTGTGAGATTGACAGAGACGCATGTTTCTGATCCAACTCCTTCAACTAATTTTGGAGCAGACATTGGTCCAGCATTGAAAATATGAAAATCAACATCATCGCTGAAATCTTTCTTTAATTCCTCATTTGTTGGTTTGATAAGCATATTTTACATAAACAAAGCATGATATGCTCTTGTGCAAAATACTCTAATTCTAAGTCTGCTGTGAGGATCCCACCCGGCATATCCATCAACAACAAATAACTAAAAAATTTATATAATAAATTTACTCTTGGCCTCGTGTTTCCAAAAAATTAAAGGGCAACCTATTCCAAAAGATTATGAGACTTCTTGGGAATTGGAATATTGACACTACCCCACCATATTTCGTGTTCAGTTTATTCATCAAATACAACTCTCTTATCTGTTGGAGATCGACTAAACAATTATTTTCAATTCTTTACCCTGTTCTTCTTCCAGAGTAGGCTACCATGGCTCCTGTGCTAGAAATAGAGCCTGGTCTTGTTTCTGGATCTGGAGACAATGGATCCATGGCAGCAATTTCATACAATTCTGGAGTACTGGCATTTCTAACAACTTATGTATTATGTAATCCCCATCTTGTCAACTATTCCAAAGAAAGGGCCTTGCTAGTATTATACGTATATCTCCACAAATGATGCAACATTACTTTATGTTTAAAAAGATATTTTTAATATTAGATTTATCACTTAATATTGTACAACTTTTATAATACACTTCTGAATTAAGATACTTAACCCATAAATTTCCTTATTTGATTCTAGAAATCTTTGATGAAGTGTTTTAACTCTTGTATTATTTCAAAATGCTAAAACTTTTCTTACTGATAGTCATTTTTTCAATTGCTTCATCAAAATGGATTCATCATATTCATTTTTAATACTTTAACCAAAATTTCCTGTACTTCTTTACTCATATATGATTCTATTATACAACTAACAATACTGTAGTTTGTCGATTAGGAATTGTTTGTAGTATTCTAATTTTTGTAATTATACATCAGTTACCTCAAATAATTCAAATCTAACTACTCTTTCAAATGTCTTCTCTCATATTTATATTAATTATCTATTAATCTAATTACATTCTATAAATTATATATTTGTTTTGGCGATTAAATACTTATTATTAATTTTGAATTTACTGTAAAATGTTTTGAACATAAATCAATGCATTCAAAATTTATCCAAAGCTAGTTTGTTTAAAAGTTTAGCAGAATTAAATGCATCTAAAATTACACTTAAAATCTAGGGTTTCTCATTTTGCAAATCTATTTTCTGATACCTAATAAGTTGCAACAGAAATGTTATCCCATTTTTAAAAAACTCCACTGTTTTACTATTTTAAGTCTCAATTAATAATTCATACAATAATAATACGTAATTATATATAAAATTAATTAGCTCATTAAATTTCTAATTCATTTTGATATTATTTATTAAAGAATTGTATAATTAAGAACTAAGTTTTATCTTCCAATCTCATAAATATTAGAAACATATTTTAAATGAGTACTCTAATTTCATATTTGTGTAATTTCTAATACATTGTACAAGAAATTTAATACCTAATAATTTTATCCTAACTCAACGAAATGACTTCATGTTAATGAAGATTCAGTCTATGAATATAGAGTAAAAGAAGAAAATTATTCAAATTAAATAATATCATCATCAATCAATTTTTGCTTAAATTATTTTATCAAAATTTTTTCGAAAATAACCAACAAAGAGAAGATAATTACCCACATTTAACTAATAATATATCAATAGGATCAAAATTTTTTTTTATTCCTCTTCTATTTCATCTTTTTGTTTAATTTTTGCTTTATTTTTATGATAACAATTCTATTTCTCTTAATAATAAATATCATTTTATTGGCAAAAATATTTTAATATTCTCCTCCTTTTTTTTTGAACTATGATCATCTTCTTTTATTATATAATTAGTTAATAATAAAGTGTAAATTAAAGATATATTTTTAATAAATTTTGATTTGAATGGAGAAATCGGATTGATTCTATTCAAATTAGATAGTATTCATAGCATCATATTCAAGTGCTCCTCTTCCACCTTAGTGGGAAAAAAGTGCATAAACTAATTTTAAGTATTTTTTTGAGTTTATTTAATTATCTAGCAGCAATTATTTGGCTTAGCATATCGTTAATGATTATCAGAAATAAAACATTAAAATCATCAATCCTTCCTATTAATGAATTACAATTAAAAAAATAATTGGAAAAAACAAATTAATTTTATAAATAATTGTCCTATCTAAAATGTTCAATTGATCCCTATAACGACTAATATAAATTGTTGAAAAATTTGAGGCAATTGGGAATACTTGTGTCAAAAAAATTTTTTTAATGGAAAGGTTTCCAATTCAACTATGTTAAATTGAATAATTTATACCTATTCTTAAATATTTTACAAAAAAGGTTAAATTTAATTCCTTCTTGGAAAACTTATGACAGTTTAACATAATATTAACAATAGCCTCGATTAAAATTATAAATAAAGATATAATTTTTATATAACCATAAATGAATTTAAAATGAATAAACTCATAGTTTTCTTACATATATCTATTAAAATTGCAATTATGGTTATTTTCTTTGCTATATCAAACTGAAGATATAATCAATTTAAATGTATAACAAATATAGACGTTATAAAAGCTTTGCTACATATAATTTACAGAATAATAATTTCTATAAAAATGGTCAAAATAAGAAGAAGACGCAAAACTTTATAGAGAGAAAGGATATGAAAAGAATATAAATAACATGTATAATAGAACAATTGTCCATAATTGTATTGTTTAATGAATCAATTTCTCTTGCTGATGAATTGAGCGGTGGTTGATAATTTCTCGCTAATGTGTTCTTGGAGTCTATCAACGATTTCGTTTTAAGCTTCTCTATTTTTTTTTGTGTAAATTGATACCTTTCAGCAGTTTGAGTTTCATAGATTTCTGATTAGACTGCATACCATGCTTATTATCCAGCAAGTCTTTCTTCACTGTTTTCCAATTCTAAGGTGTGGAATTCGATCCATGATTGAGCATCTTCAATAGTATCCTTTTATTCTTAGATTTAGACTTCCAATTAGGCTTTTCTTTCGACTAATCTGGTGTGTTCGTTACTCAAATGAGCGCTGAATTCAGCCCAGTGAGCAGCTTATCTTTCTTCGACGTCCTTATTTATTGGATTGAATGATTACAGTTTTAGTAGCCTTTTCTGAGACCAATTATTATCTGATTTCGCTCAAGAGTTAAGCAATCTTGGTTAAAGCCTTTTAGTTAACTCCGTGAGTGGCTAATTCTGTAAGAGCAGCAACGACTGGCTAGAAGAAAGATATTGAGAAACTGAATACTTGTAAGAGTTGGGAATGGGATGTGTTGTCTGTAAGTCTCTTGTGAATTGTTTCGTATTTTGATTTGACTTAGACGAATGAAGCACCTAAACTCAAATGTTGAATTAATTTGGCTAGCTTCATCAATGGCATCAATAACATCATCAATGGCAGCAACCTTAGCAACAAAGGTTTCGTGTTATTAGTTTCTTGTGGCTTCTTCTCTAGCATAAGTTTATTCATTTGTTGCGATGTCTTGAATTGTGACTCTGATGTCTTCTTCAGAAACAGCCAAAGCTTCAATTGTGTCATCTCTCAATTAAGTGTTAGATGAGATTTGATTTTAGTGATATAAGATTTCCTTTTCCAAATCTTCGACAATCTAAGATATTCTTTATAAATATTCTTACTCTGTTGTTGGTAGTTGTGTCAAGTTCGAAAGCGTGGTCGTGATCATTTTAATCTTATTACAAATCCAGCGGCGACACCGTTCAATAACATATTAACTTCGTTGGCTGGTGTTTGGGCTTGAATGTGAGCCTTAACAGCTGACAACACAACATTTCCAAATGGATCAGAATCAATCTGAGCCAAGGATGCGTGAGTATCAACAAATTTGGAAGCTGCAAGGGCAACAACTAATGTCAAGATGGCTAGTTTTTGCATATATTTTTATTAATGTTTTAAAAACGGATCGATCAAATGCTTATAATATACAATTAATTATTATTAATTACGATCTAATTATATAAATATCCATCTCTCAACTTTCCTAAATATCTCCTTTCTCTTTTAATCATCAAATATAAATCCATCCTTATAGTATGAGTCCAAAATATTTTCATATTATTCTACTTCTCTTTATCTGTTCACTAGAGCCCTCCCAGTAATTTATATTATCATTTACAAATCTTATTCATATATTTTAATCTTATTTTATAATTAGTGCATATTATCATAAACTAATTTTTCTAATAAAGTAAATTTTGAACTTTTGACAGATTATAACAATTCCAACTTTGTTTTTAAATATCTGTTTACTTTCGTTTTCCACCTTCTAAACTATATTTATTTATATATATCATATTAAGAACAATCATAGAAATATTTTGAATAATTTTACTTATACCTTTTATCTTAAGAGATAGGATTAAGGTCTTTTTAATAATTAAAAGAATCTTAAGAAATATTCAAAAAAATATTTATTTAATTTTTTTATCATAGGATGTCAGCACCATTTTATACTGTGAAGGTATTTATACTTAAATTTATGAAAGGATGTTCCCGCTTAAGACTTCATTCGAGGATATGCAGAGTACTTAAAGAAAAATAATAAAATAAAAATCCCTGAATGGGCATCAATTGTGAAAACAGGTCTTGGAAAAGAAATCTCACCTATAGACTAAGATTGGATGTATGTTAGAGCTGCAGCACTTGCTAGAAAGATTTATGTGAGAGGTCATTGGGTACTTTATTCATAAATACCTAACTTAGGGTGTTGGAAATCTTACACATATGTTTGGATCAGTCAATGATAATGGAAAACATGAATCAGGATCAGGAAAAGTTATTAGATATTTGCTCTAACAATTAGAATCAATTAAGGTCTTGAAGAAAGACAATAAATCACTTTTAAAGAAGGGATCAAGAATTGTTACCAAGGAAGGACAGTAAGACTTAAATAGAATTGCAACTTAAGTAGCTTTAGCTGCAAGAAAATGATTATTAAACATAAAGTACATTAATATTCAAATTGAAATGTTTAAACTCTAAAATTTACAGAAAGCAACATTAATCCTCAATGATTTAAAATGTCTCTGTAAATGAAGATCAATTATAGATATCAAATATGGGTTCCTGTATTATAAATAAGGATTGTGGATGTATATTACATTCATAAGTACTTTTAGACTTTTAATATTTTATTATTTTGCAATAATAAATATAATAAGGGATTGGATTGAAAATGGGAAAACATCCGAAAGTGAAAATGATATAACAACATAATGATTAGAATATTAAAGAAGGAGGAACTTTGGTAAATGTAAAAGAAAATGGAAAATATGAAGCAAGGATATGCTTATAGAATTTGCAAAATTCTAGTTATTAGTTGTTTTTAGAGTTATAAAAAAAGATTGAATATGATAAATATTTTAATATTATATTATTTAAATTTAATGCAGGCAGGGTAGAAAGTAAACTAGGATTATGCAAGAAATTTGTAGGAAATAACAAAAGAGTAATGAATAGATTTATTGAATAGATTTTTGTGTCCGATATCTGCAAATATTTATAATATCTAATTTTTAAAATTCAGAATTAGAGATATGGAATCAGGATAAGTTCTCTTTGAAGTTGAGCGAGATCCAGATGAAGAATCAATTGGTAAGTTTTCAATTTAATGTGATCAGAAAATCTGCCGCCAGCTCTCCAAGATGATTCCAGAAGAATCAAATATCACTTTGGTCCTTAATTTTTTGAATTAAAAACGATAGGAGCACAGCTAACATTTTCTGTAGGGGATAAACCCATCAAAAACTTTACTATAATTGAAAGGCATTATTTCAGGAATGTCTTATTGAGGAGCTACGAATTCTAATTTCCATTTTGCATTCCAAATTCAACGAATACATGGGAACATATCTATACAATTCCAGAGATTGCGGAAGATATTGTAAGGATACTTATTTATTAAAGAAATAATTAATGATAGAAAATCCTTTTGATACAAAATCAGATAGTTTTTATTTCGTTGGTGACACTTTGGTTATGCATAATAAGGCTGAATATGATTACTCTCCAATAAATGAATGAGTCAATAATTATATATATAATTAAATGAATTTATGTAATTGATGCTTATTCTTAAATTGAATATTAATAATCTAATCATTTTCTTCCAAGGGATGTTTATGAGGCTAAGGCTCTAACTTGATCCTTGAACAATTAGATGACAACATCGATGATAGCATTCTCCTCTAATAAAGGGTTAAATATATTAAGTACCTTATCTTCTTGCAGTTTCTGAAGCATAGAATTCTCTTTTCTCTTCCAAATCAGCAGTGGCACCAGCAACGGCATTCAATGAGTCTTTCCATAATTTGAGAGCTTTAGCTTATTGAGCAAGAACTGCTGGAAGTTGCTATACAATACTTAAAACACAATTCATACAGTTTCTAATTTTTCAACAAGACCTGTTCTTCTTTCATGTTCAGAGTTCAACCAAGCAACTTCGGCATTGGTGTCAGATACGTATTTTGCAAGTGCGAAAGCAGCATGGATTTCTTATGTTTAGAGTGTAGCAAGGGTTGCCTCTAATTCAGCTTATAAGTCTGATAAGATGGCAAGAACTTGTTCTCCAGTTGTACCGTCTCTCTTTACTTCAGCAAGTGATTAGAATTTTTCCATGGCATCTTATTAGAAGAGGTGACTGTAGGCAGACAATTTGTCAGCTATGGTTTCAGCCTTTTGAACTAATTCAACACCAGCATTGTTTGTGAGCCATCCAGCAACGTCTTGTGATAAGAGTTAAACAACTGCAACTGCATCACCATGATCAGCCAATGATTTGACAAAGAGTCCATTAGCCCAACATCTTTAGTCTTAGAGTTAAGCATTTCTTCTTTCAATTTCAGCAAGTCTTGCTTCAGCCCATGCCAACCATGAATATCCATCCTAAATCTTAAGGGGAAATAGCATACTCTAATTTAGGCTTCAACATCAGTACGAACGGCACCCAATCTTTCCCATTATTATTTGTTAAGGGAAGCAACATTTGTCAAGTCACCAATAACTTAAGAAAAGATTTCTATTTTTAATTTATATTATACCCTCATCTGTATTATTCTTCTTATCAGCAGCAGCTTAGGACATTAACATTTTCTGTTTTCAAATCTCTCAAAAGGTTGTAAACTGATTCAACAGCATCGTTTCCTCTAGTACCAGTTTGGAGGAGGACGGCAAATTTGTTTGTGTCAATAGCGAAGACAGCAGCCACTAAGCAAAGGGCAACAAGAGTTCTCATAATTAATTTATTAATACCAAAAACGGAATAAAAATTCTTCGTTTTAATAATACAATAATCACTAATTAATTATTAATTAACTTAGATTAATCCACACTTCCTATCAAAATCTTTGATTTTCATACTTTCACCATAGCCATACACTTCATTCAAATAATTGTATATATAAATACACTATGTAAGCCTGAATTCTATATAAATACTAAACTATAGATTTCATTTTCTTTTTATAAATAACGATTTTATACTTTTTCACCAACTGTGATTAAATCACAATCGTATATTTTTGTATTATTTATAATTAGTGCGTTTTGATAAGCATTTCTCAAATAAATTCTTATATTTTATATATTTTATTAAAGAAACAATATTTACAATTTAATTATGTTTAGACAGAACCTTCAATATTTTAGACTACTTTTAAACTAAAGATATTAAAGATCTTTATAGTATTTCAATATAATTTTTGTACCTCATATTAGAAATTTATAATGAATAATGGCATTCCAAAATACTACAATCACTAAAATTATAGAGAAAAGTGACTTAAAAGGATTTCATCAAGAAACAAAAGTACTCACGAACAATTGGATTTACAATAATATTGTTCATTTGTCTTCATTTTAAGTACTTTAATAATCACCTCAAGTTGACTGATTTCTGTTTCATAAACTTCTTTTCTATTTTCCTACATTAATCTAATTATAGAATCAATATAGATGATTTATGGACTTTGGTCTAAGAATGAGTGGAAATAATCTTAGAATTAATTATTATTATCAATAGGGTTATGATAAATGAAGGATTTTTTATACTATCACAATAATTAACACAATCAAATTAATCCAGATTGGCAATCATTTGATTGTCTTTTTCTTTTAACTTAAATCTAATTCCACAATCATTTGGATTATATTTAACAGAAATTTCTGTTTTGACTGAAACTCTAAAATAGACGTTAGAGACCGATATTTATATTAATTTTTGTTTTATGAATTAATATGATCGTTTATAAAACTTCTAATCATTAAATATAAACAGATATAAAACAATATAATAAAGTGTATAAAAACACATTTAGAATTAATTGAAAAAATAATGTGAGAAAACTAAATATTAAGAGCTTATCGTGTTAATTTAGAATAAGAATCATTAATTTATTATTCAAAAAATTTTTAATAAATTAAATTACATTAATAAATATTTTTTGAGATTTGAAGAAACTTTAGGATATTAATTAAGCGAAAAGTTTGATCTAGAAACTTGTTTTATTATTAGAGATTACTAGGAGAGGAATTGAGATCGGATTCCAGAGAAATATTGATTAGTTGAATAATTTAGTTAAAAAAATCTCAATTTGATGAAGTTGAAACCTTTTTATATATTGATCAAGGATATTATTATCTAAAATGTGATTAGTATTTGAAAATATTATGTGAGAAAGAGAGACAGGATTTAATTAATTATTCAATTTACAATTCATCAAAGGGATTAGTCTATGTTTAAGAAATTCCTTTAGAGACATTTCCTGCGAATATTAAATTGATACAAATCTTAAAATTGATATCTTTTAATATATTCTTACTTTTAATTGATTTTTATTAATGTTAATTAATATTATTCTTTACAATTCTAATGGACAATCAATCTGGAACTAATGAGTCAGAGAAATAATCTCAAGAAATTATTAAGCTTTCTTTCTATGAAAGTACGTAAAAATAATTTAGCTTGTTAATAAAGATATGCAAAACAGTCATAAAACTAGTCAATAGAAAGATGAGAGAATAAATGAATTATTAAGGAAAATTCCATCTGAAATTCGATAAATTTATGATAGTTTGGGTCCTCTGTATGATGTAAACCCCAAATACTAAATTATATAACAAAACGATGGAAGTGTATATTTTGTTTAAGGAGATGGAAGTAGAAAAATTGGTACAGGTGTATAAATCTGGCCAGAATAAGGAAATGTGTTAGATGGGTAAAATAGATGATAAATTATATATTTAGAAATTGGGATAATGATCAATTAGAAGGTTATTGTAGGATGGTGTATTCAAATAAAGATATATATCAATTAATAATAAAAGTAATTAGTTTTGAGTACTTATTTAAATAAGGAAGAGCCAATGGATTTGGACTGTTTCAAACATCGGAAAAGACAGTGAAAGGTAATTTAGGGTGAAGAAATTAGGGATTTGGATAGATAATAATTTATCTGGAGAGGGATAGGAGTTTCGAAAGGATGGATAACGATATTACGGATAGTTTTAGGATGGATAAAAAAATGGTTAGGGCATTATCTATTTTAAAGATGGATACAAGTAGCATTTGATTTATGATAAAAATAATAGATACGAAGGGGAATTAAGGAAAAACTTAGCAGATGGGTCGGGGACTATGATTTGGAGTGATTGCAGCTACTACGACGGTGAATTTAGATTGGGAGTCATAAAAGGGAGAGGAGTTTATCTGAGTGGAAATGGATACAGTTTGATGGGATATGTAATAGGAAATTGAATTTTTGGTTTTAGTTCAAAGAGGAGGCGCAGAAGGAGAGAAAGAAGAAGATTTAGAGAATTATATATAAAAATGAGAGCGGATCAAATTTAATAATAGAAAAAATTAGATAACTATGACATTAGAGTTTAGAAAATCAAATGATAATAATATATATATTCTTATTTGCAGTTTTGTAGTATGAATATGAAGAACACTAAGAAAATTGAATAATAATGTGATTATATGTTTAATTAATATGAAATGAAAAATTCGTTTTTGCCTTTTTTTAGCAAAATAATCCTTAGAAGGAATTCATTATTAATTACAATAAATGTTCAAAGTTGCCGTGTGTGCATTGTTAGTACTAGCCTCAACAGCCATAAACGTCTAATCCTCAATTTGGACAAGCAAAGACCAAAAAGCATTTGCTTAGATCCACCAATCTGGTTGGGGTAAATTCATCTTGAACTTTGCTGAACTCCATTTAACAACAGGAGGTATTCTTTCTGAGCTCAACTCTGAGATTGAGAAGCTTGTACTTATTGAGAGTTAATATGTTTATAGATTGGTGAAATGGAAGAGGAATTGGCCGGAGTTCATCATGAATTCAACAGAAGAACAGATGTCCACAACAGAGAAGTCGCCAGACTCGAATAAGAAATCTAAGATAAGGAAAGAGGTACTTTATCGGTTTTACTATTTCCTTAGAATTGTTCAATGCTCACGATTTCTATGACAACGTCCTCATCCCATAAGGAGAAAGATTTGCTGCCTAACTTGAATAATTATAAGAAAACATTGCTCATAACAGATAAACCCTTGAATAAGCAACAGTCTAAAGAGCCAATGATCACGAAACATTCGAATCTGAAGTTGTCGAACACAACGATGCTATTTCTGCTATTGACGAATGCTTATAATTGTTGAGCACAATTGCAGCACCATCTCTTGCTGAAGTCAAGAAGGTCTAAAAGAATTTGGCCAAAATCCAAAACTCATTGAAAAAGCACAATCAATTCCAAATCTTTGTTAAAGTTTTATTGGAAATCACAGTCGATTCCAACTTTGCTGACTAAGGTGCTCTTAGAGATGTAATTTCTTAACTAATATCCTATAGATTATTGTCGCCTTCAATAACTTGAGAGTTGAATTAGTTGATTCACTCAATCAAATCACTGCTGATGAAGCTGAATAAGTTGCCGACTATAACGCTTAAGTCATTGCATTGAACTAAGAACACGCTGAATTCTAAAGAGCTGTTGTTGTTAAGAATGCTGAAATCGAAGCCAACACAAGTATTCATTTCAATCTAACAACCAATAGCCAAATAAGAATAAACTCTTGACTTAATTGATGAACTTGATGAAGATTTGGCCACCCTCAATGGATAATTGTAAGCTGAAAATGACGACTATGCCTTTGCTACTGACGTCTATAATGCCACCGTTGCTGAATACAACAAGGAAATCAATGCTGCCAATTAAGCTTTAGATTTGCTCAACCAACCAAGATTCCAAGACTATGTTAAATCATAACTCAAGGGAGCATGAGATATTACAAATATATCAAAAGCATATCAATTATTCTTAATTAATAATTTATTTCTCCCCTCATCTATCATACGATTATCAGCCAAAAGTACTTTAGAAACCAACATTATTATCTATGCTTATTACTTTGCCCAAATAAACCATCATATCAAACGTTAATCAATAATAAGCAGAGTTACACATTTGTAAAACAGAGGGCAAAAATGTATAAACTATTATGTTTTGAATCATCATTCATTCCATATAAAGGAATAAGCAAGAATAAAATATATAATTTAAATATAATAGATGATATTCATCAACAGCAACCAGAATCCTTTTGACTATCAATTTGGACTGCTTCTGTGATTTATTAATTAGTTTTCTTTTGAGTGTAGATAGAATTGTTTTTATTTTTAGAATGAATTTCTACATTGAGTATCAAAGCTTTACCATTGATGAGTTTGTTAAACGCCTCATTAACATTCGCTCCATCCTTAGCACTGGTTTCAAGGAAGGCAATCTTGTGTTTGGAAGCATAGGCAGATGAAACATCTGAAGAGACCTATCTTAAATGTCTGAGATCAGATTTATTCCCAACCAAAATGATTGATATCTCATTTGAAGTGCTTTCTTGAACCTCCTATGCTTATTAAAAGGATATTACCTTCATCCACCGATCCACATTATCAAATGTAGATTATTTTGTAATATCAAAAACAATTAAAGCTCCGGATGCACCTTTATAATAGGATGAGATGATGGCTCGATAACGTTCCTGAACTTAATAGAACGATTTACCTATCCAGCTGTATCCCATAATTACGCTTTGATGATTTTATCGTCTATAACTAGCTATTTATTGGCAAATTCCACCTAAAAATCATAATTTATTACACCAACTGTAGTTTTAGTTTCTTCTGAGAATTCTCCTCTTGTAAATTGAGTCATAATGTTAGTTTTACCAACTCCTGAATCCCCTATGATAACTATTTTATATTGATAATCGTAATCGTCAGAATTTCTCATTCTTAAATAATAATTATTGCTATATTGATATAAATATTACTACATCAAGAATTTTAGAACATTGTAATTTGGACTTATTAGATGATTAAATAATGAGAAATATTTATTTATTCTGAAATAATGCATATTTAAAAAAAAGCCCACTCATCTTTAAACCTAGCTAAGAACGATAGCTTTGATACTCCTGAGAAGAAAGTCACTCATTCACATTCTAATAATCAAGAAAGCACATAGAAATAATCTATATAGGTGGATATAGCAAATTATAATCATCCTCCTGATATGTCAAAATTGATTCCGGTGAACAAAATCTACAGTGCTTATAAGGTATTAAAGAATGTGGTAACAAGAACGCCCACATAAAAATCAATGAAACTTTCTGAATATTTTGGAGCTAATGTCTACATTAAAAGAGTATGACTATGTATAATTTTAGGAAGATCTACAAATTGTAAGAAGCTATAAATTAAGAGGAGCTTATAATAAGATAATTTCAATTCCTGAAAATGAAAGACATAGAACAGTATTCTGTGCTAGTGCAGGTAATCATGCACAAGGTGTAGCTTATGTTTGTAATCTAATGAAGATTAATTGTATCATATACATGCCTACTAATACTCCTAGTATTAAGTTTAATGCTGTGAAGTATACAATGTCATCTAATTTTAGATCTTGGGGAAAACAATATGCCTAAATCGAATTAGTCGGAGATACATTTGATGAGAGTTTCAGAGCAAGTAGAGAAAAATGCAATACTGAAAATGGGATTTATGTTCATGCATTTGATGATGAAAAGATAATTGAAGGATAAGGAACAATAGCAGTTGAAATTTTAGAAGATATTAATGAGGATTAAGTAGATTTCATGTTCTTCCCAGTAGGAGGAGGAGGATGCGGAGCAGGCATATCATCTTATTTCAAATAAGTCAGTCCTTAGACTATATTAATTGGAGTAGAACCTGAAGGGTATGTACAAAAATATAAATTTAGATCTCCTTCAATGTATGAGGCTATTAAGTAATAGTAAATAGTAGAGTTGGAGACTATTAACACATTTGTGGATGGTGCAGCAATTAAAAAGTCAGGGGCTAAGCCATTTGACATATTAAATTCAGTATTAAAGGAAGTGGTTTTGATACCTGAAGGTCATGTATGCACTACTATGATGAAATTGTTTAATGAGGAAGGTATTCTAGTTGAACCTGCAGGTGCCTTAGCAATTAGTGCACTTGATAGATTCAAAGAATAAATTCAAGGTAAGACTGTAGTTTGTTTGATTTCTGGGAGTAATAATGATTTAGGAAGAATGACAGATATTAGAATGTTATCAGAGATTCATTAAGGGTTGCAATATTACATGTTTGTAAACTTTTTCTAAAAGCCAGGAGCATTAAAACAATTCTTAATTCAATGTTTAGGTATAGAATTTATATATAATTAAGGTCCAACTGATGAAGTCACCAATTTGGAATACACAAGAAAAAACAATAGAGAAAAGGGGCCTGCTTTAGTGGGAGTGAAGGTTAAAAAGCCTCAAGATTTTGAAGCCTTGAAGAATAAGATGGAAGAATTAAAGATTACACATAGAATATTATAACCAAACCAAGAAATATTCAAAATGTTATTATGATTTACAAATATTAAGGAATATTAGATATTTCATAATACACTTATTATTTGGATATTATTTAAATGAAATAAGTTCTCATTTTAGTATTCAATCTATATCATGTTCTTTGTTAAGATGAATTGCTTGCTGTGTAGGCCATTTGGAGACATGGGGCAAGAAATCCTTATTTCTGCAATTATGAATGTGATCTGAACGTAGCAAAAGGAGATAGTGCTTTATTAACACCTACCGGAATGAGACAATAATATATATTGGGAAAATGGTTAAGAAAAAGATATATTTAAGTTACCCCACTTTTGTCATCAACATTTAATGAAAATGAAATATACATAGAAAGTTCAGATGTCAATAGGTAATTGTAGCCTCCTCAAATTCTAGGACTCTGTAAAGTGCTTATTGCAACCTATAAGGTATGTATCCAGAAGGACCTAATGTACCTCATTTTGTGGATGAAAATGCTTAATTGCTTTTACCTCCCAATAAGGGAGCTGTTACTCCTGCAGGAATAGGAGATTATGCCTTGCCCAACAATATTTAATTAATACCCATACATACCAAACAAAAAGAAACGGATTATGCTCTTGCACTTTCATGCCCAAAAGGTTCTGAAATGGTTGTTCAAAACCTAAAAACGGACCTATATAAAGAGGTTAATGATTACAGTTCAAAATTATACAAAGACTTTAATGAATAGGTAAATTTAACTGGTGATCAACAAGTGAATGACTTCATCACACTTTCTGATTTTAGAGACACATTTGTTTGTAATAGATACAATGGAGATAAAATGCCTGAAAATTTGAAAGCAGAAACATTATAACAAATTGATGATATCGCTAATTTGGCATTTAGTCTTGAAAGGTTCTAAACACAAGAGTATCTATTTTATTTATTCTTTTATATTAGATAAGTAAATCTTTATTCAACTCCTTACTTTAAATAAGTTTTTGATCGTTTTGATAGCATTTTGAATGGTACTTCTAATTTTAAGTATTATGGATCCTCTTCTCATGATTCTACCATATTGGCTGCATTATCTGCTCTTAATTTGACAAGTGCTTAATGTTAAGCTGATATTTATCTTAAAAAAAATGTAACTCACCCATATTGCATTACAAAAGTATCGATATTTATGGATTCATTAGTATATTGATTTTGCATTTAATTTAATATTTGAACTCTACAATAATTCAATCACTGGACCATATGTTAAAGTATTATATAATGGTGAGTATATGCCTCTGTGTTCTATTTAAGGTAACACATGCTTATATTCAAACTTACGGTCTAAATTAATGGCAACATAAGTTGATTATAAAAAGGAATGTGGAATAGCTAAAGATGATGAAATACTTGTAAAAATTATAATTTATTTTTATTAATCAGATCGAAGAGGAAACCCCTGGTTGGGCATTAGTATTTTTCATCGTAGTTTTGTTGCTATTAATCGCTGGAGTAGGCATAGTCATACTAATTAAAAAAAAGATAGCAAATTTAAAATGAGCTTTTTCATTTATTTTATCATAAATCAAGACAACTTCACTAAAATAAATTTTGAATCTTTGACTTATAATTAGATACTTTTTAATTCTCACATCAGTTTTCATATAAATATTTTTAAGAATTTATGCATAACGATAACCAAAAAACAAATTTAGAATTTGAAAATTAACGAAATGCTGATAATGATATTATTTAAAAGAGTTTTAAGTAATAATATATTTAAATTCAGTGAAAAAAATCTAAGTTTAACTATTGTTTATATAATTAATATTAATAAGTTTAAAAATCTAATGATTTTCATTTCAGTTTGTTCATCAATTATCAGTTGAAATGATTATTTCAATAAATTATATAAATTTTATTAGAAGGTATAAAAATTGAATATTGTATTTAATATTTTAGTGTGTATATTTTTCAAAAAATAATATAATAACAATTATCAAGTAATTTTTTACAATAATGAAGTAATTCATGTTCTTTTATGAGTTAATCCTTCACAATTTAAAGAACATTCAACTACTCTTATTTGTATCTACTAATTCTCTTTATTATTTTTTTATTTCTTAAAACAAGATCTTATGACAACTCTTAGAACTTTTATTGATTTTCAAATTTTTCAGATATTCTTGCAATCATTTCTTTTTTGGAATATCTCTATTATTAAATTAATGGTTATTGTTTTAACGTATCAATATTCTAGATTTTAATACTGATTATATCAATTAAATCTTTATAGTGATCTTGCAATAATAATGGATGTATTTTTTATGCTCCGTTATCCTTAACATTGTCAAACAATATTGATTAACAAAATTGTTCAATAAAGTATAGAGAATGCAAGAATAATTTAGATTGTTGTTATTCTGTTTTCAAGAGACCTTGCATACACAAGCTTGGTAGCATTAAAACAAAAAAATGATCAGAACGAGTTTCATTTTCATAAGGGTATAAGATGTTTTATTCCTATATTTATTTAATAGCATCATTTGTTTTATATAATAACTCATATGTCTAAATTAAAGCAATCTTATTTAATTTTTTTATTTAGATATCTTTCATAATCTAATAGCAATCAATTGTTTTTATTCCAATAAATGCTACATTAGATGATTTAATCTAATATATTGCACTAATAGGCAATTTATTCAAGTTGACATATTCAACTAATTATTTTTACATATTTTCAGTAATCAAAATTATTTGATATATCTTCGAAATGGATAATAAGGCTTCTTTTAGGTTTTTTAAGACATAGACTTATTAATTTTGCAATAATTTCTAGAAGTAATGCTCCTTTGTATTTTAATACTCAAAATAAAGATCACTTTAGACAAAATCAGATTATAAACCATAGTAACTTCCCTCACAAAACCCAAGTAATTCATCAAATTGTAGTATTGCTAGATTAGAGATCTATTAATTGATAGTTCTTATGAGCAAAGGCTTCAATTGAACTTTGTTGATGAATTCTTTTCTAATAGTTTATTCTGGAATAGGATTAGGAGTTAATGGTTTATTAAATTAAATTTTAATGGGTTTCGATAATTCAAATAAGGGTTTGATTTGGTTAATTTAGCAATCTAATGAACAGTTGCTAGGAGGAGTAGACTGAATTACTGGTTTTGGAGTGAGTTATTGTTTGATATCTAAACGTTCAATAGACAATTCGTTGTTATATTTTTTATAAATTCGAGTTCCAATATTCTTATTGTACTACTGAAAACTACCTTTAATAAGTTTGCCAGGTAATTTAAATTATTCTTTTTCTTTCCTTTATTATTAGATATTGCCATTTCCTGGTTTTATTTTATATTTTTATAATATAAGATCAGCGCAAATATTCTTGTTAAAACTATTAGTAGTTTCAAATGATTCCTTTTCTAATTTAGTATCACTGATTTAATATGATTTTGCACTAATTTATGGCAAAATAATTCTTTATTCTTCAGTTGAACAATTTAGTGCCATTAATGTTTAATAATCCTTCTTCCAATAACCTTAAATTAATGCTTTTGGTGAATATGATTGATTTGTCCTAAATTCTTTAGCTGATATTGAGTGAACATAATGATCATTGACATAATACTATTAAATTGGATCGATTTTGGATAATGCTTGAATCATTATTATTTATAATATAATACACCAATATACTGAAATAGTTATGGTGTAATTCACATATAAATTAAATGTATAATTTTGCTTTATCAAGTTATGATCAAATACTTACCTGGCATAATAATAGAGATTTCACCAAAATGTATCATATATCAGAGTATAATGAAAAAATAAACTGTTAGAAATTTCAAATAATAATATGTAGTATTCAATTTTTAAATAGAGGTTTTAACTAAATTTGGAGAATAATATCATGTTAGTTTTATTTTCATTTTTGATTTTAAACTTTATAGAAATAGTTCTAAATTAATAAAATTGATTGAATTCTAAGTCATCATTAAATAATTTAGTTTATGCATTAATTTCTTTACAATTTATAAATTATCAAAATAAATCGAATTTCTTTTATCAAATAATTCATCAATTTCAAATAAATGATTTAATTGTTATTCTTATGTCATTTGATAAAGATAACACAAAGTACTATCCATTTATACTAAACAATTGTTATTAAAAATGGAATATTAGTAATCCTTTTTTTATTTGTATACTTAGAATATAATGGTTAATTTTTTAAATTAAAATTATTAAGATTTTAATCAATGAAGAGTGAACAATAATAGAAAGTAGCAACTAAAACAATCAAGAAAATCAAAGTGAATAAAAAGGCACCAGTTAGGTAATTTAAATTATGAGATGAAGATTGTGGGTTAAGGCTGTATTTACAGGTTTCAGAAGGTCCAAAGTTTAATAAAATGAGAATTAGGCTTTATTAAAGATTCAACATGTTGATGATGTTTCATCAAGTAGATTCTATTGGGGCAAACGAGTTGCCTATATTTACAAGGCTCACTCTCTCAAAAACAATACTAAATTTAGAGTAAGGATTATGAGTTTATATGAAGACAATTTGGGGTAGAATCAGCAGATCTCATGGATCAAATGGAATAGTGATTGCTCGATTCAATAGAAATCTTCCACCAAGAGCAATAGGATCAACTTTGAGAGTATTCCTCTATCCAAATAGAGCTTGAGTTAAATTTAAAAATATATATATATGTACATTAATTTCCAGAAATTAAATAAAAGAAATTAATTTTTTTAATATGAGTCAAGCACCATAGGCCGGATAATCATAAGCACAGAAGTCGAATACATTCAACAAATCTGAAAAAACAAAGGATATTCGATTGACCAATATATAAGCAGCCAAAGGTATGATAAATGAAGAGTAATCCATTAGCTGTGTCAGATGCAGTAAGAACAAGCTTAGGTCCAAGAGGTATGGACAAGATGATTTAAGATGCCAAGGGTTAAGTCTTGATTACAAATGATGGTGCTACAATCTTAAAACAAATGGATTTGGTTCATCCTACAGCTAAGATGGTATGAATTAATAATTAATTATTCAAAGTTGGTAGAGATTTCAAATGCCCAAGATGTCGAAGCAGGTGACGGCACAACTTCAGTAGTTGTATTTGCAGGTGCTCTATTGAAATCATGTGAGGTGCTATTGGAAAAGGGAATCCATCCAACAACAATTTCGGAGGGATTTTAATTTGCATTGGAGCATGCTCTTACAGCATTGGACGAATTGAAAAAGCCAGTAGATTTAGAGAATAAATAATAATTAATTGAGTGTGTCTAAACAGCACTTTCATCAAAAGTTGTTTCATCAAACAGTGCTTAATTGGCTCCATTGGCAGTAGATGCTGTTTTAAGAATTGTCGATCCTCAAAAGCCAAACAATGTTGATTTGAAAGATATCAAGATCGTGAAGAAATTAGGAGGAACCATAGATGACACAGAATTAGTTGAAGGCATAGTCTTTTCAAATTAAAAGGCAAGTTAAGCCGCAGGAGGTCCATAATAAATTAATAATGCCAAAGTTGCTTTATTATAATTCTGTCTATCCGCTCCCAAGACTGATGTTGAAAACTCCATAGCCATTAAGGATTACACTGAAATGGACAAAATCTTAAAAGAAGAAAGAAAATATATTATTGATTTAGTCAAGAAGATAGTTGCTTCAGGTGCCAATGTTTTATTGATTTAAAAAAGTATTTTGAGAGATGCAGTTAATGATTTGTCATTACACTTTTTGGCCAAAAAAGGCATCATGGTTGTTAAGGATATTGAAAGAGATGATGTTGAATTTATTTCTAAGGTAATTTATATTTTATATTTGTATAGACCTTATGTTTGGTTCCAGTTGCTCATATTGATTAATTGACTCCAGAAAAACTAGGTACTGCTGGATTAGTAGAAACAGTTCATTTGAATGATGAAAGCAAAGTATTGAGAATCACTAAAGTCCCTGCTCAATCTAAGGCCTTGACTATTTTGGTTAGAGGATCAAATCAATTAGTCTTGGATGAGGCTGACAGAAGCATTCATGATGCATTGTGTGTTGTTAGAAGTTTAGTGAAGAGCAAAGGATTGATTCCAGGAGGAGGAGCACCAGAAATTCATTTATCTTTAAGATTAACCCAAATGGCTAATACATTGACAGGAGCCAAGTCTATGTGTGTTAGAGCATTTGCTGATGCTTTAGAAGTCATCCCTTACACTCTTGCTGAAAATGCAGGTATTTTGATATAACAAAATTGTTAGGTTTGAATCCAATCAATGTTGTAACAGAATTGAGAAATAGACATCTTAAATCATAAAAGTTTGCAGGAATTGGAATGAAGAAAGTAAATCTAAATTGTTATTTTAGAATAATATTGTCGATGATATTACAACCGAATAAGTTGTCCAACCTATTTTAGTCACTAGAAGTGCTTTAAGTTTGGCTACAGAGTGCGTTAGAATGATTTTGAAAATAGATGATTTGGTCATCTCAGCACGTTGATCAATAATATATTAAGTATATAATAAATAAATAAATGTTAACTAACTAGAGATCTAAACCTAAACTCAAACCTGTCTTCAAATTCAAATACTTCTTAAAAACTATAGGTTTACCTGAAGTTTTGAAGGATTAAAGTGGTAGACTAAGAAAATCTGTTGAAAATAATCAATTCCCATTATATCAAAATATCAGTAGTTCTGTTAGAAAGAACGGTTCCACTATTTAACAATCACTCTTGCCTACTGTTACAAATAGAAAATCCCTTGTGATTGAACCCATTTCATATTCCATCAATAATCTTGATCATTTAATACCAGATAAAAGCATTAAAAATAAAAAAAAAAATTACAAGAAATTTAAGAATTTAAGCATTTATATGAATTCAAATGAATACATCAACTTAACTAATGATGAATTGTAGGCAGTCTAGTCTATTAAAAACAGCCCAAACAAATAATAAAGCTACAATAAATAATAAGATTAAAAAAAAACCAGAAAATAGAAGTTGATTGAATTTTTGAAAGGCCAACATCATAACATGTAGTTTACGACTATATTATAGAAGAAAACTTAAAAAGATCAAGCTGTGCTTCCTTCTTTCATTATTACTAAATATCAGGAACTTCAGTTTTGACACCTTTTTTATTTTTTAAATTGAATTACATATTTTGAATAAAAATGTTAAGTGTTGAAAACCCTAAACAAAAGAAATTCTATAAAATAATTACTCTAAATCATATATTTAAATCAAACTTAGTATTTATTATTATTTAAATTATGGATTCAATAATTTGAATAAGTTCATTTTTAGATAATTTTAATCTTTATAAGGTGAGTTCTTAGATATTATCTAATTCTTCTATAATGAATTTATTAAAATAAAAAAATAAATCAGAATGCGATGATCATTTATGTCTGAGAGTATTTAGAAAATTACCTAAGTTTGCCTTTTTCCCATATAATATGTATTCATATTAGATAGATTTTTTCTTTGTAGCTAATTATAAAGAGGAATAATTACTCTAAAAGTTAGTTGGACCATATGCTTTTTTTAAGTCTGCTTGTTTTTTAGTTAATGTTGGCAATTTCACTGAATCCAAAAGGTGTATATTCTTATTCTTAAATGAATTTTATAGGATTTTATTCGTTTAATTGAATAATGTCTTTTTATGCAATATATGGGAAGTATTTTACTCTTCTTCTGTCAGGGAATCATCGCTTATTTTTAATAAAATGGTTACTTTTTTTTTAAAAGTTTAATTGATTATAAACTGGTTTCTAATAATTTTTACTATTCTTGATCTCTTAATTCTTTAAAGTAGGGATGCCTAAGTGCTTGTTTTGCATTGATACGTTCTTCTGGATCATACACTAACATCTATTTAATTAAATCAACAAGATCTTTAGGAGCATGTGGAATCAAATTCTCTAATCCAGTTCCAACTTTATAAGGAAAATTGATTTCCATATGAGTTGCATGCTTCCTGAATCTATCAAGAACCTTTGTATTGGGTGTTCCCAAAATATTGTGTATTCGATGGACTTAATCTAATTCGTTACTTCCAGGAAACAAAGGAAATAAGGCTGTGATCTCGAATAAGACACAACCAGCACCCCAAATATCCATTTTACTGTCATAATAACCATCAGTCATTAAGCATTCTGGTGATCTATACCATCTGGTTGAGATATATTCTGTATATGGATGTTTGGAGTAGATTCCTTTACACGAACCCAAATCAGCCAATTTAAGATGATCTCCAAGCAACAAAATATTTTCACTAAAACCAATCAATTCAAATCTTACGGTTTAATATCTCTGTGAAAAATATTATTCGAGTGTATAAAATCAATGGCTTTGAGCAATTGATATGTATAACTCCTAATCTTCTCTTATTTTAATAGTATTTTTCTACCTAATTATATGTATTGTTATCTCTTACCTTTAATATGTTCATACAGATTTTGTTCCATCAATTCGAAAACCAATGCCAATCTTCCAGTAGGTTCATCACTAATTAATATGAATGATATTTTACTATAATACTTCGATTAATTTAATAATGTGTTCATGATTTTATAACTTTCTTAAAGCTTGAATTTCTTTGAGTTTGTTAACCAATATTAGAATTAAAATACAATACTTAGTCAATAGTTTGGAAGACTTGTTTCATGCATTTTATTGCAACCAATTAACTAGTTTTTATTGATTAAGCTTTTAGAACCTCTGAAAAAGTGCCTTCTCCCTTCTTGGTTATCAATCTGTAATCTAATACTTAACAATAATAAATTTACTTTACATCTGATTAACACTTATATAATAATATAAATTATGTTTTTATTATTTTTAAAATTAGAATTAAAATAATATATTCACTATGTTTAAAACTAGATTCCCTCTTTCCTATTAGAATTCACTCACAATACATTTAAACTCAATTATTAAATAAACAATATTATTTAATAAAATAATCATTCAAAAATCAATTGATATTATGTTCAGGTTTATTTAGATAATATATTCATGATTCAAATATATATTATATAAGTAATCATTTTATATATTAATAAATAAATTTTCTATTGATATATCATTTATTTGAATGGATGACTGTTAATATTGATATTGATTCTTTTTTGGAAGATTGATTAATAAATAATATTTAATTATTGTAGAATTCTATTTGAGAATGATGATCAATTAAATTGATTCTAACTGTTGGATTAAAATAGTAATTGAATTTCAAATATTATTTTAAATTGCTAGATATTAAACATAAATGGCTGAAAGATTAAATGATATAAAACATTTTTATTTTTTTTAAATTATATTAATTAAATAAAGTATGTAAAAGAGACCAGAGGATGCAAAGAAAGAGGAGCAATTATTCATATACTTGTAGAAATCGTATGCAGATGCATAAAAGGTAGAGTTTCTTATATATTTTAATAGGGAATTCCAAATTCAATGAATAAAATCATTGAAGAAGTTTGCCGAAAGAATAAAGACATACCATAAATAGGTTTGTGGGTTGAATTATTTAATCGGCTGTTGCTTTAATTGCAACGCAATGGCAATGATGCCAAAATGGTCATCGATATAGTATTGTATAAAATACCATGGTTCACTTCTGACAATCATTTCTAAGTCTTACCTTAATTCAAAAAGATTTTGTTCACTATTCTGTCTATGTCTCCCTCGTAACTAGTTACTATCTATCGTTTTTTGGTCTAAAAGTTGAGTCTTCAAATGTACATCCATCATTTAACTATTCAGGCTGATCGATTCAGAATAAACTCGAGATGATATTCCATGTGAAGTGATGGGCCAGTCCTATCCCAGCAAAGCCGCATTGTAATAGCAGATCTTGGTAATGACTGAAGCCTATCAATTGACTGCTGAAAATTAGATTGTTAAACTGTCAGAATCTCACAAATAATTTATTAAAGAAATATTGATTCATCATCCCAAAGCAGATGAAAAATTGAAAGGTATGTAAGATATTGGATATGGATACTTCCCATCCAAAAATAAATCGAAATGTTTCTACATCATCAAAAAGGTATAAAGCTAATTAGATTTTGTAGGATAATACATAAGAAGATATTTCATACATAAAAGGAATAGATGGATTGTACAATGATATTTATAGAGACAAATATTTTAAAAGTAGTAATAATATTCATTCTGATGCTGCAATTCAAATTATTTGTGAAATAATTTAAATCTATAAATTAAGTAAAGAGAAATTATTAGAAACACTTTCTGATCTATTTCCACATAAGAATCAAAGTGAAATTCATTAAAGAGTTTATGCTACTAATTGTATGAAACTTAGTGATCGCATTCCTGAACTCAGATCTCGTATCTTTAAGATGGTTTATATAAAGATTTTATAAATTGATTCAGAAATCAAGTATGATCCATAATGCAACAATTTCATTATTAAAACCACTTTGCAATAACAATTGAACAAGAAACATAGAGATGACATGTGCAAGAAGGTGGATCATTTATTATTTATATTATTTGATTATTTGGATTCCAAATTAGGAATTGCGAATAAGAGTATATTTCAAATGGAACTCAATGAGGATTTGATATTTAAAATATTTCGAGAGCTGCAATCAGTATTCTAAGAGATTATGTTAAAAAACCAATATTACAGAATGGCTCACTATGTGTTTCTATACTTTTGTTCTTTGCCAAACTCCTTACAAAGAATCAATTAGTTATTTCTCTCATAGTTAGTCTAAAACATAAGATCTGTAATATATTAATATTATCATTTAGAATACACTCTCTAAAACTGAAAAAATCAATTCTCTTTATTATTTGTCATCCTTATTGGTTAGATGCAATTCTATAAAGAGCACAGTTTTTGTGAAAGCAGTCGAATTACTATTGGAATATTTGAATGATAAATCCTAATAAATCGAGGTTGAATTGGAACATCATCTAGTACAAATGATGATATTCTTAATATCTACTAAATCACCTTAATTAGAGATCCTTAAAAACCAAATTCATGAAGCAATTCTTAAGAAAAGTTCAACCTTATAACACATACACTATGATATCTTGGTAAAATTCAATGAGGTTTTGTTGAGATCAAAATCTGACGATTTGAGATAGAAACTTATTGAAATAACTGCAAATACAATATCAAAGCATATTGGTAATAACTGTTAAGGAGATTTAATTACTAATTACCATAGTCCAAATACACCTTAAAAATTGATCTATGATCACGAGAGTCTGTTATCCAGAACATCAACTTAGAGAACGGTAGTTCATAAAAATCAATTGGACTTCTATCAGCCATTCAACAGTATGACTTTAATTTATTCTGAACCATTTATTAAGGAATTCTATAGATATGATTCGGAGTTGATAAAAGATGAAGGTGGTTCATTGAATAACAGTCACGTTGAAGAAAAAAGAATACCTCACTATCATGATGGAGAAAAGCCCTAAAAGAAAGTTAAATAATGAATTCTTTTAATTTATCTAATTTTATTTAATGTAATTAGTAAACGATGATCCTGTTTTTTAATTTCAGTTTTAAAATCGAGTTTGATAATTCCATAATACTGATTCAACTTTGAGGGTTCTAATTTTCTTAAGCTTTGAATATTTAAAATAAAAATTTTCTAGAACTCATCTCAAATTCAAAGTTGATAAAATAAATTATAACTATTAGAGAAATCAGTACATAAGAATATCTCCTTTTTTACAACATTATATTATATATTAAATATTTTAAAATAACATTAAATTGAATGACTTTCACAAATTTGCTAAATTAATCATTTTGAAATTGGGACCATTTCCTTCTAAAGCTATTTGAAGCACTTAATCTATTGTTTTCACCAAATGAATTGACATTTTCTCTCTAATTTCAGGTTCAACATCTACCAAGTTTGCTTTATTCCTATGTGGAATTATGACACTAAAATAATAGATTATAACTATACCTAAATATGCCACTCTCAAATGCTCCAAGAATTTTCTCTTTTATACCTCCAACTGGTAAGACTCTCCCTGTCAAAGTGATTTCACCAGTCATTGCAATATCACTTTTCACTTTCAATCCTGTGAGTAATGATACAATTGCTGTTGTTATAGCTACTCCTGCCGATGGTCCATCTTTTGGAGTTGCTCCAGCTGGAAAATGGATCTATAGTTATAATAGATATAGATTACATGAATATCAAGTGCATCAAAGTTAATATTTGTATTTGATTTGCTGAGTATTTTAATTTATGGCCAGTATGCTTTAATCCATCCAAATTGCTGTTCTTACACTTTCCTTCATTACATCTCCTAACATTCCAGTAATCTCAAATTTTCCTTTGCCTTCCATTTTCACTGATTCAATCATCAACACTTTACCTCCTGCTGGAGTCCATGCCAAACCTTTACATACTCCAGGTATTGATATTAAAGGAGTAGTATGCTTATCTGAATGGATGGATGGCCCTAATATTTCAATTAAACTTTCTTAATCTACAACAATGGTTTTAAAGTTTTATTAATCTGTTACATATTTGAGAGCAATATTTCTATAAATCTTGGCTATCACTCTTTCCAATTATCTGACTCCTGCTTCACTAGTGTGTTATTTTATTATTTTATGAATAATTTCCTAAGGTATTGTAACCTATTCATTCACTAGTCCATTTTTTTATAGTTATTTAGGTATCAGATAGCTATTAGCAATAGCTGCTTTCTCTTTAACTGTATAACCAACAATTTCTATTAATTCTAAACGATCTCTTAATGCTGGTTGAATAGTTTCTAATTGATTGGCAGTTGCTATAAATAATACGCTACTTAAATCAAATTCTATATTCAAATAATTATCCATGAAATGACTATTTTACTCAGGATCTAAGACTTCCAATAAGGCAGAACTAGGATCACCTCTATGATTAGATGTCAATTTATCAATCTCATCCAATAAAATCACTGGATTCTTGCATTTCACTTTTTTGATAGCCTAAATAAAGGATCCTGGAAATGCTCCAACATAAGTACGTCTGTGTCCTCTGATTTGAGCTTCATCAGATACTCCACCCAAGGCAATTCTATAAAAGGGACGATTTAGAGATTTGGCAATGCTTTAGCCAAGTGAAGTTTTACCAACACCAGGAGGACCAAAGAAACAGATGATTGATCCTTAGCCATTTGAATCAGCTACTTTTCTCTCTTTTCTTAATTTCTTTACTGCCAAGAATTATAATATTCTCTCTTTTACTTTAGTTAATCCAAAGTGATCAGCATCAAGTGTTTCCTTGCATTTTTCAATACTCAAAGATTCTTCTACTTATTAATTCCATGGTAATTGAAGTATCAAATCAATGTAATTTCTAGTTACATTTGAATCTACTCCCATTGATCCTTTTTCAATTTTCTGCATTTCTTATTCAACAATCTCTCTAACATGATCTGGAAGGTTGGCTTCTTTGATTTTGGCTTATAATTTCTCGATGTCATTATTTTTTTATTTTTAATATGGGAATCCTGGAAGATTAGTAGGTAGATTACTAGATTTATTAACCTATTTAGACATTTATTGCATGAGGTCTTTTGATACTTTCTATTCCAATGCTTTAGTTTAAGCAAACTCTTCAACCTTAGTTTTTAAATATTGTATCAATAAAGTGATCTTTGTTTTGTGATCATCAATCTACAATAATTTAAGCTTCTAACTGTAAGGTAAATCAGCATTCGAGGCTATAGTAAAGAATAATTTATTTATGTTCTTCTCTTCTTGTATTATTTGTAGGAACTATGGACTTGGATTCATTTAGAATTATTCTAGATATTACTAAAATTATCCAAAATTCTTACTTTTGCCAATTCCTTTAACTAGTCTATTATTTAACTACTCCATAATCCTTATTCATCAACTATTTCATCCCCCAAGACTTCTGCTGAGACCATATAATATGGAGTGGATTTTATTATAGAATCTATCTTGATTCTAGCAAATGAAAAGGCTTGGTAAATTTTATTTGAAGCGTAGACTCTATGTTATTCGATCAAATTATTACGTGTAATCTTCGCTTGTAAGTCTCACTAAAGTACCGTACTGACTGAATCTCTGAATTCTCTAAATCCCATCCACTTGTTGGTCAACCACTGGTACTATAGCGACATAGTTATTATTCACTTTGGCATCATAGAACTACAATTCTGTTAATCTGAGTTTCAAATTCTAATATGGGTAAAGAACAGTCCCATGAACAGGAACTACGAAAACATTAATCTTTTTCATTATTAATAAATATAATGGCTAAGCAAGAGACTGGTAAAAATAACAAGAGAGATCGTAGTCCTGTTGCTGTAACTTTATTATCTAAAAACATTAGGAAATGAAAATATGGTAAGAGGCTGTAAGAAAGGAGAATTAGCACCTCAAGGTGTATGAGCACTTTACAATCAATCCCCACAAATGTACATGCAACAGTTATTCATTAGTATACATAATCCAAGAGAAACCTAATAATAGTATCATGTTATAGAAGCACCTTGAAAAAACAGGTGCCGTATCCAAACCAGCATTCGATGTTAATTAAATAACCGATGATTCACCACCTTTGGAAAGTAATTTAATAGTTTTCATTGATTAGAGGACATCATTGATAAATTAAACACAATGAATAGAACTCCTCGTTAGAAATATTAATTTCCATAGACTTCAAATCAAGAATTAGGATGGCATTCAGTTGTAATATATATAGACTATTTCCTTTAGAATTCTCACAGTCTATCTCCCTCTAAATTCACTTATCCAAGAAAACTATGCAAAGAAACAAACTATGCAAACGATTACTTCACGATGAATAAAATCAGTCCATATTCCAATAAGTTTAAATGAGTCATATTAGATAAGTTATATTTGATACAAAAAACACTCATTTTTATTACTTTAAGCTTTCGATTAATTCCACTCCTCCAAGAACTTTTATCTTCTCGCACAAGATCTATCCTACCTTCTCAAAATGATCTAAAGCCTCATCCTCAATTACTTTACTGCCATCCACAGCCATAACTCTACCCTTAATATACACTTATCCATCTTCTCTACATTCACTATAAACTGCAATTGGTAATCTGCATCCTCCTTCTAATAAATTCAGGAACATTCTTTCAGCCACGCATCTCTTTTAGGAATCTATATCATTTAAAATCTATAATCTAGCTATTGTTTGGAGATCATCCTTTCTACATTATATTCCTAAGGCTGCTTGTGCAGGTGCATATAGAAACTCCTTCTCTTCTAAATCAAAGGAGATTCTCTCAGACAAACCTAATCTTAAAATGCCGGCTTTTGCTAGAATGATTGCATCATACTGTCCTTCATCCAGCTTTTAGATTCTGGTATTTAAATTTCCTCTAATATTTATTAAATTTAATTTTGGATATCTATTTTTAATTGTTGCAATTCTTCTAAGTGATGATGTGCCAATCTTAAATCCTTCTGGTAATTCACTCAAACTCTTATAATTGTATTTGTTATTCAGTAACACCACATCTCCTCTTTATTCAAATTTTGTATAGGCAGCTAAATACAATTAAGCATCTATTATAGTAGGTAGATCTTTTAAGGAATGTACTGCAACATCTGCCTTTTACTCAAGTCTATAATTTAATTTATATTATTTACAAATACTATTCTACCTATTTTGTAAAAACACCTACAGTAGGCATTTGATATAATGGATCTTACAAATTCACGTCACCAACCTCATTCGATACTTTTATTATCTCAAATTCTTATTTCAATTCTCCTATGACATAATTTGTTTAAGCCATTGCTAAGGCTGAAGATCGAGTGGCAATTCTTATTTATTTTTACATATACAAAATTATTTAATATTTTCCACATTATTTTACAATATACATCAAAAAACAAACTTATATCTCTTTCTCACCTCATTTATTTGAATATCACTTAGTATTCAATATAAGATAAATAAGTAACTATATTAGTATTCTTAAGTTTCCAATCTATATTCATGATATCCATAGTTCGTTACCAGTCTAAAATGTTCATATTAAGAGTCTAGCCCTATTAGTGCTTATGTTTAAAAATCAGAGATTTTGTTTTATTTTTCTTGACATATTAGACAGTAAGTCAATAATAGGCTTGTGAATAAGAATAATTGGAAATGGAAGGTGGCAATTGAACTATGTAAATTTGGATAAGAGTAGTTAATAAATGATAATATGAATACAAGGATCCTTAAAATAATAATATAATAGTGAGAAGTTTGTGTATCCTTAATTTTATTTTTAAAATAAATGAATAGAAATCAATCCAGATAATAGTCAGCAGCTTAACCAACATAATAAGCATCAAAAACTCAACCTCCTCCCCCAGCTTAAGCACCTGCTAAAGGAAAGGGTCCTGCTCCTGCTTAATAGGCTGTTTAACAACAACCAGGAGGATTTGATGCATCCAAATATGTTAAGCCAGGACTTAGCAAGGAGGAAGTTTTAAAAATAAAGGAGTGTTTTGATATCTTTGATGATGACAAGAGCGGATCTATTTCGTATAATTTGTATCTTAACTTAGTCCAAATGAGATGAAAAATGCCATCATCGCATTAGGAATGGAATAATCAGCAGAAGAAATAGTGAACATGATTCAAGATTTGGATTAAGATGGATCTAGCTTGATTGATTTTGAAGAATTTCTTAATATATTTGGATTTTCAGGGTATTTAACTTATATATATAATACAATAGCACAATAGAAGATGAACAAGTGCTTGAGAAGTTATATTAAGAATTCGATTCCTCTGGATAAGGTAAAGTAGCTTACGAGGATTTCAAGAGAATTAATGATTTGGTTTCAGAAAGATATACAGATCAAGAGTTAAGAGAAATGGTTGAATATGCTGATAAAGATAAAGATGGATCATTAAGTTGGGACGAATTCAAAGCTGTTGTTCAAAAAGAATACCCAAATCAAGCATGATTATGATAAATAAGAACATAATATATTTTCATTTATCTATTTTTCCAACTCCCTTAGCCGCCAAATCAATCTCATGAAAGAATTAAAATAAACAATAGGGTTGGAAACAATTCCAATCGAATATGTTACTATCACTTTTATTATTAGATATATATTAATAAATTTTATCTGAATTTATTGCAATTTTATTTTCCACTTTTTTATTTTCTATATATCCAATTAGAAAACCACATTAGTAGGCTTCGATAAGCTTTCTTCATGTAATATAACTTAATCATCCTCTACATTTTCATGTTCCACGTTTTTGTTAGAATTATATTAAGTAAACAAAGAGGCATTAACTTTTAAAAGAATAATACTTTATATTGAATTTTACTAACTTTCTTTACCTTAAAGTTAATTTTATATATATAATCAGTATCATTTTTTAAGATTCATTAAATAATAGCTTGTCTAATTGTGATATCAATAAACCCAATAAATCTATCGTATTCTTATAAATCAGCTTCTCTATTTCAATTCAAAGAATATATTTGACTTAATAAAGTTCCTTTTAATTAATCTATATTTGAAAGTACAAATTATTCAATACTATTCATCTATCATTCAAAATAATCTTAAATTATATAATTCTATTTTAAGATCTTAGTTATTGACAATAATCAGATAAAGCATTTTGTAATTTTATATAACTTTAATTATTAAATGGAAGATTAAAATACTAAAAAGGACTTTCATACTCGAAATTTGGTAATCATTCACGTTGATGTTAGGACATAATTGCGTAGCTGAGAGAGAAAAAAATGAGAGAATAAGAAGAGAAAGAAATATCATAAAAGAGAAAATAAGATTTGGTAGTTAAATTGAAATCTCGGTATGTGAAAGAAGAGCAGAAAGAAATTAAATAATAAGTTTCATTGCCAAGTATCAACACTCCAGAATCAAGCAAGAACAGACAATCAAGTCTGAAAAAAGAAGATTTAATGCTTGAATAAAAGATGAGAATATAAGAGAAATAAAGATAGTAAATGTAATAAATATATACAAGATATTTGGAATCCATAAAGACACGGTAATTACAAGAAAAATAAAAGAAAGAAGATATGATTTAAAGATAAGAGATAATTAAATAAAGTGTAAAATAGAAAGTTTTAAATTAATTGTCTGAAGTGGCATAGTTTGTGACTAAGGATGATTTATTGGAATAAGATAGTGGATCAGATGATTAAGATGCTTAGAAAGTCAAATTAAAGAAATATCCATTCATCACAGACTTGAAATAATGGAAAAAAAAGTAACGTATCGATGAGGCAGTGAAAGTGTTCATAATGGTTGGTGGTTATGGAGATATAGCTAAAGCATTAATACAAAGAGGTTGGGTAAAGAATCCAGATAGTGGAAGTCCATGCTTTGATTTCAAATTCACATTGCACAATTCAGAAATAGACTATAATAATTTATAAGACTTTTAGATTGTCAATCACTTTGCAAAGATTATATGTTTAACCACTAAAGTTGGATTATGCAAGTCTCTAAATAATTTAATCTGGTTTAATAATGTAGATAAAAATACATTCTACCCGAGAGCATTTGATTTATCTGATGAGGAGGATTTCGAAAATTTTAGAGAAGAATTCAAATTGTCAAAAGTATTCCAATTATCTATTTAGGCTGAAGCAATCTTAAAAATGTATTTGCATTTATTCAAGAAGAAGGATGCTAATTTGATTGAGAAAATCAAACCATAAGCTATAATAGCATTGTCTGTATGCAGGAAGATGTTACAAGATATTAATGAACTCATTGATCAATAGAAATAGACCGCAGTAATCACATAAAAGGAATGGGACATACTCTCTAAAGATGATTTAAATGTTTAGGCATTAGCCTAGAAAAAACATTAAGCTTGGCTGGCTAAAATTGGAGAAGTTAAACCTTTGAAAAAGAAGAAGAAGAGTAAATTAGAAAAAGAATAGGATGATTCTATTGAAGATGTAGATGAATTTACATAATAAATTATTGATATTTTGTAAATTATACATCTTATACAAGATAATCATTTAAGAATAGATTTCCATAGTACTATTTAAATGGAGTTGAAAATATTTGGATTGTTAAACCTGCTGGTTTATCTAGGGGAAGGGGAATCCAATGTTACAAAAATCTAGTTGAAATCGAAGATCATGTTGCATCCAAGGGAGCATAGTGGATTATACAAAAATATATAGAAAAACCATTAATAGTACTTGGTAAGAAAATGGACATCAGATAATGGGTTTTAATTACTGATTGGAATCCTTTGACTGTTTGGATTTATGATGAAGCATATCTCCGTTTTACTGCTGAAGAATATGATCCTAAAGATTTAGAAAACAAGATGTCCCATTTAACAAATAATTCTATTTAGAAAAAGGGAGAAAACTTCTATAAGTCTGATATTGAAGGGAATATGTGGAATTAAGAATAATTTAGTGATTATTTAATGGTAATATCTAATACAATTTTAGAAAACTCATTAAGTAAACTTCATGGAAATCATTAGACCTTAATTTGAATAAGCTATCATATGGTCATTATAAAGTGTACAAGATCAAGTAGAATAAAGAAAGAATTCTCATGAAATTTTAGGGTATGATTTCATGATTGATGATAAATTTCATGTTTGGTTAATTGAAATCAATAGTAGTCCAGACTTTTCATATTCGACTGTATATAACTTATCTTATTCTTAGCATGTAACTGAAAAACTAGTTAAAGATGTATCAGAAGATTTAATTAAAGTTGTGATTGACAGAGAAAATGATAAGAAATGCGACACCGGCAAATTCAAAAGAATCTACAAAGCCAAATCTGTTTTAGAAAAGCCTGCATCAGTTGGATTAAATTTATGTTTGGAGGGAAAAAAAATAAAGAAGGTTAAAGGATGATTTTAATTAATTAATATTATATATATATTATTGGAGATCAAGATGAAACTTATAATAATTAATTTTTTATCAAATAAATTAGAATCAATGAATATATATACTATATAAATCTATTTGAATTATGAGGAAATATAACCCTAAATCTCAAATTCAGAAAACAAAAGATGAACACCACATTAGATTCCAATAGATAGAAAATTTGTCATAAAAATTATTCTTTTTAAGGATTTTGATAATTGAAAAAAAAAACTATCTTAATTTATGCAATACATAAAATTTTATATATAAAAATAATAGTTGTTAAAATTTATTGTATGCAGTTCATACATGATTATGCTATAATAGGAGAAGAAGAAAACGAATCAAAATTGACCAACGCATTACCATTAAATCAACATTTCTAAAACTTTTCGAATCTCTTGCAAGCTTAAAAAGAGAGACAAAAATCTAAAATATTCATGCCATTAGATTTGAATGTGATTAATTAAACACAAAATGCGTTTAAGTCTTCTGCTCGCTCTAGTCCTCGAAATTATTTTGCTAATAAATAAGTTCCTAGTGTTGATAAGATAATGTAGAAAATGGCAATTAAGCATTCTTCACATCATCAAGTTCCAACTTAAAAAGAGGAATTCTATGAACGATAAATACGGTGGTTAAATTAGATTAAACAAACTAATCAAGTTAAAAATCAACATAAAATTAATTAAGAAATCTAGAATTGCCCTTTCAAACCTTACACTAGTCCTTAACAGAACATTAACAAAGAAAAATTAAAAGAAAATTCAAAAAGCATACTGAGCCCACCACAGTTTAAAAAACCTAATAAAAGAAATGATTCCTACTCTAAAATTCATTTAGCTAAGAAATAAAGTTTAGGTTGAGCCTTATTATATGAATTATTTTATACACACTTCATATATTATTATATTCACAATATTAAACAAATCATTGATTTATTTGGAAACTAAGAATTTCCAAATTTTCTCTTCTCTTTGTTTAAAACTGAATGCTGTTAATTTTAAATTTTATATTGTTTAAAGGAATAATTATTTGAATCTTTTATGATTTACAGATATTCTCTATTATTAGGGAAGTATTCTATCAAATTTAAGCTTTAATAATCAGTTGTATCACATGTTACTCTATAAAGTAGTTGGTTATTTAGTTGAATAATAGTGTAGATAATCATTTTGAAATTTATAGGTAAAATATTGAAATATTAAATTGAATTTAAGATCAATTTAAGAATTTATTGAATTTAGTTGAATGTTACTCAAAATTATATATGAAATCATAATTCATTTCCAATAGTTACCCAATTATTTCTAAGGTTGTTTCGTCTGCCAAAGATTTCTAAGCAATGACCTCCTGGCACCATTGAATTAATAATTTCATAGATTTCTTCAGGCTTTTGAGATTACCCTCTTCTTTCACTCCAGATAACATCACTCTTTAAGTAATAATTTAATTTGTTATTGCCCTAGAAAATATATAAATAAATTACTTTATAACCAATAAGGCAATTTTCTTTAGCATGTTACAAATAAAACCCATGGCCTTTGGCTATTTTACCATTAACTGTTTTTTTGACCCAGATTAATTCATCAACTAATTGATAGCCCCATTGTTTTATCATTTTGGCAGCAATACGATATTTGGCATTGATTGTCCAAATAAAGAGGAAGCCTTCTTTTTATAATAAAGGGATAGGCAATTCCATTAATTAATCATCTTTGAGAGATTAGTATGCAATGGCAACTCCTCTGGATGGTTAAGATGTTGATAATTACCAAGGAGGATCCATCATAATGGCTAGATTTCATAAAAGGAAATAATACCATCAAACAATTTGCCAGCTATTTTTTGTTGTGAAGCTATTAAGGATTTAAAATTGAACGATAACACATCAGCATTTATGGGGATGGAGTTTTCAGGTACAGAACTAATCAATGTTGGTAATTCATTTTATCTATTTTATTATAGAATAATAATGAATACTCTTTAAACCATTCCAATTTTTAAGATTCAATGCTAGCTTCTACTTTTGATAACAGTTTTAGTAATCCTTACTTATTTTTGGGTAATTTGTCATATTCAATGGTTTCGTTGATATCTAAATCACTGTTCTTTCTCTCCTTGTTTAATTGCTTTTTCACTCCAAAATCTATGTCATTGTTGTCATCTCCTCCTGCTTCACTCCCAAAATCCAAATAATTTCTTCGAGTGTACTATCTCAAATTATATGTCCCATTTTATGATTCCTTTATACTTACTCCAGATAAGTCTTCTGTATTGGTTGAGTTCTATTTTTTCGTTGATATTTCCTTCTATTGCTTCTTCGTTTTCTATTATTTCTAATTTTCATTGGTATTGATATCTTTATCCAATGATATTACTTGCTTTCCATTACAATTTTAATTATCCTCTGTAGTAGATTTTGGCTATTGGCTTCGTCTTCCTAACATTCACAAATTAAGATTTAATATTATTATTATATTTGTTCCAATCTCACTCTTTTACCAATTTAAGTTGGCGCCTTTTTAATACAATATAATGTTACAATTTCTACTTGACTTATATGATATAAATTTAAGATTTATTGGTTCTTACAACCATCCTTTTCAAATTATATAACGAATAACAACACAGACAATCTTAATTAAATTATATAAAACTTTAATCAGCTTTGAAATTAATCTATATTTCAAATACTAGATATCTTCATCGCATTTCAATTGAACCCCTTCTTTAATTCCACAATTATGTTATTTACTTTCTTTAACTGTGAATTTTCAAAAATTTATTAAGTTAGATTATTCATTTTAATACTTATTCACTAGAGAATGATTAATTGAATCTTAATTATTAAGAAATACAGATATATAATTGTACATAAATAAATAGCAATTAAATAATAAATAAAAAGAAATTACAAATTATGGAAATCCCATTATAGAATAGCTTGTAGATTTCCTATAAAGAAATAGTTGGTAACAGAATAAGCATTATAAATATATATTGATATTATAAAATCTTGGCTTCACTTTGTCAAATCATTTCTCTTATTAAGAATTGCTTATCTCATTTTTGTCACATCTTTTTACCCTGGGTACTCACCATCCTTTAAAGCTATATTGGATGCAATTTAGTCCCATGAATTTTTCTTGAATAGAATCACTATCTTACATACTAACTATGATTCTTTTTGTTTTCAAACCAAATCTCTTATTTCTATTTATTCAACACTTTTCTTTATTAAATATCTGACTCTTATTAACTATTTCGTGTAATTTTCAAATTTACCTTTTGAATTATTGCAAATATTCTCGACCTTTTTCTTTTTTTTATTATTTCAATACCCTTTCCTGTTAATCCTTCTCTCTTATCTAACCAAGTCTTTCCTCCTCAATTACTTTTAATTTGTCCTTTCTAATTTATTATTCTGGGCTCTATTTTTGAAAGAATAAATACCACATAAACAACTGATTGCTAAGATGGAATAGGTACTTCACTTTAAAAAGCACTAAAAACATCATACTATTATATGTCATATCTCATACTTAAGCTTATTAAATTTGACCTTAGTCAAACTATGGGGCCTCAGAAGGAACTTCTTAAGTTGTTACATCTTCAAAATAATCATCCATTATTTAACTTAATTATATTTCACTATCAATAGTTTATTTTATAGGATATGTGAAATATATTTATATAGATATAATCTGAATCAAACCAAAGTCTAACAAATATTACAACTCATAAACATGCTTATAAATAATTGTTTAAGGTTACTTTTTTTTTGATTTCCCAATAGATAATATTACAAATAAACCTGAAATACATTTATTTTATTGATATATCTATAATATCAATTATTATATTTGGCTTCAAAGATAATAATTTCATAGATATAATCATATATTTTAATTACTTAAATGCAATTCTATCTACTTATTATTTCTCTTAAATGGTTGATATTTTCATTTGAATTTTAATTACAACATTTATTTTTGGTTTGAAAATGTAATGTAAAATAATGAAAATCAATATCGTTATTACATTTGATTATAGTAAATCAATACTATAGATTAGACGGCAATTCTAAATCAATGAGTGTATTCTAAAACATATTAATATAAACAATATATTCTTGCTATTATTATTAATAACAGAATTTAAATTATGCATAAGCAGTATAATTTTGCTGGAGTTGATCTCTTATAAGAGTAATTGTCTAACAAATATTTTATAGATTTCCTGAACAACAATCTTATTTTGAATAGACTTAAGGATATCAAAATGATTTTGAATCATCAAGACAACCAGTCATTCCAGAAGTCTACTAGCCAACCAATTTGGGAAAGGACTTATTTATTACACTTCAAGTAGATTAATTTCCTAGCTTATTAGAATGAATATCGTAACACCAGAAAGGTAACAACTTATTCAGACAAAGCATTGTTTGATTTATGGAAGGTGACTGCAAGATCTTAAGCAGGTAAGCCCCCTCCAAAGAAACCAGGAAAAGAACCTGAAAATGTAAATTCATCAATTTATTGTGTTTTTAGGAGATAATAAGGAAACAACTAGAACATAAAAGAAATTTGCATTTTTATGCTTAGGCTAATGAAAAGGATGTTCAATATACTTTGAAACAATTTGGGGAAGCTGAAGAATAAAATGCCAACATCAGTAAATTTATAGAGGAGAGACAATCATAGTTGTTATAATAAAAGAAAAATTAAGAGAAGAAAAATAAGAAAATGAGTAAAGAAGTATTGAATAGACTATTTCCTAAACCTCTGATTTAATAGGAGGATGATTTGAAAACAAAGGAAAAGAAATAAAGAGAATAATTTGTTGAAGCTGTTATTTAACATTACAAAGCTAAAAACCCTGATCATAAGAATTTTAGATATCCAGATAGATTAAGACAATATTGGAGTGAAATATAAAACAATAAACCTCAAGGTAAGGGTGAGGACTTTGATTTGTATTTTTAAGATTCAATGGAAATGATAAATGATTAATTTTATAAATTTAAAGGATTTTATACTGATAATGTAGATGATATTATTAAAATATGGAAATAAACTCTTTAGAATTCTAAATAAGAGATTGTAACATATGAAAGTGAAGAAAATTTAAAAACTCTAATGACTTAGTATTTATAAATGAAAAAAGATTAAGAAGATGTCAATTTAGGATTACGTAAAATTGAAATGGAAAAGAGTATGAAAAAAAAGAAAACTGAAATCAATTTTTAAAGAGTAACTGAGATAGCAAAACCTAAAGATAGGTTAAAAGTTGGCAAAACTTTATTGGATTTAAAGAAAATGTACCCAAATGATAAGATCTTAAGGAAAATGTTATTACAAGAGTTTCGTGATACAAAAGTAGCAAAATATCCTTTGGAATATGATGTTGTTGATAGTGATGAAGAAAACAAACAAAAAATGAGGCATCTCTCTCAAAAAGGAGGTTGTGTGATAACCTTAGAAGAAATGGAAGTACCTACAAAAATGAAAATAGAAGAGATAGCAGACTTATTTGAAAAACATATGGAATAATATTATTCTGAGAAACAAACTGCTTTAAGAAAAGAAGAATAGGAAAGAAAAAAGAAAAGACAATCTGAATTCAAACTTAATAAATATATCGAATAGATGGCCAAGAAGTATTTAGAGTTAAGGAAGAAGAGATTCGAAGAAAAAGTTCCCACAATTAATGAATATTTATCCACTATGTACAAATAAATGTTGATTTCTCATAAAGAAGCAACGAAAGAAAACTTTCCTCATTTGAAATATGGAGAAAGTAAGAAATTACGAAAGAAATCCTTTCCTAGTTCATTGAAGAGATATTTCTTTGGAATGATGAAATCCTATGTTAGAAGAAAATATGATTACATAAAAGATGAAACTAATAGAATTGGGTTTTGGGTACCAACCAATGGAAAGAGTATGTGTGTAGTACATAAAGATTCCTTATGTCCACCTGGATGTACGAGATAGACCTTAAATTAAAGAGTAATAGGTTAGAGTCGATTAGTAAAAGAGGCATAACTCTTTGCAGATAGACCAAAAACATCAGTTTGGGATTCTGATAATTATTAATCAGAGAGATGCAACATTATGATGACTTTCTCAGATGCTAAAGAATGCACATTTTAGCCAGCAGTGTGTTATAGAATGCCTGAAAAATTGAAGCGAGTGATCTTATAAACTCATAATTGGGCATAAAATAATGTAGGTAAAAGTGGATCATTGAAGCATTTCTTATCATAGTTTGGAGATAATTTCAAAAAAGTACCTTCAATATATAGATTTGGTATATTTAAGAGATCTTAAGTACTCTATAGAAAAGGAGATTATAGAAAATCTTATTAATTATTGGCACTTAGTTTTAATATAAGAGATCTTAAATTGATATTTAGAGATCCTGAAGTCAAAATGAAATAGCCAAAACCACATCCCATTTTTAATGCATAAAATATGGGTTTAGATGAAGACGAACTAAAGAAAGTACCACATGAAAATTTGTAATTAATGGAACCTGAATATTAGAATAAACCTGAATACAAATTCTTATTAGAAGTTTATCTTTTTATTAAGCAAATGGAATCATATGAAGACTCATTGTACTAATCATAGAATAATCTTAAAAAGATGCTCAAATAAGATTCTCGTTTCTATACTTCACTTTAAGCTCTTAGCAAATCTTAATCTTACGATCTACGTAAATTAACTGTTAAAGATTAAATGTGTCCATTAGGATAGGATTGTCCTTCAATTCAAACAAGATGGCCAAACTCAAATGTATCAGGTGTAACACCCATTGGAGCAGAATGTATGTTCGCTCATCATCCATATGAACTGAGATTCAGATAGGAATTAAGAGCAAGGAAAACTGCTTTGAGAGGAACTCTAAAAGCTGTAACTGAAAGACTGGGTGGAAATTTAGCTATTAAAGCATGGAATCCTGCAGGAAATACAATGAAACTTTGTATTGGTTGTTCTGAAAAGGCTTTATGTTCAGAATGTGCAATGAAAAAGAAGAATATTGCAAGTTTAGAGATTTTAAGAAGAAAGGCAAAAAAAGCATATTTGAAAATAAAGGAGAGACCTAAATTTAAAGAAAGAAGAAAAATGGAAGAAAAAGAAGCCAAGAATTATAACATTAAGTTAAGTTGTTTGAGCAGAGCTAATGCTTTGTATAATAAAGAAAGATTTTCAGAAGCATTTGAAGTTATAATAAAAGCAATTGAAATTGTTAAATAAGAGATCGAAGAATAAGAAAAGGAATTTGAAGTTAGTTAAATGAATCTTAAGAAATAATTGCAGATTGATCCAGATACTGATGTCACAATTAAATAAGTTTATGAGTCAACTGTAAAAATGAATCCAGATGATAAGCAAGAGGCATAGAAATTAAATATGTATGCTAAATAGACCCATTTGGATGCTGATCCTGAACCAGATACCAGATAGTTTATTAATAGGTAGATTGAACTACTTTACAAGAAAATAGAAGCAAAATTGTAGGATAATTTAAATGATATACAATTGATGAAATAAAAAATTAATAAGATTGAAGATAAAGATGATTAAAAGGCTAAGAGCAAAACCAAAGACATGTCTATGAAGATGTGTCCAGAATTCATTAAAGAAGGGAGATGCAAGAAGGGGCAAAAGGATTGCCCTTACTCTCATAATTATCTTCTTTTAGATTTGGAACCAACTGACAGCAAATTGAAGAGTCTTTAAGAATCCATTAAGATGAAGGAAGTTTCACTTAGGGAATCAAAACCCCCTATACCTTGGGTTTAATCGGGAATGAAAGATGCAGAAGAATGTAAGATTAATTATAATTGATTTTAGACAATAATACTGCTGCTTATGATAAGTAATTGGAAAGAAAAAGAATTTTAAGATCGAAAAGCAAACAATCAAAACCATCAAAATCATAATCAAAGGATTTGTATTCCTAAGATTTTGAGGACATCAAAACACCCGTTTATGAGAGAAAAAAGAAATAAAACTTTTGATAGCTATAAATAAGTTATCAACTATTGTCATCATAGTTTTTATCTTGATTTCAAGATAAATCTCGGTACTTGAACATCCTTCTTTCTTAATTTCTTCTATTAAGTTATACCGGTTCTTTCAATTAGATTTATGGTTTAGAGAGATTGCACAATTTAAATTGTAGGTACATTGATTGTACGATATTCCGATACATGGCGTAGATTCCTTTGAGTTTTTAATTATTATAATAAATATTTTGGTCTGTACTGATCAGGAACAATTATTCTTTCTGACTATTTCTCTAATGACCTACCTCTAAACTCAAAATGCTAGTTTGAATTCGATTTTGGACAAATGAGTTTCAGAAGCTGAGATCTTGGTTTTTACACAATATAGCTATTATTATGAATCAATGCATTTTCTTGAGGTTTGAATAGACGTTTCATTTCTTTATCATAATCTATTTCATTTTGAGATTCCTCATGCAAACTTAGAAGTGTCTCAATAGCATTTTTTTCTCTCCAATTTAATTAATTAAACATATAATTACTATTAAAAGATTATTAATTATAAATATCAGATAGCTCTATATGCATAAGAAGTAATGCCACAAGTATTGCCAGGGGCGAGAGTCATGAATCCTTTTTCCCCCCAAGAGGTCCCCCATGAATTCTTGATAAACCAATTATCATTCTCATCAAATCCAACAGCTAATACTGCATGATTAACAGATTTGCTGCATTCATTAAAGACTCCTCCACCATATAATTGCCAATTAGAGGCATCAACAACTACAACTAAGGGGTATTCTGTCAATAAGGATTTGAAATTACTAGAACTTACACCCTAGGCTCCATTAGTTTTATAAGGTCCTGAATTGTATTAACAAGCGGATGATTATTTCTAAGTGTAAGGATATACATTGGCATCATTCAATCCATGGTTGGCAACATATTTCAGTGCCAAATTTTGATATCCTCCATTGCATCCAAAAGACTGAGTGTCACAATCAATTAGTTGCTATTCTGACAACACAACTTAGGTTTTATTTTTTACTTAAAACCAAGCCTCCACTGCTCCTACTGCACCAAAGGCCCAGCATCCACCACATTTTCCTTAATCTTTCACTTAGGTTATTGATCTCCAATCAACTGAAGTTTTAATATTATCGTTTTTTTTAATCGAACTTTCTTTATCATCAGTAATCTATTATTACTCGATAATTTCATCAGAATTATAATGTGTAAGATAAAGCAATGCAAACTCTTCTTCTGATAAATCACTGAATTGGTTCATTCTCATTTTGTAAGTTTTAGTTTCATCAGAATTGTGGCTATTTACTTTATTTAGATTTATTTAAAAATTTAAGAACCTGAAAACTTCTTACTCCCCCGTATAAGACTTTCCATATTTAGTTTTCCAACTCTAAAATTCAACAGGACTATTATTTTCCTCATAATTCAAATAAGTGAAAACACTCAACAAGCCTATAACTAATATCACTGCTGATTTCATTGAATTTTATTTATTCCGATTTCATAAATTGTTTATTAATTAAATCCTAATGACATAATTTAACGCTCTCCCATGACGTAATACTATCAATAATAAATCATTAATTATAATAAATAATATTTAATCATCAATTAAATTTATCATCCCAATTAGGATCCTTAGCTAATTCTTTCTTATATAAATTTTTATCTCCGAGGTCCTAAGCCTTATTTTATATCTTACATTCTTGATTTCGCTCTATATGCTCTTGTTCTACTTCTCTATTGTTACTATTTCCTTATCCCCAATTAGCCTATCCTTAGGAGGAATATAAGGAGGCTTTAGCTCTTTATCCATTAGTTTATCCTATTAAATATTAAATATCACTCATACCCAATCCAAACCATCAAACCAAGTATTTGCTTTCAAAGCTGCATAACTTCCTCCTAAACGAATTTCTGGAGTCTTATTTAATAATTAATCAATAAATTTTTTAGCTTTCCTGTCTTTAAGATGATTTGGATAGGAGATTTGCTTCTTTGTTATTTCCTCGTATATTTCATATGGGTCTTCTGCATCCTCAGCAAATGGAACTCCTCCACACATAAATTCGTAAAGACAAATTCCAATGCTCCACAAATCTACTGAATATGAATAACCTTAATGCATTACTATTATAATACCTTTTCCATTTAATATTTCTGGAGCCATGTAATGAGGAGTACCAATAATAGTAAATGTGCGGCCCTTTCCTTTCAAAATTTTGGCTGTTCCCATATCAATCAAACGAATATATCCATGATGATCTACCATCACATTCTCTGGTTTAATATCTCTGTACACAATGTGATGAGTATGCAGATATTCCATGCAAAGTAGCAAAGAAGCAATATAAAATTATGAATCATAAGTATTCAACAATCCTATATCTCTGATCACATCAAATAATTCCAAACCCTTTATGTATTCAATCAAGAAGTAAATAAAATTATCATCTTTCATTGATTTGTAAAATCTCATCATTAATGGAAATTAGACTTATTCAAGAACAGTTTTCTCTTAAGTTAAATGATTTTCTAAATGCTATTCTACTATTTGATTTTTTATTATGCATTTCAAAGCATACAATTTGCCATCCTTTTTATTTTTGCACAAATAAACTGAACCAAACTACCCTTATCCTAATTTCTTTATATGAATCATATCATCCAAGATTAAATAATCGACTTATTACTTTGAGATTTATTTCTACATGTATTTCACTTCATGATTATTTTCGTTTTTTTAAATCACTTAATCTAATTCACCTCCTATACATTCTAAAAATTATTCAAATGGTATCTAAGCCACCTTTCCTCCTTCTTTTAAAAATATATCATAAGGAACCAATTTATCTCTATTTTTTTTAGGCAAAAATTGATCCCCAACCATTTATCCTTTTGTAGCTATCTCTTTTTCTTTCTTAATTTTCAATATTTAATATACTTACATTGCATAACTTCCCTTCTAAGACTATAACCAATTTATCGCATTTCTGATCTGCTGTGTAGATTTTTTGATTTGCTTCATAATTTACTGTCTAAATCTTAGTCACAATCTTTTCAATTTGAATTTTAGTTAATTTACACAGCAATTGATTCTTTTCAAAACTCCATCTCAAAAGATTGTTGTACATAATCACCTATATCTTATCTCCTAAGATTTTAGTGATTGTTTCTCTTCCAATAGCTAAACAACAAACATTTTCATCTACTGCAATCACAGATGCTCCTCTCACTGAGTTCTGGTAGAGAGCTTATTCCCCAAAGGAATCTCCTGCAGACATCTATCTTAATTCATTGCCTCCTTTCATTATTTTAACCATCCCTGACTTTATTATGAAATAGGAACTAGCCATATCTCCTTCATTTACAATGGCTTAACCTTTCTTAAATTATTATGCAATTATTGCTCCTGCTATCATATCCTTCTGATCAACGGTCATCCATTCAAAAAATTTAATTGAATCAATAAACTTTCTATTTTCATCATATTCTTTTTAAACTAGTTCTTCAACTGCTGCTCTAAAAGTGCCTCTGTCAATACACCAAAAAAAACACTCTAAATTCAATGAAATTATTTACCATCCTTAGTCTTAACTGAAGCAGAACGAGGAGCACCATACAATAATGCCAATTCTCCAAAGCCATCTCCAGTGGAGAGCTACTTTTTTACTTCTCCATTTATAATTATTTCGCATACTCCTTGATCAATTATAAAATAGGCACTTGCTTGGTCATTTTGCTAAAATACAAATTCATTGCCAGCAACTCTGCAGTAAAACATTTTCATTACTATGTCTTCTCTTGGCTCATAATTAAATATTTACTTATGCTAATCACTTATATGAGCAAAGAAATAATGTTAACCAAGAGCATTCAAAATAACCTAATAATCATGAGGCTTCTTATCCTTCTCTATTTTTTCTACATTCTCTACAAATTCATCTTTTTATAAGATCCCATTCACGAACTTCTTATTCTTTTTCTCATTTCTTTATTTGATGTGCTAATATATTTTTGAAAAATGCTTACATCGTCTTAACCTTGGATAACGTCTGATGCATGTTTAGAATCTTATTTTAACATTGTGCCTCCATTCTTTACTTGTTCAGTGATAGTATCTTCCTTTAATTTTTACTTCTATTTAAATAGGTTCAAAGCTTCCTTTCCAGGGCTTTAATCCTCAGACTAGATTTCTTTTTTTGGTTTTGATACAAAACAATTTCCCATTTATAATTTAAAATATATATATAAAATAAATGCCTTGGTTTAGGGTAATATTTCTATAAGAATGTTGATATATACAGATACACTATCATTATAAACTTTATGAGTATTAATCCTTATTGAATTAAAAATTAACTTCGATATATTATTTAATATGTCAACAGATTTTTCAGTTGAAGACAAATTGGGATTGTTAGAAAATACAATAGACTATTTTTGGACTTAATTTGCAGGGTATATACTTATAAAATAGATTAGGATTGTTGTTTTGTTGATGCAACTTGGATTTGCATTTTTAGAGGGTGGGTGTGTAAGATATAAAAATATGTAATCAATTATGATAAAAGTCTATCTAAATACATGTATTGCTGTCATTTGCTGGTGGCTTGTAAATTGAATGTTAATATATTAGGTTGGATATGGAATTTGCATGGGATCTGGAAAATTTGCTGGGACAGACTTCTATGCTGGAAGTAATTTTGCTGGAACTAAGCATTACTCTCATTGGGGTACACAATTATAAGTTATATATAAGTTTTGTAAACGTCAGTTGGAGCTGCAGCTAATAGTATCGTATCTGGAGGAGCAGTGGAAAGAATGTCAATTATCGGTTATTGCTTTTTGAGCGTAGCATTTTCTTCGTTTATTTATCCAATTTGTGCTCATTGGACTTGGGGAGGAGGTTGGCTTCAAGATCTAGGCTATATTGATTTGGCTGGTAGCGGTACAATTCACTTTATGTCTGCATTGGGAGCATTGGTGTTGACAGTAATGTTAGGAGCAAGGAAAAACAGATGGAATGAAAAATATGCAAATGAATTTAATCCAAGCAATACAACATATATTTGTTTATCTACTCTTTCACTTTACACATGTTGGATATTTTTCAATGCTGGAAGTACCACTGCCTTGTCAGGTACAATGGCTTATGCTGCAGGAAGAGCTACAACGAATACAATCATAGCAGGAGCTTCAGGAGGATTAACATTAATGGTTTTACACTACTATAAAAATAGAAATGAGAAGAGCAAGTTCAGTTTAGTAATGATATGCAATGGAAATTTGGCAGGATTGGTTGCAGTAACTGGCTCTTGTGATGGAATTGAATTATGGGCTGCCTTTGTAATTGGAATTTTGGGAGGTTTGACATATTGGGGATTCGGAATCTTAATGCATAAATTTAAAGTTGACGATCCAGTTGATGCTTTTCCAATACATGGAGGGTGTGGTCTAATTGGTGCTCAATTTCCAGGGTGGTTTAATACAGAAAAAGGAATATTTTATGGACATGGAGCTAAATAATGGGGAATTCAACTCCTAGGTACTGTAGTTTGGTTAGGATGGTCTGTCGTATTGCATGCAATTGTGATATTTGTATTAAAGATATTGGGATTGCTAAATGTGACTCCAGAAGTTGAAGAAAAAGGGTTGGATTATGCTCAATGTGGGGGAGGGGGATTTGATTATTAGTTGTTACCACCTATCTTAAGTACCGGTGGTTATGAAAATGTCAAGTCGGCTATTAATTAAAAGCAAAATAATGTCCCACAATTTGGATAAGAGAATGATTAATAACAAGTTCTTTGAAAAACATTCAAATTTTGTTATTAACGCAACCATCAATATTAATTTTCTTTTTTCTACATAATGTTTTATTAATATTATTGATTTCTGCAATTCCTTTGTGGAAATCTCAAATACATTTTTAATTAAATAAACTCAAATGAATTCTGACACTGATCCTGCATACACTAGAGTATATCACAAATACTCATTAAAGTATAGAAGGGTCATAGACAAGTACTATTCTACTCATTGATTTATAGATGGATTATGCATCCAGGAAAAAGATGGGGATTTTGTCTCCTTTTACTCATATATTACATTAGCAGACTTATTGAAACCTAAAGTTATTTTGTCGTGTCCTATATGCTCGGAATCTAAATAGTTTACTCCTTCTTAAGATACTATACACCATTAGGGCTTCCTGATATTGAAGACGAAGATGAAGATGTCGATAGTAATTCTTTCAAATATCCCATTAAGTCTAACTCCCTCAGCATAATGACGACAGACCTCTAATTAGATCAATGCCTGAAATTTAATTATGGGAATAAATTACCAGTGCTCTAATCCTATCAAATCTTGCAACATACTTTGTAATATTTGATCTTCCAGTCTATTGGCCGTTCTTGTTTAGCTATTTCATTTTGGTTACGATCATAACTTTTAAAAAATATCTTAAGCACATGCAGAAATATGGATATAGTTGGGGAGATTTCTCAAAGAGATGATTGTAATTAATTTTAATAAACATTGCCAATTATTATTCATTAACTCTAACTTAATTCTGGTTATTCTTCTTGTTAATCTTGAAGAAAATTTCCAATTTATTACTTCTTAACATTGTTCTTTAACTATTTCATTTGATGACTTAAATTATTAATAAATATCAGATTGGCTTACATAAAAGCAGATTGTATTTAGGTAGAAAATAACCTTGGAACATTAATACTGCATAAGTCATTTCTAGTAAACTACTAATTGATTGCTTTATCATAATGATTCAGTAAAACTAAAGTAATAAACTATTTTTTATATTATAGGAAATTCTTCTTTTTGTTTAGTAAAATATTTCTATTTCATATAAATTACACATATGTAATTCATTCTGGAAATCATTATCTTTATTTTCGATATATATATTTACTTCAATATACTAAATAAATGACTATGGTTTACGGTAATAAATATTCATATCATTTAAATAATCTCAAATCATTAAACAATAGGTGTTAAAATAATATTTTACTGAAAATAAAAATATTATAGAGTATAATAATCAGAAGTGTAAGGTCTCTCATGGCAATTTGATTATATTATAAGGTTAACCTGACTATGATGTATTAAATATAAATAAAATATTGATATATTTAATAAATGAATGTGATATTAGAGAGTCATGAAAGTAATTGATCAAATAATTATTTATCAACAACATTAATTTTACTTCCTTATTTTCTATTTTATGCTGTCTAAGGGATTTTTTAAATTGTTTTTTGTGTCTGAGGTTACTTTAAATTAGTATAGGACTGCGAGATCTTTAACTCATTTATTTAATTGGTTTATTCTGCTATAATCGGTGTATTTTTCGGCTCTTGTTGCTCTACAATGTCTGAATTTATTTTTTAAAGCATCTACTATTTCATCGAATATGTTGTCTGTTTAAAACCTTCGTTTTTAAGAGCTTCAAATTACTTTTTTGTCATTCTCTATCCATCACCCCAATTTTAAATGTCTTATTGCCTTACAATTTCTTAATTTTAATCTTAATAAATTAATTTCACTCCTTGATTCGGTGTGAAACCATCAAATGGTTTCTAAATAGATGCTTCAAAGATTTATGGAGGATTAGTTTTTGCCTTTGATTATCGTAGCTATTCTTTTTTCACTTTTTCATTTTCTATAACTGCTTATTAAACAGGTTTCTATGGTTAAAATACAGTATCTACTTAAGTAATCTTACTTTGATATATTGCTGAATAAGTACCGAATTTCAGGTGCTCTCTAATTATTTTTTACTTATGTGAAATCTTTAGCTAACATAAAAGTTCCGTCATAATCATAGGCTAGTTATAATCCTTTGTGTTTTGGGAGGATGTCCTTAACAATTTGTTATCTTTATTATTCAGCCTATGTTGATTATTTCATTACCTTTTTATTATGATCATAAATAGCTGCTTACTGTTATTTTAATTTTTGTTGCATTTCTTTTTACTATCTCAATCTATCTATAACTTAAACAATTTGGTATTACCTATTTCTTCTTCAAAAGAATCATCATCATCATTCAATTTTAATTTTATTGGTACCTTAAAATACTAGTAATATTCTTTACATGGTTTTCTTGCCAATTCGTTGTCATTTAATATTCAATTTATAACTCAAATTCAAATATAAAAATTTTATAATGTTATCTGAGCAAGGCAGCAGAATTTAAGTATATAGTCTAGATTATAATGATTATTCGACTTTGAACATGAAAATAGCAAAATACTAAAGAAAGAATAATAAATTTAATAATAGTATCTCATTTATATTTATATAAAATTTGTTTTCAATGCAGAATCAATACAATATCTTGAGTAATGTGGATGGGCAACATCGAACAAAAAATAAAATTACCTGTGTTTTTAGCCTCATGTACTCTAGAAAAAGAATAATTTTAATTGTTTAGAAATTATAAGATTTTAAACTTTTTTAGAAAATTAATGTCATTGTTATGGGTTTGTTTATTAGATTGTAATTCTAGTGTTCTACCATCTTTGATATATTCCATTTTATTGAAAAGGATCTTGTTCTTCTTAATTTAATAGAGTGACCATTCCAGCCAAACACCACGAATAGCGTTCTATATCTTTATAAAATCTTTAGCATTATCTAAGTAGATTTTTGCAGCGATAGCTTCTAAATGTTCTAATGCGTGATTAATGACTGTGCGCTTATGAAGGGCTTTTTTGGATCTTACTCTAAAACAGGTTTAAATAAGATGGACATTCTTCTTTGTTTTCAATTTCCAGATAATTTGTCAGATTTTCTATATACCAACCAACTTCTAATTCTAAAATTTGATTTTTGATTTTAGGTAACTCAACGGAATAGTCAATATATCTAGGGTCATGTTGATATCGATTAGCATATATTGTATATTCTGGGGTATTCACATATGAAAGCAAATGAAAATTAGTATACATACATTCCAAAAAAAATAGATAGCTTCTTCTCATAAAAGCTGGAGCAAATCGATCTTGATAAAAATTTTATACCAAACGATTTTGTGGTTAAAAACATCTCTTAATGATACATTATTTTCCTAATGCTTTCAGAATTATAGATGTTTTCTTATGTCTTCTTTAAAGTTTAGGCCTATAGTTTTGTTATTATGTTATCAATACAAATAAATTATCGAATTTTTGTTGAACTAATGGATGAGCAACGGTAGAGTTTAGTATGGATATGATATTTAAAATATAGGAATTAAAAATTTTGATATCTAATTTATAAAGAATATTATATAGTATCAACATAACCAAACATGGTTTAATACCCAATCTATCGATTTCCTGTTTTTTTTATCTGTCAATAATCCCTTCATTAAATCTTTTACGTCTCCAGACAAATGGTCTGGAAATTACAATGCAAATCCTTCTTGAATTTAGAAGGGAGTCTTACCTGTTGTTAATTCAAAGGTTAAGACTCCTAATGACCATAAATCAATTGAATTGTCATATGATTATCCATAGACCATTTCTGGAGGTAAATAGTCTATTGTTCCGCAGAGAGTATCTCTTTCTTTTTTGTCCTGAATTGACCAACCGAAATCACTAATTTTAAGCATTCCATCACACCATAATATATTTTCTGGTTTTAGATCTCTGTGAATGATGGATTATTTTTGCATTTATTATATTGCTAAAGCAACTTGTTTTATCATATTTGAAGCAGCAGGTTCTGAATACCTTTTATTATTTTATCTCATCAATGATTAAAATAAGGTTCCTCCATTAGCATATTCCATCACTAAACAATAATTAGTCGTTGTCTCAAAAAATTCGGTTAACTGAATTATGTTTGGATGCCTTAACATTTATTAAATAGTCACTTCTCTTTGCAACTATTGATTCATTTAATTCTTCTTTAATTGTTGTTTGTCAATCATCTTTATTGCATAAACTTTCTTGGTTGAGTTTAAAATACATTTATAAACTTTACCAAATTTCCCAGATCCAATTTATTCTTGTATAGTAAAATACTCTATTCTGTTTTTAGGAACACTTGAACTAGCTTTTTTATTAAAATTGTATTGATTTGCTAATTTTGAGCAACTAGTTTAGGTTTTAATTCGCTTTTGCAATTACCCATTTTGATTTGGACTAAGTGCCTTTTTGACTGGTTTATTATTGCAATTTTATGTGATCTACTTAAGTATGTCTGTAAATTAATTCTAGGTCGTTGAGAAATATCGACTTGGACTTCCGGTACCATTAGCAGAATTTTATCGTTTCATTTTATTAATAAAATAATTGAATTGAATGCTAATATATTTTTAGAATATAGTTAGATCAAACAAACCAAATAAATTAAATTTAATCATATTAAGGGAGAAATGTAGTATTATTCAAAGAATTAGTATCTCAAGCCTAAATACTGAAATAGAAGATTAATCCAAAAAGTAATATTTTAGAAATTCACAAAAGGTCAAATTTAATTAATGGTTAACAGATATTAAATTAATAAAATTAAACATATTATATGTGAATATGAATACATTTTTAATTCAAATAATTAGATTAAGTGCTATTAGTCCAAAGACCAACTGCAATAAATAGCCTTGACTAACTTATTAGGATCCTGACTCGCTTAGAGTAATTTTAAACTCACCAACATTATTCTTATGATCTTCCATCACGAGAGATGAAGAACTTGCATAACTCCAAGTATAAGTGGATCCTTTGGCTAAAACAGCATCTTTTGAATCCCCTGTATTCAATTTTCTTTTAATTCTAGCTTTTACTGCAGAGTCTGTTATGCTTGAAGAAATTAATGAAATATCCTATGTTGCATCAGTTGGAGGAGTATCTTCACGTGTAGAGTATAAATCGAGTAATTCAGCAGCCCCATCTATAATGTTTATAGCAAACATGTCTACTCCGTTCATCTAAATCAATATAATTATAAATACCCCACTGCCAAATCCTATTCCTACCCATGCCTTCTTATTCAAGCATACGCACATCTCTATTGTGTCATCTGTGTTAAATTTCCACTTCAATTCCAATTATGAGCCTACTGTGATTGAGGATGTCATATCACTATCTGTGTAAGCTACTGTATTAGCTTATGTTATTCTTTTTTGAGATTAATAAGGTCTAGATTCTACTTCTTGAGGCTTGTTGTTCCAAACATAAGGTTGGTAACCATTCTCTTTTCTTTCAAATTGAATTTTGTTTTCATCAAAGCATTCAACATTTACAGTTGATTAGATTTAATTTAGCTTAGGGTGGCTTCTTTGTCCTATAGAAATCATGTCTTCACATACACATTCTTTCAATCTACAAAATATGTAATCTCTAACTTCCTACATTGGTATTGCTAAAATCATACTTATTATCCTTCGAATCCTATGACAACCAACTACTCTGTTGATGTGATTAAATACTTTTCGACAGAATTTTCGGTGGAAGTATTCAATTAAATTTATGCTGAAGCATATACTAAAATTAGACTAAGAGTTAAAATCTTATTTGTTATTTAAGCCATTAATAATCATATAATCATATTCGATGGGTTAAAATCCAATATTTATGGAATCTGAAGATGAAATATAGAATATAAACCAAATTCGACCTTGGAAATTTGCATAATAATTTTTATGACTTTCTTAATTTTATAAAAATTAATATCATGTTATCCGATGATGGCATTGTATTAATTTTGAAATAGTAGTTTTCTGGTGACATTTACATGGCATAAAACAATAAACAATATACTATTACGTTCAAAGTCCAAATCCAAAGTTTATCCATTAATCTCAAATTTTCCTATTAATATATATCTCCTTTTTGATTATGAAGTCCATATACTACATAAACCATTTCTATGATGAATTATCTGCGAATTTTTACATTTTTAAATAAAAATAAAAAAATTCATAGAGTAATAAAATTATGTTGAATTCCAAGAAATAAATTAAACTTCAGCTTCAACGTGAATAGAAGCCATTCCCGAATTTACATGTGATACATATTGATGAAAACTTATAACAATTATGCAAACTAATTGAAAATCAATAAAGTTTTAAGACTGACATATAACAATAAACAAAAAAAGTATTAAAAACTAGTAAAACCATAATTACAACTAATAAACAATCCTCATTAATTAAATTCATAATCCAAAATAAAGCAAAGATCTTTCAATAGAAAGAAAACTATTAACAATCAGCAATTTTCAAAAGTCTAATTATAAAACAGTCTTAACCATTAACCAAACCTTTCATGGGTTCTTGCAGAGAGAAAAAAATCTACTCCGTACAATATCCTCGAAAACTATCAACGATTTAAAATAAAATTAACAATTCCTTTTAAGACATACAGATAGGACCTTGGGAAGAAGAATGAAATTGACTCGATAATTAATTATTAAAAATTATTTTCTTTTTATAGAATTATTTATAAAAGTAAATTATGTGGCTGATAAAAACTCATAGGAATTTAAAGTTCAGAAAGTACTTTTGGATTGGATGCTCAAATCTGATTATGAACTAGTCCTTTTGAGGTATAGTGGATTTTATTATAATCTTTTCAAAATTGGCACTTTAGTTAACCTTTTGCCTTCTCGAATGATCTGATACTTTTGTCCTATTTCATTTATATATAATGTGTTAGTGTAATAGCATTTGTAAATTGCATGCTTTTCAACTGGTTAAGTAGCCTTTTGATGTGTTTTCAATTTGTTTTAACTTTAAATGCATCCCATTTAATTCCTAATTAAATATGATAAAATTTAATTAAATTTAATATGCTTATTCTTACTTAATTTAAGTAAGAATAATATAGATCAAGAAAATAGAACAAATTCTGATTTATTCATTTTAATTTTATAATACTAATGAAAATAAATTTATATACAAACTTATATATAGAGTAAAGTAAAAATCATTCTCCTAATTTGATGTGTTGCTTTCTTTTCTTCAAAAGTATACTATTTTCTTTGTTTGGCACGAAAGCGTCAAAACTTTTAAACTATAGATATTTTTAAATGTCTTACGATCCTTTATTTTAGGAAATGATTATAGTTATCCTCCTTAAGAGTGGGGCTTGTGAATGTTTCAATGCACAAATCGCTCAAATATTGGCAAATTCTGTTTTCCAGATTATTATTGATTTCCTCTGTCAAATCTTAGACTGAACTTCTGCCACTGGCATCATCTGTACTCCATGATTATGTTTAACTAACGGCGTCAGAATTATCATAAATATATCCAAATCTAGTTGAATCCATCTTTTTTGTTTTATATTGAAGAAACTAAATCAAATATTTTATATATTAATTAATAAATTTCTATTATATTATAATGCAATTTTAGATATTAAATTTAAAAAAATACTTAAGCTAGAGATCATATAAATTTATTCATTGTAATTAGTTGATAATATTTGGTAAATCAATTTCTTTGTTTAATCTAAGAATTTACCCTCCAGAATTATCAATTAATTGGAGCCAATTATCAACAGATTAAGTAAGGTTGACTAAATAGATTACAATAGATACTTATCATTGTTTTTATTTATTCATTACTCATAAGAACATTTGAATTGCGTTCATGAATATATTTAAGTACATTACTGAAGAACATATTAGATACATCTCTTTATTAATAGTATTGATGTAGCATAGTAGCAATTAAGACTTGTTGTTTTTTTGAGGATAACTATTTGTCATCTTGGGATTCTTCTTACTTTTATTTTTCTTATAGTTTCCTTTCTCTCAGTTTATCAATTAGTTTTTAAGATACATTGGATAGTGGCTTAGATTCATTTGATGTTTCCTTATCTTAAAATATTCTGGAAATGTTAATGAATTAACTAAATTGTACAGAATCATTTTTAACTTATTGATTTGTTTCTTATTTAATGTTGGGATTACAAAGTGATGGTTTTTAGGGTAATTTGTATGGTTCTATGTAATCTCCATTAATTTGTAAATAGGTTTCAAGCTTCTCCTTAAACTATTCTTTTCTTGAATTCAATTCTTGAGAGTTAGGCAATTATTTATCAGGGAATTTGAACAGAAGTTCGTAATTTCCATTTTACTTCTCAAATTTTTCCCAATTTATGACATAGCTTTATTACCACACCGCTAAGATTTCTAAAAGTTATCTAGTAGTAACTTAGAGCTAAGTAGAGTCATAGCAACTTTTTACAATATTTGGCCAAAATAAGGATTCTCTCTAAAATTAGATATAATAATACTCTTTATTTAAGGAATAATAACTGAGTGTCAATAGCTGATAAGATTTAAATTAAAGAATAATATTTGCTTGCTTATAGGTTTCCAGTCTCATTAATTAATTAAAATCTTTCTCTAAGAGATGGTCTACTCAGATATTTCGATGCTATTTTTGATAAGGTAGGGAAAGATTCAACAGAATTAGAGTTCTCATTAAAAAGAGTAGTGCATTGACTATCTTCGCAAAGTTTAACTTTCTTTTGAAGCATTTGATTAAGGTCAGGAGCAACATTGATGTTTTTATTTTTCATGTTTAATAATATTTATTATTAATTCTTTCCGCCTTGGAGCACAATATCAAGAAATTAGCGCGATTATTTAATTATTAATTAAATATATTTATTTTTATTAATTATATATATAATAAAATAATAATATTGATTGGATTGATGACTTAGAGTCTTTAATCTTTAGTTAAAAAGAGAATTTAGAAAGTCAATTGTATATAATATAAAGTACTAAACTCATCTTTAGATCTCTTCTTCTATTCAAATTAATATTTTCAATTAATAAGCTCAACTAAGAAATCAGAATGAAGAATGATTTCATTGTAATTAAGCTTATGCATACGACATATGAATAAATTTATAAGTAGTTATCGTCAAACAGTAAAGTAGATAACACAATTTGAATAATACTAAAATATTATTCTTCTTAAAATTTAAGTGATTTGATTCTACTTATAAAGTTCCTACTTAAAATGCAGATTATTATTGTATTATGTTATATGGTATGTGACAAAAAGGGAAAAGATGATTAAATTAGGAAGTTAATTATCTCTATTAATTTTACTTAAGTTTCTATGTTTCTTAAAAATCAATTCTATTCATAAAATAAAACTGGCTGCAAAATGACAGTATTCAATTAGTTATAGATGAGAATTTTGATAATAATTTATAAATTATTAAATGGCAATTACTTTTCTTTTAGTAATTATATTCTTAGTTGCATTGTTGTTTATGGCACCAAATTTTATTACAAAAATAATTAGACAACCTCGTTAACAGGAATAAACTAATAGTAAATTGACACAAATGCAAATTTTGAATTAATTATTTGATTAAAAAGCCAATCAAAACTCAAAGAGCAAAGGATGTATCACTTTAAGAGGAGAAATATTTAATGAAGAGTAACAAGAAATTATCTCTTAATTGACGTCGATATGTGATGTGATATGCTTGAGTAGAACAGACTAGCCTAATCTGCCAAAAGGTGTACATCATTTACCATTTTAAACAGATGTTGGATGCAGTGCAATAGTAAGATCACTCAAACCTAAACTACATATTGATGATTAATAATATGAAAATTTACATAATTTTGTTAAAATCGTACCATGGTCAATGATAAATAATATTAACGTATTTAATTTGAAATGAAATATTCAAACAACCCTTAATTTCAATCAATTGAAAAGGCTAGGAGAGGTACTTTGATATTCTTAGTTCACATTAGAATCTCCTTCGACTGATAGGTTAAAAGTGTTGACAGAGAAATGGTCTAATTTAAAATAAGGATTGGATAAAGAGAAGAATGACAAGAAAGAATTAGTAGAATAGCACATCCAAAGAATAGAGTCCCTTTTGAATTAAGAAAGACCTAAGGAGGAGCAAAAGTTCAAGACTTTGAAAGATCATTTGTTAAAATTACAAGATTAAGTGTATCAGGAAAAAAATGATAGAGAACTATTCGATGAACTAAAATAGAAGGACCTTCGTAATTTTGAAGAATAGTTAACTTAGCAAGTGGAAGACGAAAAAAGTGTAAATATTTGAATTTAATAATGTAATTAGAACAAAAGAAAATTAGAATTGTAATTGTTAAAATAAATTGAAGAAAGGTTCAACAGTCTTAACTCAAATTTACAATAGAACAATGGAAATTGCAAAGATAAAACTAACAAATTGTTACAAAGCATTACTTTGTAGATGAGTGAATTGAAATATTTATTAGAAGGAGAAACTCAGAACAGAGAAGATTCATAGAACAATTTAATTGAACAAATCGACAATTAAGTTAATGCATTTTAAGATATGTTACATGTAGAAAGACAAATTAGGGATGAGACACAAAAGAAAATATTTAATATGATAGAAGATATCCATTAAAGAATTTAAACTGAATTAAGAAGTGAGAAATAACAAAGAGAATCTATGGCTGATTAGTTATTGAGATTACTAGAAGACACATGCGTTAGAATTGATGAATAGTTTAATAATTGAAATTCTAAATATATTAATTTTATGGGTTAATAATGTTGTTAAACCTGCAATAAAGCAACAGATGAGGAGAAAAGAGAAATCTTAGTTCCAGACTAAATTATAGCTCAAACTGTGTCTATTTACAATGAAAACTCATCTTCAGAATTTAAATAATCTATCATTTTACTTTCTAAAGACGAGTAATATGAAGAATAACCAGAAAATGCATTTCCTATAGAATCTATCAAGATTCCTAAACAGATAGAAGAATACTTATCGACTCTTCCTGATTTTAATTACTAAATGAACATAAGAGGATAATATTTAGGAGCCTTCTTACTTAAAGATAATTCTCAGTATGATGGAGAATGGCATAAATCAATGAGACATGGAAAAGGACGTTGTGTCTTCCCCAATCTAGTTTATTATGAAGGTTCTTGGAAAGAAGATAAAATTGATGGTTACGGCCGATTAATTCATCCAGAACATGAATATTATGAAGGTTAATTCACGAATGGATTAAAGAATGGCAAAGGTAGGGTTACTTAAAATAATGGTGCTTATTTTGAAGGGGAATTCGTCTATGATAAGAAACATGGATATGGTAATGAAGTCTGGCCTGACGGTTAATAATATGAAGGCCAATATTTTAATGGATCAAAAGAGGGCAGGGGCATCTTTACTTGGGCTAATGGAGACACTTACGAAGGGGAGTTCAAAGACAATAAGATGGAAGGAATTGGTATCTTTAAATGGAAAGATAAGGAATATGAAGGAGAATGGAAGGATAGCAAAATGAATGGATAAGGGGAATTTAGATGGAATGATGGTAGAAAATATATTGGGAGTTATAAAAATGATAAAAAAGATGGTTATGGTGAGTTTTATTGGCCAGATGGTAAATTTTATAAAGGGTAATGGAAAGATGGGAAACAACACGGAATTGCACTTTATAAGGGTAAAGACATGCCTAATGAAAGATAATGTTATTTTGAAGAAGGCAAACGAACTAAATGGATAGAATGAATTTAATTGATTATTACTTCTATATTAATTAATTATTCTAATTAAATATCATTTATAATAATAATCAACCTCTTACTCTTTAATATAACTAAATAATAATACAAGTAAGATTGAGTTGCAATAATTTGTGAACTGATAAGATTAAGAACACTGTAATAAATATTATGCCACAATTGATGTATCATTTCCATATATTTTCGTATTTTTATTTAACGAATATTATTTTTTTATAGTTGAGGGTAGGTTGAAAGATTTTCCCTATGATAATTCTATAAATAAATAAATAAAGGATTGCTTATTAAGATTAATTAATATTATATAGTATTATATAATGGAAAGTTTTATAGACTTGAGCTAGCTTGAGCCGATTCCATACAAAAATACTATTGCTGTATTGAATGAATACATGCTTTAAAACATTGACTTTTTAAATAAGTATGATGTACAACTATTATAACAGATTCGGTCATTTCAATGAAAACAAATTATTTGAAATGGAAGTAGTTCTGGATGAGATCGAGTCGAAAGTGCTGTTATTGGAAAAGAAACTAGAATCAATACCCCCAGAATTCTATAATGGTTTAGTGGTGCCTCCTCTTCAATAATAATTATAAGTGGCATAGCCTCAGGCTGTAGAACCATAAAGTATTCTGCCGTAGTAATTATAGATAATCAAAATAATGCGATTCCTCCTCCTCCACCACCACCACCTCCTCCTCCTTAGAACTATTAGTAGATTGTACCTAATTAGGAAGCTTCTTATGAAGCAGCTGCTGCTCCTCCTTAATTTGAATAGCAAATTTAATAACCTGAGTAGGTCTAAGAGGAATAAGTTTAATAAGAGGAAGTGGAAGATGGTATGAATTAAGTGTAATAAAAATTTAGAGAGATTGGAGAAATACAAAAAACTATTAAGTTATGGAGTGAATCATTAATAATTGAAAATGAAAATGTAGATGGAAGGATTAGACCCAAATTTATTAGACAAGTATTTGACTTGATATTGAATAAAATTTAATATATATATATAATAAATAAATATTAGATGCAATATATAAATTATTTAAAGGAATTAATTGGAAACTATTTCTAGCCGAAGGAAGAGGTGGTTTTCATAGAGGAAAAAGTTGAAAGCATAGAATTTGATAGGGATGTTGAAATCATTCAATACAGATTTTAAAAAAAGATAAATAAAGAAACTCAAACTTATAAAAGGATTAGCAAATTTAAATGGGTGATATTGAAGAGATTAGTATTGAAATATAAAAATGGTCGATAGAAAAATCAATATAATAGGGATTTTTTGAAATGATTAACATAAATTTATGTAGATAATATAAAGCAGGCATTTAGTTTGGTTAAAAATAAATATTTAATTATTTAATTATTTACAATGAAAATTAGGAACAAACTACTTAAGCCATTCTTTCTTATCGTTGTCTTGCTTCTGTTGTATGTATATATGAAACCAAGACCAAAAAAATTCGATCTAGATGAAGATCTGTAATTTTCCCTTTTATTTTAGTCAACCCACTCTCTCCTAAGGAAGAGGAATCACTCGAGAGCATGCCATTCATTTTTATGAAGTCTTCCTGAATATCCTATTAAATAAACATAATAAGTTTGCTGAACATGCTGAAAATGTTTATTTGATCAATTATTTAATCAGAAACGATGTAAAGTGGAGGGTCACTGAAACTATGCTCTTTCAATTATTCGATGTCACAGGTACACATTTATCTTTATGAAGGCAATAACTACATTAGCAAGAGCGAATATGAATCATTTGCTGATATGATTGAAGATGTAGGGGATCGATAGAAATTAGATTCATTAAGAATGCTAATCGACAGAAATATAGACACTAAAATTATGAGAACCGAATGGATTAACTTTTGCAATAAGGTTTTAAGACCTAAAATGATCCAGGATTTGTAGGAATGGGAAAAGTTTCATGGGGCATTATCTAATCCTTATAATATCACTGCTCAATTTACAGCCATTAATAGGGATGAAAGAAATCATCGAGATTTGATTCATTTGCAGTTGGATAGAGGATTACAGATGTTACATGATGGATTCAAGACCTTCGTAAAACACTACGAGGAATAGACGAAACATACTAAAAATGATAAAGATTTATTTGTTAGAAAAATAGGATTCTGGATACTTGAAAGGTTTGAAAGATGGGATGGTTTATTTAATTGGATCTATTAATTATTAGATGATGATGGTGATGGACAATTAACACCTAAGGAATGTGCTGCATAATTGAATACATTTGCAGTGTCGATGGTGCATGTAAGAGAAATCTTTGAATATATGGATGAAGATGGGGATGGCATTCTATTAAGAAAAGAATGGGCTGATTTTAGTGAGACATTTAGAAAACTATTATCAGGATATTTTAATTAAAAATGAGTTGATAACATTGATTAAATATAAATATAACAATTCAATCATGTTCAGTTTCAAATATTAATTATTCAAAATCATTGTTCATATCTTTCACATTGTCTCGCCATTAATTCAATTCAACCTCATTTCTATTCGATAATGCTGTAAATTTTTAATAAACGGCATAAATGTTGCTAAGAGATTCAAGTTAAGCTTCTTTAGCCTTTTGAATATCATTGGCAAATTGATCAGCCATTTTTTTAACTTTGAGATCAGCAGGATCGGAACCTTAAACTTTTAATATAGAGTATTAATATACTTTATCGAATCGACTAATAGAATTAGTCAAGAGTATGTAATAGTGGATATGAATTCTATATGCATTCCTCTAATTGTTAACATTTGTAATTGAGTTATTTTGTGAGTGTTTATTCTTATTTAATCATTAAAAAGATGGTCTCTATGGCAATCTCTTTGTTTTTATTATTCTGCGATGCTTTTTGATGTTCACCCATAACTATTGCTGTTTACTTTTTGATATGTGTATCTAGATTATCTGCTTCTTCTTATAAATTCTAAACCTCTTTTTGAAGATCAGTTATTTTTTATCGTTCTTTCATCATTGCTTCTTCAATTTAATTCAAGTACATTTTGCCTTCCATAATTATTTGATTAGCTGCATCGTTGGTTTGCTTTTCCAATTCAGTCGGTTCTTTTAATTGCTCCCATTCAGCATTTTAGTTAATAGATCCTTAAGACAAAAAATACATATCCATAGAACAATAAGTTTATTCGATTCCTCCCATTATTAGGATAATGTCTTCTATTTAGCAACTACAATGTGAATATCTGGGAGAAGGAATGGGCCCAGCAGTAAAAGGAGAACTCCAATGATAGTCAGTTAAATTTAATAAGTAAGTCTCATTTAGGACCTTATTAGCTACGTTATCAATTCCACCAAATATTATAACATTGTCTTTGATCAAACTAGTAGAGAAAAAGGCCCTTGTGCCTGGTGCCTTACCTAAATGCAATATTCTTTTCCATTAATAATTATCCAAAGACAACTTATATAATTGAGTAGTTTCATCTGAGCATTTACCACCAAACACAAACATATTATTTTAATATACTACAGCCCCATGTCCTTGTCTTGGAGCTGGATGTTCTCCTTTACAATTTTTCTTAGTTGCTACTGCTCCAGGGATTTCTTGCTGATTCGTAAATTGAATGGCTGAATAATTAAATATCCAAACATCATTATACATCAAATCTTCAGGAAGGCATGCTCCTCCAAATATGATCTTTTCCATTCCAGGCAAATCACACATTGTATGATTATGTCTATTCGGAGGACTTTCCAATAAAAATAGTCTCTTCCATACAAAATTTTGAAAGCTTAGACAATAAAAATCTGTCAAAGATCTACCTTTATCAGCCTATCCACCATAATAGTATATGACATTCTAACTTTCTATACGGAATAAATATTTAGTTATTACCATCATAAAAACCACTATGATAACATCTTGGTGAAGGTTGTCTTCCTTGAGTTTGCTAAACTTTCCATTCATCTTTTTGAATATCAAAAATCATAATTTCATTTAATCTTCCATTACATATTCCCCCAAATAAAACTACGCTTTGATATTTGGGAATATAAGTAAGCGTGGCTCCCTCTCTTGAAGTGGGAAAGGCCAAGCCTTTTGTTGGACGTTACTTCAACCATTTGAATTATTAATTCATAAAAAATAAGTATAAATTAAATTTATATTATAATTGTTAATAATGTGAGCTATAGATTAGAATTTCATTCGAAGGCTTTCTTGAGATTTAAGGATTCGACAATATAAAGAATAAATATAATTTTAAATACTAAAAAAAGATGAAGAAATTAAAAATATTTAATATCTCATTGTTATTAATTAATATCAGATTATTAAATTGAATTTACTTTAATCTAGCAGGATGCTAAAATTCTTGCGCTTGCTCTTTTTTGAATTGTTATTATATATGAGCAACAAAGTATTTGAATTTTCAATGCATTTTAATAGATTATAAAATTAATAGAATCATTGCAGTTGTGAAGATTCTACAAGGAACAAGATCCTACACTGTAATATTAAATATTAATTCATTAATAATAACTACTAAGCCTTTTAAATATTCACTGTTTCTGATTTGTTCATCATCCATTATTTTGTGTTTTGAATAATTAAATTAGTAAATCTTAACTAATACATCAGTTAGGAAATAATACTTGTTATTTAATGTATGATATTTAAACTTATTTAATAAGTTGTATTCAAAATGGTTGTCATTTGATCCTGCCAGATTTTGATAATAAAACGGGAATTAATTGATTTGTATAATAATATTATTATTAATTACCAAATCTTTATGAATATTATTAATCAGTTGTTAGCAGGAACAAATCGTATTCATGTTAAATATTCATTTAAGTTTTTCGCCTAAATTTCTAGATGAGTAACAATAAGAACTTGAATAATGCTGTAAACGATAAGTAAGACTAGCTCAATTTACTTTAAAATACTCTTTTCTCTAATATGGTGACATAATTCATGTTATTTTTAGTTGATTGCTTCATAAATGTAAAATTTAGAAAAGCAAACCAATCAATAATAGGTACCAGTTGTTGCTAAGTCAAAAAAGATGTAAATAATCAAATGCTAAGTTATTAGTAGTAAACGAGATAATAATTGTGGACATCCTGACAAAGAACATTATGCTAAAGGTATGTGTAGCAATTGCTACCATAAATATGGAAGGACTAAAAAGCCTTGGATCTGTGGCCATCAGAAGTTGTACGCATGTACATTTCATATATTTTATTTTAGAAGGATTATGTTAAAACTGTTACATTAATAAATATAATCAAAAAAGAAGAGAAGCTTGGGTTGGTGACGACAAACCAAAGTCAGAGGAATAAAAATAAGAAATATGATAAAATTTATTTAAGTATTAGATATTTAGAAAATTCTAATTTTTTGTTAATTAAGAAGATTTATTTGCTCTAATTCTTCAAACTTCATATAAACTTAATGCTTTTAAGATCAATTGTTTTTAAAAGCATTTAAGTATATATATTGATATTAATTTATTTTAATATTGTGATAACAAGGGATAATTTATATACCGAATTTCTTAATTTAAGAAATTACTGTAATAAATTGCTTATATGATTTTACTCGTCTAAGACAGCTTGTATTGACATTCATCTCATGAACTATTTTATTGTTCTAAAAAATGAAATAAATCTATATGTTCTCAATTTAAAATAAATATACAATTAATAAAATAACTAATAACAACATGCAAAAGGAATCATTTAAAAAACAATATTCTAAAGAGCAAAGGCTTAAGGAGAGTGAGAATATTCTCAAACATTATCAAGATAGAGTCCCTATCATCATTGAAAAAGACAAAAATTCACGACTTCCAGATTTAGATGTTTAGAAGTTCTAATTTTCACTAATCTAGATATCTCTTCCTTTCAAATTTTCGAGTATTTCAATTAAATACTTTAATACGAAGCAAATTAAATCTTAACAAGGCTGAAGCAGTTTATTTGTTTGTGAATAATAAAGTTGCTCTGAGGGGAGGTACAATTCAGTGTTATTAGATATGAGCATAAAGGAGGTTTATGACAAGTATTAGGATGATGACAAATTCCTCTATATATAATATTGTGAATACAATACATTTGGGCTTTGAATTGAGAATTTACATTTATGGAATATATATCGATTTATAATTTCTAAATTAGTTTTTCTATAATTGAGTATGGATTTAGAAAATAATTTGTATGGTTTAATCAGAAATATTGGAAGTGAAACTTGTTGAAAACATTCGCATAAAGCCATCAGGTTTTGATTAATAAATAGAGATGAAGAAGAATGATTTATAGAGTTTATATTAAATTGATTAATTAATGGACCCAAAACAGAGAAAAAAGTCTTAGGAGGAGATTGTGCAAATACCTCAAAGGAAAGCATAAAGAGTAGCTGGAATACAGTAATCATCAGGGGGACAACATATCTATGAGACTTATGTCTAATGTCAAAAATAATAACAGAGATCAGATATTATTTTTATTGTTATGTGTTTGAAACTCCATTTTGTTTTCAGTTTTTTGAATGATGCTTAACTGTATTAGAATATCTTAACATAAGGAATCATTTAGCTAGTTAGATGTTTTATTGCAAATTATAGAAAGGACAATCTATTATCAAATAAGGAGATGGTGCCAATGCATTCTTTATCTTAGGTATTAATTTGCTGTGACGTTTAGAAAAGGGTAAAATATAAGTATTCATAAATGGACAGGCCAAAAAACAATTGATATCAGGTAATGGATTGGGTGAACTAGCTTTATTATATGATGCGCCAAGGTAATTGATTAAGTTGATTTTTAGGAGTGCCACATGCACTGCATTAGAGGATTGCAACCTATGGGGTATAGATAGAGCTACATTTCGAAAAACAGTTGAGCAAATTATGAAAAGTGAATATGAGAGAAATAGAAAATATTTGGAAAATGCAACATTTTTTAGTAATTCTAAGTTTTAATAAAAAGATCATTTAACAAAAGAGTAGAAGGATGCTATTGGGGGAGTGTTGATTTCTTAGAAATTTTAGACTAATTAAATAATAGTTAATAAGGGTGATTAGGCAGACTCACTCTTTATAATAGCTGAGGTGAGGATTTATTTTCAAATAAGGGCAAAGTCGGCGTGTATACAGATGATGGGCTATTAATTAGAACGTTATCCAAGGGGGAATATTTTGGAGAAAACGCTCTAATGCAGGATAATTGTGTGAGGGGATTAACTGTGAAAGCAATAGAAGAATCACGACTTTTGGCTTTGGGGAGAGAAACCTTAACTAAAATATTGGGGGATGGAGTGTAAATGATAATTTACAAGAATCAATGCAAATGGATTCTTCAGCAGTCTAAAATTAATTTAATAATTTAAATAGATTAATTTTTGGACTTATTAACAATAAGAAAATTGAAAAAAGGAGACATAATTATTAACAAAGGATAATTGCATGGAGAATTGATTATCGTGATAGATGGAAAAGTCAGCGATGTAATGATATGAATAGATCAATAGTCTAATTAAAATTCGGTTTGTGAGAAGGGCAAAATCTTATTGGATAAAACGGTTGAATCTAATGGAACCCATGATTAGGATTATTTTATGTTAGAAGATGGTATAATAGCAGCCATTGATTATAATATAGTAAAAAAATAGTTTGGTGAATAAGTAAACATAAGACTAATATATTAGCAACAAATTTTAGAAGTATATACTTAATAAGCCAATAACTAAGTTAATAAAGTGAAGGACTATTCATTGGAAGATCTGAACTATTTAAAAACTTTAGGTTGTGGATAATTTGGAATGGTGTATTTGTGCTAGTTTAAGAATGAATAGTCATTATTTGCATTAAAAATAATGACAAGAGCAAATATCAAGTAGTTTGGGATAGCAAAACATGTTGCAAATGAGAGAAGAGTATAATCCATTTTAGATCACCCTTTAATTATGCGTTTCTTTCGATCATTCAAAGACGATAATAATATCTACTTGTTAAACGAGTACATTCCTGGAATTGAATTATTCGATGCTATTCGAGAAATTGGATTATTAAATAAAAACGATTCGTAGTTTTATATATCTTAGATGATATTGCAAACAGAATATTTACATACAGTTCATTAAGTAATGTATAGAGATTACAAACCAGAAAATCTTATGGTTGATGATACAGGCTATTTGAAATTGATTGACTTTGGAACTGCTAAATTAAATTAACCTGGACAGAAAACATTCACTATCATTGGAACTCCACATTATATGGCACCAGAAGTGATAAGTGGAAAAGGATATAATTAGATGGTTGATTTATGGAGTGTTGGAGTTATCCTCTATGAATTTGTCTGTGGCGGTTTGCCTTTCGGAGAAGATGCAGAAGATCCCTTTGAGATATACAAGGAAATCACTAAGAAACCATTATCCTATCCTTCTTATATGTCTGATAAATCTGCCAAGATTTTTATTGAACAATTGCTCAACCGTATCCCTGAATTACGTCTAGGAGGATCATATTAGACTTTAAAGTAACATGCTTGGTTTAAGGACTTCCAATGGGATGTCTTGATTACCAAGAAACTCAAACCAGTATATAAACCATCTGCAAATAAAATCATAACCAATGCATAGGTTTAATTGATGAAAAGGTTGCCATTATTTGAATAGATGCTTAAAGATGCATAATACTTCAAAAAATAATAACCTAATCCCAAAGATAGTGAATGGGATAATGAATTTTGAATAGCTCATATTATCAATTTGTTTTAAAGATAAATCCCAGATGATCGTATCTTATTTGGTTTTATTCCATAAACATCATCATCATTATCTACATATATCTCAGATATCTTTTGGCTAATATATTAATTATCATTTTCAAAACAAAAAATGTTTCTGTTTTATTTCTTGTGAAATTCCATTCTTTTATCCTTATTTTTACTATTGATATGATAAATAATCTTCATCAATCATGGAGACACTGAGTAACAAAAATAAATTATCTTAGAAAATATGGTATTAATACTTCTCTAAATCTATTATTAATAAATATCTATTTAATTTAATTTACTTACATTTTATCAAATGGATCAAGAACTTAAATTTTCATAAATAAATAAAAGTTAGCTAAGTTAAGATCAGTTTTAGATTGATATATATTAATTCACGAATTTATAATAATAAGTTCAAGTTTAATTGTTTTAGAAATCAATACGAAATGTTACGTCTTCGGTGATACTTGAATCACACTCTTTTAACTGTTATAACTGTAATCAAGAAAAGTATCACAGAATAGTTTTGGGGATTAAATGATTTGGGTATTTTAGTTAGGCAGATTATTTATTTGATCTTTCTATCTCATAGGATATTATGATTACAATTAATTGAAATTTAATGAAAGAAGTTAATTCTTATACAATTATCTGTTGCTATCGTGGATATTTGAAATTCTCAATAATATAACAATCTTGTGATTTACTCTATGTAAAATCTAATAATTTCTATTTGAAAACATTAAAGCTTTCAGAAAAGAAAGCTAGTTAATTCTTCTTCCTATTACTACTAAAGAAATGATCATAGTGGATTGTGAATTTAGAAACCATTTGAGTACTAATCATTTTTTGAATGTTTTGTAGTGGTCTAAAAAATATTGGAATGATAATGATTGAGAGCAGCAATAAGATGATAGCCATAAAGACACAGTAATACAGAAATTAGGTTATTTCAGACATTATTTAATCCTGTAGCTATTTGGCCTTGGTTACATTTGTAGTAATATGAGCCAAACTCTAAAATCTATTGTGATAATAAAGATACTTTACACAAGCAAATAAAACTAACTCGAAATGTTTATCACGATTATTATCAGGTCTTACTTAAAGAAAGTATTATATCTACAAAATTATTTAACACCATTGTCACCACATTCAATATTTCCTTACCCTTATTTTTAGGCTTCGTTCACAATTTAATTCCAATCATTTTCATCGAATCCAGTTGCATCACTGTCATAAATGTACTTCTTCTCTTTTGATAAATCTATATCCTATTTTATCATTAAATTGGATAATAGCATTCTTCCTTCGAGATCAACCAGAATTACATTCAAATCATCGTACAATAATAGCTCTTTATAATGTTCCAAAGTTTAATCGATTCCAAAGATTCCACATAAATTCTACTCTTGGTCAGTTAATCCTTTTGTTATTGTGAATTCATATTTTTGTGTTTCAAAATTTTGATAAATACTTGAAATCGAAATTGTATCATTCTATTACGTATTTTCCACTTTCTAGATCTATTCCTGATACCATGGCCTTTCTGATGGTAAGTACACTGCTGGAATAATTTTTGATGGGAGAATTGCAAAATATTCTTCATCAGAAAGAAAAGTGAAAAATAATGTTTTTTGGAAATCCGAAAGAGAAATGGGCAAAAATAATGAGTTCAATAAAGCTTGATATCCCACTATATGGTTAATTAATATTTTATCTGATGTTATTGTGTTGCTCTTTGTTAAGATGTAACAAAATTAAGGAATTTTTTCATAAATATTGAGACTTTTTTCATCCTTTGGACATCCTAGCAAAAGATTAATTGAAGTTTTTTGGTCTATTAATGTCAATTAATTCAATTTATTGAAGCTTTGGAGAAATTTGAATCCATATTCCAAAGGGTGGTGAGCTTAATATTTGATGAATTGAGATTAAATGTTTATCTATTTGAGATTGGTTTTTATTTCTATTTCCTTAGTCAATTTTTCAATTATGTCATCCATCATAAATTTGTTAATCATCTGGGAAGAGATTACAATTAAAAATACTAAAACAAAAATGAAGGATTGCAAAATAAATGTTTGAGTTTGCATTTTCATTTTTCTAATGCATTTAAAATGATGGATACAACTGTTAATTCTTGTTAGTTTTTGCATTTATTTTGTTTAATTATCATTTTCTAAGAAAAGTTAATTAATTTAATTATGATGTTAATTATTTAAGTATCATATCTGATCACAAAGAGTATTCACAAGTCTATTCTTTATATTTTTACCTATTAATATGGGTGTATTAGATTAGAGGAATATTAAATTTATCATAAAGATAAAAATCTTATTTTAAATTGAACCATTTTCATATCTTTAAATATTTGATAACACTTTCAAAACTATAATTAAAATGCATCATATATTCTTTAGCTCACCCATCTTAATTTTAAATTCTTTGTACTTATCAATAATTAAATTTTAAATTCGAATATTATTATAAAATATAAATCAATCCAAACAAACGAACTATTTGATAAAAATAACTGACATCCTCATTTAAAGATAATTTCATCTAAATTGGATATCATTTATGAATAAACATTAATAATATCACAATTTCAAGCCAATAGTTCACACTTTTTAATAATAGTTCTTAGTATTACTAATAGAAACCTAAATAATTCGAGTAATTTATATTCCATTTTGAAGATTCTTTGATTCAAAACTAATACGAAAAGTATCCAAAGAAAATTAAATAATATAGATTGAGTCTGATAATAAGAACCAATTGAAATTTATTATTTTTTCAATTTATTTATAGAATAAAATCTTATTATTTTAAAGAGTTTTAAAAATAGGTATCTAATTCAGGATTAGTAATAAATGATGTTTTCGTTTTCTCATGTTATATCTCTCTAGATAGGTTATAAAGAAATAATAATTAAAAATTAAGCATTCAAGATTGAGGATTTAAGATCTTTATTAATATGCCTATAACATATTCATTAAACATAGAGTGTGAAATTAACAATACAATATTAATTAGTTTTGTTATTTTAAGAGATTTCAATAATATATTTCTATTAGATTTTTTGTTTCGATATGATAACCTCGTGGTAGGAATCAACATATATAATTGATATTCGTAACTACTGTTGTGTAATATAGTAATTTTAGTGGAATAAAACCTAATAAAATGACGAAGTAGCCTAGTTAACTTAACGGATTGTAATTATAAAAAGAATTCAAGGAAGATAGAATTATAAATAACAACACAATATACCTAAAAAACGTAGATTTAGAAAAACGGTGAAACTATTTATTACAGTAATATAATAAAAATCAAAAAAAGGATAGTAATTAAATTAAACCAATTTAGTAAAGATTTGCGCTATTAATTTGAGAACCAATAGTGGTTGACAATATAATTTATTAAGATTTTTCATTTTGAAGCGACAAAGTATTAAATTTGTAAGGATACCGTTAGTTTGAGGTTGTTTAAGATTTGTAGAATCGAAATTTAGGAATATATATTGGATGATCGAAGCAGCAAAATATAGTGAAATTAGTATAAGAGCTGAAGTACGATACAAATATGCATTTAGGACAATATTAGTATAAATGGTGTTTAAACAATGAATGGACAGAAGATAAAATATTGATTGAGCTTATAATAAATGAAATAATATAAATTTGTGATCTGATGTGAGAATGGTAATGGATGTTTATGATAGTGAATAACACAAGTTGATTGTTTACAAAAATTTATAAGTATTAGATGGATGACTAAATGTATATAAATTGAATAGTAAATCAGAGATTATTTTGATTCAAATAATAATTAATGTTAAGAAAAATAATCTTACTAGTCTTAGTGATATAGATAAGGGGTGATACTGTTTTGGACAAGGGATGCACCTGTAGTGAAATTCAGAACGAAACCGATTGTAAAAGAATACAATGCAAATATGAGAATGGTCAATGCAAGGATAGAGAGCAGGAAACGTATTGTAAATTAGCAAGCACAATAGCTAAATGTCCGGTTTAAGGATGTGCTCTGTATGAGAATTAATGTCAAATGTTTGCTGGATGTACAGCTTATTTGGGTAAGACATTTGATGCTTGTAATAATATATTTGATATGTGTACATCGGATGGGGAAAGGTGTGTCCCTTTATCTACTTGTGATACTTACTTAACTAAGACATCATGCTACATTGATAGTGCTTAACAATATTGTTATTATGATGAAAGTGATGCAGCGAAACCTCAATGTAAAACTGTTACTGCTTGTAAGAATTTACCTACGACTTTAAAAACAAATTAAGAATGCCGTTCAAAACTCTCAAATTGCACTGTTAATGAAACCAATTCAGGATGTGTTGATTCAGGAAAGAACTGTAGTGATTAAAAAACGAAATCATAATGTGTAACTAATTTGGATCAAAGCATGGAATGCAAGTGGAATGAAACAACAAGTACATGTTACGATTACACTTGTGCAAATGGAAACGGTAAAACAGTTGATGATTGTCAGAACTATAAAGACAACTGTGTATTGGCAGAAACATCGGAAGGCATATCAAATACATGTAAAGATAAAGATGAATGCGTCAATTATAAGTTTAATGACACATGCAAAATAGGAGTGTAAGGAAATTGTCTTTGGCTTGTCACTTAAGTGGAGGGCAAAGATGTTGGGAAATGTGTTGATTACATTTGTACTCAAGCTTCGGATGATTACACAAATGATCAATTGTGCTCCAAATTCTTAGCCACTTGTACCATTGATGATGACAACCTCGGATGTAAAACGAGAGAAACAGAATGCTCATCATATCAATATGTCACATAATGTGTTTCTACTATTGAGGGACACCAATGCTATTGGAATAAGTCTAAACAATTATGTGTTAATTATGATTGTGATAATGCTTAAGTTGATACCTATACATCTGAAAATTGTAATAAATTCTTAAGTATTTGCACTGCTAATGCTGGATAGACTAAATGTGTTAAAAAATAATGTACAGATGCATTAACATCACAGTTATGTACTAAATTAGGTACATGTATATGGTAGGACAGCAAATGTGTATCATTTACTTGTGCTAATGCCCCAACATCTATGACTACTGATGATGCATGCAACAAATATCTAGATAAATGTTACACAACTGGAGCAGGATGTTCTTCTAGTGGAACATGTACTGATATGAAAACAGAACCTGCTTGCAAAACTGATTCATTAAAACAGAAATGCCTTTGGTTAAGTTCTGCATGCAAAGTTAAGACTTGCTCTGATCTTGTCTACATTAGTCATTCTGAATGCAACGACTAATTAGATACTTGTACTTCTGATGGCACCAAATGCATTGCTTAAGCAGCCAAATGTAGTGACTATAAACTTTCACTTAGTTGTGTTATTTCAAAAGAGGGACCTTGTTTATGGATTGATAGTTAATGTTTCCTTTTTTTGGATTGCACTAGTTTGCCTGGTACAACTCATTAGTTTTGTAATCTAGCAAATAGCAAGTGCACAACTGATGGTACAAAATGTGTTCCAATTACAAGTTGTGCAAAAACACAATAAACTGGATGTTATATTGGTACAGATGGAGATTGTGTAAGAAACCTTGATAAAAGCAATAATACAATATGTGAGAAGTTTACAAAATGCACATAGATGATTTTTACCACTCATTTTTAATGTTACCGTGAAAAAAAGACATGCACAGTCAATTCAGACAAAAAAACATGCATGGACTTATCAAGTTCATGTTCCACTTATACCATACAAGATAATTGTTAGATCACAACAGATAATAAGTTTTGTTAATGGGATACAACAACATTAAAATGTAGAGATTAAAAATGCACTGATATAATAAAAACAACTCATGGGGACTGTTAATTAGCAAATGTTAAATGTACAACTGATACTAGCAAATGCATTGATATCTAAAAATGTGATGGTTACACTATAAGTGATTTATGTAAATATGGATCAGATGGTATTTGCATATATGATACAGTGAATAGTAAATGTAGATTGAAAGTATGCACTGATATCACAGATGTCAAGTAATGTACAACCTTAGCCAATTGTTTAGCAGATACATCTAGTTGTGTGGCTAAGTCTACATGTGCATCATATAAGACAGAGAATAGTTGTGGATTCGATGGAACTGATGGTGTTTGCACTTGGAATAACAGTGCTTGTTCTGTAATGACTAAATGCGAAGATGCCAATTCATTCGAAAAAGGGTGCAAAAAGAAATCAGATATTTGTAAATGGACACCAAAACCCAGTAATGGGGGTTCAAGTTCTTGCAAGCCATACACATGTCAAAGCAAGAATTCTGGTAGTACTTGTCTCCCTTTGGTTGCCTTTAGTGAAACAGAGTATTAGGTTTGTGCAGAAATACAGTTGACTTGTCAATCAGCCAACATTTCAGATCTAACTGAAGATACGTGTTTTATCAACAGTGCCAAAAACTATTATTGGGATAAGACCACCAATAAATGTTTGGCTTGCAATGGAACAACAGTGACTAATACTACAGTTATTGAGAATAGTTATTCCTGGATGCTAGGAACGATATGTCTAGTTATTGCTTTCCTTTAATATTGACAAATTATTAGACATAATATATATAATTTTAATTTTAAAATAATTAACGATTTTGAAATGGGAGCATGTTCATCTAGTAAACCAATTGCCAAATAGTCAAATCAAGCCAGTAACCGATAAATTCAGGAAGATCCAGTCATCTCTGTCATCAATTACATTGTGGATGGGCCAGCTTAGGTTGAGATCGAAAATTCAAAAAAAGAGGATTTAAATCAAGATAACTTGGATTAAGACAATTAATATTAAGAAAATGAATAATCAGATATAGATCACTTAGAAATCAATGAGGAAGACATTCACAAGTGTAGAGATGAGGAAATACTACTAGATAACACTGATGATACAATTTAAAAACCTGCAGACACTTTCAATTTCATCAACACTGGATAAACCCTCATGTAACACAGAAATCAAAGTGATGTCAAGGTCTTGCAAAAGTAAAGAATATTCTAGGTTGGCAAAGAAAACATGTTATTGTCTTGATATACAAATTTTTTTACTTTAATTTATGGATAATTTATATATTAATGTAATAATAAACAATCTAAGACATTGAAACATAAGCCAATTAGTTATTGGAGAGTGTGTATCAGAGGAAATCTGACATGATCACCACTTACAGTAAACTAAAAAGATAAGAAGAAGTAATAATAAATAATCCCTTATATAAATAAGGCATTAGATTTAGGATTTGCATCTGTAGGGTTTCCAGATGAAAGCATGGATTGTGAGGCAGTCTATGAAGTAAAGAGGCTTTCATTATCTTAGATTCTCCAACCTGGATTCATCTTTGAAGTCATCGTAAGTAAAAAAAACATAGCCAAAGGAAGGCTAGATGTTATTTTACAAAAATTTCTCGCCTTCAGTGACAAATGTATCACCTCCCAACATCAAGTGAGATAAGCTGATTTCTAATAATTTAAGAGATAAAAGCATTTGCTCTCACAGTTAACTTAGATCAATGTCATGAGAATGAAAGGAGTAATTTATGAATAAGATGTGGTATTGCATTCCCATATATACTAAGATTGAGGATTTCTCCATTTTCACTTATTACATTAATTTTGAGAAAATTTAAGTGGGTGATCATCTAAACGCGGTTTTAATTGACAAAACCAAAATGACAATGTCTTTGAAAAATAAAAGTATTTTGGGTGGTAAATAATGGAGTTTGAAGAGTCTACAAAACCCATCAGAATTCGATAGTTGGCTTTATTTCAGATTGGGCTATGCCAAATAAATCGGAGTGAATTTTCAATATTAGATGATGAGTGAAGAAGAAAAACAGAAAACTCAAGAGTAAATCAATGCCAATCTCAAATTTAAAGAAGAAACTGGAATCTTGAAAATGGACTATCAGATTGAGCAGGATGGATTCTTTCCAAACAAATAGAATTACCCATTCATGATGCAATCCCTAGGCTTGTCTCAGAATACTTCATTCACTAATAGAAATAACATAAAATCATTCATGAAGATTAATTTAGATCATAGAAGGCGTTTATATTAAATTATTTATTATTTCTAGACTTTCAAGTCTATCTGTCTAGCCAGATGTCCAATAGATCTACGTTCGCAAGCAGAAGAGTCAAAGCAATAATTGAAAAATAATAACATAATAATATTCACAATCATAAATTCCTCTTATCAATTAAACCTATTGAATTCTAATTAAATTAATTATTTTATAATTCATTATGCTTCCTAAGTTTTCAAATTCTTTTGCTTTAGATAAGAATCTATAAACACTTATCGAATCATTTAATCAATCTCAAAAGAACCCTGGGCCAATTTCTAGAAATAGAATTTCAGCTAGTTATCAATGCCTCCCTGGTACAATTAGACCTCCAACTAGTACCTAAACTTTAAGTATATTTCATTCATAATACCAAAAGGCATTTTCTAAGAAAAAGTTACATTTATCTTATAATCCAATTCAGCCATCAAGTAATTGTTCTTTTATATATTAAATAGCACTACATTTATAAATGATCAATAAGACATAATTTTAAAATTCTAGTTAGGTAACAGGATGTTATCTATAATAACTCTTGATAGGTCTTAAAAAGAATAAAAAGAGGATGACTAAAATATGAATGTATACTTGCAATAACCATATCCTTATCAATAATAATAAAAATTAAAAATTGATTTCAAATTAGAAGATACTGATGAAATTGAAGTTAATGGTGTTGATAATATCGTAACAATACTTACGAAAGGTCAAATAAAACAGCTAAAATCTGAGTAAACTAAAAAATAAATATAAATTCTCCATTTAGATATTGCAAGTAAAAATATATCATTATTAAATAGATAATAAGCCTGAAGGCTAAACTGTTTAAATTTAATTCAAATTCTTGAAGGAATGGTATTTAAAATTAGGAAACAATCTCCTTACTGCCAAAAAAGCTCTTTAAGAATTCTTCAAATCTCTGTAAATACCCAAAACTAAATTTACAGCTTTTGATAATTAACCCCCAGGTCCAGATTAACCAAATATTCACTTGCAACCAGACTTAAATAAAAAACCATCAATAAAACCTGAGGGAAAATAGGAAACAGAAAAAATCTAGGAAGAAGTTGAATAATCAAATCCAATACCTGAAAAAGATCTTTAAAACTTATTTCCTTTAGTAAGTGAAGAGTTTGTCTAAAGGTAGAGAGAATCACTAGAAAAAAGTATAATTGTTTTAACTTTTTTGTAGAAAACTGCACTGCTGAAGAAAAGATCAAGCGTTTATTTGAGGAAGTTCGCATTAAGCAATACAAGTAACAATCTTATAGTGCTGAAAAGAACTTTTTCAAATGTCCCTATCATAAGTGTTAAAAAGGATATAAACGTCCTAATTAATTGAAAAATCATATTAAATAAAACCATTAGAAATTATCAGAAATAGGATTCACTATTGATGATAATGGAGAATACAAGTACAATGAGAGAATTCTAGATTATTGTTTACTTTTGTGGAAAGTATATCCAAATTTTGTTAAATCAGTTATTAATGAAGTATATATCAAAATAATTTAGATGAGGCAAAGAAAGGAACAGCCAAGTGCATGAAAAATAATAAATATCATTTTTAAACTCAGATATACCATCTATAACAATTCTTTCTTATAATTTTGCATTTAATTATTTGTTCAAATTTTAAATTACAGATTCATATTCTTACTAAAACTCACAATTTATAAATAAATCTCTCAATTCATTTATCAACTCCGAATAGAATATCCGATCTCCTCTCTTTTCTGTTTTTTAAAATGCAATTATACTTTTTTATAAATTAATAAAAAAATTCAATTTTTAAAGTATGTTAAGCAATCTTATAAAGAAAGCGGATTTGCTGGTTGATCCTTATGAATTTAATATTTCACATAAGGAAAAATCCTTAACTCCAATAGGTTTTGTTTTATGGTTACTTATAGGTGGATTTCTCAGCATTTTGCTATTAGTGTTCACATCATTTTATGTTGTAGGCGTATTTTAACGAAGTATCTAAAATTAAAATGCCATTTATGCTGGTACTTAAAGTGATTAAAGTGCTTAATTTATCTTAAGTAATGATAACACTCACTTTGCAATGGAAATTTCAAAATTAGATGGAACCATTTTAACTAATAATACAGATGTTAAAAAGTATTAAATATATATTCATCTGTTTAGTTATTTTACTTTATCTGCTTAATATATACAATAGTAAAGAGTGGAAGGAAAGATTGGATTTACTAGAAATTATAGTGATTTGAATTAATCTAAATGTTCCTAGGAATCGATCTAGAAATTTAATTTTAATTCTGCTTCGATGACTGAAGAATAATAATAAAGTTTGCTTTGCTTTAACGGAAATTTCACTTTATAGGGACAATTCTATGAACCTTACTTTGCCTATATTAAGTTAACTCTGAGTGTATGCAACAATAAAACAAGTAGTTCTTGTAAATCTTCTAAGGAAATTGAGGATTTTATTAATTAAGGGTAAGATATAGAGATATCAATAGAGTGAACGTGGATATGTTCATTAGAGGGTCTAAGATTAAGCAATCCCTTAATCAAACAAATCCTGCTGACATCTTTTCTAACAATATATTTTGGAGATTGACTACAGGTATTGGAGATAATGAGGATATTTATATGCAGCCTTTGCAAATGGATTTAAGTACTTATCAATAATTAAATTAGGAAAAATTTAATATTTTAGTGGCTTATTTAATGTTGAAGACACTGAAATACTTTACAATAGTTCAGTGGTTTAAAGATAAGAAAGAAGATAAGAACCTATAACAATTGCTTCAGGATCAGCACTTTGCACATTTTATTTAAGGTATATTGTGAGAATTCATTGTAATAGAGCATCTTCTGACACATCTTATTATTTTGTCAATTAACAAGATCTTCCTTCTATAATTTTGTCAGCTGTATCTGAAGCCACCGCTCTGTGTCTAGCTGTAATGCAGGCTATTAAAATTGTTTATAAATTCTATAATCACCATAAAGCATTCGAAATCCTCATGAATTCAGTATTTAAATTTGATTTCAAAGCCGTATAAAAAAGAATGCAAAGCAATATTAATTAAACATTAGCTCCTAATAGATTGAATTCTAGCAAAAATTAAAAAATTTAATTACAACAAGTATAGATGCATTTTAATCTATAGATTTTAGATTATACAATAAATTATTCATTCCATAAATATTTACTCTATCGGATTCGTAAATTAGTGAAAATCTGTTTTGGGAAATGTTTTTAAATATCTGAAGAAAAAGAACTTGTTATATCTTAAATAGCAAAGTCGAAAATAGAACTTGATTTGGATTTGACAAATATATTGAAAAAGCTTTATGAAATCGATTGTTTAAAACTATTCTTATTTGATGATGATCAATTAGTGCTTTTTAATACTTTTAGTTCCCCTGTTTTTCAAGACCAGATGACAGACTAAAAAGAATTATTTGATTTTTTAAAAGCCACTGTCAAATAAAATAGATCAATTAATCCATTATAGTAACATTCTAATTCTTAAGCGAAATAAGATAATCAAAATCTATATTAATATGCTGCAACATCAACAAGTAATTCTATGTGTATTAAATTTAGTACCAATAAATGTAAGACTTGCTAAATTGGCAAGGTTTTTCAAAGCTCAATTAGGAGCTGAAAATGCAGAAGATTTAGTTGAGAACTTTTAAAAAATTAACCAAAATAAAAATCAGAATTGGTAAATAAACCAATAACTGATGTAATTTGCTATGCAGAATTAGAGTTTGTTTCGTTTAGTCTAACAGAATTATATGACCTTTGAAATAGAATAAAATTAAGAAAACTAAAAATAGTAGATGGAGAATTATAAATTAGATGTTCCAGATGAATTTGATGAAGCTAAAAACAATTCGGAAGCTATTTGTAGCAAGGAATCATTTAAAGATTTAGAAATCAATTAATCCCCTGATAGTATATAGAATAGATTACAATGATCTATATTGTATGTTTATGTATCAATCTTTTATTATTCACTTTTCAATTCTCATATATAAACACATGTGTTATGGATGTATAATTATAGAAATATAAGGATACTATTCTCAAAAATGAATAATTCAGTTTTTTGAATTTAATAAATTGATAATAGTACAAACATTTATTCCATCATATTTTATATTCTTAAAATATCTTTAATATTTTTTATTTATTCGTAGGTTTTGTAGATACACAATCAAATCCATACTTTAGGCATTTTTCTTCGTCTTTTTTTCCTCCATATCCAGTGATGGCTATAATTGGAATTTTCCTCTAAACTTGATATTAATCTTCGAATATTCTGATTTGTTTGACACAGTCCCAACCGTTCATAACTGGCATATTTATGTCCATCAAAATTGCCCTGAATCCAAGACAACAACAATTCTGTATTCTTTTTTATTAGATCTTCTCCAAAGCTTAATAACCATTAAAAGCCATCGTAATTTCATACTTCTTATGATGTGAATTCAAATTTCGAATAATATTTGATAAAATATCTAGATTGAAATGTTCATCATCCACTATCAATATATCATTAGAATTGCAATCTGTATTAGGAAAAGTCGCCTAATAAAACTTAATGGACAAATTAATACATTTCGTTTTAGCAAACTTCTCTTCGTTGGACTCAATCTAACCTAAGTTAATTCCTTATTTTCCGACTCAGGAATATCTTCATCATTATGATACTTTTGTATGGCATCATAATTTAAAAAAAAATAAAATTACGATCCTCCTCCAATAATAGATTCCAAAAATAAACTATTTAAACCTTAGGGACCCATTGCCTTAATTATATATTAGCAAACACTCAAACCTAATCCAATCCCAACTGAATCCTTTGAAATCTTTGGATCATCATCTACCGAAAGAAACTAAATAAAATCTTGATATACTTTCTTATTTAGAATTCCTTTTAACTCCTCCTTCATTCCTATGCCACTATCGATTATTCTGATCTGCACAAGCTATTGTTATTTGATCTCCTTGACCTCCTCTATGCATGAAATTGAATCCAATTAAAAGTCCTTACTTACTTGAATTGTTATTCCTCCTTGAGAAGTGAACTTAATTCCATTTGTTAATAGATTGATCAATACTTACTGGAATCTATTTTTATCTCCGATGGCTATTATTGTCTCTGAAGGCATTTCAAGGTTGAGATTTAGTTTCTTTTCGTAACATTGTACTTTGATTAAATCCACACAAAAATTGATGGCACTATTTAAATCAAATTTCTCAATCTTTAATTCAAATTGATCTTCCAAAATATCTCTGTAATCAAAAAAATCTTATAGTTTTAGCTACATTAAAGTAATATATTTCAAAGATAATTCTAAGTTTTTGTTGAGTTGCTAAATATTATCTATTCTCTCGTAAGCTTCACTAATGTAACCATTCACTGCGTTTAGACTGGTTCTTAATTCATGAGACAAAGATCTCATTATGGTTTTCTTGGCTTATTCTAATTTCTTAACTGTATATTACAATAGCAAAGGACTTAATTCGTTAATACAATAGATTTAATAATCTTGTTTCTCATTTAAGACATCATTGATTTATATCAAATTAACCATAAGTCTGACTTTATGATTAGTACACGATTACTATCCAAATCCATCATGAATGAATTTATATTGTTCACTATGTTCCACTAAGTTATGATTCATGGTTTCTGTATGATTTGGAGACAATTTCAGATTTTCGCAATATATTGAATTTTAGATTTCTTATACTTTAGTAAATTGGCCCAAATTTCTTGAACTCTATTTGCTGAGATTCATATTATTCGATGATTTTTTCCTTCTTTTTGTTTTGGCTGACAAAATAAATGACTTAGGTTGATGACTTATTTGTATTTACAAATGTATGGTTGTTACATAACTTTTTCTAGAAGAATTGAGTAAATAATCATTTGTATTGATATCACTAAAGATATCTTTGGATTTCTTTTTTAAGGAGGCTGAATTTGGACACATAAAACTTACATTTTATAAGGTATTTTATGACGGCTACCTTTTAAAATCTACATTGACTATCTTATATTGGTCGTCCGTTATGCCTTCATCATTTATTTATGGAATAAAATCAGAGATCGAGAATCCATCATATTTTCAATTCAACAAAAACTTAGAATTCTCTATAAAATCTACTTACTATTGTTCTTTGCTCTGATTATTTATTGATTGAGCCAATTCATCTGTTACTTATAAAGTTTAGGCTAATTTCTCAAATAATGAATTGGAGTATGTGATCTGTTTAGTGTTTTAATCTACGATGCAAACTGCACTAGGCATTTGCTCGATAATAGATAATAGCTTTAACTATTTTATATAATTGGCAATGAAGTGAGATTCCAACTAATAATTGTGAATAAAGGCGGTTGAACATATGAGACATATCTCAAGGGGTTCAAACTTGTAAAAAAATATGACTGTGAAGATAAAATATAAATAGAGGAAAATCTTTATTATTAAGTTAGAATGGCTATTAACGAGTATCATATAGAGGAAAATGTAGATCTTATTTATTTCTTCATTTTATACTGTTATCAAGATATAAACTGAAATCAAGCAATATTATGCAAGAAAGTAAATCTATATTTTCTTACAAAATGTGTAGATGCATGTTATTATGATCTCTAAGACAATAAAAAGGGTTAATTGAAAAATATTCATCATGTTTTCTATTTTGATAATTTCTACTATTAGTCTGATTAAAACATAAAAGGCACTAAAGGCAATAGCTGTATGATAAAACATGCTCCTTTTACAAATTAAATCATTCTACTTCCATTAAGAATATTTTGAAGATTTCAAAATTTTTTAATAGTGAGGCCATAGTTTTAAGATTGAGTTTTTTTAAGGCTCCTTCATAAAATTAAGTGCAAATTTAATAAATTACTTTAATACAATACGATCAACAATCTGATTAAAAAATAAGTTCGGAATTATTTATAGAGTTAATATATGCATCTTTAACTTCCGATAAGTTAAGCTTAATTAAAAGAAAATCTATAAAAGTATTACTTTAAATATTAAATTAATTGCAATCTCCATTGATCTCAATTGTATTCATTTCATGAAAATTATTTTGCAAAAGCTAAACTAATTTATTCGATAATTGGGAGATCCAATTGATTAGATTAAAATAATGAAATTTCTTAAATGTTTGTGTTTTAATATAATTAAATGAATATATTTTTGCGTAGTAGGTAGAACATATTATAAGAATAAATTCAATCGAAGATTGTAGATAAGAAATAACAAATTGTTATATTAAAATCTTGGAGCGAAATGAAAATTAAATTCGCCTCATATTCACTCTTCCTTTGTTATCATTCACTAACAATATAATAGAATGATAATAAAAAATGCATTCTGGTAATTAAATTGATTATTAATAACAAAACATACCGGTATCATAAATAATATAATTACATAATCATAATAAAACAGACTATAAAGAATGTAGTAATGGCAACTTGATAAAAATTTATAATACTTATTTTTCTACTAATTATTGATCATGGATTGTAATCAGATAAGATTGAATGAACCTATTCACACAATGTTATTTATCCTTTTGATCAAGGATGTTACATTGTTAATGTAATTAATTAAACTATGTTAAGAAAATAGAGTTTATAAACCCCGCAAAAACATCTTTTAATTTTTTAACGATCAATTATAAAATTATGTTCTAAACAACCAGCAGTATAAATTCTTAGCAATCTCCAAATAGATTTAAGTTCAAGTCTAAAGTTAGGTATAGAATGTGAATGAGTGTAGTTTTTTTAATGACAATATGGTACCTGCCACCACAACTAAGATTACAATGCAATACAAAGAATTATTAAGAAATATGTTGGCATCATTATAAGAGAAAGCCTCATTTGCTAATCTGAGTGAGTTTGATTCGTTGAAGTCAAATCAGATCGCAGTTTCAATATAGAGTTGTTATAATCCAAAGTTTAAGAGTACTGGTGTAGATGAGACAAAAGAAGCATTTTATGATCTTTTGGATGAAATAAAACAAACAATCAATAGAAAGTATTTGTTTTCGAAATATATTTTAGATTTCCATTCATCAAGTTGTTTCGTTAATAAATCAATCATCCTGATCATTATTTATAGATTCAACTTTTCTAACAAGATGTTCATACAGTAGTTTTGTATTCCCGTCAATTTTCAAAAGAATAAATCACACCTAAATTGATTGGAGATTTGGTATGGCTGCATTTAAAGAAATTTAATTTAACAGTTAATGTTGATTGTCCAATCAAACATGTGGTTCCAGTTTGTGAAGATGGAATGCAAAAAAGCATTTTGGAAGGACTTTAGGTGACTGTCCGTTAGAGAGAAGCACCTACTATTTTGTAATCAGCTTAAACTCCAACAAAGTAGATTGTAATAAGGACTTCATTTTGTTAATAAGCAAGTAGTGGTTAGAAGAGTGCGTCTAAATTAGATATTTACAAAAGCACAGAAAATATTCGAGATATGGAAAAGTCAGTAAGAGTTTATTTTTCACCTACAAAATCTCAGGCATGGATGACTTAAACTAATGTTTCATAAATTGATCTGTCTGGTTAAAAACAGAAAGTTTAATCACCAGAAAAGAAATTCACTGTTAAATTATTTTCTCAGACAATCCCAATCACCTGTTTTGAAGAGGCTAAATTTATTGATTTAGTTTAGTAAACAAATTCATATGAAATAGAAATAAGTGGGAATTGCATACAAACTACTAAATCATAATTAAATGTAGATGAATTACTAGATGAGAACACTGATACTGTATATGTGTCTACAAGAGTGGAAAGAACAGATCTTATTAAATGCATTGTCAAAGCTCCTGAAGATGCGACTATTAATATTACTAAGAACATTACTGAAACATTAACCTATGATGCTAATGAATAGGCATTTATATTTTATGGAAGAGACAAGTAAGAATATGTTATTGATGTTTCAAAAAAGGATTGCTTTTCTTAAAAGAGGACCATCTTTTTATAAGGAAATACAGATGTGAAAATTGTATTCGATTTAGTAAGTTGTGTAGAAACTACCCTTTAATTTAGAGTTTACAATATTCTACTAAAAAGTGGATAACATAAAGACATTGAAAATTGTAGATTGGAAGTGTTCTAATCAGATTAAGCTGATTAAGAACCTATTATTGGTATAACAAATGAATAGGGATTGTTTAATTGTCCTGGATTGATGTTCAAGTAAGTTAGAGTCCATGCTTAACGAAAAGGATTCTTATAAGTTTCCTATGATTTTGATGTTTTAGCCAATTCAACTGGTTAAATACTTAATATCCCTATGATACCAGATTATTACAGTCTTATTAATCAATATCATATCCTAATTTATGTTCCAAATAAAAATAACTTCTAACTTGACTACTCAATGATATGTCCAGGTATATTTAATATTATAAATATTAGATGGTGTCAAAATTGATTCTAAGAATAGAGCACATAATGTAGTGAAATCTAAATTAGAAATTAATAGAATTAATCAATCAACTATGTTATGGAATTTCTCAGTTCATGTATAATCGCTAGATCCCTTTTTGTCAGATAATTGTTACTAATTTTTTATTAATAACCAAAAACCTAAACGAAAATTGTTATGTTAAGAACCTTTATCACCATAATGCAAAGAGAACAATGGCACTACATCAAGCAAGGCTTCCTGTTTTAAGACTGTAAATCTAAATGACATGTTCTTAAAAACGAGAGTTATGCAGACTGAGATCAAAACCTTTGTCAGACAAGAAAGCGATGTTATTGCATAGAAGATCAACAATTTCTGTGCTGAAGATTCTGTTAGAATATTTGTGACTTTTGGACACAAGGTTTTGGAAACCTTTATGATTCAAAGCAATTTACTTATGCAAAATGAAAAATGCTTTGGAGTCATTGATTGTAATCATCAATTTTTATATTTTAGTGGATAAACGACTGTTTATAAGAGATAATGACACTACTTAATAAAATATTAAGAGAAATCTATCCAAAATGCCAACTTTCAAAAAAGACATGAAAAATACAAATGAGGATCGCACCATGACTACTATTTTATCCCATATTACCAATCAAAGGTTTTAGGAATGACAATTATATATGTATATATAATTTACTTATGATTTTTAATATATTTGAATCTTTATTTATCAATCACTTGAACGTGAATGAGAACTTGAAGAAGAGCTCTTGCTCTTTCTCTTTCTCTTTTTTGATTTTTTCTTTTCACTACTCGAGGAAGAGCTTGATGATCTATGCTTTCTATGTTTTTTTTTCTTCTTTGAATGGCGCCTAATGTCACATGTTCTCATACCTGGAGTCAGAATAAGAGCGTCTATTTAAACGACAATTTCGAGCACTAAAATTATATTCATTTCACTTACAAATGCCCCTATTTCCCACATTAATAACAGGCTCCATCCTTTTTCTTTGCTCGTGCTAGCTCCACAATCAAATTTCTTCCATTGACCTCCTACTAATTCATCAATCTAACAGCATCTGCTGCGTCCTCAGGCTTGGTATAAGCCTGCACCCTAATGCCAACTCCCACGTCTTACGATGAAACAAAAGCGTCCTTTCCATGAAAACTCCTGAATTTCTCCATGTCTTGCGAATATACTCTTAATATCCATTTCTGATTCTTTAGTTGAATATCCTGTCACATAGATCCGATTTGCCTCTTCCTTTTTATGCTAATCCGAATCTGATGACATAAATTAATTATATTAATGATAAATATAAACTAAATCTCAGCCAAATACATATATAAAAATCAAATAGAAGCATTTTTATGAATGAATTAAAAAAATATTTTAACAATAAATTTTTCATGAAAAAAAATATCTTTCTCAATAGAAAATAATATAATTGTTTAGATTTTAAATTAGTTTATTTTCAAATTCTAAGGAATACTAATGATAGTAAAAATGACTTAATAATTGTTATTCAACTCCTTATCTTAGTATAAAGAAAGCATTACAATTTTTTCAGTTATGATAGTAAAACATAAATATTTATTGGTATATTAATAATTTACTCAAATGCAATATAAATAATATCAGACGGAAATATTCAAATCCTTTATTATAAAATTAATAACATATGCATTTTCCATAAGTTTTTCATATGGAAACAACATTAATATTTTTTTATTGTCTTAGTATTACTAATAAGCCTTTTCAATTGATAATTTAGCAATTAATATTGTCATAGTAGCAAAAATAATTGCTATAACAAAAGTTAATATATTTATATAAATTGTTGAGGATATGAAATATTTAACATCTTTTCTTAAAATTTCTATAATAATTTAAAAACTAAATTGTGTATATAGCCTCTTTATTTATGTATCAACTAGCTATAAATTGGAAAATGTAAAAGTTTCATTTTAATATTTGGAATCAATATCCTCTACAATGCCATTGTAGTTTTAAAATAACTCTTAAACCACAAAAATTAAACCTTTTGATAGTGAAGATATAGATTGACACTGTTCAAAGGTAAATAAATTCTAATAATCAGTATCCAGTAAAACACTAAATACATATTTATGCTTTACATTCCCTCTTGATAAACTATACAAACTTCATCTAATAATATTCTATTGATTAGAAGATTTGATTAGTCTTAGAATTATGAGATCTATGAAATTCTTTATTTAAATTCACCCAAGACTTTATCTTCATATTAAATCATTTCTTGTGTAATTGTTTTATTGTAGTAAAATGCTTATTGTGCGTAAGCAAAAATTAAATCATTTGCTATATTTTCATAATATATTCTTTTAGAATCATATAATTCTATACTGCTGAGAACCTGTTTATACATAAAGTAAGTTCCAAAATAGTATAATGAATAAAAGGAAAAGAAGATAAAAATGGTAAATGTGAAGATGTACAATTTTAAACTAATCTCTAAAAATATAAATATATTGATTACATGGAGTTTAAATTTATTTACCAATTCTAACATGGTTTTCTAGATTTCCATATCTTGAATTTTTTTAATATTGACTTATCATAGATGCTTCAAAAGATTCTTCGTTAGTCTCACTTGTTTTAAATTTAGATTGATTTATTTAATTATGCAATGCCTGAAATTAGATAAATTAATCTTTCATAAAATCTCTTGAAAAAGTACAGAATAATTTATAAAATGATGCTTTCATCTTTAGAATCGATATATAAAAATAAGCAAAACAGATTAATAGTAAAAATATTATTACTTCTTCAAAAATAAACCTAAATATTTTTATTATTATGTTACAGATTAAGGAGACTTTAAATTTACAAAAGGGAATTAAATCCAGCAAATTTATCTAATAGAATATGAAAAGCCTATGTGTTATTAAAGAAATCATCACCAGTTATACTTGAATTGCTATGATATGCCTCCGACATTTGTTATAGAAGATTTGTAGTTCTTCTTTTCACAGTTTATTCATTTATTATATTAATTGAAGGCATTAAAGATAATATTTCATCAATATATTTCTAATGTTGTTAGTAATAATTTATTGAAACTTGGAGGAGACTCTTAAAATTAAACTCGTTTTATGATTGATAAACTTTTGAAATAACAAACTCATTGTAATAGTAAGAGAGCTGATAGGGCAAATCTTCAAAATTTACATTTTTATCGACCTTTTCAAAATTAATTAACAAAATGCAAAAATTTAGGATAAACCCTGTTAGTAATAGTGAATAAAATATTAATAAAAAAGATTTAATCCTAAAATTCAATTTTTTATTGTTTTTTAAGCAACTTTTTATTTATTATTTAATTGTATTATTATTGTTTTAAGAAGACTTAGTGTCAATAGATTTCAAGAAATGTTATTGTTGATGTTATTTCTGTTCAAACTCATCACCTTTGCGGGATGTAATATTTTAAGGCATGATAATTTTAATATCTGTTGAGATCTAACATTATTATTCTTAAATTATAGGTGCTTTCAGGTAAGTATTTTAAATTGAGTTATTCCTCGTAAGTGATGCTAGTTAATTTCTGAATTCTTCTATCATTCTTTTCTCTTCAATTAGATAATCATATTCTAAATCACATTCATTCATCAAGGTTTTAGATGGAGCAGGAGTATACAAAGGTGATTTATGACTAAGCAATTCTGATTGATAAATGACATTATTTTGTGACTTAGAAGGCTTAACTTAAATTAGCTTTAATGAATTTTAATACTATTTGTTAATAGTTTACCGATACTCTGGAATTTCTACTATTACTACTCTATTTATTTAATATTCAAAAGCATTACCTTAAATTTATCGTAGTGAGACTTGTGAGATGGAAATTAATTTGAGTTTTAATGGCATTTTCAGGAAATTTTTTCATATAATCTCCCAATCGTTTGTTGTATTATTATTTGTTTCCATATTTCTATGAAAAAATTTATGAATGAGTTTGTTTTTCGATGATTGGGATCACCAACTCTCCTTCTTAATATAAGTCTAATTTATCGAAGTTTTCATCGAATAAATTTTACCAAATCTTTGATAATTCAGGGATCAAAAGTAAAAAATCTAAACCTTTAACAGTATCCAGATCTAACCCTAAATATTATTAAAAAGTATCTTCATATATATTCTTTGTTATTTCTTCAACTTATCCTTATTCATTAAGCATCAAATAACCATATGTTTAGTTAACTGATGTCATAAGAGCCTATGCTCCAAATTCCAAGGGATTTACTTCAATTCTCAATCTAGTATTGATAGGAATAACAAATTCTGATTTTTATTTTACCAAAATTATTCTTAATTCTCTTTTTAAAACGTTAATTCTTCCAGTCTCAACAAAATTATTTAAATATTAATCATGACCGTTTGCAATAATTGAAGGTATAAACTTCTTTATGTTTTAATTCAATATCTCATCATCTTTAAACTAAATTAATTATTAAAACGATCTTGTATATCTAATTACATCCCCTCTTGGTTGTAGCAAAGTAATTTAAACTACACAGCTATGTTAATCATATATAATTTTATCCACTGATTGAATAAACTCAGCCGTCAATTAGCCATCCCTTCTATATTATTATTTCCTTTTCTTGTTATAATTTATGTATTTTTGAAATAACTTATAAATTGTGTCGCATTCTCCATTTTAAGGGTTCGTCCTGAAAATATATTAAATTTAATTTTCTAAATGGTTGATATTGGCCAGTAACGCTAATCCTTTATCCTAAATATCTTTTGCATTTATGATGGGAGAAAAGAGCACTTAATAAAATTCCTTATATTTATAATAATGTTTACAATTTCTTGTTTGACGATAAGAAAGAAGTTCAGTTTTAAAACTTTTAATGATTCTTCAAATAAACAAGCCTTTTTAAAATCAAATATTTAATTAACTAAATTTTACTTCTATATTAATTTATTAAATCTTTATAATGAATTCTGCTAAAGTTAGTGTATAATCTACTAAAATCTCCAAGGAAGCTATGTAATCAAAAATATATACTTTTTCGACATTCGAAATTCTAATCACTTCATAAATTGCAGAAATTGGTGCCTTTTTTATATCATTTAGATAACATATATATGTTGATGTTTTCTAAATAGCGCCATCCTCCTTTAACTCATCCTCTATTACTTGACCCAACCATAATTTCAAAAATTCCTTACATTATTCAATATTCTATATAGAGTTTTGATTTTAAAAACTTGAGCAAAAGCATTTCTATGTATAATTAGTTTTTTTTAATATTTTTCTCATTCTGATTTATTTACAAGTTTGTAGATGTGTTCTTACTATTGTATATATTTAAAATAGTCTTTATTAATCCTAATGTTACTATCTCTTTTTAAATTAAACCTATAATTTGGCATTCCAATACATCCTTTTTAAAAAGTCTTATTAGTCTTTAAAATCATTCCTCTACTCTTATCTAATCGATAGCTAATGTAGTAAAAAGATAGCCAAGGGATAAAATAAAAGAATTAAAAGTGATAAGCTAATTTTGATTTAGTATTATCCAAATTAACATAGTATTAATGCAAGCTGATAAAGCAATATTAGTGAGTTAATTTGAAAGGAGATATTCAGTACTCTATGATCAATGTATGTTAGTTATTTATAGGAAAACAAAGTCTATATACTATTTATAATTAATCCTAGAGTTTGAATTAAAACTGCATTTGATATACTTCCTGATAAAAATATCATACTAAATTGATAAGAATATATTACAATAGTTTCAGTAAATATAGAATTTCATTATTTACACTTTTTTTTAAACCTAAAAAGTCATAATGTTTTATTCTGTATTCGAATTAATGAACATGTAGGAGGGTTCCTAATAACAATTATTAGATTATTAAGATGAAGCTTAGAAGCAATCCAAAATCTTCAAACCCGGTTAAATTGTCTATATAAAAATAACTTGTACTGAGACTAATTAAATCTGTGATTAGGCTAACTGCACAAAAAAGCAATGGTATTTATAGAACCTCAAGATTAATCTAAAAGTACCAAGAAAGCAAGGTTGATAACCAACATTCCTCAAAATGATAATGTGATTTTTTCTAATATATTTGCTTTTGTTACTTGTGTTAATGGTAAATCAAGAAGAGCTAACTTCTAATTTAGAGATTAATCTTAACGTAATACTAAAAAAAGAATTTTAACCATCAATAACGATTTTATTGAAAATCCAATAATCACACTTATAATTCTGGAAGTAATAGAGTTTGCAAATAAAGTGTATACCCTTATATAAAGATTACTTGATTTACTTAAAATAATTCATCATGGATTTAACCTCATTTGGAAATTGTTCATACTATATGGTATTCAAATTATGAGTGTAAATTGATAGCATTTAAAGGTTTTCGAAGACTATCAACACAACAGCTAATTTATACGTTGTCCTTCTAGATTCTTTGATATATAAGAAGTCTTTGATATAAAATGCCTTTATTTTTATAAGGAACCTTTTCATTATAATAAAAACAAGATTAATTAATTAAAACGATTCTGAGTGTATTCTTAAGTAATTAACTTAAATCGACCACATTAATTTGATTTCAACCACTATTAAGAAATTAATATTCACAACAGGCTGTAATTAATTTTAGCAGGAAAGAATTATACCATTTTTACTAATATTATAATATATAGGGTTGATATTTAATTTTGAATTGTACTAATATTTTATACTGATCATAATGAATTAAATTTATTTGGATTCAATTCAATGAAGTTACTAGAATATCATTATTCTTATTTGTTTGATGGACTAAGAATATCAAGTATCGGCTAATATTAAGTTTAGCAATCCTTCTAGATTATTACGAATGTAATTTTCGTCAGTCCTTAATACATATTGCATAAATGTAATAGTACCGCGATATATCATCAGGTGTTTCTAGGCATCCTAAACGGTTTTTCAAAATAATTATAACAGAGTAACAGAAATAAGAGGTGTTTAAATCTTTAGGTATTATAAATAATTTAAAAGCTCAAAATTAGAGATTTTTAATTTAATTGTTGATAAAGGTCATTTATAATAATGAAAAAATAAATATGAAACATCTTGTTATTCATTATTGTAAGGTCACTCATAGAATTTTTAAACAATCATTTTTATTTCATAATTGTAAAGCATTTTTAATAAATAAATACTTATATAAATTGAAGTCATTATAGTATATGGTTATTCAGGTATAATAATAATTTAGTCAATTAACACTAAATATCAAACATAATGATTATAAATTAAAAAATAGTTTTATGATGTTTGAAAGTCTCTTTTAAAATAAAAATTTATTTCAAATACATTAATTCTCAAACATATTAAAAATATATACTTATAATAATTATTATATAATTAATGTTACGATCCATTTAATAAGGATTCTCAAATTTGGCTAAAGCCAATCCTCTGAAAAATGGATTCAGATTTGAGAATTAAAATCTCACTTGGACATTTGGAGAATTTGATGTAATGGTTAATTGTATTCTGAGACCCATTCAAGTGCCTTTGCATATGGATTAATAGAGCAAGGCTGGAAACAAGGGGATAAATTATTATTCTTATTGGGAAGATCGAACACTAGTGAAGCAGCTGCTGCTTTTGTGGGAGCTGCAAAAGCTGGAGTTACTGTAATACCATTCAGATCTAATGATCAAAATGAAATTGAAAATACAATTGGAGTTGTCAATCCTAAAGGGATTGTTTTTTCTCCAAATCAATTGATAGGCGAAACTAAATTTATTGAAGTACTTAATAATCTAGTGCCAGAGACTTCATAGAGTAATAAATTTGATTTATTTATTTTTTAGCTTAATCTGGTTAGATTCTAAAAAGTAGTAAATTTAGCAATCTTAAATGGTTAATTCATACTGGATTCTATTCTTACCCAGGCACTTATAAATTCAGAGTATAAAATAATGAATATTTAGGAATCTCTAGTTTATGCCTCAAGAAATTTTAATAGGCTTTCACTTCCATCAAGCACAGGTCCAATTACAGCTGTGATCAAGAATGGACAATTATAGAGTTATTCCTATTAAGACTTGGTGAAATTGAGTGAAAAGGTATCTGGATCACAACATGTTATCATATCAGGTGATCCTTAAACTGTTACAAACTTCTCTATTGGTATAAATGATTGATTCATGGAAATAGTTGTTGGAGGATTGGAGAGAGGATATAATACAGTATTTACAGGTGGTGATAATCTTAATAAAGTATAAAAGATCCTCTAATATTATGGAAATTACAGTCTTGTTGTTGATGATTCGGTGTTAGGAGAACATTAAGTTAAAATTGTTTAATTTATTATAGAAATTAGATGTCAACAATCTATAAAATTTGTTCACTACAGGTGATGTCAACAAGGCTTAAAATATATTCCAAAAATAAGCAGTTTAATTATGAAATCATAAAGTCATTAAATATAATTATTATTAACAAAATAAGTAATATAATGAATAAATGAGCTTCAAATTAGGCATCTTTCTAAGTTTATATTAAATTTTATAATACTATCTATTAATATAAATATAAATGGGTTTAAGAGGGGAATGGAAATCCATTATCAGTATTCAAAAATTAATCATTAAACTAAATCTCTTATATTGTCGACTAATTATTATTTGACAGCATTGAAGCCTAAAACTTTATTAGATTTTAGATACTTCAATAACCAAATTTAATTAGCTTATTAATTATAAATAAAATGAATATAACTATTTCAATCTTCTGTAGAAATATCAATCATATGATAATTATTTAAAATAGAATTTATAATGACTCAATATCTAGAATAAATCAGATTCTGAATATTTAAAGTTCAATAAATTCAACAGAGCAGTTGATTTTATGAATAAGCAAAATAGTTTCTTAGAAAATAAAGTTTTTATAGCAGATGTATTATCAAGAGAATGTGCGACCTTAATTTCCAAGAAAATATTCAAAGAAATATGTGTTCCAACTGAATTAATGAGATGGCCTATATGATATTCAATTAGTAAATTTGGCTAAAAGGAAGGTTTATAAGCGAATAAAAATGTTATTTAACTAGAAAGATTTGTTCCTCTCAGAATATTTATTACTCTCGAAGATTTAGAATCTTAGATAAAGGCTTTCGAAATGTATTAAATGAGTAAATTTTTATCTATTATAAAGATAATAAAATATTTTATTAAAACAAGTCGAAATTACTAAAGTCAATACACAAAAAAGGTAGAAGTGTTTATTCATCTTATTTAAAAGTCATGTTAAAGATTTTACTGAAATCTTATATCAACTAATTTGCACACTTACTTCTCAAGAGAGGATCGGAATATTTACATTTCCAAATCATAAATTTTAAGAATGTCAAATCAAAATTTAGTGAGATTAATAATAACAAACTTTTGTATTTATCCATTGTTAAAGTGTATCATATAAAAGTTAGTCTTCAATTCATAATATTATGAGGATTCAAAATGAGAAATAATACAAGAAAACTTGAATTTTTTAATGAAAAAGTTATATGTTTTAATTATATATATCAGTTATAGTTTGTAATGTATTAAAAGTGAAGAAGTAATGAATAAGACTTGTGATCACTGGTAAACGACGATTAGAAGATTATGAACGGAATGACAATAATTAAAGATTAAAAGGATTTAAAATAAAATATTCTTTAATATTTTGAATTAGAACTTTACATAATTCTTGTTATTCTCAACAATTGAACAAAATAAATTATATTGGTTTCTTATTCAATGATGCTGACTAATTATAAATTCATAATTATTTATCAATTTTGATTAATTAAATAATTAAATATTATAATAATTACTTTGCATAGGCTCTTAGTATTGCTCAGATATAGTATAATTGCGGATTTGTTTCTGCTTTTCTCTTGAGCTATCAAGAAATTAAACCCATGATTTTTAGAGGAAAGAATTAGATGTTGAATTATAAATTGCTATAAGATCATCTCAATAAAATTTCAACTAATTATGGTAAATTTATAAGGTTTCACTAATTCAAGCTTTTAACATAAAACTAGCTATTCATCCCCATTGATGAAGTATTTCTTAAGCAAAAGTAAATAGATCGTATATAATAAGCTATTAGTAAAAATTAAAGCAACCTTGAAAAAAGTTGAATCATTAATGTAATATTATTCTCATTTAATCCAGAGTTAATACTGATTTTGTTAGATTTCTTTTTAAGATTATTAAATATTTAGACAAGTAAATTATTCCAATAGTAGAAGTTTCTATTTATGATAATAAATATAATCGATGGAGATGATATCCATCTTTAGAATGGCCAAATTCTCCATTAATCAAATATCAAGAGTGAATATGTTATTTCCTCTTAGTTAAAATTCTAAATTAGTTTTTAATAATATAAAATGGTTTGAAATATCTAAAAATAAAGCATAGAAAATTAACAAATTATTTATAGTCATACTTTTGATATTACAATTTGTAACTGTTTCAGTAAATTTAAGTTTTAAATATGGAGTTTTGTTAATGCCCATTAGAGGTCGGACGTTTAATGGAGAAAATCCTTTGATATTGCAATATATGATACTTCTCTGTAGAGATTTATTTTATGATGAAAATTAAAAAATAGAAAGTTTAAAGATAAAAATATCAAAGTATAAGCTCCTCCGAGAGAGCTTAAATAATAAATTATATTGAGGAATACAAGTACTCTACTTCACATGTAAGGCTATATGGGGTAGTATTATTAAGGTCTCGATGATAACAGGACACAATGCCTCGACTATTAAAGCTATATATTAAGTTTATAAGAAACAGGGTCGGATAAATAAGAAAGTTAAAAGGGATAAGGTTTTGAATTCAACATTTCAATTTATGTTATTTGTAGCTGATGATCCGTATACATATATCTCATTTAGGCACGCAAACCTGTCGAAAATAAGTGTGGAGTAATATGAATTCTAAAAGCAAATTGCAGAAGAACAGCAAATGAATTTATCAAATAGCCATGAATAAGCCATAACAAGAATATTAGAATAAAATAAACTCAAAATTATGAACCTTCTGGATAATTCAACAGCCCTAGATACATTTAATTAAGAAATGAAAATGATTTCTTCCTAGGATCACCCCAGTCAGTAATTCTCTACTTTAAACCTTTCATGTTTTAGTTGTAATGAGAAGAATTAGCCCTCTTTTTTAATGAACAAAAATACGCAATTTTTGCCAGACCTTATCTCTGAAAATCAAGAATATGTTGAAGATGATGGAAAAAATAAGTTAAAAATTCTGAAAAAACTTAATGAATAATATAGATAAATGAAAATGTGAACTTCTTCTTTGATTATTCATAAATTTTACAAATCATTTAATCTCTAATTCTTATTATTTAATTAATAAATAGGAATAATTATCTCATTCCCTCCTCCAAATAAATTGAAGATGGCTAAACTTTGCTTATGATCAGACTTATATTGGCTTTTGAGTATCTCTAAGATATTGAATGAAATTTAAAAATAGAGTTAGAAAATTTAATAAAATAATTATTTTGAAACATCAAATAATGATGTAAAATAATTACATATAAGTATTATAATTTATATGGAAGAATAAAAGCAATTTAGAAAGATAGATACATAGATTTACTTTAATAATAGTGAGCAGTTGAAAAATCTTAATAAAATATTTTTAACTGATGATATTATTATTTTGTGTATAATATGAAATAATTAATAATCATTATCATTTTTCAACTTTAAGTTCACCAGAATTAATCTTTCCAATTATTGCTTTGACTGGTTGTCCATCAACTGTAGCACCAAGAGATTATGCAGTACCCAACACTTATTTGACTGTTCCTGTGAAGGTCTTGGCAAGAGACTTCTCTTCTACAGCTCTGGCAACTTTGATGACTTACTCGAGTGTCAAATTTCCGTTGTGTTTAACATTCTTGGTTTTCTTTCTGTCTCTTTCATAACCCTTAATAAATTAATTTGTGAATATTTTATACTCCAATTTCTTTGATTAGTAATGCACTTGATGTAGGGATGACTGTAACATCTGCATTTCTATTTTGGCATCTCAAGTTGACCATAACTCTGATACCCTTCCATTTTCCACTTTCTGCAATAATTTTATCACCAACTTATTTAGGATTCTGTGTGTATATTATGCAATTATAATTACAAGACCGAGAGGTCCCAACTTTGGAGCAAGGGTTGATGCTGGACCACCTTCTCCTCCGAAGACTTTAATATTGATCAATCTAACTTCATTTGGGTCGACTTTGGGAGGCATTAAAAAAGATTTTAATTTATTTAATGTTTTAGTAGTGAATATAGAAATATATTAAATTAGTCACATAAATTTATTGAATCCACATAAATAACAGATTGAATATCAATAGAAGTACATATAAAATCTATGAAGATTATAATAATAATCAATTTTCATTAAAAAACAGCCAATCTACTTTATCTTGTGCGAGTGATGATCATAGAACGAACAGAATTACGTTCACTTTATACAATAGATTGGCCTTGGTGACTGAGAATTAATGTATTGGAAGTCTGATTTCTTGACTTAAAGACTCTGGGTATGTATTCTACATCGTTAAATGTTTCTCTACACATGGGACAACTCAATTATTTTTAAATCCATTATTTTAAACAGTTATCATGCATGATATGTTTGCATGGAGTTTATCTACACAACCTGTCATCTAATGGATCTAAACAAATTACACAGACTTAATCTTTGACTGGATTTACTATAGGCATGAATTAGATTGCGATATTATCTGAAAAATCCTCCTCTTGATTTTCTTTGATTTTACTCTATTATTAAAATTAACACCTTCTTCTAACCACATAAATTATAATCAGCAATATGATGAATGAAATTACACTCAGAATTGCCACTAATATAAAATCTTGGAATTTTTAATCATTATCCAATAGTTGATATTTAAGAACGACATCTTATTTCTGAGAATTCATGTTTTTTAATACTAAGAGAAAAGTGAAGTAACTGGCTTCAATATGGTACCTTTAGAACTTACTAGAATAATCGATTTCCTAAGGAGTTGATTTCAACTATCCCTCATAAATCAATTTGCTGTCAACCATATTTGAATAAGCACTTTAAAAAGGGTAAAGTAGAAAAATCTACGAATTTATAGAGGAAGATGACTAAATTTGGAAATTTCTTGTCTAACTCAAAATTTAATAAACTATTACTTTTAGTCATCTATCATTTGAGACTGCTAATAAAAGACTCCAATAATCTATGTTTAATGAGGCTTTAGGTTTGCAGAATATTGAGTCATATTGTAGAGTTAAGCAACTTCAAATTGGCATCTATCTCTACATTTATATATCAGCATTTTATACCCTGCTGCCATAGATTGACAGTGGCATTGCAAGTTTTAACAGATTCCCTGATTGGAACAGTTATTTGGACAATTTCTCTAAGGGACCTCTTGAATAGTAACATTACTATCAGGCAAGACAAAAATATCTAATTTATATTATACTCCAATTTTGAGTTTGTAATACATGGATAAATATTGAGTACTTTCCTATGCAATTTCACCCATGATAAGCTAGTTTTCTGCGACTTCTATTTTCATATCAGGCCATTCATCACTGAAAATTTCAATTAATAAAAAGTCATGGATAGCCTGAAATTCCTTAATTAGGGATTGGACAAAAAGGACATAAAAAAATAAGCAAAATAACAGATTCATAACTAATATATAATATTAATATTTTAGAAAATAAAAGTTAATTATTTAAAATTATATCATAAAGAATATCAATTCAATGATAAATGCAAGTGAGGATCTTCAACACCATTTTCTATGTTTTCAAGCATTTAATTTCTAAGACATCTCAAAGCATTCCTGATATCTTTGCATTTTTTAATAACTATTTGCGATAGAATGGGAGCCAATTAATATAAAGCTCTATCATCCTCATCGCCATACCAACTTTAGATGCAAATACCATTTTCTGGTTGATGCTAGAAATTTTCAGCCATATTATCAATTATGATAGTTGTATTTAAATCTCTACCGACAAATGTCAAATCTTTAACATGTGTTCCATCTATTTATGTAGTGTGCTATCTGTACAGTCTATGAGAAATGACATTGTCTTTGTCGATCAAATCTAGGATGAAATCTGCATAATCCTGCAATGCTGCTGTGAATATCACTATTTCATAATATTTGCTCATTTCAATTAAGAATTGTTCAGCATATGGTCTAACTAAGAATTAACCATCATCTACTAACTTGATCAATCATATAAAAATACTTCTTGATAATGAACTAAAGTTTCATCCAAATCGATCACCAAAGTATACCCATTAAATTTTGGCAAGTAAGGTATTTTGAGTTCCAAATGTTTTTCTATTTCTTCTTATTCGAGAGTCTTCTCAGTTTCATTAGTATCTATAGTCTACCTCATCTTATTGATTTCACAAATGACTTTCTCAAATTATTGTTTGATTAGCATTGTGCCTTATTATAATGAAATCTAATCGATATTTTATAACAATTTCTCCAGTCTTGCACACTTTAAATCACTCGAATTTTCTATGCTACAAATTTAATTCAAATGATTACAATAAGATTAATAATGAATGAACAACATTGGCATGTTTCTTCAATTAAGTAATATCCTAAACTGCTTTGTTCGCTCTTCTATTTTGTTTTATTTTACTTAATCTATTCTAAAGAATGTGCTTCTAATCCTCAGTTAGATTTTGCTTGATTAAAAACTCTAGATAAATCACCATACCATTGTGTATATAAAGTAAGAGATTCTTAATATGTTATAATTCATCCTCATAATTTTGGGTCAAAGCTTAGAGCATAATAACGAAAATTCCCATTCTTTCTAACAGCATTTGTTTACACACAATTTTCTATTGAATAATATCTTTGCAATCTCCTTAAGATTGGGGAATAGCATTCAGAAAATTCTAACACAACTTTACTACTTTTCTTTGTTTAGTAACAACGGCCAAAATAGTAAAGACGCACTCCTCTTGATTGACTAAGTTGGTCAAATATTATTCAGTGTAATCTGAAGTGGGTGTGCATTGAGTTGAAAACTTTGATTCTTCTGTTCTTTACTTAAGAAGTTTTGACTTTGGTCTAGTGAAATTTTTAGAGTTGGATGAATCAGCAAATTTTTGATGGATTTAGTTATATATTTTTTTGAGTGATTCAGGCATTTGATATAGTTTGGTAGGTGAAATAGATCTCTATGATGTATTTTGATTACTAGTGTCTAATCTAATCAAGGATGCTTTTGGATTTTAGATATCTTATGAACTTTAACGTTTTGACAGCATGTCACTAATGATCGAGTTTATTTTATTAGCTGATTATTTTTTACCAGAAGTAAATGATTTATTAGTAGATTTAACATCCTAATCGTATGTGTTTCTGTTTACTCTTTCATTTAAAGGAGTTCTTTTTGATATCATTTATCTTAAGTTAGTTTTGCTATTCATCAGTTAAATTAATTATATATATAAAAACAAAGTTCATTCTTTTTTTGTTTTGATTTCATAAGTTTTAGAATGTTCCCCTTACTTTAACTTATTCTTTTCTGACTAAAATTCTTCTCTTTTGAGTACCATTTCAACCCATTCAGGTTCATCTGGTATTACTCCTTCGATTACAAATTTGATTCCAATTACAATATGTTCTGCAACAATAAGGAACAAGAAGTTTCGAAGTCCAAGCTAATTAAATTTTTTTGAATACATTATTAGAATCGTTAGAGGAATTTGAATCTTCTCCTATCAAAGAATTCAATTATTTTTAATTAGCTTGATAAATAGATAAACAATTTGAAACAATCCCAATATATCCAACTAATTACAGAATGTCATTCCATACACCAATGCTCTTCTTTGGTGTAGCTAATGGTCTCTTTACAAATTTTCTATATCCATAAAGGAGACCTTCAATATTAAGAATATTAAAAATCAAAATAGCTATAGGAATGATTTGAGACCCAGCACTAAACATAGTGGCCATACAAAATTGAATTATCTAGATTAATATCAAGATTTACAAAATAGGTAAATTATTCAACATGATTTGGAGGATCAATCATTCTTCTATTTAATTCAAGTTAAGATAGAAAGTATATAGAAGATTATCCTTTATCAGATTATTTGTTTATGGCACTGGTTTCAGTATCATAGATACTTACTCTTTACACTGCAGCTATTTATTTTGAGTTGCTTTATTTGTATTTATTAAAATCCCATTTAAATTTAATCCTTATAAATGTAAAGGATATTAATGGGTAAAGAGTGTATCTAATCAAATGAACGACAGACCACGTTATTGTAAATGACATGCTTAATAAGTCTAATTCTTCGGAATCTGGTTTAATGATACTTCTATAGAATAGTCGACCAAATGAATTCAAAAAGGTGAATGCAAATACTTTTAGAATGTATACATTCTCCCTTTCATCTTGATATTGATGATTTTCATAAACTAATGTATGTTTTGCCAAAATGCTAAAGATTTCATTCGTAAAAAGAATTGAAAATGCTAAGACACATGCCCATAATGAATCATAAAGTTGATCTCCTTCATTAATTTATTTGAGATAGTAATACCCAAATTGTTCACCACCAATAATGATGATTGCCAAAAATACGAGGGGAGTGTTTGATTTAAAATACTTCCATTAAACATTTCTAGTATCCATAATTTCAATGGTGTGAGTGACATCTTCAATAATAAAGGCTCCTTTGTATTAAGGAATCCTTCTTCGTTATTCCTTAGCAACATGCATATCAAAATTGTACATAGTTTCACTTTATTTCCTCTTCCAGAACTCAAAAAATATTGTTGCCCAAACAGCCATACACAATGTATAGATTGGAGTTATGGCATATACTGAATCTTCACCAACAAAATCAAATATTCCTATTAATAATCCTGGAATGGCAGGCAAAAATAGCCATGTTGTAAAAAAGCATAAGAAAACAAAAAAAAATCCTACCTCTGCTCCAAAGTAAGAAGATAAAGCACTAAATGTTCGATTTTATGATTTTTTTAATTAAAATGGTTCAAATAATATGTGAAATCTCTCATTCCTCCAAAATTTCAGAATCAATTCTTTCTCTTCCTCATCATGTACAGGATATTATTCAATCAATAGACCATCATTAATAAATTAATCAATGTCAAATTCATCATACAATAAGGTCTATAATATCTATTGATCATGAACATGATGAAAGTTTTCAAATTCCTCTTGAATAGTAATGTTGAATGGACATAAGTACCCTTCCCTTGAATTGTATATCATCATTTTAGTTTCATCAGCTATCAAATTTTTAAGCTTCTCATCAACCTTCAAACAATAATAAGTGTATTATTTATCTATAGATTCGATAGGCAAGTATTTAAACATTCCTTTCTCAACATTCTTCTTTTATTAGATATTATAGAATTATTATTCCAATAATTGGTTCTTTGATCTTTCCCATCCCACCAACACATGATTGTATCCTGATCTCAAATAATTCTTTTGCAAATGATTCATAAATTGCCTCTTCAAATGCTTAATCTCAATCAATCTTGACTAATCAAAAGCTCGTTGATTACGAAAATTGTATTAATTAGGATCCGCTCCTTTCTTTATTAATGTTTTTACTATATCAATATGTGCTTTCTCAACAGCCACATGCAATGCAGTCTGGGGTTTATCCTTTGTCATCCTATTAATCACATTCTCTGTTCTGAATTCCTTCACTGCTTCAGACTCCAAATAATATTCAACCAACTCCTTTCTATTATGATAAACAGCAGCATGTAAAGCACTTCTACCCTTATAGGATGGCTCAAAAGGAGAGTATCGTTAATTAATCAAAGGTTCCACTAAGTCCAATCTTCCCAATGTACTTGCCCAAAACAAGTAACGAAGTCCTACTTGGGTTAATTACTTGGTTGATTTAAAGTTCAAATTAATATACTGCAATTATCTATATGATTCATGTTCATCTGACGACAACTCCAACCTTCTTTTATGTTCATCATTATCCAAATTCTATGCTAAGAACTTCATTATCATAAACTCCAACACCTTTTCATCCTCTACTCTATCATCTAACTCCTTTCCTGCCATCAAAGCCAAATCTACTGGAAACTAATCTTTGTCATTCGAGTACATCACTACAATTTCAATTCATTCAATTACTTAAACTAGGTTCCACAGACATCAATAATTTTGTAGTCTTTAAGTCTCCAAAATAACAAGTCCAATGTAAAGGGTTATTTATTCCATGTTTCTTGAATTCTTAAAGAGATGCCCCTCTATCTAAAAGCAAGGCACATATAGCAAACTTAGAACCTTATTTAAGAGTTGAGATATCCTAATTATATCCTCTTACACAAGCTAACATAAGCGCTGTATTGCCTTATTCATAGTTTCTATTTCTTTACCTTTATTATCCTTGGAATTTATGTTTATACACTACAAATCAAGAAAATATTCAACTACGTCATAATGTCCTCGATAAGCAGCCTATTTTAGTAATCCATTTACATAATGTAAAGCATTTCGACCATAATAATCTGTCTTTTTGCAAGCATCCTATAATTGCTTTGATGTCAAAGATATTAACTGTTTATTTATGAACTCTAACTTTCCATCTTAAGCGGCCTAGCAATCCTCTATTTGGATACCTCCAATAAATTAATTTCATCATGGCTAAACAAATGCATCTAAAATCAATTGTAAAAAATAAATAATAATATATTGTTCCTTCAATTTCTAATTTTTCTGATAGCCCCACTTTCTTATTTGTGTTAGATCTAATAGAAGTATATAATATTATGAAAATTTGAATGTAAATGAATAAGAAGTTTTATAATTTTTCAATTGAGCATTATAATCATTATCTTCTATCTAATTTTTTATATTTTTGTGTAAAAATTAATTCCTAAATCTCTAATAATTTATTATAACTAATAAAACATCAAACCACATAACTTCTATTCATCTCAATAAAGAGGCCATGATTTTCATTTAACAATACATGTAAAGATCAATACCAACTAATAAAATCCTATTTAGAAAATATATAAATACGAAAACTGATTAAACTACTGCCATTTACTTCATAAAGTTTTGTTTTCTAATCCTTTTAAAGATGAAAAAAAAATTATACACCTGTCTAAATTTATTAACTCTAATAAAAATCAAAAGAAATATAATTAATCAAAAATTATTATAAATTCTGATTGATGCTTATATATAATTGATGGCAGTATCAAAATACATTAAAACACAATTAACTATTTTAGTTAAAATAAAAGTGTCAAATTATATTTGTCTAGAGTCTCAATACTGTGATTATCTCAAAATTCTATCTATAATTTGGTATGAATGAACTTTCTTATATTGATAAGCCAACAATCAGTTAGAGGATTTAGATTAGAATAAATTAATTTTGATTCATTTAGATAATAATATTTAATCATTACACATACATTTTTTAATATCATATAAATGGGACACAACTTTTCGAAATATTTCAATTGAAAAATACGAATATTTGGAAACATTATCGACATAGCCATATTAATTTAATTTTAATAACAAACATGAATACCCCTAAATCGCAATTTTATTAAGCAAGTTCAACAGGGCGGTTTCAATTTAAATTTAAGCCAAGTGTTGAAATAGGAGGATTTCCTAGTTTGACACCTTGTCATTCAGATAAAAGCGCATCAAAATTAGATTGGTTTGGTGGTCCATCTGATCTGCTAGGTAATCCATACTTTATTCTGCAATTAGAAAAATAAAAAAAGCATTGTACCTCAAAAGAAAGCTTGCATCACGAAGATTTGTCAATTGGAAAACGAACCTTTATTTAAGCAAATAAAGAAACAGATGGATTGGTTAGCTTAGAAGATATAATGCAAAGAAAATCTCGAGTGCCTACATTATAAAAGAAAAGAAATCTGTAAGACTTCTTATTTAATCTAAGCATCCCCCTTCACTATTTAGGAGATAAGAATTATCCTTATCCAGAAATAGATTCAAATTTTTATAAATAAAATGATGGGCTAGTCGCAGGATCAAATATCAAATCTCGGATTCGACATCCTTACAAAGTATCAAAAAAGTTTCATGGTTGAGTATTAATAAGATCATATTTCATCTACTCGAAAAACAACAATCTTCAATCTAAAATTATATTTTAATTTATCGCAAACGTATTAATTACAATTATTCATCATAAAATAATTAATTGATCATGAACTAATACAAGAATGTGAGTATTTACCTCAATGTTTCATCTTTCTAATTATATAATACCATTTATACCTGTATTTAAATTACTTTGTATTTTTAAATTAGTTAGATTATAATAACGACATTATTAATTATTGTAATATATATATTAAACATGTAAATATTGTTAGAAAGCTGTGAGGATTATTCCAAAATCCAAAAGTAACCAATTGGCATAATGATTATGAACAATAATTATTCAAGATAAGGATGATTTGGAAGGGAATGAAACAATTGTTATTTAAAATATTAAAATTCAAAAATTGAATCTATTGAAACGATTAGAGGGGGCGGATTACAATCAAAAAATATAAATGAGAATTCATTTCAGCTAAGGTTCCTTTTAAAATGATTATAAAGAATTGAATTTTTTTATGAGTATGGCAAGAATTTTAGAAAGATAGATTTAAAGAATTGTTCTCTAAGAATTCACTTTAAGAGGATTTCTAGGCTTAAGGTTAATCAATTATTAAATATACTTTGATTTTTATAAGACCTCCTAAATTTTTTAATAATATGATCAAAAAACAGCTGAAAATTAGTTAACAATCATGTACCAAACTTATTCGATTTTCTATTATTATTTGATAACTTTGATATAAATCTTCAATAGAACAACAAAGCATACATGAGTCAATAAAAATACTTTATCAAATAATACAGAAGGTCTTATTCATCTATCATTTATTATTTAAAAGAGTGAAGGCTTTTTTTAAGATTAAAAAATAAAAATATAATATATAATTTTATTGTTCTATTTTAATTAATTTATAGATAGCTTGTTTATCATATTAACCAAGCTTATATTTTATATATGAATACATATTTAAATTAATTTACTATTAGATTTTCTTAATTATCAATAAAATAAATTAATATTATTTTTTTCATTGTGATATTATACTTCATTAGTTTATAGATTTATGTATATGTTTAGTTTTTATGTTATCACAACAACTATTTTAAAATTGATTAATCAAATTATTTGAAATCTTTGGTAAGTTAGAAGTAAATTTTAAATTTGAATCTTACTTGTCATTCAAAACATTGGCTCCAAATAAAGAATTGTAATGTTATCATCGAGAGGATTTATAATTCTTAAACATATTAATTTTAAATATCAGATAGAAAAGCCTGGTTTAAAAATTAAAATCTGTACTTCTATTTTAATTTACATTGTTCATAATTTCTGAGTAAATAGTCTAGTTATGGGTCTTGTTCTTGAGGAAATTATTTCATTACAACGAACTAAAACATATCTTTTTATACATAAGAATGCAAATAAATATACATATTAGTCATAAGATTCAAAAGAATCTTTTATTAATTAGAAGAACAGTTCTAATATGCTTTGTGCTTGGCTGTTACATCTAATTGAGATAATAAATATGATAGTGCATCATGTGGACAGTGCATAAGGAGAAAACAATTGTTATGTCATTTTGAGATTTCGTTGTATCAGAGAAGATATGAATGGAATTATGATTTGAATAATTAAATGAATATGCTCATTTTCACTTGGGCTTAGTGCAGCCTTCAACTGGGACTCTTGCATTGCAAACAAATGAACTTCCATACCAATTGTCTTCCTCCTTGCAGTCATTTGGTTTACAGCAATTTTATTGAGCTTTTCCGCAACTTACACCCTTAGCATCGGTACATTTCTTTTGACAGCCTTTGTCATATGGAGTATATCCGTCAAATCCCCATTCGTGATTCTTTGAGGCGGAGAATGAGTGGCTCTTTTTCAATTTCAATTTCGGCATCTTTGAAATAACTTTAATATAGTACCTGCTGGGGCGAATGAAAACATGAGTGTTGCAACACAAACAACACAGGCTAATAATACCAAAAGTGTGATTTTTCTATTCATTAATTTAAATTAAGATTTTTATTTGCAGTTATTTATTTATATAGTGAGTATTTTAAAGAAATATCCACTTAATTTTGGAGAGAAGAAAAATAATATTATTTTTGGAATGCAAAAATGTGTTTGAATGTTTCATTGGAATTAGTGTGAACCCATTAGATGTAAATATAGATAATTAAATAATGTTATCATTTTTTAATCGTTGTTTTCTGTTATTTTTTAACAAATTCTAATTATGATAAAATACTATTGTATTCTTATTATTATTAATCTAATTTTCTTTTTTGAATTCCATCTTACAATTTAAGATTCTCCATTTGCTATTTGTAAATTTAGACAATAGATTTTTATTTACTCTTTATATGATAAGAATTAATACTTAAGCTTCTTAGATTTGTTTGTTTAAATTCACAATCAAAGCATTCTCATTCTTCAATTAATCAGCATATACTTTCTGCTCATCCTCAATCACAGCAATTTAATTCCAAAGAAATTTATCCAAATTTAATTACTATACGGTCAATTGTTGGGCTTCCTCTCTCAATTTGATCATTCTCTCCTCGACAGTTTAAGTACGTTCCTTGGCCCCCTATTAACATAAAACTACTTGAGATTAAGCAAACTTAAAATCCTTTTCAGCTTGAACCTTTTTGACCAAAAAGCTGTTCCCTTTTTCTTGTCAACATAATCCTATTATTCTCTGTAATTGGTCATTCCTTAAATCTTATGCCGGAGATGCGGAATAACATTTCTCTTCCGATCCTAGATGTTCTCAAGTAGCAATTTTTCAATTTAATTGTTAGTCTCATACGAATTGAGATTCTTTTTAAAGTTCATTTTGATGATATCCTTATTCTTCTTAATCAATTAAATCGCATACATTGCAGTTTAGTCTCCCATAAGATTGTTTGAGAAATCGTACTCCTAGATGTTGGATTTGAGAAATGTTTTGAATAATTCTAAGCCACTTAGATCCGTCATGCCACATCTTTTCATAATAATGCTTTTGAGATTGCATGAACCCTAAAAGCCTTGCACCAATGCTAAAACTCCTTGATCTCCGATGATATTCTTACTAATGTCCAGAGTCTTCAAACTTCCATTTCTGCATAATCCAGATGCCAATTGCTCGATAAAGTTCTAGGTCAATGAACAATTCCTTAAGGAAAGGTACTCGAGGTGATTGTTGTAAACTAGATAATTGCATATACAAATATTGTTTTCTCCAATGAATGTATTTTCATCTAGTATTAATTTATTAAGATGAGTGTTTCTTTCAATTTACTCTAGTATAGCAAATAGTTGATTAATAGTTAATTTATTTCTTTTGAGATTGATTTCTCGAGCGTGGACAGAATCAGAGCCTTGTCTCAATTGTTCACATATTTAAACTACCTATTATCCAAACATATTATTTTGTGCTTCCAATCTCTCAAGATATGACGGCAATGTCAGTGTGTCTTTGAGTTCATTATCAGAAACATTTATGTGTAGTAGATTCCTGTTTTCTGCAAAGGCACTATTCAATTTTCTTAAATCATAGATTCCACAACCACTTATGTCTAAGATTGCCAAAATTCTATTCTTCTTCAATGCCTCTGCCAATTGATTTAGTGCTAATCCAAGTCTATTCCTCTCATTAGAAAAAGGATTACCAATATTGAGATGGTAGAGTGTTTGATTTATTGAAAGGGTTTGGAAAAGAACTGCGAAACCCCTAGGACCGATTCCGCAATTACACAAGGTCAAACTAACCATAGGGAGTTACAGATTTCTGATCCCGTCATAAAGGGGATTTTGTGAAAGAACAAACAAAGGGGACATTCTTAACAACTTTATTGATCAAGACTGTGCAATTGGCAGGCAAAGATAGCTCCGATAAATCAATGGTGTGTCCTGAGTATTGGCTCAAGACCCTTTCTTGGAATCTCCCCATTTGGTCTGGTTGTAATTGAATCCTCAACTCTTCGCATTTCTTCGTGTATAAGGTTTCAAGAAGGTTATGCATGCTCGGCATAATCCTCCTGGCTGAGGGAGGCATGGCTATTTCCATGATTTATGATTGGGTCTTAGGAATGGTAGACAAGGGTCTTTTAGAATTTGCACTCCCGTACACTTCTCATTTATAATTAATCATGAAGTATATAATCATTTTTGAACACGCTGTTTATTAAGGATGACAAAGTTTTTGCCTTTTGGTTTTCTGATTTGCTCGTCCTTTTCAGCTTACCATAAGGCGCTGGGTGGAACTAGATCCTTTTTCTATTTGTCATTTAAGGAGTCATGCAATAAGCAAATAATTTCATTTTCATTACTAAAAGTGACATAGCACCTATAACCATTAATTTTGAGTTCATCAAGTTAAATGAAATAGAGTTTCTTTTTATCTGAAATCCCAACAACGCACACTTCTCCATCATCATCTTAAAATATAAGAACTGGATCTCCATCCAAAGTGGTGATGTGATCTCTGCATTTCAAACATATATGTCTTTCACCATGATATGTGACACTAATATTTGGACCACCGCATGTGATACACCCTTTGTCATAGAGGGCAGCTCTCTGGAGAGAATAGGGTTCAAACTTAATTGGATTTCCCTTTTCTTCAGGGACAGCAAAGGACTCAATCTGCTCATCCACTGAAAGTTTCAATTGATTGCCCATCATCTACAAAGCCTTAGATTTACGAGCTGCTTGGACTGCACATCTCCTGCCTTTAGCGAAGGCATTTTCAGGAGTGGAAAGTTACACTTAGACTGCATCTGATTGTGCGATTTTCTTGAAGTCAACGTATGGTTCAAACATGTAATAAAAGAAGGAGGGAGCCATTCTATCTGCGACGATGGCAGGTAGAAGATTTTACATTTTTTTGGTTCTTTCTCTTCTCAAATTTTCAAGTTTCTTTCTAATCATTAAATTAATGAATCAATCGGCTTTAAAAACTGATGTGAATGTTACAGTTAGAGAAGAAGAGATGAGACTCAATATGGGAGGTTTCAAGTTCTCAGCTCAACAATTGTAGAATATCTTCACACTGAATCAAAGAAGGAGGATGTGTGAAGAAATAGACTTCCTCCAGTAACTAGGTGGATTAGGTACGAGTACATTATGAAGAATTAGACAGCTTATTGGATGGGATATGCACATCCATTACTGGTGGCATAGTGAGTAATGACATCAGCAAACGGACAGAATTGTATGGCCACAATAAGCGAGAAGTACGAGCACCTTAAACGTATTGTGAATTATTGATGGATGCTATGGGAGACTTCACTATGAGAATATTGACTGTTGCCGCCTTTGCAAGCATTGTTATATAGGTTGCAACTTCAGATGACGAACACAGATCCTTAGCTTGGATTGAAGGTTTTGCTATTTTTGTGGCTGTACTTGTATGTACTAATGTTGCTGCTTTGAATGATTACTCAAAAGAGAAACAATTCCGTAAGTTGAATGCTGTAAGTGAGAAGTCTAAAATTGTGACTATCATTCGTGATGGCAAAGAACACAGAATGCATGAAGAGAATTGCTTAGTTGGAGACATCGTCAAGTTGGTGGAAGGTATGGAGATACCAGCTGATGGAATACTGATAGAGGCCTCAGAAATTAAGATGGATGAATCTTCCATGACAGGAGAAACCAACTCAATTAAGAAAGGGACTATTTAACAATGTTTGATGAAAAAGGATGAATTAATTAGTGAAGGTGCTGAATTTGGAGAGAAGGATAGATTTCTTATCCCATCTCCAGCCCTATTGTCAGGTACTAGAGTCTTGGAGGGAGAAGGACTGTTCGTTGTCTGCGTTGTTGGAGATCTATCTTGTTTAGGTTAGATCAAGGCTTCATTGGAATAGGAGGAAGATGAAGAGACACCTTTATAATAAAAGTTAACTATCATAGCTGAAGATATTGGTAAATTTGGGTTGTATGCTGCCATATTGATTGTGATTGTATTGATGATTAGATTGGCTATTGAAAGAGGAATTGAAGACGAATGGGATCACAGTAAACATTGGATGGAAATACTGAACTTTATCATTTTGGGAATTACTGTTTTAGCAGTTGCTATTCCTGAAGGATTACCCTTGTCTGTGACCATATCATTAGCATATTCAGTTCAGAAGATGATGAATGATAGGAATTTAGTAAGGAAGATGTATGCTTGTGAAACTATGGGAGGAGCTGATTCTATTTGTTCTGACAAGACTGGAACTTTGACCATGAATAAGATGACTTTGACTAAAATGTGGAATCAGAACTACATCGAAGTCAATTATCTGGCCAGAGAATAAGATTTAGGAGTGTTTGGTAAAATCAAATAATTGATGATTGAATCTATATGTTGCAATTCTTCGGCAGAGTTGGATCCAGAGTAAGGATCAAAAACTGAAGTAGCATTATTAGAATACATGAGAAGAGGATAAGTTGATTATAAAAATGTAAAAAGTTCAGTCAAATATCTTCAAAAAATACCATTTAATTCAGGCAGAAAGAGGATGAGTGTAATTGTATCCACCTAGAAGAATGGATTACCTGTAAATAGGCTATATATCAAAGGTGCAAGCGAAATAATAATAAAATGTCTTAGTCATCAACATACCTTTAATGATGAAATTATACCCTTAAAAGAATAAGATATTAAATAGATTGAAAATATCATCAGTGAAATGGCTAAATAATCACTTAGAACTATATGTGTTGCATACAAAGACTTGAATGGGAGTGAAGATTTAGTTAGCAATGATGGGAAAGTGTATGAGATCGAGAAAAGTAACTTGACTTTCTTGTGTCTTTTAGGAATAATGGATAATTTAAGGGAAGGAGTCAAGGAAGCAGTTACTCAATGCAAGAAAGCAGGCATCAAAGTTAGAATGGTCACTGGAGATAACTCTGAGACTGCAAGAGCAATAGCATTATCATGTGGCATTATTGAAGCAGGAGATAGTAAAGCTATAGTGATGGAGGGTGCTGAATTTATGAATAAAATAGGAGGAGTAGTATGCAAGAGCTGTCAAACTGAATCCTGCAAATGTGCAAGGACTCAAAGTGAAGCTGAGAAGAATGGAACTTAATTAAGAGTAGATACTCTAGGGGATATGGGAGTGTTCAGAACATTGTATCCACAAATTGCAGTTTTGGCACGATCTAGACCTACTGATAAATATGCTATGATTGTTGGTCTCAAGGAATGTGAACACATTGTAGCTGTCACTGGAGATGGCACAAATGATGCACCTGCTTTGAAAAAGGCTGATGTAGGATTTGCAATGGGAATCTCAGGAACATAGGTTGCCAAAGATGCTGCTGCCATCATTCTTATGGAAGACAACTTCAGTGATATTGTCAAAGCTGTGATGTGGGGTAGAAACATATTCTAATCAATTCGTAAGTTCCTTCAATTTCAATTGACTGTAAATGTAGTGGCTGTTGGACTGACTCTAATTGTTTCAGCTGTTCTTAAATAAGAAGTTCTTAAGCCCATTTAAATGTTATGGGTCAATCTAATCATGGATTCTTTTGCCTCATTGGCATTAGCTACTGAACCTCCCAGTCCAGTATTGTTAAATGATCGCCCCTATTCGAGAGCACAATCCATAATTACAAGAAAGATGCTCAAACATATAATTGGTTAAGCAGCATTTCAGATTGCCATTATGTTGATTGCAGTATTTTTAGCACCACATTTTATTCCTGAATACGAGGATGGATTTGATGATAGATTAAGTGATTGGTTAGTGGATAAAAAATATAATGAATTTCCATCGAATTTAAATCATCCTAAATACAATTTGGATTACTACCCGGAGTAGTTAATGATTAGGAGTGGGAGAATGTTGACTGTGGATGGTAAGGATGATTATGAACCTGTCTATAGAGAATTTATGGTACCTAGCAGACATTTCACTTTCATCTTCAATATGTTTGTAATGATGCAGCTATTTAATTTCCTAAATAGTAGAAAATTGAATGATGAATTCAACATCTTCGAGAATATTGGCAATAAGTATCATTATGCATAATTTATCATAGTTCTCTATTCATCTTAATTGTGTTCTTTATCTTTGCTCTCCAAATCATTTTGATTACCTTTGCAGGTATAGCCTTTTCATGTTACACTTACTATGGATTGACAATTCAGTAATGGCTGATTAGTATACTAGTTGGATCAATTGGATGGGTTGTTAGTGCTCTGTTAAAATTAATCCCAGAATAAGCTGTATATATAGAGATATTATACTTTTAGATATGCCCAGAATCCATTGAGTCACCATCGATGTAGGAAGAATAGCGAAAACCTTCTGGTGTTTTGGAATTGCGTCGTGGTTCCTCGATTAGACGTTCGCAAAGACACCAAGAGATTTAACTTTGATATTCAATAATAAAATTATCATTATAAAATGTCAAAATATTAATCAGAGTTTAGCGATATCAAATCGAAATCTCTCGTGTTGCCCTCAATCAAATAACCACACACCATCATCACTGCTGCTGAACTCGAATAAATAAAATCTCACATCACCTACACGGAGTAGAAGCCATAGAAAGTATAACTTATATTAAATGTGGGCTCAGAGTTTTGACAGTCAAAAGGTTTGGGCATAACGCATCGAGAAATAGAGACAGTAGAAAGAAAAGGAGAAGTTCCAGAAATTCATCCTGGAGGAGGAGGAGAGACGCAAGATTGATAGAGAAGAAGCAGACTATCAAGAAAAACTAAAGATTGATTAAATAGGCGATGCCAATAACAAAATATTTGGATAGAGAGCAGAGTATTATAGTATCAACTATATTTAAGTGTGAGAAACATGAAATCTAAAATGTTATGGTCAGAGATAGACAAAGCCAATTAGAAACTGATTAAGTTGAACAAGGACAAATAGGAAATGCAATTAATGTTTGAAGCATAAAAAACAAGAGAAATTGAAACCCAAAAGTTTTTATCCGAATAGGCAGAATTGGAAAAAAGTTAATTCAAAGAGTAATTGAAAAAATAAACTTATGATTCCTTAGCCAAACAGCATCATGAAGTTAAAGAGAGGTATCTTAAGGAATATGTTTAACTTAAAAAAGAAGGCGAAATAATCAAAAAATAAGCTGAAGAAGAGGAGATCAAGAAAGAGTAAAATTTATTGGTAATACAATTTTAGAAAATAAAAAGAAGAAGATAAATTAAAAAAGTAAAAATTATTAGTTGAACATTAACAATTCCTTCAAATTAAATAAAGAAAGTAATAAGATGAATAGAAATTCGATGAGAATGAATCGAAGGAAAGAGATCGATATCATTAATAAAAGGATAGAGTCTTAGAAATGAGAAAAGAAAGAGTAATTTCTAATTATTTAAATAGGAAATAGAAAAGAAGCAAAGATAATTAAAAATCAGACAGCAGATCTATGACATTAGAGTTTAAGAATTGAAAAAATAAGATGATGATTATATGTAAAGAGTACAAAAACATGCCGAGGAGTTGTAAAAGCATGAGGAGGAAGTGGCCAAATAAAAGGAATTAGAAAAATCATAGATGATCTAAGATGGGGAACAATTTCGATTATAGCAACTAATATTGAAAGAAAAATAAAAAGAGAAGGAGCAATAAGAATTATAATAGGAACATCAATTGAAAATAAGTGCTTTACAATAATTGTCTTCTGTGGAGGATCAATAAAAGGAAACTTTGAAACGAAGAAACAAAGAGATCCAAGAATATCAAAAGATGCAAATTGTAATTATGATCAGTAACTTATTAAGGAACTTAAAAAGTAAATGAGAAGAAACCAATTTCTAAATGAACTGAAGGAGTCCAAATAAATGGAACTTCGCTCGTAAATAGAAAAGGACGCTTTTAACAATTGGGCACAATCTTAGATTTCAGAACTCAAGGAATCGGGATTAAATATGTATCCATTAACAAAATCATTTAAAGTATGAATTTGATAAGAGTTATTAATAATAACATAATAACTATTAGTAATCAACATTGCTCACTCTCCTTTCTACTCGTATTATTCGACATCAACAATTATTCAAATCTATCCTACTTTCTACAAATTGATATAAATATTTTTAATCGACTATTTATCAATTCACTCAATACCTTTTACAATTATTCATTACCAAATCATCTCTTTTGAAGTTCAGTTTCCTTCCAAATATTTTATAAAGATGATGAAATCTCTATAAATCGAACCTTATAGATTAATCTAGTTTTTCTAGAAATTAACTTTCTAAACTTACTTGGATGCAAAGGAACCATCAGTTTCAATTCTTTGAATTGCTTTTCTACGAATTCCCTCTATTCAACAAGATCAATACATTCATTATGTAAAAACTAACATTTAGGTCCAAAACAGCAAAACCCACTAAAATAACGCTTACAAGGCTTAGTCTTAGTAGATGCTGTGGAATAACTGTAGTTTTCAGTTTTTGCGGGGGTATGTATAAAAAAACACTAATTAAGATTTAAACAAAATTACTTGATCTCCATATTTACAACTACCATTAATTTAATAATTTCGGCAAAGGTCCTTCTTCTTTTTCAGAGGTTCCTCCTCTTAATAGCATTTTTTGTTTCTAAATTTTCGCTAGACGATCTCAAAAGATTCTTCAGAATTTTGATCAGACAAATTTTCAATTGAATGATCTGTGCTATTTGATTAATGATCGATGATTGGATTGTGAGCCATAAGTTTTTAAAAACAAATTATAATTTATAAATTTCTGAAGAAAAAAAAGAGCAAAAAAATTATTAATTATTGTTAAAAATATATGATAACAGACAGTCTCTCAAAAATGTTCAAATGCAAAGAGAATTCTCCAAATTACTATTCAATCACTTGATAAAGCAATATCTCACATTAACTGACTGATGACGTCCTGAATTTTGGATCTGACTATCTTTATGATTAAATTGATTAGATGGATCAAAAAATCATACCAAATCAATATAATATTATGTTAAAGTTTGCAACACTCATAATTGAGTTATCTACATCTCTTGATTAATTAATTTAATCAAAATAAGAATAGGATCTGGGTCTTGAGGAGACAAAGTAAGATCTATAAATAAATTAATTGCAAGCAATCTAAAATTATTAAAATACTTAATAAATATAATTATTTATGATTCCAAATAAGTAGAATTTAACTACCTCAAGACTCAATACGATTAATTAATTAGTAGAATCAATTATAACTTATAGAGCGCATTCTTTATTAAGATGAGTGTAATCAATATTTAGAAACTTAAGTCTTTTTTAGAGAGGATTAGAATAGTAAAATTACGATAAAAAGCTGAACTTGCTTGTTAAAAGGAAGAACTGAAAATTTTGTTTAAATTAAATAAAAAATAATCTATGCTTTGGTTGAGTAAATCTGTGATTTTAACAAAAAAGCAAAGATATCAATTAAATAAATCGGTTTAAATTAATCTATTTAAAATTTACAAAATATTTAGAATTTAAGAAAAATAATAATAAGTTACATTTCATTAGGAGGTTTATGTTATTGAAAAAGTACTAATGAAAAGATAGACAACTTCAATATGCAGGATATTATATCATAATTATAGGAAAAAAAGAAAGAATTAGATTATGTTTAATTCACTGAAATCAGAGTAAAGAAAATTTAAAGTAAAAAATATTTAAATGTGGGTATAATGCCAATTTCTGAATCTTTAAAATAGTTGATCAAAATAAGAAAAGAACCAACATTTAGCAGTATTAACAACAGCGAAAGAGTGATTATTCCAACTAATGAGGCTTCAATTTATACATATACATAAATTTATTAAACAAAACAATATTCAAATCTTTTCTAGAATTGAGGGTAGGTCAGCCATTTCTATAAAATAAATCAAATGATTTTTACTCTATATGAGCTTTAGATTATGTTCAGAAGTTAAAGGATTTTAGTAATTTTATAATTGATATATTTATAATGTAAGTTTCAATAGAGATTGCAACTTGGACTTAAAATAATCATGGGCTTTTTGATTATGAATCATCGGACCTAAAGGTTTCTAAAATGATGGTCTAAAATTCAGTGTACTTAATCCTTAATAGTATAATTTTTGTTTATGTTGCAAATAGAGGATGTGGTTGAATAGTCAAATGATTAGAATGAAAAGTGTATAGGCAGGATATCTTTTGAGAACGGCTAAATCTGTATTAATAGTTTTGAAAATAGATTACTATAGCAACCCCAAATTTTCAGACTCATATGTGAAATTGAACCCTAAATATAAAGAATAGTTATAGGTTGGAGACCTGTTCAAATTTGGAAGACTGTATATAACATAGAATGATTTAGTGAATGCTTCATATCAGAATTAAACAATGGAGAGAAGGTTCAGACTGCAGAGGACCATTATCATTTGGATCGTCACATAAAATCTGGAAAAGTCTCAGGGACGAGACAATGCAAGTTTTGTTTGATGGAAGAGGTGGACTAGGCTGAAGATCCAGCTAATCCATATCTAACGAATTTGTGTGGTTGTTAAGGCCAGATGTCTTATGTTCATTATGAATGCTTGAAGGCATGGGTCAACTTTGGTAATCGTATTACTTGTAAGTAAACCTTAAACACTGTGTAATATCAATGGAACTAAGCATTAGAATGTGAAGTAATTTTATTATGACTCATATAATCCAGATATGTAAAGTTCCTTTGCCAGCAAGAATATATCTAGAGAATTAACCATAACCACTTCAATTAGTTTAAATAGAGAAATTAGATGGACCATATGTAATCTTTGAATAGATAACTCGTCAGGATAATGTATCAAAAATTTTAATATTCATTCACTCCTTTGGGGCAAATGCCATATCTATAGGTAGAGGTCACAACAGTGAAATCAGATGTTAGGACATATCAGTATCTAGAAATCATGCTAATATTTCATTTAATAATGATGGTTGGCATATATAGGATCAGGGGAGTAAATTTGGGACTTTGAGAATAATAAGAGATAAATTATTAATAGACGATGAAGTAAAGGAAATTCAAATAGGTAGAGTGTTGCTGAAAATGAAATTAATCTGATATAAGAAAACTAAATCACAACAAATTTTTGTTATTTAAAATAAATATTTAATTAATGATAAAATAGATAAATTGTAAACATTATTAAAGAAATTGTGATAAGAAAGCTCCATGCTGTTAAATTTATTATCCTTGCAGATTATGTCATGATCAAAATTACAAAGGACCTAAATCTGAAGGATGCAAGGTTGAAACTATGGATAGATATAATGTTAAGGAAATTCGTTGCAGAAAGTGTTTAACAGAATAAGCACCTTCTAATTTATGCACAAATTGTGGAATTCAATTTGCAAGATACTATTGCGAAATTTGTAAATTATATTAAGATGATGAGAAAAAGAATCAATTTCATTGTGAAAAATGTAATATGTGCAGATTAGGAATAAAGGAAGAATATTTTCATTGCGAAACATGTGATGTTTGTTTATCACTTTTAATAAAGTCAACACATATTTGTATTCAAAAAGCATTTGAATAAAATTGCGCTGTTTGTTAGGATTATCTCAAAAATTCAACTTAATTGGTGTAATAATTAACTCATTGTCCTCATTTTATGCATATTAAATGTTTGGAAAAATAAACCAGGAAAGGTTTAAGAAATTGTCCCATTTGCAATATAGCGATTTATGTAAATATGTACTTAATAAAGTTAGAAAATGAGTAAAGAGGAAATCTTAGAGTTGGATGAGATTAGTCAATAGCTTCAGGTTGAAATTAATAAAGAATAGTTAGAGAATAAAGTTGTAAATATAATATGTTCTGATTGCTAAGCCAAAAGCAACAATGTCTAATTTAACATTTATTTAAAATGTTAAAATTGTGGCTCATATAATACTAGATAATGATAAATATTAACCTTAAATTAGAAATACATAATTATTTAAGTTCTATTCATAATAATATTGTTTCTCTAAATATCAACAGTTTGTTCTTTTTACTTATTAAATTGATTAATATTCTTAATTTATCTATTTTTTACACTAATTAAATTATTCCATTTTGAAGGATATAATTATGATTTCGATTATGGTATAGACAAGAGTATCTGTAACCTTCAAAAAGTACCTTTTTATGATGAAATATGTTAAAATTAAATTTAATATAATATTTGATTTTCAGACAATTATTTAAATATGAATTAAATATAATAAGACACTGAACATCCAGGATCAAAATTGAATTAGCTAATGTTAACTGATGAACCTATTGGTGAGATTCAGGATTTCCTCAATTATTCTCTATCAGAGGGCAATTTTTCGATACAAGGTTCAAAAATACAAAGCAATAACAATTAGAATAGTCAAAGTTCTAAGGAAAAAGTTAATAAAGGCAAAAGAGTTTAATTTGATTCGACTCTCAATAGTCCCTCCACTCATTTCCTAGTTAATAAGACAAGTACCAGACTCTCAGAACCTCCTCAACATTTGCATCAATAATAGCAAATATACAGTGTCATTTAATTCTGCTTTATCAAGAGATTCATCAATCGAATAAGTTGGAAAAAGAAAATAAATGCTCAATTTAATTTCTATCAATACAAAATACTCAAAGATTTAGGATCATCTTTCAATCTGAAACTCTTTAGAGACAGTGCTCTTAATCTCAAACCTATGATTAGTCAATTTAGTAATTCTCATGATAACTTAAATTAAAGTCTCAAAAAGAAGTAATGATCATAACATTATTAGTCCTAGAGAATTCACAACAAGATTTTAAAAACATTATTCTCAATTAAAAACCTGCACTAATAATTTATATAAGAAGATCGAATCAGAATTAGAAAAGATACCTCTGATCACACCAGAATCTAGATCAAAAATTGTTTGGGATTGTGTGGTTATGATAAGCAGACTATATTTTTTATTCACCATTCCATTGGATCTGGCTTGGAATTAATAGCAAATTATCTATGGTCAACTCTTTGCAACCACCATTTTTATGATAATGCTATTGGTCGTAGACTTCATTCTAAGCTTTAATAATTCATTTTATTAATTTGGACAAATTGTTAGTAACAGAGCCACAATAGCCAAAAATGTAATTAGCAAAAGTTATGGTCTAGAAGCAATTTCAATACTAATATTGGTCATTTATGCCATAATCTTTAATTCCTCCAAACATGGATTCAACCTTATGAATTCATGGTGGGATCTATTAATGTTGTTATTTTATGTACAAAGCAGAAATATTCCTAAATTAATAAGTTAAATAGAAGAGACGTTAAATTTATCCAAGCCTAGTAGTTCATTATTAGAATTGTTCAAATTATTGTTACTTTTATTCTTTGTTCTGCATTGCTACTCATGCCTTTGGTACTTTGTAATTTATTATATTAATAATTTATTAGGTTGGATATTATAGTGAACAGTACTCTGAAAAAGGATGTTGGTTAGAGTTTTATCACATTTAAAATGAGACCTGGTAAGTCTAATATTTGTATTCCTTCTATTTCTCGACTGTCACAATGTTCACTATCGGTTATGGAGACGTTGTACCAATTAGTTATTTAGAAAGAATAGTAGCTATTCTCTATATGATGATTTGCAGTATTCAACTAAGTTATAGTGTCAGTACTGTGGGGGCAATCATAGATACAATATCTGCTTATGGATAAGAGAAGATGAGAAAGATGAGGAAGATAAATACTTATATGTAAAATAAAAAGATTCAATACCAATTACAATATTAAATCAGAGAATATTTAAATTATTATTGGGAATCATAGAATTAAGTAGAGAATGATGAATTAAATGAGATTATTAATTAATTATCAGAGGATCTAAGGGAAAAATTAATGAATGAATCAAACTCAATGATTTTAAATGAATGTCCTTTGTTTAAAAACAATTTTAGTGATGCTTTAAAGTCCAAGTTGGTTCATAAAATTAAACCAGCAGTTATTTAACCAGAGAACATCATCAACTTTGATTCAATATTCCCTTAAATTCCTGCTGGTTAATTATATGTATGTTTTGTTGAATTCGGAGACATTCAAATCTTCATTTAGAATGATTAAATTGATTAGATTTTGGAAAGTCCATAGATTGCAGAAGTTAGTAAAGTTGGAAAAGGATCAAGTCTAGGAATTATCGGTTTTATAAGTGGAAAATAATCATAAGAGAGATTTAGAAGTATAGGATTCTCTAAATTATTGATGCTGTCTAGAGATGACTTTTTGAAAATCATATAAGACTTTCCAGAAGATTATGAAAGATTTAGAAATCTATATGATAGTATTTAATTTGATGATGTGAGTGCATTGCATATGAAGTGTTTTAGTTGCAATTCAAGTTATCATAGAGTACTCTAATGCCCTTTATTACATTATATTCCAGATCGAGAATTAATTATTAAAAGACATCAGTTTAGTAATCAATAAATAAGAAATTCTCATTTCTTAAGAAACCCTTATCGTCAAAAAGGGTACTTTGCAGCAAGATATGATTAAGAAATTATTGAACATGAAGCGTCATCATTTAATAATAATAATTGGAAATGGGCTGAGTTCTATGAGGAACCAGAGGATGAAGCATTAAAAAAAAGTGAGGCTTAAATTAACTAAACTAATCTTGAATAAAGTAGTTCTAATCTTTAAATTATTAACTAGCCTTAATCTTAATAATTATTTACTTCAACTGCTTTCCTTTCTGTATTAGATCAATCCTCAAAATTGAATTTAGAACCGCCAATCGTAAAAAAGAGGTCAACTCTTTTCAAGTAAAGAACAAGAACTATTGAATAGATGGATATAGATGATTAATCAATGAAAGCATCTTTAATGAGTAAAGCCAGAAATAATCTGATGATCATTAAGGAAGAGGAACAAACCAAAAGTTCTATTTTTCGTAAATACTAAAAGATGAAGCCTTCTGTAACTATCGAATTAAATCAAAATAGAGTTAGAGAGAATATTTAAAAATTGAAAAAGGTTGTAAAAGCAATCACAAACATGTATAGAATGAAAAAAAAGTAAAAATAAAAAAAGGAGACTAAATCTATATTGAATTCCTTTTTAGAGATCATTTAGGACTAAGCATTCCTGAAAGGAATTCTAAATAAAGTGAGAATCCGATTAAAATAGATACAAGATGGCAAAAAATAAATCTTATCAGAGAAAGACATTGCAGATACTATGATCTTGGAAATCAAATTAAAAATGGAAATAAATCTATTGAATGAATATCAAAAGAAAGATTAGTAGTTGACGATGGAATCATATAAAAAGTTTAAACATTATCAAATTCAAAATAACCTAGATTCGATCTTGGAAAGAATGTATTTCTACAAGTAGTAGCATCTATTGAATCCTCAATTAAGAGAGAATTAGTCATAATTGTTGAAATATATGATACACCCTGAAACATTCTTTGAGAAATACAGGTATCAACAGATCATAGTTCCCAAATTCGACATTCCTGAATCGAGACGAGATTCTGGTCTTGTGACTGAACACACTTTAAGGCGCAGTAAATTGCTTAAAAAAAGCATTAGAAATGTAAAATCGTCTTAAGTAAGACCTGCCTCAGAAGGTGCAGGCAAACTCCAATTTTGACTTATTATTCACATTACAATTTATATATAAAATATCCTCAATTTAATAATAATTCACAGTTTTAAAAAACTATTGCATTTGGTTTATTTCTAAAATATATTAATTCAAATTTAAAAAATGGAAGAGCATTATGAAAAAATGAATATTCTAGGCAAGGGGTCTTTTGGAGTGGTTTATAAAGTGATGAGGAAAAGCGATTAGAAAATACTTGCTTGTAAAGAATTACATTATGGAATCATGACTGAAAAGGAAAAGAATTAATTAGTTAATGAGGTTAATATACTAAGAGAATTAACCCATTCAAATATTGTTTAATATTATGAAAGGTATCGAGATAATTGAATCCATTAGAATTATTGATAAAAAACAAGCAAAAATTTATATCATCACTGAATACTGTTCTGGAGGGGATCTTAGTTAATTACTTAAGAAATGCAAAAAGGATAAAGATTACATCGCAGAAGATGTAATCTGGAAGATATTCACTCAGTTGTCTTTGGCAATTAATGAATGTCATAATAGAACTCCTAAAATATTGCATAGAGATGTTAAGCCTGCTAATATATTCCTAGATGAAAACAACAATATCAAACTCGGAGATTTTGGGTTATCAAGAATTTTAGGTGAAAACTCACAATTTTGTAAAACCCATGTTGGAACACCATATTATATGTCTCCAGAATAAATCACTGAAGCCTATTATGACGAAAGCAGCGACATTTGGTCTTGCGGATGTTTGCTTTACGAATTGGCAGCCTTAAAACCTCCTTTTGAAGCAACCAATCATTTGAGTTTAGCCATAAAAATCAAAAGTGGTCAATTTGATAGAATTCCTCTAAGATTTTCTGAGGATCTTCATCAATTAATTACTTCAATGCTTGATGCTGGTTCTAAATTATGCTTATCATTGTAGATCCGTCTAAAAGACCTAGTGTGATGGAGATTCTCAAATTGCCTTTGATTAGTTTGAGGATCAAGGAGAAGAAGCTAAAAGAGAGACATGCTCAGATAAAACTGAAAGAAGAGGAACTTCGATAGAAGGAATAACAGTTAAAGATGTGGGAGCAAAGCTTGGTTAAATAACTTAATTGAGGCGAAAGTCTCAATTTATGATTGTTATAATTAATTTATGTATGAATTTATTAAAATTAGAGTTTATATATTAATTAATTATTCTTTGATTTAAAAATGAACAAATTTATTTTTTAGATGAAAAGCTATTACGTTCAAGAATTTTTGAATGTAAAAGAAACTTGGAGGAAATCTTTTAAAATAGCTGTTGTGATTTTGTTGATTGAAAATATTCAAATGCTGTCAATTTATACTTAGAAACTAAATGAGTTTGAATATGATTAGTTTTTAAACCATATCAGAAATTTTATAGATTACTTTAGGTCAAGTAATATTATATATATTAGATTTTACATGATATTAGGAAATTCGATCAACCTTAGAATTATATTTGTTATTTTTGGATTTCTATTGTAAAGCATACTCATTTTACTACTGCTGTGCTAGATTTTCAAATTGAAGGTGCTTAGGATGAAAAACCAAGGCCTGTAATTTTTGGCAATTGAACAAGTAAAACTAAAATAACTAAATAAGAATCTCGAAACAATAGCTGAGTAGAATCATCTAATAAATATTATATTGTCCTTCTTTTTCTAGATTCATCATGGATTATTGTAAATCCCATTACTCTTTTGTGGATTCAGTTTAGTTACTGAATTATTCAATTTTTGTATGAAATTAAAATATGAAAGAAAATTACTCTTATTTCGAATTGGCTGGGTTCATCTTTGCCATAATAACTATCGGTGAATAAATAACAATAGGATTATTAATAAATTTGCATTAGTTTGATCATCGAATGAAGAACTACGACTATTTGGGCAAATTTTAGTCATAAAAACTGCATCTACTTTATGCATTCTAATTAATGTATATATTTATAATAATTAGTAATTTAGAGTCATATTTTTGTCTGGTATTCAAGCATCAGTCTTACTTGTTTAATTGTTTGGAATAATCAAATCAGTAATTTAAATCCTTTGCGATTATCATTAATAAATATTTATAGATTATCGGATATCAAGATTGAATCTGAGAATTGTTGTTTTTACAATAATCTATTAATTGCTCTTGATAATATGCCAATATGGTTAACCAGCCTTAAAAATTAGCATAGTGCTATTGATATTGGTATGTTATCCCCCTTTGATATTTCTGACAAATTAAATTTTAATTAGATAAGATTTGAAAAATACTAACTATTAGCCAAGAGATTTGGAAAAGTACATTAGAAGATTGCATATAATCTTCAAATAATAAGTGGAACTGAAAAAACAATAAAGACTGCTTGATCCAAAATAATCACTAGAAATTTACACATTCATCTCAAAACATTTGAGAGAATGTAAAATGTAAAGAGAAAGAAAGATGTTGAAGAATATCAAGCTTAAATATAAGTGTTTTTGTCAAGACTTTTTTCTTGGAATTGATTCCTTTTAAAGTTTGGAGTCTATGAAACAATTTGCAAAAGGATTGATTGGATAAACACTTGAAGATGAGATCATTGAAAAATCAAATACTAACCTATTGTTAATTTACATATACTTTTTAGTTTAAATAAAAAAAGTGCCAACCTAAGCAATCTATGAAGTTATTAGATTCTCTATGGTTGAAAAAGTATGTATTTGAATATAAATTTATAAGGAATAACCTCTAAAGTAATAAGCAATTGTACATAAATTGAAACAGGATGCTTTATAAAAGTTTAGCGAATTAGTAAAAAAAAATGATTTAGTGAATCAAAAGTTTGTGTTTAAGAAAGTCTATCAATATGAAGAATCACTCAATGTTTTGAAATAAAATTTATGTTTAGTTGTTAAAGAAGAAAAGGTATATCATTTTAAATATAGAAGGAATTTTATGGTTGTATTCTTACTTAGATTATTGACATTGATTTGCTTTTAGATATTGGATTTAAGTTAATTAAAAATATTAAAATCCTTGAGAAGTAGTTTTAATTACTATTTAAAACAAATCCTTAAAATAATGAGTGTGATACCATTTTTAACATATTCCACAAATATGTCCACTATAATAAATTCAGGCCAAAATTGTATAGAAGAGAAGGTCAAATAATGATGCAATTTTTATAATCAGCAGAGAAGATAATTTATGATCCAGGTAGCTGTGTGATATAAATAACCTTATTGTAACCAAGAGGAAATGTTATCAGATACACAAGGTCATTTTAGAAGGCTATTGGGTTTAAGGATGAGGAGATTTAAAATCAGAACATAAACAGATTTATGCCTCAAATAATAGCAAATGATCATGATTTGTATCTGGATAATTTTGTTGAGAGAGGCAGAATAAATGTAGTTAAAACTGCTGTGAGAGTGATCTTGGGAAAGACCAAGTCTTAATTTGTAGTTCCAATCAATACTAGATTAAGAATAGAGGCAAGTCCAACCGAATTTGGAGCTACTGCTTTAATAACCCCAGTAAATTTGACCTATGGTTATATGATGTTAAATGAATAAGGTTAGATTGAAGAATTGACTTAGAATTTATTTGAGAGTGTTTTTGAGAAACATTTAGGATTAGAACTTAGTTAACTCAAAGGATTAGATTGTTTGGTTTTCATTCCTGAATTAGCAAAGATTTGGAATAGTCTATTCGATGAACATTTTGATAGACTAGACAAAAGATTTGATTGCTAATTAATTCTTCCATTGATCACTAAATAAATGAGTAGGAGTCTCGTTCGATCAAGATCTAATATATTTTCTAGAACAACTAGTCAATCAAAAATTGCTAAATCATTTGAAAGTCTACCTCATGAAAATGTGGTTTATTAGATTTCTGTCCATTTAATGAGTCTAATAACTATAAATCTTAGGTATAATGTATATTTATTTTTAGATTAGTTATTGTTGAAATCCCTGAATTTAAATAATTAATGAATCAAAAGATAACCAGTAGACAACTAGTTCAATTAAGAAATAGATCATCATAATTAATTAACATTTCTACACAGAATGAAATTCCAACTCAAAAAACAACAGATCTTTTACTCTCTTCATTGAATTCTCCTCCTGGATGTGGTCCTCTAAATGAATGCGATTTGGAATATGAGAATTTGATAGAAGATATTAAGATGATTGAAGAACTAAGGAACTAATTAGCAACCATTAATATTAATAGCACAGCTCAAAACAATCAAAAAGATCCCTTTTTATTACAAAATAGTGAAAATTAACTTTAAGGAAGAATAATAGATTTTCAAAATGATCCTTCAGAAAAGAGTAATGATTTTAGCGAAGCAGAATCTGATATCAAAGATAATGCATAAGAGTAGCAAAATGTGCAATATAATAATGGTTCAGTAGGGAGTCGATCATCCTAAAATAACACTACTGCACTTAAAAGGTAAATTAAAGATTGTCTATCTGATTCTAAGGGATTGACTGTAAGAACGAAACTATTTCTGCTATTCGTTTATGTATTAATATTGTCAGGATTTTTGATTAATTTCCTGATATTGTATTTTAATTTTGAGAAAATACACTAAAATTAAAACTATGAAAATTTACCCTTCCAATTCTCTTACTATTACAATGAATTCATTATTGATTAATCTTATTTAGATGAGGTTCAATTTAGTTTTAATCAATTAAGTAGAATAGCCTTCTAATATTTCCTAATTAACATTAAAAATATTGACAAAACTATAGTTTTGTTACCTCATATTAATATTGTCAGTAACCTAACTATGGAAAGTAGAACATTGAATATTGTGTCTCAGCTTACAAAAGTGTTGAATATGAATGATTAAATCAATTATTCTGAATTCTATAACAATACTGATGCTTTCAATATTTAGATTAATGAAATTTAGAACACTGATTCAACCAAAAACCTACTCAGTTTATCAGTCTTGTAATTTTTATAGTTTTAAATCTTAGTGTAATTGTCGAATAGATAATCTTATTGATTTTACTTGGAAACTACATATATTTATGTTTTTAAATTATATAAATGAAATAGAAAATTTACAAATTGTTTTGTACTTTTTCTAAAGAAGTTATATAAGAATAATTTGTTTAATTCAGTTCCCTTTACACTTAATTAAACAACACTAGATTTAGAAATCATGAAACTGATGAGGAATAATTTGAAACCACAATGATGCGTTAATATTAGAAAACGGTTACTTCAAATATGTTAGATAAACATAATAGAGTTGGGAAGTAAATTTCATAGAAATGTATGGTATTTAAACAACTATTCTAGAAACTAACTCAGCATAAATCTTTTTCTTCTTATTCATATTTATATATGCCTTTATCTGTTCATGCTATTTTGTTGGAAGTTTCATCTTATAATAGATTACCCAATCAAATGTATCTGCAAGATATCAAGAAAAAACATCATTCTCAATAACCTTTAATTCCTTAGCATCCACATATGCTCAACAAGCCATTCTCCTAAATAATACAATTACATCCGACATGATTGATTATTATGATGCCGCTGTTCAATAATTAGGGTAGTTAACTACAAGTCTCTCTTTGTACTAAGAAGATTAAAATCTTTAAGTCTATGGAATTTTAGTAGAAAACTTGTGCAGCCTGTTTCTGAGCGAATTGTAACTATATTAACTTAGTGTAGATCGTACAGCTACGATGACTTTTAGAATCTTTTTACTCTTTAGTAGTGTTAATCGATTTCTATTCTTGAGAAGGGACTAAGTTCAGTAGTTTAAGACTTATATTCACATTAATTGGATTTCCTATAAGGAGTTACCACAAGTAAATTAAATGGCTTGAAAGAGTCATATCAAGATTCATAAATTCAAATACAAAGGTTATATGCATAATACGGATTTTAAGTTATTATCGAACTACTTACAAATTAAATTAAATCTTTAATAGATTCGACGTTTTTAATCAATGCAGTCATGTTTGCCTTTGCTTGCATCATTATGAGCATATCATTGATTGCAACTAAACTATCGATAGAGAAAGTTAAATCATAATATCAGGAAAGCAAGCAACTGTTAACCCTGTTCCCGTTTGACAGATTGATGGAGAATGCTTATGTAATTAGTTTCATTACGCATGATTTGCATTTTTCAGTCTGAATTAATAAGCTATATATAACTTAAAATTAAATTTAAATTTATTCTTTGCTCCAACATTTCTTTATTTCATTATTATTTATTAAATAAGAGAGAGAGAAACAAAGAATTCTTTTCTCTTATTTTATTATTATGATCTGATTTAATACCCTATGTTTTTAATTAAACTTATTAATTATTATGACAGTTGAAGAAGTATATGTTCTTTTTGCTTTAAAAATTGATTAGTTTTTAAAGAATTATTTTTACATTGATGTCTTAATTTATGAAAGGTAAATATCAATTAAAATCTAATTAGGGTTATCAAAATGTGACATATTTGGTCAGACAATTACATTAAGAATGAATAAATAAAATTTTTATAAGACTGCATTTGGAGGATGCGTATCACTAATTTTATTTATTGTAATGCTGTTGATTTTTTCTCAAAATTTAATCTCATTTTTGAACAAAGAAAATTTGACAGCAACAGTATTAACCACGTTTGAAGAATTTCCATCTTTGGCTACATTGAATGATGATACTTTTGCATTTGCTATTCAAATTGAATAAAATAATTTTATTGAGAATCCTTACTTTAACATCTAGGTTGAATAGATGCATACTACTAGATTTTTAAATGGATCAAAAATGGAAAATACTTCATAACTTGTTCTAATACCATGTACATTAGATAGATTCACCAATATTTTTAGTAAATATGATGTTAATATAACAAAATAATTTTATGATTTGGATCTAAAGAATTTCTTGTGCTTTGAGTAAATAATATAAAATACTTTAGTTATAATTCAACTTTTACTATACAAGGTACTAATTCAAGTAATTATTATGAAATAATTTAAAGATTAACAATTTTGGTATTTGAAAATTTCAGTAAATAATTGTGTTACAAATTAATCGTGTGCTTCAGAAACTGAACGATAAAATGAAATCGAAAAGAGTGGCTCATTTAAATTAAGACTCTACACAGTTAATCAGGTTTAATACTTTTGTATATTTATTAGATATTAAATCCTTAAAATCCTGATGATTAATACTTATAAACCTTCATAGATGATTCATTTTACCTCAAATTTCTACCGTCAGATGTTCTCAAAACTGCAGACATTTTCCTTAAGGAATATGAAGTCTTAAACGATTTGAGTTTAACTCCTTTTAGTGATATAGAATTGTCAAAATTTTATATCTTAGATCAATCTGAAATGAAAGAAAGAATTGAATATCATTCTAAAACCTCAAATGATATAGCTACTCTATTCTTTCGTAAAAGTCCTTACAAGACTACTATTTACAGAAGTTACTTAAAAATTGATGAATTACTATCAAATTTGGGTGGCATCTAATAGATTTTCTTCTTTTTTCTTGGCATAATTCTATCACTCTACAACAGATTCTAATGTATCATATTAAGTTAAATTAAGTACTGGTTGAATTGGCTAATAAACTGTATGAATTTTCGTTAATTCAACTACAACATGAAAAAATTCATGAAGAAAATTTAGAACAGATAAACCATTTAACAACAGAAAGATAAGAGGAACTAAGAACGAGAAGATTAACTGATTAAGATTTAGAGATTAAACTTGTAAATCCGAGTTTGATTAAGCAGAAAGAGAAAAACGGAATATTGAAATTTGGTATAAAGCAATAGGAAGATGATTAAGAGATCAATTACCAAGATGATGAAGATAGAAATGTAAAAGAAGCTCACAGTAAATTCTAGAGATCGTCAACTCGATTTATTAGAAATCCATTTGGGAATAAAATTCGACCAGAAAACGGCTTATAATATTTCAAATAATAAATCATTACAATAATTAATAGATCTTAACCAGTCTTATTAAGTTTCAGTATGATTATCAATTTCATCACTTGTAATCGGTGTTGTTAGAATAAAAAAAATATTTAGTTAATGAATAAAGCTATGTAAAATTGTATTTCATTTTAGAGACTAAATCACAGATTAGATAGATTTATTTAATATATTAACTAAATTAAATGAATTAGACAAAATGAAAGAAGTTATTTTTACGCCTGAACAATTATTGGTCTTTAATTTCACACCTAAGCCTATGATTTCATTAGATACTACAAAAAAAACAATAAATCGATCCTATTTTGAATAGAGATCCAAATGTGATATTGAGATTTAGTAATGAATTACATATATATTAAGACCTAAGCAAAAAGAGGAAAATAAATATGAAAATAGATTACCTTCTCAAAGAGGAATGCATTTAAGAGGAGATGCTTAATTGTATTAGGATATATATAATGTAGAGTTAATTACTATAATAAATTAGGCATACGATGAAGTTCTTTAGGATTAAGAAGAGAATATTATTAATAAACAATTAATAAAAAAGTTAGGTCCTGAAGTTTAAGCTATTTTTAAGTTGTCCAAATTCATTGATCAGTAAAAATTGTCTGCAAGGGGATAGAAAAGAAAGCCTTAATTAAAATATAACGAACCTCCTAGTATTGATTGATTTTGATGATATTAGCACGATTGTATTTTTATCTTTCTTAACTCTAATTATTAATTTAATTTATTAAAAAAATAAGCAATTTTTTATAGGAAAGCAATATAGATCAAGTTACTTATAATTCAATTTGTTCTACTTCACTATTTATTTAATAAAGAATCCCGAATGTAATTGCGTAAATAATGTTATAATAAAAATATTACTTTATTGTTGATCTCAAGGAATTATCACTTTAATACAAATTATTTAATTCATAATTAGTAAGATAGGTTAAATATATATATATTTATCATTCAAAATTGTTCCTATTAAGTTATTATTATTTAATTAAATTAAAAACTCTACTAATCTAATAAATTAAAGAATAACCAAAATAATCAAATAGATCTAAAAGATATCTAGATGATTAAAATATTATAGAAAAAGGCAAAGATCTTATCTTGCTCAAATAGGATGTCATACAATTGAGATTAACTTCAAGCATTATTATATTGATAAAATTATTGAATTATTTCATTTGGTTTATTAATAGTCAATATGCCTAATTGAATTGCAGTAATTTGTGTTTATTACATTTCTATGACCAGAAGGATTATTGTTAAAATTTAGATACTAAATAATAAAGAAAAGGTTATTTTTTAACTAAAATAATTAATTGTGATAATTTGTGTGTTTATTCTTTGGGTTTTCATTCTCATAGGAATGATGGCAAAAGAAATAGAAATTGATTGTTATTTCATGTATTTATTTGTATTGTACTTAAATATTATTGCTCATTATTTTCTTTAGACTTTCTTGCTTGCACCTCTTTTTGAATAGAAAACATCATCTCTTCTAAATTCAAATTCTAAATCTCTTGTTGTTAATAATTTATAGACAGCTTTAACGGCATCAAGTCTTGGCTCTAATTCTGCTTTGTCTTATTCATCCAAGAAGCTAAAATTATTGACTTGTCTTTACATTCTATAAAACTTAGTGCCATCAACTCTGACTCTTGTTCTTCTGCCTAAAATGAATGTTGGTGCAACAAGGTCTTCAAGGATTGAATCATATACTGAGGTGAGTGTTCTTGAATTTGGTCTTGTTTATGATCTGTGACTCTTGACCCATTTACTTTCAATTGTTCTTTTGGCAACAACAAGAATTGTGGCTTTGAGTCTCTTCTCTAATTCTGGTAATAATTTTGAGCTATTATATTTTCACATTTGGAGTACCTAACCTTATTGAAAACGGATAAGCAAGGATGAGGAATGTATACCAAATAAACTTGCTTCTTGGCATTAATTTTAGCTGTATAATCAACCACTGAGGAGAGTTTAAGATTCTTAGCATCAGCCAATGATTGCTCAATTTGAGTCAATGCAACACCAACTTATTATTCCAAATTAGTTAACTTATAATTAAACAAATGATTTACCTCTGTCTTTTTCCAAAACTTATTAGCTGCCATTCCTGATAAAAATTTGATTTTTTATTTAAATCTTTTTTATTAATAATTCAGACGACTTTCTTTTACAACGATCCACACCAATCCCCTTATTTTTACAATCAGATCATTCAAATCGATTGGCAATTTATTCAAATAATATACATTTACACTTCAAATTCAAAAGCTTATTAAATAAAAAGTCTATTCAAAAGTAATCATAACATAATTAGTAGAAAAGAGAGATTAATTATTATTATTAATACTAAAAAGAGGTGAAATAATTTTTATATAAATATAAACACGTACTTAATTTGATTAAATTAAACTCCATTCATGAGTATTGCTCATTTCTCTACCTTGGATTGCCTATTTCTATGGATCTTGCAGTTCTAGACAGAAAATCATTTGACTAATCTTTCACATAGATATAATATAAGAAATATATTGAGGGGGAATATAAAAAGTTATAACATGAATTTAATAGATATATTTTTTGAAATGCAATTAAATATATTTAAAGAAATTAAAAAATATAGGAAATAAAATTTTTTTTTATTAATTCGAAACTTCTAGAAATAAAAAATTGAGTATAAATTAAGTTCGATTCACAGATAATTTTTAAGTTTTAAAATTAAATAATGGCAACAGAGTAAAAGAAGGAAGAGTAATTCCACTTCAATGCAGATATCCAACAATTGATGGGTTTAATTATCAACACATTCTACTCAAACAAAGAAATTTTCTTGAGAGAATTGATCTCTAATGCTTCAGATGCTTTAGACAAGATTAGATATAAGTCTATTACAGACCCAGACAGTGCTGGCTTGAACGTTGAACCAAATTTCAAGATCAAGATTGTCCCAGATAAAAATAACAATACTTTGACCATCTAGGATACAGGTATTGGTATGACCAGAGATGAAATGATCAACAACTTGGGTACCATTGCTAAGTCAGGTACCAAGGCCTTCATGGAAGCTTTGAGCTCAGGAGCTGATATTTCTATGATTGGACAATTTGGTGTCGGTTTCTACTCTGCCTATTTGGTCGCTGATAAGGTTGTTGTCATCTCCAAGGCTGTTGGTGAATAATAATACAGATGGGAATCATAAGCTGGTGGTACATTCTTTGTCTATGATGATGTTGAAAACCCAGTCTAATTGACCAGAGGTTCAATCATCATCTTACACATGAAGTAAGATAACTTAGAATTCTTGGAAGAAAAGAGAATCAAGGATTTGGTCAAGAAACACTCAGAATTCATTGGATTCCCAATTGAATTATAAATTGAAAAGACAACAGAGAAGGAAGTCAGTGATGATGAAGATGAAAATAAGGAAAAGAAGGCTGAAGAAGGTGAAGTCTAAGAAGAGAAGGACAAGGCTGAAAAGAAGAAGAAGAAGATCAAGGAAGTCAGTACTGAATTCGAATAAGTTAACAAGAACAAGCCATTATGGATGAAGAAACCAGAAGAAATCACCAAGGAAGAATATGCTAATTTCTACAAATAATTGACCAACGATTGGGAAGAACATTTGACAGTCAAATAATTCTCAGTTGAAGGAGGTTTGGAATTCAAGGCTGTCCTCTTTATTCCAAAGAGAGCACCATTCGATTTGTTCGAAACCAAGAAGAAGAAGAACAACATCAAATTGTACGTCAGAAGAGTCTTCATTATGGATGACTGTGAAGAATTGATCCCAGAATATTTGGGATTCGTTAAGGGAGTCGTTGATTCTGAAGATTTACCCTTGAATATTTCAAGAGAATTCTTGTAACACAACAAGATCTTGAAAGTCATCAAGAAGAACATCACCAAGAAATGCATCGAAATGATCACAGAAATCAGTGAAAATGCTGAAGATTACAAGAAATTCTATGAACAATTCTCAAAGAATCTCAAATTAGGTATCCATGAAGATTCAGCCAACAGAACCAAATTGAGCGAATTCCTCAGATTCCACACATCAAAGAGTGGTGAAGAATTAATCTCACTCAAGGACTATGTCGGAAAAATGAAGGAAGGATAAAAGGATATCTTCTTCATTACAGGAGAATCCAAAGCCTCAGTTGCTGCTTCACCATTTGTTGAAGCCTTAAAGAAGAAGGATTATGAAGTCCTCTATATGATTGACCCAATTGATGAATATGTCATCCAATAATTGAAGGAATTCGATGGAAAGAAATTGAAGAACTGCACAAAGGAAGGCTTAGACTTAGATTAAACTGAAGATGAAAAGAAGAAATTTGAAGAATAAAAGTCATCATTTGAAGGATTATGCAAATTGATCAAGGAAATCTTGGGAGACAAGGTTGAAAAGGTCTAATTAGGATAAAGACTTGACTAATCACCATGTGTCTTAGTCACCGGTGAATATGGATGGTCTGCCAATATGGAAAGAATCATGAAAGCTTAAGCTTTGAGAGATCCATCAATGAGCAGTTACATGATGTCCAAGAAGACATTAGAAATCAATGCCAATCACCCAATCCTCACTGAATTAAAGAAGAAATCAGACAAGGATAAGAGTGACAAGACTGTCAAGGACCTTATCTGGTTACTCTATGAAACTGCTCTTCTTACTTCTGGATTCAGTCTTGATGACCCAACTCACTTCGCCAACAGAATCCACAAGATGATTAAACTCGGTTTATCTATTGATGATGCTGGTATTGAAGAAGAAGATGAAAAACTTCCATAATTAGAGGTATTATTAATCATTTATATTTTTCTTAGAAAAAGGAAGATGCCAACACTGAAGCCACCAAATCAAAGATGGAAGAGGTTGATTGATTAATGTTCATTGTGTGTTTTAAATATACAGTAATTTCATATTAAATAACTCTATTATTATTTACTATAAATTTTGATCATTTATATTTAAATAAATTTTATTTATCTAATATAATTGGTTGTTTAATATCTAATGTTTTTCTCATACTAATAAAATTCAGAAATGAAGCATAATTTATAATTAGAAGGAATTGGTTATATAATAATTACTACTAACTATTTCTAAACTTAAAAGAGTATAAAATATATATATCTCTTTCATATTTTAATTACAAATTGAATAAAATGTTATTAATTTAGAAATCGAGAATCTCGAAATATAAGCTAGTTTGGTAATATACTGGAATCTGTCAAATGAAGTTAATGAATAAGGATAAAAGAAAATGAAGGAAACTAGAGTCTTGATTAGAAAAGAAGGAAATGGGTTATATTTTATTAATATAAATATTCTTTATGGGAAAACTACGGTTCCTTTTATGATATTTGTTTAAAATTAGTTGAGAGATTGACCTCCATTCATTTTATGCCAGACAATGTTAGAAGAAAGCTTTTAAGTCATGCAACCAAATAATTGCTAAAATTTAAGGGGAAATCCAAATTATAAAATTTGATTTTATTTGACACGCTTACTGAGGAACTAGAAACAATAATATTAGTAGAGCAAATCAGTTTAAATTAAGAATATAAATTTTCAAGAAAATGTTGGATATCAATTTAATAACTTCATCCAGAATCTATTTATATTTCTGAAGTTAATTAAATCAGAATAGCAGCTTTGATAATATATAAAAGTTTTTGTGTCTACTCTCTCCAGTATATATAGATTATTTTTGACAAATGATCCTGTTTGCCATTTACTTATATTATGGAGAATTAATAGTAAAATAACCTATCTATAGTGTTAAGGATCAAAAATTATTTTGAGGTACTTTTGATTATGAATGCAGGATCTAAATAACTTAAATTAGAAGTAGTTGAATTTTTTTTTTATTTCTGCCTTTTGTCTTATTTTGGAGAGTTGTCATTTAGAAAAAAAAGAATGGATTAAATTACCTTATATGTGGGTCAATTAGCAGCAAATACTGAAATATGTTTCGTTGATTTGCCTAAAATTAATTAAACTGGTAATTGTATAGTAAACAATTGTTAAAAGAAAAAGCGAAAAGTGAAATATGTTTCAAAAGTGTTGCACCATAAAGATATCTAAAACATAATTTCTTAATAGAATCATCCTTTAGGCTATCCTTATTAATAGGTAATCTAATTTCTAAACACATTATAGAATTTGGAAATAAAATTTTTCTTATTGGAACTGTCAATTTTTCCATTATTATTAGACAAAATTATTTTATTTATAGCCTACTCTCTATAAAATTTAGGCTGTCTAACTGTCACTAGTTACCCAAAAGGTTTGCTTATAGTGGAAATTGGAAAATTTATTTTAACACAAAATTTGAGTTTTGGCAAAAAAATGAATATTTATATATTTTTAGAAATTAAATAATCAAACTTAATAATCAACTTTAAAACTTCATTCTTATACTTTTAAGTATGGGTGTTGTTCACCTTAATATTTTTTTAGAATAGTGTAATAAAAACGATTTTTTACTTGGTTTTCCTAAAAATAGAATGATTATATTACCGATCTATTTTTAAGCATTTTAGCAATGACAGCCCATCTTGCCCCGCCTTTATTATATTCTTCTAAAATAATTCTATCCTCCTCTTTTGACCATTCCTCATGTGTTATTGATGGGTCTATTTAATTCACGTATCTATCACGCACCTATTTTGAAGTTCGGCTTGGCAATCCTAGAATTACAATAATATGTACTTTCACTTATTTTTATCCATTATCTTCCAAATTCTTTATACGCCTCTATCAAGATTTGATCTTCGGCTAAAGACCATTTCTTTTTTGTTCTTTTCTCTTAATCTTAGAGCTTTCGGTATTTTTGAGAACATTACGAGATATTTCTTCCTTTGAGATGTTTGATGATTTATTTCCAGTTGCCTTTGTACTTTTTATAGTAAGAGACGAGATTATTTATTTCCTTTTAAGTCCATAATTAGCCTTTTCCTCTTACAATTCCACTAGCGTTAGTATGATATTCATCTTTGAGTGGTTTAGTCTGCTCTTTTTCACTCTCAGAATGGAGTTCAGTCTTGGGGATTTCTTATAAAACTGAAGAATTGAATTGGTATGGAATATAGTAAGGAACAAAGAAGTAATAAGGATTGGGTTAATTGATGTACATTGAAATTATAAACCTAAAATTTATGTTCTATAATTAAGCCTCAATGTATAGAATAGTCTATAAATCAACTTAATCAATATTGATTATTGTATTAAACAATATGAAAAAAATTTATCAATACACCTTTAGTTTCAATAATTGTAACGGAATCTCTTAAGATGACTATTTAAAAACCTTGATGAGATCGTCTTTGAGCCTATAATCCAAATCTCTGGGCTAAATAAAGCTTAAAGCCTCTCCCTTTTTGCCAGCCCTACCAGTTCTGCCTATACGATGAATATAATCTTCGATATTTTCAGGAAAATCATAATTAATCTAATTATTATTAGATATTAAATTACCACAACATCCACATCTGAGACATCTAATCCTCTTGAGGCTAAATTAGTAGTAATCAAACAATTAACCTTTCCATTTCTAAAATCTTACATGATATAATCTCTTTGATTTTATTTTAAATCTCCATGCAAATATCTAGCATTTACTCCATGCTATGATAATCTATACTCAAGCTTTTATGTGTCTATTTTCTTTTAACAAAACACCAAAACCTTTTTATCCTTGATTTGATTGAAGTATTCTATTAATTATTCGAACTTATTTCCTCCAGCAATTATCACACTTTAAGTGATATTCTTATTAACAGATAGGCCCCTTTCTCCTAATTGTAAGAAAATTGGATCTTGACTACACAGACTATTTGCCAATCTCTAGACTTCTTAGGGCCAGGTTGCACTGAAGAATAATGTTTATCTATCCTTTCTGACTTCTTTCAAAACATCTCGAATTTAATCTTCGAAACCCATGTCAAGCATTCTATCTGCCTCATCCAAAACTACTTAAGTGATCGATTTCAATGTTAATCCACCTTTGATGAAATCTAATAGTCGCCCTGGAGTAGCAATGATAACTTGAGGAGTTTCCGATCTTGCAAATCTATTAGCTTTTCCCAACAAACTAACATATTAATGAGGCTTAGGAATTCCTCCATATAAACAACAGGTTTTTGCAAATAGATCATACTAAGTCTAAATTTACTAAGCCAATTCTCGAGTTGGGGCCATAACCAATATTCTTGGGCCAGCAACAGGAGGTTAAGCTTGCAAGTGCATGATTCCAGGTAAAGCATAGGCAAGTGTTTTGCCTGATCCTGTTTCGGCAATTGCAATTACATCATGACCATCAAATATCAATGGCATTATTGCTTATTGAATTGAAGATGGAGATGTTATGTTTCTTGCTTTTAAAGTTTCCTAAAGACTTTCGGGGAGAAAGTTGAAATTTTAGGCAATATTAAAAACTTTCCCGTGAATCTTGTTTGCTTTTATAAAATTCATAACCTCTTCTGCAGATGCTATAGGTATGAGTTTTAATGATTTAACTATCTCGCTTTGCTACTCTTACCTTAGTTAATCACAATGTCGAGCAAATTCTCCAAAGGATATATTTGACCTGGAATGGTATGATCCTTAGAATTAAGATCTTGATGATTGGTATCTAAATCTGTTGGAATTAGAGAAACTGTAGATAGAGCCACTTAATCCTAAAGGACAGAAGAATTGAATAAGTGCTTTTTTTAGTGGATTATTAATCATTAATATAATTTAATAAAATTTTGAATTCTTCTAAATATTAATAAAAACTTGAAATATCTTTAAAAATACATTCTATAAGGTTTTTATAGGTTTTTCTATTTCTCAACTTCCTATAAAATATTAAAAATATCAATAATTAATTTTATAAAAATGTATTACTCTCTAACAAAGGAATAAAGAGCTATCCGTAAGAAGGAGAAAAAGGTAAATCAAGTCAACTGCCCATAATGTCCAGCATCTCTTTAAGGACTTTTAAAGTCTAAGGCATTTTGGTATATAATTTTTTTAAGATGGTTCTTAGTATTTTTTGTTTAAATTATGTCTGCAAATCGCATATTGTAAAATAAAGAAAAGATCCCTTAGATGATGATAAAATTGGCAAAATCTGTAGAGAATGCGAAGATTAAATTCTATATACAAAAATTACTTCAAAGGTATTATTATTAAATCTATAAAAATTCAGCATGAAAAAAAAGAATAAGAACTATAAGTTTAGTATAAAGAATTATAAGGTACTTTGGAATCTGTTAATGGCTAATTTTAAGATCTATTATCTTAAGAGTAAACAATCAAATACTAAATTGAAAAAGCTTAGAAAGAATTTGAAAAGAGAGAACAATAAATTAAATTAAATATTAAAGAAGCAGAAAATAGATAGGAATAATGCAATCAAGAGAGTTTGAAATTAAGTGAATAATATCGTAGGCTAGTGGAGGAAAAATAGAGAAAAGAGAAGGAAAAATAAGTTTTAGAAAAAGAACAAGAAAATCTGTAAAAATCCATATTATAATAAGTTAAAATAAAGAACAAAAACTATAAATTGAAAAGTAGTAAATTCAAGATCAAATTGATATTATGAATGAGAATATTAGCAAGCTTAATCAAGAAATTGCCTCAATTACTAATGATTAAAAAGGATAAGATAAAGGAAAAAAAAATATATTTAGTGCATACGGTTAAACGACAAGTAGCCTTGGCACTATAATTATGTCTTCTGAGATCTCCGCAAGACCTAGTAACAAAAAAGAAATACGAGATCAACCAGATAGAGAAGATGGATTTTGCTGCATGAAGGTACTTCCTAGTGGTTCTAAGAAGAAGAAAAAGGCATGATTTCACTGAATTAATCAATATACTTTATGCATTTTTATGTATAATCATCAAAATTTTGCTTCAGATTGGCAGTTTGCTAATGAAGAATGCTTTTATTTGATATCAATTGCAAGCACAGCATTTCTATCTTATCCTTATTCGCTAATACAGGCATCGTCTATTGATATTAAATCCAAAGTATTCTTTCTCATTTTTAATAAATCAACTATTGTTTTATCTATAGAATTTATTAATTTCACATTAATTGGATTATCTAAATTTTCAACAATTTCTTTAAAAGCATTCTAGGCATCTACTGCTCTCTAAAAATCACTTTTCATAGGTTTTAAAATCGAATAATAATGTTAATTTATGCTAAACTATTTGGAATTTGGATCTAATGGAATTGTAGGTTTTTAAAGATAATCAAAAACCTTAATCTGAGATTCTGTTAGTAAGATCATTTTCAATTTATCAATTTCCTACAATTTCTTCATTATATATAAAATATCCATTTGCTTAATAATTTTTTTGACAGAGTATTCAATTTGAAGACTTTTATAATTTTTAGAACTAAATAAGTTATATAGCTTACTTAACAAAGCAGCTTATGAAATACAGATAATCAGTCCATTTCATTTTTAACTTTTTTGAAATACTCTGAAAATATTTTTTAATTGAAAAAGATATAGCTTTTGTTAATTCTAATTTGGCTTCTTCTTTTGATTGCGGATCTACAACCAGAGAATCTATAACTTCCATCTGTTTCTTCTTTATTTTAATAGATTGCAATCGTTAAAATGCTTTTTTTTTATTTTCTACAAATAATCCTTCTCTAGTAGACTGTAGTTATTTTCTTGTCATAAGTTCTTATTATGGTGCTTCTTAATTTCGATCATCTTCTCTTTAAGTGATAGTTGTTTTTTTCTTCTCTTGCTCGAATTCAAACAACGAATTCAAAATTCTAACATAATAAGATAGCATATTTATTGGTTTCTATATTAAAAAGGCAATTGTAAAAAAGACCTACCAAAGCCCTCCCATTTAGCTTAGGATAAATTGAATTTTGGTGTAGCTTCTATAATATTGTTGTTCAATCTAATCTAAACGTATTACAACATTCATAATTAAATCACTCTAATTTAAATCAATCATTTCTGTATGTCTTTTATATCTTAAGGTTTTATGGATTTCGTTATCCTCAGTAATAAGGCCGAGATCTGTAAATACTGTTATTGGCTACATATAAAAAGAAATTTCTTTAAAAATTTTGCTCGATATAGTAGTGAAGATATCTTCACCTTTAGGTTTAAAAGGTTCTTCTTCATTTTTCACATCTACAACGTATGAGGACATTTAAAGAGAAAAATAGTTTTATTCTAACAGTTATTTAATTTCATCCCTTGATTTACATTCCTTTGTTTTTTTTGTTTATTTGTTGCACATTTTAAACTATAATTAAATAAAACTATAGGATTGAGAATCAAAAGTGCCTTCTAAAATCAACTCGTTTATTCTATTCCAATCGATGCAATAATTAGTGGGTAAATTTAAATGAGAAAAATATTCTTACAATTCAACTTACCGAATGAGTTCTGGAGTGCAGGAAGTGAGAGGAAGTTCTTGTGAAGTCCATTCATCGATTTTCTGACTATCAACACTAATACTTTGATTTAATATAATACGTCTTTGTTTTCTTGGTTGTGATTTGAGCTTCTACAACATAGACAGATTCATCTATGTATGTTGCATAATCGGGTGACTAAATAGCAAATGTTAGAGTGAAATTTTATTCATTAAATTTGTAGTATTCTGGTTATGCGTGGTAAACCTCTGTTGTTAGTGAGGTGGGATTATCTCTTTACCCCAAGGTATATAGATTAATAACAAGTAGGTAAAGGAAAAAGGATATCAACCCCAATGTTAGACAGGCTCCAAACAAAGTTTTATGTCCTTCTTCCGATTTTATCAACAGTTAAACAGGCTATGAAAAAATATCAACTTTTTTTAGACTTTTCAGTGCCTTTCTCTAAAAATTAATAAACATTTTTTATTATAATTAAATATTAAGATTAATTAAGAATGAATTATTTATAAGCTAATGTACTTTGGAATTAAGAATTTGATTACATAATGAACATATAATAACAAAATGTCATTATTTCTATCAAATTCTCAAAAATCATTCCTTCAGGAGCCCTAAAATAAGAATATAATATGTATTACAATCAACAAAGTTGAAATTTTATGGTTGCCATTTGAATGTGAATTTCATAAACAATACATTAATAAATTAGTCAGTCAAAGAATAATTATTGATAAATGATTAGTTAAAAATTTGTCAAATATCATCATAGTTTTTACATTGAAAGAATCAAAATAAATCATTCCCAATTGTAAAGGTGCTATGCATTTGAATTGAGTCCTTGACGATACTTTTATTAGGTAGTATACTTTCAAATATTTGATTGGAAATATTCAAATTTTCCATTTCTTTCATCTTTGATAAATCTTCTATTTAACATAAAGATATGAAATTCTCTAATCTTTAATAAATTATTCAAAGTTATTTTCAAAATGTCTTTGCTCAAAGAATTATTGATATCTTTTAATTAATTAATTAATACAGAAATAATAATAACTTGAGAAAAAAAATATATATTCGATAATATTTTAATAATATATGGTTGAAGTATTAAATTAATATTTAGAGTTTACTTCTGCCTCATAAATAGTTTGGATTCTGTTCATTTTTGAAACAACAATAAAGGTAATCAGGTTGAAAAACAAGTAAGAAAATATGAATGGAATTAAAGATTATAAGAAATGCTTAATTAATTAATATTTTGCCTGCATTGAATAATGTACTATTAATAATATAATTGAATCATTCCTTTAAAGCAAACTTTCTCAAGGGGAAATTATTTAATTTTTTCCATTATCTCTGTGTCTTTTGAGCTAGAAATATATGGTGGCAAACATTACCTTTCTCACTTCTAGTTAATCTTTATCTAATTGCTCTGGTTTTCTTTCCTCTAAGATCGACTGGAAGATTTGAAGCATGCTTTGTTGTTGATTTAACCTAATTTCTTCTTTATTCATTGATGACTGTTAAATATTTTGCAATTCTCTTTCTCACAAGCTGAATTATATTAATTATGATCTTACTCCGATTCTGCCGAGTTTTTAAGCATTACCTGCTGAAACTTTAACTGTTCTCAATTAAATGAGCTCACCCTTGAGTTTTTCTAAATCCTTTAGGAGATCTTCTGGCTTTTATTCTCTGAGCTTTCTCACTTTGAACTTTTGAGACATATTTTAAAAAAGGATTTAATTTTTTATTAAATATGGGAAATTGTTTCAATTAAGAGGAAACCCATAATTCCTCATTAAAAAGAATAACCAAAATAGAGAGTAGAATTAGTTAGGATTTGCAAGATTCAGAGGGAGGGAAAATTAGTTTAAAAGAGTTTTTAAGCCAAGGAGTGATTGGGAGGGTTTTATTTAATATAAATTTAAGGGTTAATTTGGTAAAGTACTTAAAGTTAAAATGAAACTCAACCAAAAAGAATATGCTATGAAGGCTATCAAGAAATAGGACATCATAAATTATGGACTTGTTGAAAATACAATGTTAGAAAAGAAAGTTTTAGAATATAGTAACAATCCATTTGTGATCAGACTACAGTACTCTTTCCAAACTGAAAACAAACTATACTTAGTCATGGAGTATTATTACGTATTTAAATAAAAGTTTAGTAAATGGTGGCTAGTTGTTGAAGATAATAAATAAATAACCGTACAAGCGATTTTCATTGCATCAAGCACAGTTTTGTACTGCAGAAGTAGTACTTGGTCTTGAATACTTGCATGATAAGCTTAAGGTTATTTATAGAGATTTGAAACCAGAGAACGTTTTAGTCACTGATGATGGACATCTAAAATTAACCGATTTTGGATTGTCCAAACAATACGAATCCGATAGCATGAAATTCTTTACCGTACTTAAATATGATCTTATCGTTAGTTTAGATCGCAGGTACTCCTGAGTATCTGGCACCTGAAATTATAAGCAATTCTGGCCATAATCACACTGTTGATTTGTGGTGTTTAGGAATCTTCATTTATGAAATGCTGACTGGAAGAACGCCCTTTAGAGACGAAGCAAACAATACCAGAAATGTTGAAAAAAAAATAGCCGAAGGTGCTATAGAATTCCCAGACTATTTAAATGAAGAGTCTTAGGACATTATATTAAAATTGTTAAACAAAAATCCAGACTAGAGATTGGGTAATTTCTGAAATTAAGTTAAGGTCATAAATCTACCTAGGATATAAAGGATCATGCTTTTTTTAGAAATATCAATTGGGATGACGTGGCTAATCTAAAAACTAAATCCCCACTTCTAGGATTGACTCCTCAACCATGTCAAACCACAATAGAGGTAGCAGCTCCTAAAAAGATTCTTGAAACCCCTTAGTCTTAAGAAGCACAGACCGAAGAGAACTTTGAAGGCTTTTCTGTCAATCATGGAGAGTTTTGAACCCAATATTCTTTATGTTATGTTCATTGTTGAATTATAGTTAGCTTTCTGAGATCAAACATTTATTAACTCAGTAACTTAATAATTTTTATACATTTTTTTTGTAATAAATTTTATTTGTATTTCGGTTTAACCAAGAATACTATGATCACTAATTATATTTGCTTCTGATTTATTTTTAGATAGATAAATATTTTAGTATTTCAAATGATAATAAATTAATTCATATTACAATGCCTAAAGTCATTTCTATATTTAAATTGATTTTTAAGAATGAAATAGTTTTTTGTTTGTCTGAAGAATAGGCATCTCTTCAATCGAACAGTCCTCTGGAATATCTTCGCATTATTATTATTATTGAGGTATAGTGCTGTCTTGTAATATTTTTCTAGTCTTTTCAATTATCAACTAAGATGATTTTAGTCTGACTACTGGCTCATTACGTCTTTCTATATAACCAATTAAGTAGTTTTATAGTGTAGCAATCACGTATGGTTTGTGCTTGTGAATAGACTTCTGAAATAAAACATTAGAGACATCCTAATTTTCATATTGCCTAATCTCCATTTACCCTCCAGGATGCTATGTGATGAAATCAGTCAGATCATAAATTGCCTTCTTGTATACGAATAATGATAGTTGATTTCTTTTAGCATAAAATTACATCTCTTGTATATCATTAAAATATAAAAGTTGATTCATATTATTTATCATTTCTTAACATCAATAAAATCATTTTAGATTTCATTAAAATCTAAAAAAGAGGATCTTATTAAACAATAAATTAGGTTCTTACTTTACCCAACATAAACCTTTGATAGATGTTAGATTTGTATTCAAAACCAAAAAAATCATAACTTATATTTATCATGCTTGCCTCTTCTGTGTTATCAAATCTTTAAGACTGAATTATATATAAATATTGATATAAATAACATTTGTATAATAATTGATCTACTATATAAAAAGGATTAGAAAATGGTATCATAAATTTATTCAAATTTAGATTTCCTAAATTGATTTAATATGATAGGATCATAAAGAGTATGGGTATAGTTTTGGATTTACACACTTAGATTTAAAGTCACTTAATATTTCTAATTTAAGTTTTTTATATTTTTGTTTATTAATGAATTCGTTGAGAAAAAAGAGTGTTTTTTAAATGAAACAAGTCGACACTCCTTCTACACAATCTACCACAAGAAAGTCTTTACTATCTAAATCAAAGAGAGCCAAGACTGAGCATAGTTATCCTGAAGTCAGTCAATTTGAACCATCTAAAAAAAGAAATAGAGAACAATTATTACCATAAACTCATCAATAGTATTTAAAAGCGAAACGAGATATAGAATACACATATCTTATGTAATAAAGAAGGAGATAAAAAACATAGCACAATGAAATCCCATTTGATCTGAAAATGGCTTATATCATTAAAAGACAATCCGTGACTGGAAGGAAAATATTGCATAAATCCTCATTTGAAGAAAGTATATCCTCGCCAATTACAAAAAAAAAATTAGATTCTATATGTGAGGAAACATTCTAACTTCAACCAATAAAAAAAGATCCCATCCTTGAATAGGAATGTTTGGGATACCCAAGTTTACATTAAGAATGGGATAAAAGGTGGGAATCCTTATTTGAGACCTTCTTTGAAATGCAGGCAGTGAAATCAAAAAATATTTCCTAATAAAATGAGACTAGAAAAGATAGTAGAGTGAAATTCAGCAAAGGTATTGTAATGAAGAATAATTAAAGGCCAATTAATACTAGAATAAATAATGACGAGATCTTAGTATTAAAGAGAGAATTGTCTAAATAGCCTATAAATAGAGATATTTTGAGGTTAGAACCCATTTTTTCAAAAAACAAATTTTTATCAAGATTTAATGAGATAATTAGAAAAATTATCATCCAATAATGCTAATTAAGAGAATATTAACCTGATGAACTTGTACTATCCAACGAAATTAATTGTGATAAGGTATTTGTCATAGTTTTGGGATCTTGCAAGGTTGTGATGACTTCATTCAGTAAAGATCAAGACATTTTAGGGAGAATGGTTATCAGATCAATATATGATGGATACCATATAAATGTTGATAATTTACTAATTGAAAAAAAGATAGAGGATATTAAAAATATGAATAATCTATCAGAAGCAAATTTATAATAATATGTGAAGAGTGAAATATACTCATAAGAGAAAACTGTTGTAATTGAAATTAGCAGAGAAATATATGATAATGTATTAACATATGCAATTGATGAGGAGATGAGAGAGAAGATTGAATTACTACAAAAGATTAAGATTCTTGGAATGAATAAAGATTTAAGACCTTTGGCTGCAATCCTACATTATCATGAATATAAATTTGGAGATTTAATTATATAAGCCAATTAAGAAATCAGGCATTGTTATTTTGTAAAGTCAGGAAGAGTTAAAGTAACTGTCTGTACTAGAAAGTAAAGAGAATTATATAATTACTTGACCTAATCAAATCAAATAGAATTATATGATTTTTCAGAAGAAAGTTCAGTTGTAAAAACTAGTAAAAATATTGATCATTGTGGTAAAATCCTGAAGATGAGCAAACACGGTCACCCCTTCATGGAAATGAATATTCATATTGATATCAAAAGTTTAGAAGTAGGAGACTTCTTTGGAGGATCAAGTCTTCTAACTCAACAAGAGATCATAACTACAAATAGATACAAGAAAGATAAATTAGCTTTGGTTAGTTTGATTGCTTTGACTCCTGTAGTAGAATTATATTCGATTGATAGCATGGAATTTGAGACTTTGCCAGATGGATTTTAACATCAATTAAAAGAACTAAGTTTATCATAGTCAGAATTTGATGATTTTGATGTTGACAAAATTGTGAATGATTATGACTAGTGGTCGATGCTAAAGTAAGCTTACTATAAAAGTTTAATCAAAAAATGAATCATGAAATGCTATTATATATTTATTTGTATTTATATTATTTTTCATGAAATTATTCTCATACATTATAAGTTGTAAGTTAGTTAAATGGTACAATTTGATAAAATTAAAGTTCTCTCAGGTAATATCTAATTTTTTTAAGTTTCTCAAATAGTTGCTAATTTGCACTTTGGAAAAAGAATGATATTTTTCATAGAAAAAATATGTATATAATTTTGGACTCTGTAGGAGAAAAAAAATGAGAACAGCTTGCATCTAGTTTAGTCTATCAAATCAACTTATATGTATTTAATCATTTCATTAATGGATTCAAAATATATTGCAAGCGACATATCGTTTATGTTTTACAATGTCTCTCAATTCCTTTTCACTCAATGAACTTCTGGCACTATGTCTTACTTCACTACCAAATTAAGCACTTTTTCGTATGGGATTATTTTGATTAGATTCTTATTTTAGCTAATTGATATTTTCATTGGAATTAGTGTTTTAGACCAAAGGTGAAAAAACTGTGTCGTATTTTCTAAAATATGAGTCTAAAGATACGTTGTTGCAGGTGTCTGAATTGGTTCATAAGCAGGATTAGAACTATTAATATGGGAAATATTTTTACAAGGACTAATATTTATTCATTATTTTATGATTTTAATTATTGAAGGGTAACCTTTAATGAAAAAATATAAGATCTCTAACTCCAATAGACAACCGACTCGAAGCATAGGAGTTTCAAGGATTTCAACCATTCCTGAAATCCGAGATGAACATCCTCAAAAGAAGGAATTTAAACATAATGTAATTAGTCTAAAGGAATTGGTTCGTAAGAACGTTGAGCGTAAAATGTTGAACACACCTGAACCTCATCTTAAAAAGAAGGTAATAATACCAGAAGTCTCATAAGAGGAATTTAAGTCATAAACAAGTTCCTCAATATTTAAATAGAGAGTGATTCATTTATATGCAAAAAGGAAACTCTATCTAAAATCATTCAATATTTCACTATCTTCCCTTAAATTAAGTTGAAACTGGAATGTATTAGAATTGAGTGAATCATTATAAAATTATATACAATCTCATTTAATATATAATAAAAATGAAAGTAATAATATATATTTATAGAGATGTTTAAATAATTTATATATTTATGTACAAATTAATTCAATCAGTATCATATTGTGATTCTAAATTTTACTTCGTATCATGAAGATTATCCACTTATTGTCTCTTTAACTTTTCATTGATAGAGTAGGAAACAAAATTACCAAACACTCCAATTCCAAACATAATAATCAAAGTAATTATAGAGGTGCTCTCTTTACCGACCTAAAATTCCTTATAGATTTACTTGGAGTATAAGAATTTCAGGAATAGCTTATAAAAAGTTAAATCCATTTCCAATTAACCCTAAATATGCAATAGTGGAGGTTTCACTGACAGGGAAACTAATTTCACATGAAAATTCAAATGTCAATGCCAAAATACTTGAACACAGACAAACAAAGAAGTAACATACGTAAAATAGCCAATGAACTTTTAGAACAAGACTTAAAATAAGGAATCCATAAAAAAAAGTAGTAGTAGCATTACAAATTTATAACACTATTTTATATTTTCCTAACTTTTTTACAAATGATCCAACAACCACATCTCCTATCAGTCCTGCAATCACACCTACAAGAATAACATTTGAGATTTATTCCAAATTATACCCAAAAGGTTTCACAACAAATTCCATTTGCACTGTGAGTAATAAAACAGGTCCCAAGATTAATGAAAAAGCAAATGCTAATTTTAAATAATCAGAATTTTTTATCAACATCTTGGCTGCTTTTGTATAATTTTCCCTAACGCATTGCTAGAATTTAAGTTTCTTTGTTTACTTCAGATGCACTATATGAAGGAGGATGCTTGGGTTTGGCCTTGAAGAATATTAAAGCCGGAACTGTTGTAATAAACATAATTCCTGCCAAGAAGGCCATCAGTTAAAATACATATGTTCTACCCTAAGAGTAATCATTCAAGGCATCTAATTCTACGTTATAGTCACCAAATATAAATAGCGGTATTTTGATAGAGATTCCAGTACTTGAATTAAAAAGAAGAGCGATGATAACCATTATAATAATCCTGTTTTTTGGGTAAAACCAATTGGCTGTAAATTTGGATGCAGAAATCAAACGAAAAGGAAATCCAACCAAAGATACTAGTTCTCCAAAATAGAGCCACCAGAATGAGTAATTAACTAGCAAAGCCATTAGGGATCCAATAAATGTCAGAAGACAACCTCAAGATTTATATACCATATATACCCAATTTTATATTATATTATATTCCGTATTTTTCGCTTAAAATATTCCCTGGGATGATCATAATTGCTGAGAATAGGGTAAAGCTCACACTTAACAATTAGAGCCACCTAAGTTCTCTATCATATGTTTTACGTTTAGGAAACTCCATAAATAGTTGAAATTTCTTTAGTGATTGGAGATAATGAAAATCCAAACATTATATTAGAAACTAGAGCTCCTAAAAACAGTGTTAATTATAAATATCGGCTGCTTGATTCATAGTAAACATCAGTGCTCTTAGAGTCTAAAGTGTCGTCTAACAATTTCATCACTATTATAATTTAATTATTATAATTACGTATGCAAGAACCATCTGAAATTCCAATAAAATTCAAAAGTTAATTTATGAATAAAAATAATCACAATACTCTTTGAACGTAGTCTATAAATCCTTATAACCAGCTTGATCATATAATTATTGCAATTCTTCCTTAGTAGCTAATCCTAAAATGCAGCAATCTGTAGTCACTTCGTATTTAAAGTGCTTATCATCAATAGTGATAGCAATATCCACATAATTGAATTACGTAAAGTCACAAAAAACTACTTATTATTTCTATGAAAATAAATATTCTAATTACATTATAAATGGCGTCATTATTCTCATAAACTTTCAGAGTACTAAATTAATCAATAAACAATTAATGCAAAACTGAAACCAATATTTTCATGGCTTCTTTGTGATTTGGGATTTTATTGAATTATGAATACCATTCGTGAATAAGTAAAACCTTTTGCACAATGACCTATATATAAACATAATCCATTTAAATCATTTTAGTTACTTCAGCATTAATTTATCTCTAAATAAATGAAATTATTACCCAATAGTAACATTTGGTCTCAATTACACTCTATCAGTTACAAATTTAGGATGTCCTGGTAATAAGAATCCCCCTGGAGATGAGATTTTCTTTACAAATTACTTATGCTCTTCGCTTAATGAATTCTTGGTCAAAAATGGTAGTTTTTTAAATAAGATGGTAAGTATTTAAAAAACTATTTTAGATTTTGTTTCAATATCTCTATTATCATAAATATTCCAGTTTTTGTTAAATAATCTATTTTTATTACATTCAGCAACAAGCAATATGAATACTTCTTTATGGTTCTATCTAAATTTTATTATTGATTACAAATTCATGATCAAATTTATCTATTAGTTATTATGCTTCATTTTCATAATATTGTTGTCTTCTATTTAACCATACTCTTCTTAGATACTTCCTTAAGACCAATCCAATCCGTATAAACCAAAATGTTCCACTAAGTTTTCTTCTCAATTGCAACTTCTCTACCTGTGTAAATTCCTTAGGCTTCTTTGTTTTTATTTTAACTGATGATCTAGTGTATTTGCTCACATAACTATCATGCAGAGATCCTTTACTTGTTTTATGTTAATATGACAAATCACGAGCTTTATCCTTTGATTTATCTCTTTGTGAACGATGTCTGTTCGGTCTAGAGTTTGGGCGATCATTTGAATCCTCTGAATAATCACTTTAATTCGAGTCTCTTCTACTCCGATGATTTTATTTTTCCCCTTTTTATAATATCTTTAGAACTAACTTTTTATAGGGATCTACTTTTTTTTTAGGTGCTTGATTCTAAGGTTGCTAATGCATAAATGGTTAAGGCATTTGAAAATAAGGGTTCATATACATGTAAGGAGGCAAAGGTTATAATAGAGGTTGTTAAGGGGTTGGTAGATATTGGGGTATTATAATAGGATTTTATATGGGATTGCTTTTTGGTCCAGATTCAATGTTATTTATCTATCTTCTTAGAGTTTTCACTTCTTCTAAAAGATCAAATGTAATTTATTCTTGTTCGGATTTAGGCAATCGGAACTAAGGGGTAAATTTTGGTTTTAAGGATTCCGTCTTGGATTCTTTGACTAGACTAACCAGTTCTTTTAAAGCTTCTTTTTGTTCGTCTAGTTTCCTTCTCAATTCTTGGATTTATCTAGAGTCTCTAAAACTGTGGTTGTCTAAATCTGGGAGACGATTTGCTTGTTTAGACATTATAAATATATTTTTCAAAATATATTACTATAAGAATCAAATTTATTTTTCAACTTCATCAAGAACTTCTTTAGCAGGACAAGGTCTTGGGAATTTGGAATCAAATTCTTTGCAATACATAGTATTATATTATCCTCTGTAAGATGGATTGAGAGGTTATAATTGAAGTTTTTTGGCTTGTTATTGCTATGCTCTTTCAGTTTCAATTGGTATATAGGAGGACTTGGCTATTGAGGTTGCTGTAAATTTGATATCTGGTGGGGACAGGGGCGATCTAAGTGGTTATGCTAATGTGATACTTTTGCTAATAGAGTCCTTTTGTGCTTTTAGCAGGTTCAACATTGAATTCTTAAAATTGATCTCTGTAATTGCTTCTGCCTGAAAAGGGAAGATTTTAAATTATGGTTGGATTGTTTTGAGGCATCAATTATGGTGTGTCTCCCACTCCCCAATTTTTAAACATATTATTGTATGTAGACATTCCCGAAAAAGATCCAAAATTCGTATTGTTAGATTTAGGTCCTTTTTGTAATTGCACACTTGATAAATATCCTGGATAATCATGCTAATTTGATGATTATCAACATACTTTATAAGTTGTAACTCTTTTTATTTCCCCTTCCTATTTGGGGTTTAAGTATAGGTTTTAGTTGTAATGCGAGCATTGGCCAGGGTTTTTTTGCACAAATTCTTATTAATATATAGATTTATTAAGATGGAGATTCGGCTTGTTGAGACAATTTTTCCCATTGCAATGATGTTTCCCACAATTACATAAGGTACACAAGCATTATCCTATTCTAGTAAACACCATCAATTACCTCCAAGATGATCAAAATATTGTTAATATTTGTCATCCTCCTGACTATATCGATTTTTTTGATGATTCACCAACTTCTCAAAAACCTATCATAAAATTCCATAATACTTTAGATTAAGTGTAATTGAACCCTTTGGATGAATTCGAGTTTTTATTAGAACTGGATGAACGTATAATTATTTTTTAAGCAGGCATATTTTATTATTAATAATGCCAATTCACTGAAATTTAAAGAATTTCTTGAATTGTAATTTTTAGTATTATTTAGTAATAATATCATTAATTATTTTTAATAAGAAATATATATTATTTAGATCCTAGATATTTTAATTTAATTCAATGAAGTAATATACTTATTATCATTAATGAATCAAATTATATGAGTATCCAATAATAGTATATCACTTATAGTCTATAATGATTAAATTATATCTATTAAAGTTTAATCAAACCTCAGAAAGTAAGATTAATGAGTGTGAGTAATTAATTAATTATAAAAAATATGTTAAACTTTCCCTAAAATGCCAGGGATCATTTCTCTTGTGATTGTGACCCTTGCGAATTCGCTATCACTCATGGAGAAGAGATAATGCCAAAAAGAGTGCCTCCCCAAAAACCAATTCAACAAATTCAAGATAAAGATTTGGGATTGCTCTTGCGTAAATTATAGGCTCCAAATAAATTAACCAGAAGTGTGAGGATAAGGATACCTGAAACTTGCGTTTGCAATGAAGGAGAAATTAAGTTTATCGCGTATTATGATGAAAGTGAAGGTTTCATAAAATTTATCCAAAAGCCAACATTTCAATAAACAAAACAGTTCTTGAACGAAAGGAGACCCCCTGATTCTCTAGCTGTCATAATCAAATATATAGATAGTACAAATGAATTATAATAGACAACATGCAAGTGATGACTGATATGGAATTTACTATTTTGATGATGAAGAGAAAAATAGATCCAATTTGGTCACAAATCTTGTATATTCAAAATTTTAATTCTAATAAGAACTACGAATTATAGCACTACGAGTTCAAGCATTCCTTTGATTCGAAATACCCAGAATTTGATTTAGCAAGAATCGAGATTTTAATATTGAATGGAGAAATCGCAAGAGCTTCTTCTGATTTTGTACCTATGGTGAGAGAAGAAGCTTATGAGAATTCATTATCGTAAGATCAATATTGCAGGTATATGGTTTATAAGATGGTTCATTATGCTGATGTTTTCGGAGGTATCCAAATAACAGAAGGAAAATTCAGTTTCCACAAGAAAACCTTCATTTCAATGGAGAAGATGGAATACACAGATCTAGATAGAAAAGCCTTATTTGATTCTGAGATTCTGTTGAGGAAGAAAAAAATGATTGACGAAGATATGTTCTAATTCCAAAAGTTGATTGATCAAAATGTGAAGAAGGAACGAGAGTATGCATTGAAAGTGTATAGGGAAATCCTAGACATGGATAATGGATTGGATCAATAGTCACATCTACTCAAAAACAAACTATCAGTGATTGGATATGATTTAAAGAAGTATAGTTAGAGCATCCAATCTAATTTTCAATAAGTGATGGTTAGTAAGGACCCAGCCTCAACGTTGAAAGAACTAGTAATCGAATAAAAGGTCAATGAAGAGAAATTAACTTCCATATTAAAACCAAAGAAAGGGGAAAAAACTAAAAAGAAAATGTGATTTAATTAATTCAATAATAAATTTTATTAAGTATGGAACCATAAATCAAAGAATTTGTAAGTTCATTACTAAAATCTTAAATTACTGACAATCTAACATTAACAGACAAGGAAAAAAGGTTAAACCATTAAACAGGGCTTATGTATATAATAAATGTCAATTTTGCATAGATGTTTTCTTCAAGGTTATTGTCTTGAGATTGGATTTCAAGTCTAACCTAATATGAACCAAGCCATATCTCACTATATGCACGGTATCAAGTTCTTTGCTGATCCCTTATGTGCACACCAATTAGAGCAATATTATAACAAAAATAAGAATAAGATTTTAGCTTCCTTGTAAATAATAATAGTTATGAAATTTTAGCTGCAAATGCCTCTATTACTTACTGATTGAATTGGTTTATGAAATCAAACATTAACTCAAAAAGATTGAATGTGAAAAATACAATGAGGCTCTCTAGGAATTAGCACCCACTCCTGATATTCCTTTAAATTAATTAAGCAACTTTCTTTAGGCTCTCTATCTTTTCAGAGAGAATGAGTCATAACAACATTATGATTCACTTTTGATGAATTATGAATAAATGGGTGCCAAAATACATGCCTATCCCCTTCTAATCAAACAATTCACTTAATAAACAAAAAATCCTGACAAATGTCCTGATACTATTTATAAGTAAAGCTAACTGGTAAATCCCGATCCCTACTTAAATCAGGTATACATTTAATTTTAACAGAAAGATAGTGTTTATATAATATTTCCCTTTATGGGATAATTGAGAGTACACATTTAAATTCAATTCGTCAAATAGTTTTCGAATTGAGTTTTCTTCATAGGCCAAACCCTTATGCTGAAGTGATTGAACAATTATACACCAGAGGAACTCAATATATGATTCATAGGATATTACTGTTTCAAAAACGAGCAAAGGCATTAAAGAACCAAGATTTGTAAGAGGAGGAGATTAAATTCGTGGACTCACAAAATTCATTGATTAGCCTTTACATATTGGGTAAAAGACAAAAGGACAAGTCAAAGAATTGTATGTTGTGCAAGGCCAAGGAATTACTAAAGAATCCATGGCCAGAGAGTCCTTTTATCATGTTTGTTTACATGTTCTATTAGGCTAAGTTGGAATTGCATCATCAACACCATGATGGGTATTAGAAATTGCTTGATTAAAACCTATTTGAAGAATGCAAGCAGTATTATGATCGAAACATTTTGCATTTTAAGTAGGTTAGGACATTGCAATTTTATTCAATTCGAAGGAGGTTAGATAAGCAAAGAGATAAAGTAACATTCAAGAACAAACAGATTCAAGCAATCTTTGATTAGAAGAGAGTGTAGCAATTAGATCAATCTCGAGGCAACTTTTAATAAATTCAATTAAGTCAGATTGAATTGAGAAGATCAATTATCAATCAATCTCCAGAGAGGAAGGTTCTAGATACAATCAAATAAACTTAAAGTATTTATGTTAACAGTGGGAACAAGAGGGTAAATTTTGATAGAACAATCCAAGGACCTCAAATTTTACCATAATTAGAAGAGAAGCAAATGCAGAAATCGAGATTCATTGATTTAGAGAATAAGATCAGATATTCCAAATTAAATTTGATATAATCTGAAGATATCTCTGAAATATAATTTATTAGTAAAAGCAATCGAGATGGCTAATTGAGTTTAGGGAAATATTAAGGACAATTGATATCCATAAAGACCTTGGCTTACATGAATTATGAGCAGATAAACTAATACTTTAAGTATCTGAAAAAGTTTTCTAATTTGGAGCACTAAAATCTACGAACTATAATTGGATACAATATAGACGATTTATAGGAATAAGATGTAAGTGGACAGATACGCATCATAACTTATAAATACGATTATAATCTAAGAACCTTCTTGTAAAAGAACAAGATTTCAACAAAAGAGAAGTGGCATATGGCAGTGTAAATAATAGATGCCATTTATTATCTGCATTAACATGAGGTGATCTTTTGCAATTTACATCCGAATAATATTCTAATCGACGGAGGTACACATGTGCCAGTGCTCATTGATTTCGATCTCCAATTTGACAAAGAATACTTGGATATTAAATACATGGCCAAATAAGTTATTGAAGAAGAGATGCCATTATTTACTGAAAAAACTGACATTTATTCGATAGGATGCATCTTACTTTATTTATTTTTTGGTTGTGAATTTCAATTTCAACAATCAAAGTATATTTATCTATTTAAATAGTCATTCCACAACTCTTACTTTAGAAGCATTCCAAACTTTGAATCCACATTAATCGACCCACGTTGAGTTTCTCATACCTCCTGGATCCGAGGCTCTATAGGAGAGGGCGAGAGTCATTACATTGAAGTGTTTAAACGGTGAGATCGAATTATTAGATCTGCTTCAACATTTTTATGATTATGTTTGATTGATCTATTATTAATTATATTATTATTAACAGATGAACTTCAAATAAGAGTAGAGTTTATCTAAATAAAAATCTAACTAAAAACTATTATTTAGAGCAGACCATATCCAAGTTACCAATCCAAAGTCTATTCCAAATACACCAACATCCTCGAAGCACTAAAAAGTGAATTCCATTAAGCGTATCCATACTGTTAATGGTTCAGAAAAACTAGATAAATTACTCGATCTTAAAAATAAAAGAATAGCTCGAAAATAATAAATCTCACTTGATTCGGAGCCCAAATAACTCTTTAGAAAAGCCAGCTAATTAACAATATAAAGTGATACAGATCTAACCAACTTCATTCAAATTAAAACTACTAGAACAACGAGAGAGCATAAATTCGAAGACTTGCCTCAAATGAAGACACCGAACAACCAATTAATTGGATGTGGATAGAAATAAAACAAATTCTAATAATGCGAGTCGCAGAAGAATAATAATATTTTGGATTTACTTTTATTAAATACATAATAATTGAAAGACATTTTCCAGAAAGTTAAGGAACCTTAGATTCGATAGAAACCAAAAATCAACAATATTAAGGGATTTCCATCTGATTTCTTTTCTATATAATGAGTTCATATTAAATCATTTTCCTGGTTCAATTGCACTAGGCTTCTTATTATATTAATTGCTCAATGCATCTATCACTCTATGAATCAATTCATTCCAACTCTAAGGCTTGTTACTCTCCAAGTGAGCACTCAATTATTCCATCTTACTCTCCAATACTTATATTCTTCCATCCTTATAACAATCTCTGGGTTTGGCTATGGCTCTGAATTCATGTTGTTCCTCCACAATTTTAGGATAGTTCCATAATTCCGGGGGTCTCCTCTAAATTACATACACATTTGCATTGTCTTTCTCTTACAATTTATTGAACATTTGACTTGGATCATTCTATTACACTTGACGAGGACGATTTCTAGAATAAGCATTTAGAAGTACTTAGGAACCATCCCCTCTTTGATAATGACATCCTCTATGTCTTATTGAACAGCCTTATTAATGTGTCTGATCAATTCAACGCACTCCTCGAAGTTAGCTTTTATTTAATCTTGAGCATAATACTCCCAAATCCAATATCTGCCATACTTTTCAAAATCTAGTTTTTCTTAGATTCGCATGTTCTCTTCTTCTTTCTTTCTCAAATCATCATCTGCCTGTCTCTTTTTATCTGGTGACATGGCTGACATAGCAGATTGAGCCTCAAATAAATTCGATTGTGCCAACGGCTATGTTTTTTATTGTAATTTTAATTCTTTAAATTCATCCTCTATTTTTCTATCCTTCCATGCTCTCATGTACAATATTGTATGATATGTCATCAATTTGGGAATGCTTCCTTTTATACAATTGTCATCTCTTTTAATTAGGAATTCTTTAGCTTGAGCATTAGAATTGAAAATAACACTCAATACCTAAAAGGCAAAATTTAATTAATCTCTTTTCAATGATGTACCCATGAGATGTTCAGCAATCAATTCTGCATCAATCAATTCCTTCACATCTTCTACAAATTGCTATTCTTAATCAAAATTATTACCGTATTGTCCATCAAGGGTGCCTTATAGTAATTGATCCCCTTGAGCATCAAACAAAGCAAGTTGTTTCTCATCTTATCGAAGGCTTCTTGCAACGGAGTTAAATAGAAAGACTCAATCTTATTCTGCTACCATCCTTCATAGCCCAATTTATTGAAGATCAACTTGACATTTGGATTGCATGATATTGCTTTTGATTCTAACAATAACCTCTGTGCTTCTTGAAGACATATACAATATTGTTCAACATCAGCCTAATCAGGATTATAGATAATAATGCAACCTTTAAGATGAAATCCTTGGTTTATCTTGCTTAGTTTGAAGTATTAACAAGGTCAAAGAACATCATTTTCTTATTAATTTCTAATAATGCTCTGAGGGGTCCTAAGACCAGCATGAGTTTTTCTTCGATTATCTTATGACTCGACTTAATTAGGATTGGTAGTTTTTTCAAAAAATCATTCAGAAGACCAACGAACACTTTCCTTTCTGCTATATAATTTTCAGCATTCATATCAAAAAACTTGTGATCCTCCAGTGCTATTGAATTAGATTGGTCACATACTTCGAGCAATTTTAGCAAATAATTCCTTCACATGTTTGGCTCTATCTTTGTCTTGCTTCTCAACTGAGTAATAGAATCCATCAAGATATTGTTTGACAACTGTTTTGTTAATTTCCACATCTTCAACTGCAAAGAATGCACTTCTAATATGGGCATGTTCAATTTATTTTATTTTAGATTTGCATTTGAATGTCTAACAAACTTCAAGTAATTTATCATGATATATCTAAATGAAAGGAAATCTAATAAAGAAGAGTTTACTTGCCAATTGCCTGTCAAATCTTTGGAAGTTTCGGAGATGTTATTTTCCATGGATTTATACATTATTTATAACTCTGACCAGATTCTGTATTCATCACTTTCCTTCCATTGTTCAAATTGTTTCTAATATTATTAACCATTTAATACGGCTTGTAATTCAGGATCGATCTTTTTGGCTTTTGGTGGCATTACTAGATATAAAATATAAATAATAATATAAAATTTGTAATGTAGAAATATACAATTTTAAGTTTGTCGAGTAAAGACGGTCCTTGATGAATTTAATTATAATCATTATTGAAATTTATATTTCTAATTCCCTTAAAAGCAATATAATCTTATAAAATATTTAGTTATTTAAAATGGCCAATTCCTCTGTTGTGTTGATATGCATTCAAAACCCAGACTTCATCAATATAACAGTGACACACGTCTACCAAAATTTCATTCAATTCGGTACAATCGAAAAAGTAAGACCTCTCACGTATTTCATAGATACTTATCTTCGAGCGAAATAAACCAATTTGGAAAGCTTTGGTTCAGTTCGATAGTGTCCGATCTGCTCTAAGTGCACTTCAATTAAATAATACAATCATGCATGGACTTTCAATATTAGTTTATGAGTCGAATCGCAAGGGTCTTGACTTCCAAGCTAGAAACCAATATGCAAGATGTAGATTCATTATCCCTATTAAGAGACTACACTGCCCAACAAGTTTAGGGTATAGTGCATTCAACTGAGTTGCCAAAGACAGACCCAATAAACAAATGGCTCCCTCATTCTTAAATATTGCCTCCTTAAACTGGAATGCCTCCCATACCAACATAATTTGCAGAAGCGCTAAACTTCGATAAAGCTGATGGTGCATCTGATTACGATTCACAAGAAGAAGCAACTGAAGACAAATAAGAAGAATTGTAATAATTTTATGAATTATTTCCTAAAAAAGGTCCAATCAATTTGTCAAGTGTATGGGTGACAATCTAACCTAACTCTTTCAGTTCTCACCAGGATAGCGTATTTCCACTTCATAACAATTGCCAAATAACATCCAAGTGGAAAAATAGATCTTTCAATCTGAAATTCTTCCACAAAGTAAATATCTCCAATCATTTCACTCTAGAAAAACTGATCACAAAGGTACTCTATGCCAATTGGTTTGATCCTAAATAGACATCCATGACTATGATTTATAATATTTTTAGCACCTTTGGAAACATCTAAAAGATGATCTACTTCAAGACTAAATGCAATGTCTTAATCGAATACTCGACTGAAGTCAGTGTTAAATTCTTATTGACTAATTTCAACGAAGGAAATCCCACTCTTTTTGGTTAAAAATTGAAAGTACTTGTTTAACTATTAATCTAGGTTTATCCATCCAATTACGAATTCATATTCTTCAGAAATTGCGAAGAAGGCCAATTACCTAAGAATACAGAAGAGGAGGAGTTTTATTTAGGAAATGAGGCATCCTTTAGATACAAAGATAATAATTTCAAATATTTGGTCTCACCTTCCTAATAAATTATGTTAACAAATCTGAAAAAGGAATTCTGTGAGGAAGGCATTATTTATGACACCTTTTCTAAATTTGGATAAATAGAGAAAATTAAGTAACCAAATGTATTTTAACTATTTTTAGAATATTTTGTGAAGAAAAAAATAAAAACAAGTGTCTCATCCGTTATTAAGAGCTAGATTCAGCTATGCAAGCCATGGCAATCATGCATAATTACGAGTATAACAAAAGGAAAATTTAGATTTTTTTTTCTAAAAATAAAACTTGAGTTTTTCTTATTATTTAATGAATTATTCAATTTTGAAACAAATTTTCTTTTCAAAAGGTTATCTATTATTATTATAATTTTAAATTCTCCTCTATAAAGATTACCCATCATTCCAAACATTAATGATTTATAAATTGAGTATATCCTTTTAAGCCCACATTATTTCTCCAATATGTTACTACTGAGTAGTATTAATGATAGGTAGTTATATATTAAATTAGTTTAAATATTTATTATGACTCAGTATCTAAATACACTTTGTATAATTTATATGTAATTTAGATCATTATTTATTTTAATTTTAATATTATATATTATTGAATGTGCATAACTTATTTATATCTATTAAGCAATTACCTTCCCAGTTTTGATAACTCAATAATAAATTAAAATATATAGATATTAAACATATGGACTACCACCTCTATTAATGATATCACTATAAACATATTATATTTATTTATTTCAACTCAATTTACCCATCTCGTACTTTTTAAGTAGTGCAACAACTGATTTATGAATCATTCCATCAACTATGCTAGCAATTGTGAATACTCCTCCGAGAATGGCACAAATCTGCACCAAGAAATGCAAAAAGCTTTCTCTATATTACAAGAATTTCACAGTTACTGGAGAGAGATCATATCTAATTATACTAGTATGAATACCTAAAATAAGCTGCTGGAAGATGATCAGTTAATACCTCATTACTATTGGCAGTAAATTGATGAACATAATATTCATTTCCTGATACATCCACATAAGTTGTTGGAACAACTGATATGTAATATTAAAACATCATTCCAGTTCCACCTTGTGGTTAAGCCACTTTTTTAGTATTATCAAGTGGATTTAGAACACCTTTCTAAAACTATTTCTTTATTTTCATCAAATCATCCTCCTCTCCAAATGAAATATGATTAATTGTATGTGATAAATCTAAAGTTTATATTTAACTTCTCTAAAACACTTAATGTAAGATTCCTCCAAAAGCATGAGCTGAAACATGGAAATTACCTATGAAATATTGTGATTATTGATTACCTGGCACTTTGTTTACAATAATATATCCAGCAATTTGACACCCTTCCTTTTCTTTAAATGCTTACTCAATACGTGCAAAATCTATTGATGGTTAATTATGATGTTCGTGTCCTTCATGATTTGAATGAACTTCTTCAGAAATTACCTTTCCATTCTTTATTCTCTTTTTTATTAATCTACCCTCTACATTCACAACGTGAGACCCCATAATATCCTAAACATCCAAAGATAGAATATCACATGGAAATTTATGAAATTCTATGTCCAAGTTTACCCGAATTTATTCACCACCGCGATTAATATCAACAAACATTTCACTACTATTATCCACTTCAATGTATGCCTATAAAGAATATATTCTAATAAGGATTACTTGTAATTCTGTGATAAATAGTATAACTATCACAATAGTACTGATGACTGAAATTAATGCACCAGCTGTAGTTGGCTCTGTTAGATCAGCTGGTAATTTACGATAAATGTCCAATTTTCTCAGTCTTGATTGCACTCCTCCGATCATTTAATTAATTTATGAAAAATAGCTTAAATATATTTAAGACTTTTCTAATCATTCTATTGATCTCTCATTATTGATTGTAAGATCATAAATTAAATAGGATGATGTACTATTTTAATGATGTAAATAGTAGATTAGACTATTTGATTAGTCTATTTGTTTTTGAATAATAACCAAACATCTCCATCATTATAATTATTTTTGTAAAAAATTCAAGAAATATTATTATTGAATTGACGAAATGAAGTCATTGAATAATTATAGCATATTATTTACAGTAGGAAAAGAGAATAGAATTATTAGCATATAATTTCATGGTAATGTACCTAAATCCTTAGTAGTTAATTCAGAAAATCTATCACCTAATAATTAATCCCACTTGAATATTCTTAGATATATATTATTGATTTTATGGTTGATATAATATATCAATTTCCATACAATTTTTCAAATTCTAAGTGTTCTTCGAATTTGGCAATCAATTCAATATCATTTTCTCTGTAATCCAATATCTTTAAATCAGCACTTTACATAATTACTTATAAATACTTATATCGATCTTATTTCTTTCTCTTTAATTGCTTATCTATTTAAGTTATAATAATCGAATTGTTAAGCGAGTTGAGATAACTATCAGTATTAGAATGAGTTACATACCTTTAATCTTTTGAGTAGTACTTTTCAACTTATTAATCTTTTTATTATTGGTTTTAATTGAATATTGGCACTTCTGTTTTTTATAAGCCTTTACTAGGACTGGAATTGAGATAATGGCTGGACCTTTTTTTATAAATTTGGAATTCCTAAGGAGTGAGGCTGTAATTCTTGACATCTCTCAAACGTCCTTTTGGTCTTTGTCTATCATTCAAATGGCCATAAACATTCTGATTATCATTCTTCTCAATGAAATCGGTGAACAATTCTATCACAATTCAGATATGAGGGATACCGTTCTTTCTGCCAAAAAGACCTGATTTCTATTGCAAAGTTTTGTAGGCAAGTTGAAAAGTTTGTTCATCCCCTCGGATTTGAGGAGTTTGGACATAATGCACTTGATTGGTTACAGTGCTAGAAATGTTGGATGAAGATACTACTTTACTATTTTGACATTTTTGTATCCTTTATTGGGGAGATTTGCGAATTTCTGTTCAGAGACATTATAAAATTCAAAATTGTTGAGAGTGCTACTTCTGAGGGTTTGCCATTTACTGTGAGGTTTAGCTCTGACTTTGAGGAATGGATTGTCATAGCTTTCTCTGCAAATCAAAGTGTTGGGATTACGGAAGAAGGAAGGTGATTCGAGAGAATTGCCAAATGCATATTGAGGTAAGATCTTCTTTCCTTTTTAGACTTTGGGGGGCTCTTTCATTTTGAAGGTGTCGGAGAAGGAGCTCCTTAAGTAATCGGGCAGTTGTTCGCTCTCGAGATTACCGCGATTAGACTAAGCTTGAAAGTGAGATTACTCTTGTTAGTCGAGGTGGCTTTTCTTCTTTTCCTGCAAGCATCCGAGAATATGGCAATTAATATATTGTATGATATATTTATAAAAAGCACAAGGCAATATTAAAATTTATACTCTAATATTGTAATGTTTATTAATTTATAAATGTACGTTTTGCTATTTCAACTAGTGATTCTCGTATATGGATATCCAATCTTGGAAAATGGATAGTTGCTAATTGGAGCCGGAGGTTTGGCTTGTGAAAAAGACACCATAACACACATCAAATTCTTGAATGTTTACAAAGCATATGTTCCCTAAGTGATCTTCGTTTTGAGTAATCACACCAATGAAATGCAGTTTTCTGATTTCGCTTTGGACATCCATGTTGAATTGATGAAAGTTAACACAACAGGTAATGGGGAATCTAGATTTAATTAGGATTCACAATCCAAGTAGTCTGCTCGAAAAGCTGCATTAAATCAGTACTATACACTTGGTATGCTTTTGGAGGAGACACCTATGATTCAGGATGTTTTCCATTGTAAGAGAAGGCTCAAGTGACATTAGAGCAAATTTACACGTCTCCGATGCAGCATTCAGTGTTCATCTCTGGATTTGCTGGTTTCTTCAAATACGGTGGCAAGAAGCCAATGCTGAAATTATACTCCTCTTTTGATAATCAAAATCTGACCATACAAGTCGAATCTACCTTTTAATATGTGTACATCTGCTATATTCTGGCCTAAGATATGAGTTCGACCACACTCAATGATACTGAAATAGCAAGTACTCTTAATTACCATATTCAAAGCTCTGGTTTAAAAGGGGACATATTTAGATGACACATTGATAATGGGAATGGAATCTTTCTAGTTGTTTGGCAACAATCTTTAAATACAGATGTTGAATGACAAATCCTTCTTTCCGAAATAAATTGAATTAACTGTCAAGGTTGCAAAACTCTATGATCCAACTTACAGGAGTTGTCCAAAGGTGTATACTGAATGTATGTTCCAAGGAGATCCCATCTATGTTTGTGATGAAACTGTGAAATTGACTAATATTTGGAAGGAGTTCAAAAGTTTAAGAGTGTATGATCAGAAAATGAAATTCAAATTGAACATAGTTAGCAATGATAACATCTTGGTAATGCTTATTTATATTACATTATCTAGTGGCTTTCAGAAGATATTGATTGTAGTTATGACATGTATGATTAATTGATGGAATTCAAAATAAAGAACTAACCGATAGAGAGACAAATTATTCGAAAGAGGAAGATGATGGGAATGCTTTACGATGAACAAACCGACGAGGATTAAGAATACTCTGAAGACACTATTTTAATTGGTTAAGCATGAATATATTTAATTAAATAGTTTTATCTTAATAAATTATAATAGATGATATTCCAATTATTATTTGAATCTTTATATCTCTGTTTCTCTTCTAATATCCATTCCCCATCATTATAATTTAGTAGAAATAAACAAGGAACTTTTTATTATGACAATTTTCATTTACTTGACATATCCTGTACTTTTTGTCTTCTCTTAAATCACTTTAGGTTTTGGAATCGCAACCTATTTGCTATTATTCAAATCAATCGAATTAGAATCATTAAAGATAAAATTTAAGATTTTCTATCATGATTCTCATAGTTTGGTTATTACTGTATTTGAATTTTAATTTTGATCAATCAAGTCATATCATATCATAATTATCCTTTCTAATATTATTGTTTATAATATTAAAACCAAGTAACTATGGAGAATCTTATAAAGATTTTGAAATTTAAATTAATCAATCTCTCTTCCTTAAATTTAGTTAATATATAAAATTTTATGTCTATCAATTCTGATTATCTACTTATTCTATAAAATAATTATTATCTGCTACCTACAGTAATAGGTTTTACACATCTTTTGTATATACAATGATTGTAACAATTTTCTAATTATTGACATTTCAGAAATAAAGAAAAAAAAAACAAAAATTAAAATAATCAATGTTAAGCTGCATGACCATCACTTAATGTAAAGCATTGATCTCCATATATGTCTTGCCAATCACAATCACTTTCCTTATCAGGTGATCGTGGAGACAATTGAAATGTCTCCTTTTATTAAATTGAACTAGTTTATCCTTGTGCATTCGAGAGATCTTGTTTCTTAGGGAATTACTTGCTAAATGTTTATTTAACTTCGGGATCTAAGTTATGTACTTTCCGACTTATTTTTGTGTCACGATAAGTCTGAATCACCACTCTAGCTTATTCGTTCTCCTGAGCTTCCTAAGTGTAGTGTTAAGACTTTTGTTCTAGCGGCATTTCAGATAGCTTTCTTGATGAAACCTCTTACTTATTGAGGATCGATCCCATTAAAATAATTTATATTATTTTTATCATTCCAGTTAAGGGTATACCTCCCCTACTACTGCATCAGGTTTATGTCCCATAGATCGCAAACCCATCTGGTAATAAATTCTCCCTCCAGATTTATACAACTAAGCTAAGGATAACTTCATACCAACTTTCTCTGATGTGAAGCGAAAAAGTCCTCCTTTGTATTCAGGCAACGGATCTCAAATTCTGAAATTCCTCCCTTAAGGGTTTTTTGAGATATCAGACTTAGCTGATATACACTAATCATCCCAATATTCAAAATTCTTTGGATGAATAAACTCTTGTACTATTCCAAATTGTCCAATTTACATTCCAAACATTCCTTCAAAACATTCTCCTTTATTCTAATCACAAGAGTTGAAGCTTAGTCAATTACTCAAAAAATATACATTCCCCATCCATTGTGCCGACAATCTCATACATATGTTGCCAATAATCCTTATTCGAAAACTCGACATGTGCATAATCAAACCTTGTTGCCTTACTCTTCAAATTATTAAACACCTTGTTCACATACTACCCCAAGTAATTCGAATCATTGAACTCTTGTCATCACTAAAATACATACAGATGATTTCCTTTTTATTTTCTGTAGTCTTCACCAATGCTTCCTTCTATTACTCATTAAAATAAAAGATCTACGAGGCTCCAGGGAATTTAGTATCGAAGTTATCGATTGCAACATTCGTGAATATTATGCTTGCGAATTTCTTCTTGATATCGCAGAATTAATAGACGGATTTTTGAGTCTTCGATATGAAATTAGCTATTTTCATAAATTAAAATATATGAGAATAATTTTATCGTTTCTGACACTTTTCTTTGTTTATGCATAGAATCAATATTGCAATGTGCATAATAAAGGAGTCAATTCAGGATTGGCCAATTAACTTGCTCACTCCCTGAATCAAATTAGAAATCAGGTTGCAACTGGCTAAATTAGCTTTGAAGGATCTTCATCAGCATCTAATATGAATGTTATGCACTGGAGCAATGGCTATGCAAAAATGGCCTAAACATGTGTTGAGAAATGTCCTCTCAAGGCTTCCACTTGTGGCTAAGTATCGTTGCATTTCATTTATAGTTTTAAAATTATGGAGTGCTCTTTTTTAAAAGACACCTCAATCAACAATTGAGAACCAACTAAGTTATGGAAAAGTGGTTCAAAGAATCTGAAAATGCCAAATAATTACTCACAGCCAGGTCTAGTGCTTTTGGATGTGGAAAGGCTGAAGATAAAGACTCAGAATACATAGTTTGTTATTTCGATGAAGTAAACATCCTCTTGACTCATTCTAGAAATACACTGGAGCTAAGTAGGCCTTTTTGGCAGGACCAGTTGGAGCAAGTTGTAAATTGGGTCGCTCTAAAATGTACAGTGGTCTTTGTGCAACAGCCTCTTCATAGACTTTGATCCATTAATCATCACATATCAAGAATAAGAAATAAAAGAAATAGAAGAAACAAAAGGCACACAAAAAAAATAAGAAAAACGTAGAAAGGGAAGTCGCCCTTATTGCTATGACAGATTTTAATGAATTTGTTTGATGGAGTTATTATTTTTAGTAATAACTATTATTATTTGTTGTTAATTTACCTATTATAGTCTTCTCGTATGTATAGATATATTTTACGAGCATTTTATTAGAGTTCCTAACATCATCATGACATTACAACTTTAAGGTCTGATTTCATCATGTCTTTTTATGCTATTTGATTCCTTTCGTGATCGGATTTATTAGTAGTTTATGTTCGTTTTGAAACAATTTTATATATAATTAGGAGAGTGAAACAATTGCTTTAATTCATTAATTATTTTAAATTGATGGAATTGATTTAAGAAATTACATTACTAAAAGAATCCTTCTTGGAATTTATTACCAAAGTAACTCCTGTGTTTACAGAACCCATATTGGAATAATTCCACTCTAAATGGAATCCTTTGAAAAAACTATTA